AGAAAAGGCTAAGAAACTTAAATACCGCATCCTTAGCCAAGCGTTTAAACCGTTTATCCTAAGCTAGGGGGGCCTACTAGGAAAGGAAACCTTATAAACCTATAAGGAATTCTAGAAGTCCCTTACCCCTAGTACCTTAGATTAGCTAGATAAATACATCTTAACTACCCTAGTAAGGCTCCGAGCAAGAACCTAGCTAGGGTATAGGATAGACTAGTATACGTCTAACTTTCCTATGTTACCTCTTTTCTTCTCTCCTTTATATAATCTAAAGACCCTAGGTAATTAGATAAGTAAGTATAGCTTAAGTAGAGCCAGAATAGAAGTCTTTTCTAACCCTCCCCTCTAATAATATCCCTTTATTCTTACTCCCTATTTTACACTTCTATATCCTCTAAACAAATCTTATTAACACCCTCTATACCTTTATATAGAAATCTAACGTAGACACTATATGCCTAATATATATCTTCTTCCTATTCCCTTCTCTACTAACCTCTCTTCTATTTAATAACTTTAAACACTAGCTATCTATCTCTCTACTTCTTACTACTATTATTATATTCCTTACTACCCTCCTAATAAAACTCTTATAAACTTCTAAAACCTCCTCTTTACTACTTACACTCCTTAACTAAATCTTTATATTCTTACTTCTTACACCTATTAAGATATTACTCTATATAGACATCTTTAACTAATTATCTATATTAACTCTAGCGATCTTACCGTCTACCCGGCTATCTCTTAACTTCTTCTAATTCTTATCCTTCTTTTCTAACATCTTTCTTTCTAATTCCTTACTCTATTTACTTCTACTTCCTTCCTTTTTATCCTTATTCTTATGCTTATTCCTATTCCTACCCTCCTCTTCTCCTCCTCTAATAAACATCTCTCTTCCTCTTCTTACTTCGAAACTTACATTCTAACTACTTAACTTAAAAAAACGTTAAAACTTTATACTACTCTTCTAAAACTTCTTCTCTTTTATAACATCTCTTCTTACCCGGCCTTTTCCTATACTACTTACCTAGCTATATTCTATTAACCTATACTTCCTTATCCTACGATTACTACTATATATATACCTATAACCCTTACTAACTTCTCTTCTTTCTTCTTTACCTTCCTCTTCCCTTTCTCCTTCCTCCTCTTTACTATCCTTACCTATCTTCTTCTAATAATAAATAAACCTACCTAAAAATACCTCTAAACCATCTACGCCTATACACTTAGGCTTTAGATACTTTACATCTTCTACCTTTAATGCTAAACTATCTAACCCTCCTATCTAATCTATAATCTTTCTAATCTCCTTCCTCTTTATACCTAAATATAGTTTTCTATCTCGGAAATGGCCTTTTACTACGTTAGGCGTAATATAACATCTACACTTTATATATAACACTACCCTAAACTCCTTTAAAAACCTTAACTTCTTACTACCTCTATATTTTAATTTAGTTTCTATCTTCCTTTCTCTTTTTACTTTCTTTAATAATAGTTTTCCCGATTCTCTTTCTCTCTTCTTTTTAGTTATTATAAAATTAAGAAATCTAAATACATATCCCTTAAAACAAATGGATCCTACTCCCTCTTTTCATCCCCCTACTAACTAAAATAAATGGATCCTACCCCCTCTTCCCATTTCCCTTACCTAAATAAATAGATCTAACTAACCCTAAACTTATCTACCTTTCTTCTATACCTCTCTACTATCTACTAAAAGACATTATATAAAAACCTACCTATTACTTACTTTACTTCTACTATTTATCCATTTAACCTACTATATACTACCTATCTAACAAACATAACTATATTAACCACTACATCTTAACATTTAAACAACATTTACATCTACTCTTTCTAACTAGTTTACCTACTAAAACATTAGATCTTCTAAATAACGATAAACTAGATTCGCCTATCTATAATACTATATACTACTATATACCACTACATACCACTATACACTACTATATAACACTATAACAATACTAATCTTCTAGATATATAGCTATATAGGTCTATAGATATATAAACAAATAGCCTATATAGACAGATAGACATAGATAGTTCTTTCCTTCACATTTAAAACCTAGGTCTAAACGCCTCTATACACTAAAACTCCACTACCTCCCGACTCCTCTACCACCCTACTCCATTAATAACCACCCTCTCTCATCACTTTAAACAACATTTAAAACCACTCTCTAACACTTAAACAACATGCTCTAGTTAATGCGATATAAGGATAGTCGCTCCTTAACTCATAATTCACGATTTACATCTAAACGTCTCTATACACTAAACCACCTTAATACACTAACTCCTCTACCACTTATTATACCATCATCGCACTTCTCCTTCCTACCACTATATGGTAATACTTAAATATATACACTCTCATAATATACATGTACCATCTCCCTCTCTCGAAATTCATTTCCTCCTTCTCCGTCGTCCATCCTCCTCTTAAAACTTCAACTTCTCCCTCTACATTTCCATACGAACACCGAACCCAATCACCCAACTCTTTCCTAACGCTACCTCCCACAAACCAACCATTATTCCCACAATCCAAATAAGCCATTCTGCTCGCAAAAATTCGCTCTGCAATTCTGTCAGTTTACATTACGAAAAAAACACACCCTTCCAAATGAACTCTACCCCCCCTTTCCTGCAAATGGATCCTACCCCCCCAAGATTCCCTTCCCCATACGAATTTAAATGGATCGTGCCAGGATCCGGCACTCTATGCAAGGTCAGACTTAGTAGGGTGCGAATGCGGAGCTACGCGAGAAACGATTAAGCATGTTATATACGAATGCTCCCTCCTACGCGAAGACCGTCAAATTGCTATCGAGGCAGTAGGGCATAGGTAGAGAGACCTCTCTTATATACTCGGGGGGTGAAATCCCTAGGAAGACTCGAGAAATAGGCAACTAGTCGACGGACCGAAGGAAAGGTGGAAGGCAAACCTCCTAGCGATAAAGGCGGTTCTCCACTTCCTTTACAAGTCCGGCAGGTTTGCATAGCAGACGAGAGCTGTCGAGTAAGGGGAAGCTAGAATGGAATAAGGACAGATAAGGATAAAGAAGGAAGAACTAATAGGAGACGGCTTATAGGTTTGCCGTAGAACCAAGTAGCCTGATCAATTAAATCAATCAATCAATCAATTAACCTAATGTTAGCTGTGGCATCTGTAAGTAGTTGCCCATCATGTGCCAGTCCTAAGATCCTTAGTGGTGACGACCTGGCATCATCCCCTTTAGGTACGCACTTGACCCGAGGGTTCATCCTGCGAAAGCATTGTTTACGAATCTCTAACATCGAGTCTATCGAGTAACTGTAGAACGAAATAGGGAAGACGCGAGGGTCATCCCAAGTGACGTATATCTCAATGTCTGGAGGACCACGGATAGTGATCACTTCATTGGAACGGAGTCTTAGCTAATGTATTTGGGTTAGCAGGGTACCCTTCTCCATTCAATCATCCGCCTCTGACGTACGAAATCGGCATCGTGGGCTCGTTCGAGCTCTGGTTGATCGTACCACAAGGTGCAGTCGCTTGGGCAGCCACGGAGAGTGGCCTCGGCCATCAGTCCGTCAAATAAATGTCCCTTAATTGTGACATCGGCAGGTGCAGCTGTGGCTCCTAGCTGGAGTCTTAGGTGATGTTTTGCACTTCCTTCAGGCAGCGTAATGATGGGTTAGGCTGCGTACGAGACCTTAAGAGCTCGCGGGAGAATAAATTCTGCCCTTCCAAGAGGGAAGAGAGAAGGGAATGCACGACTAAGCAAAGCTTCCGCCTTGTTGAACTCTGGAAGTTGGATAGAGCGGAACTTGGCTACGACCTGCTGTGGTGCTGGTCGCGCTTGAGCGTGGGGCTGACCTTCATCACTAGGCTGTGTGTGTCCAAGACGACCTTGAAGCTGTCTAAGGTCAGTGCCAGCTGGTAGCACATCGGGAATGGCACCAAAGATCAGTGCGGGATTGTCTTGTGCAGAATCAATTGGCGTGGGATCAGCGGATGCGTCTTCTGCATGTTGGACAGCAATGTCGTCCAGAACGTGCTGGCCAAGCGGTAGCGACTCCAGAACTTCAAAGTCGATTCCAATGTCACGATGGCCAGGATGGTTAATGCGCAGGAATGTAAGCCACTGACGAATGACTTCACGACGCACACGGAAGTCGCGGACGAACTGGCGCTCAAGGCGTGGATCACCAGCTGCGTTGCGAGGCTTGACAATAATCACGTCGAGATCCTTGGGAGAGAGTGGAAGTTCGTCGTAAACCTTGCCTACACTCTGCAGGAAGTTACAGACGTGACCGGTGTACTCGTACTGAGAACCACGAACGTTGCGCACTTCGATGCTGACGTGGACGCGAGCAATGAGCATTTCTTCCACTTGAGTAAGACGAGGAAGGTTTGCAACCGGGCCTGTATCCATGTTGTTTGAAGCGCCGAAGAGGAAGGGGTTTTCGGGCTGCTCGGGAGTAGGACAAGTACGATTCTCACGCCTACAGCGACCACAAACTCCACCTTGTACATCTGTCAAAAAGAAACGCTCGTTGCACTGACCGTAATGCTCTGTAACCTGACCGTTGATGCGAGTGTTGAATGCGTGAAGACGCAGCTCATCAGCTTGATTGAGAGCTGGAGCTTCAAGCGAGACGCCAGCAGCTTCCACGTCGAGAAGAGGGTCAGGAAGATCGTCGGTGGTTTGACGGCGACGGTTGGAGGGCGAGGCAGAACGTGAGAGAATGTCTGACAATGACTCGCTGCGGTAGGTGGCGGACGAACGAAAGTCGGTGTCGCCTCGAGGGATGGGAGAGCCGACCTGGGATGCAGATCGACTCATGACACGAGAAGGAGGTTGAACAAAACCGCGGCAAGTGCTGCAGCTGTCAAACTCGATGTCGTTGGTGGAAAATCCTGGACGCTCAACGTCGTGGATGCCTTGGATACACTATTTCCATTGGCCTTTAACGGAGTGGTCGACCGGATATGCCTTGCTCGCAGTATTGGCAGAAATCAACTTGGCCTGATACCGTAGCTCTGCGTGCTTCTGCGCGAGCATGGTTACAAGCCTCGCAGATGAACCAGACGCGGTATTCTCCTGCCGAGGCGAGATCTCGATGGCCGACAGCATGACTTGTGGTGGTATGAAGGAAACGGATTGAAGATGCTGAACCAGAGGAGGCAGAGTGACCAGGAGAGCCAGTACCATGACCTGGAGGCGTGTGTGACGAAAGAAGAGGAGATGGACGACCGCTCACCGGAGATGAGCGCTGGAAGCCAAAAGGCTGACCAGGAGAAGTGTGCGGCGGAGGGGGTGATCCGAGACCTCCAGAACCAGGAGAGCGCATAGAAGCGGCGCGTTCAGCAGCGCGAGTTGTGACGTCCATGACAAGACTTCGCGAAGGTGAAGATGTGCGAGACGGACTTGCTGATTGCGTACGAGTTATAGCGCTTCCTCTTGTCATGCCGCGGCCTCTGGTAGGTGGAGGTCCCATGGTTGGCGTATGGGCTCGTGAAGGTGCACCAAGGTCGAGGAGCGTTTGGGCGATCGTCTGGCCGGCTTGCTGATCAACTGCGTGACCAAGTGTCTGGGCGACATATTGACTGACGGAACGAGTGGGCGCGGGTTGCATGGGTACACCGAGTTGAGAAGGCCATGCAAGAGGACATATCTCCTGTCTCTTCGCAGACGACGCAAGAGGAGACGACACTGTAGGCTCAGAACCACGCCTCTTCTTCACCATGAGATCTCCACCACGGCACTTCAGACACGTCTTGACTGGACCACGCGAACTCGAACGAGCAGTGCTGGCTTGCTTTGGCGCGAACTCGGCAATGGGCTTGCGCACGCGGCATCTGTTGCAGACTCGTGTTTCTTCAGCTTCGGGGACGACATCGACGCGATCAGCGGGGAGACGGGGTGTGGTGTTGTGAGGGTCTTCGTCGTCACCACCTCCACCTGGAACTCTAGCGACAGCCGTCATGTTGGTACCCATCATCGAAGAAAAAAGTCAGCCTTCTAATAGATTACACAGGTTACATAATTAATCCCAAATTTGAGCTGCCCATGGAGAAACTCAGTATGGAATCGCTTCGATCTGAGCATAGCATCGGAACGTTCCATCATAAGGCGTAGGCATGTTACTGTTAGCCTTACTACGCGTCTATGAATATTACAAGAAGTCTGTTTGTCACCTGGACGTGTGAGTCTATCCTCGTGATTCTTGCAGAATCACACAGAACTCACCATATATCGTCTCGTGGACTTCTTCCTTGCCTGGTTTGGGGTCGCTTCCACGGTTGATGCCGTTAAGGTGTGCTGTGATAAGAGCGGCACAAAGTGCTTCTCTTTGTCAACAATGACCACGCCCAAATCCTGCATATGGTCACTCTCTGTGGTCCAAAGACCATTACATAAGACCCTGGTGGAGTTAGGCAGTGGCAAAATCACTCTCCTGTCTTTGAAGAGTGCTCCAGTCTCAGGATACTGTGCGTCTTAAACAAGTGCTTGGGTTCGCGAACAAGAGCACCTTAGCATCCAGGAAAAGAGCTTGGATCTAGATCGTCTCCACAATCCACAACAATCGGGATCCAGTTTGATAGCGTCGCTTGTCTAGTCAACAAGGCTTCTTCGTCATTCTTGACGTCCGAGACTTGTTCAAGCAACATAATCTCCGGCGAATGCATACTTGACAAGAATGTAGAGTACAGAGCTTGCGCAAGGAAGTTGTTGCACCTTTGCTTGTATATACCGGTGGCGCACATGACTAAAGTTTGTCGCAAGCTTTCGATGTCTGAATTCGGCAGGGGCTTCCGAAGGTTGTCGATACATCTGGTTCCTGCGAAAATCGAGGATATGATGATGTGTATATCCATGTTTTGATGTCCATGGCGGATATAATAGAGTCGGAAGAGAGTCGCAAAGCATTTTTCTGATTCATGGACAATGTCCCGAGGAAGTTGATGTGTCTGTATGTTTACAAGAGGTTCGAAGATAGTGATCATTAACTGGTGATAATACATGCTGCAAATACATTAACTGGAGAACACATATTGTTTGACATACTCACTGAAGTTGAAGTTGTGCTGGAAGCACGATATTTCCTGATTGTAGACAAGCAGGTAGATCACCAAACCACTTGACCAGTTGTGTCCGGAATAGGTATGCGTTTCTTGCCAACCATGCTGGACTTCTATGGCGTTGAAACACCGCATGACAATATCGAGCTAGGACAACCCTAAAGCGCGCCCGATGCTCGAAGAGGCTAGCAAAATGTGCATCGACAGGGTGGTCAAGTCCTGGATACTCCAGCCAGAAGAGTCCATACCATGCAGGATTCACCGAAGAAGACGGGAGGGGCTCCTGCGGTGGTCCCGGGAGTAGTGGTGGTTGCTGAATTGAGAATGCGACAAGACTGCGCACGTCAGAATAGCGATGAATGTAAGAGAAGAGGTACATACGCATCCCAACAGAACAACGCCCACGCAGTGTAAATCATGCATTGTCTAGATTTTTCACTCGAAGTCTTGATTGGTCTGTCAAGAAAGAGGCCTAAACGGTTTGCTAGCGCAATAGTCTGCTTGAGATATGTTTGGCCGATTTGATCAAGGCCGCTCAAGTTAGAAATACCATTGAGAATGATACCGGCTTGAACCGTGCTGATTCGAGGTGTTAGAGCTTCGATCTCCCACAAGCGTTTTGCTTCTACTAAAAACTTGTACGTGAGCGATGTGGAATTCCAATACTCAGCACGATTCGGGATGTTTAAATCACAAACCTGTGAGGTTTAGCTCTTTCGTCAGCGCATACCGGGAGCTCTGACTTACACAGGCATAAGCCAAGACAGCGTTAACAAGAAGAGAAGAACAGAACTCGCCGTGCTGACCGTTCATATTCTCTAGGAAAAGATCTTTTTGCAATGCTGACATGAAATTAAACTCGCAGAGAAAGTGGTTCCGGAGGAGCCTCCGCATGATGTCATCATCTTGACACACTGATGTCCACAGACTAGGCTTCGCACTCTCAATGAGAGGATCAATGACGTGCGCAGCATGAAATGGACGAAGATATACGATTTGTGGCAGGGACATGCTCGGCCGGGCCTCCCGAGACTCAGAATCTGTCAGCCTCAAGGAAGCCGTATCGTGAAGCAGAGTGTCAAGATATTGATTGTTGATTACCAGTTCGGGAGGCATATGCTTGACATAAGGGAGTTCATATCGAAATCGCGTTTCTGGTTGGAGATCGAGTTGCTTCCTGAGATCTCCCGACTCGATGAAGCTCAAGATGTTTTCGAGATCATGGCCTGAACGGATGCGTTGGAAGACGTTATTGGCATGACATGCGTCCGAAGACCTCAGATATTCGAACAACTCTTGATTTGGCTGTTTTGAGATCACATTTGGTCGATTCTCGACGGAAGCACTAAACCTTGGAGTTAGCTCGTTGTAGCAGTACAAGCCTACGAATACCGACAGCAAAGCTCCAAAGGACGGTAAGGCGCTACTAGAGTCACCAGATTCCAAGCCAGATCTCTGGCTACTAGACGCGCCATTAACGGATGATGGTATCGATAACACGTCGTCAGAGTCGGCCGGATCTCGTGCCTCGCGAGGATTTTCGGCCAGGGCGCGAGGAGTGTCATCATCTGGACCATTTGATACCAGTGCAGATTGCGATACGGTATCGATCTCTTCGGCTGTGCGGAGCGAGTTCAATAGGCGCTGGACATCGTGGCTGGACGCAGATCTAAGACGACTGAGGAGCTCGTGTTCACGCGAACTTTGACGCTTTAACGCTTCATATTTGCGCTTAAGCGCGATAATGGGCGGCGCGTCTGGCTCGGCGGCATATACGCACACGACATCTCGTATAGAACATGGTTGGCAGGTCGGTCGCGTGCCATCACACTATGCCACAGGACTCTTAGCATAAGCATGATTGACGATCGACTCACCGACGCGTACCTTGGTCTTACGCTTCCGACAAGCGTCACAAGCTACCTTTGGCACTCTCAGTCCGGCAATCTAGGTAGTATTGGCCTCACAATCATCCTACCGTGATCTGTGTTCGTGTTTGCGACTTCGGCGTTGACACACCTGGCCCATTCTTTCGCATTGTCACCTAGTGGCGATTTATATGCAGAGGTGCTAAGCTGACCAAAAAAGTCCGAGTAAAAGACTTCCACTGTACGCTTGGGTCTTAACAAACATATGGGCGATTGCGCTGACGTTAGGAAAGGGAAGAAGAAGAATGTAATAGGCGCTAGTCAAAAGGCAGGACGGCTATAGGCTTATGTAAGCTACGCGAATGTGACGTACATACGTCTTGAGCACGTGCCCATCCTATGTGCCAAGGTCATACTTATGTGCCAAGATGATCCAGAATCACTCGTTCACACAGAAAAATAGTTGCCTCTCGCTCCATGCTTACTTTGGCCGACGTCTCTCCGATGATGGCATACGATATGGGAGCGGCGCCTAAGGTGAACAGAACCGAGACGATGAGGCCGAGCGCTGCCTGTGCTAAGCTTGCTACGTTTGATTTACCAACGAATCATGCAAAATCAAGGGCAAACAACAGAACCGTATCAACGAAAGAGCCCTAGAGGTAGTTAAGTCGACGGCCAAAGTACGAGCTCAGACCCCAAGAGAAAATGACGGCGACAATCAGAAGCGCAGATGTGACCAGACCAAGTGCGGATGCCTGTTGAGAGCTTATCCCAGCCTGCTCGAACAAGTAGACGGCCTGGTTGGCGATGAGGTTACTGGTAAGATTCTGTGCAGCGTAGACACTAAAGCCGATCATTGTTCTGTACGTGACCGAGGTTTCCATCTCAATGACTCTACGCATCATAGATCAAGACGGCTGTGGGGAAAATGGATGCGACGTGATCAGCATACTTATACACCCAGAAGGCCGCGCGCCTGGGACAGGTGGAGAAATGGTCTATTACCGATAGTGTACAGCAGAAAACGCCAACGATTTGACTGAACGAACGGAAGATTGGCGTGCTTGGCGAAGCTTGTGCTTTTATAATAGTCATAAGAACTTACCACTGGTTGGCATGAATTCGAAACTTAGCCCTCGGAGGAACCCCGGAGTCCATGGGGGAAAGCGACTGGGGTCGGGTTCGCGGCAATGACATTCAGTTACCGCTAATGGTAGCGGCCCCTGAACAGGGGTGCCGTACACGAGATAGAGCTCAACAGACGCAGCGGCGGCACATCACCCGCATTCTTCGACCGAGCGCTTGTTCGAGAGGCCGTCCGGCGTCACGGCAGATTGCAAATTGAGACAACTTTACCCACCGGCGCCGGAAGCCAGAGTCTTTGAACGCGGCTGGCTGATATCTCATCGGGGACCACCCGGCGGTAGAGAAGCTTGTCTTTGCTGCCGAGTCACGACTGGCTTCGATACTGATCTCGTGATGATGATCTCGCTCCGTTTTGGCACAGAAAGCTTGATGCGCCCACGTACTCAGTCAAGGTTTGGCTCGAGAAGAGGCAGGAATCAGCGTCTTACTGTCCGGCTGCGGTGAAGCGACGGTTCAAAGAACTCGGTTGAGGGGATACGCGACGGCTCTTGCTCTGGCTCTGGCTTGACAGATTCATGTCAAAACCTTGGCTGCGATGACTCCAGAGCAAGATCTCCGTGGTAACCAGATGGCTCTTCTGATTGAGGCATATGACGGACGCGAGGATGTGTGGGATACGAGGACCGGCTTGGCCACTGTAGCCTTCTATGCGGGTTCTTTGACGCCCTTGGCCTGAGATTGATCTTGGTGGAGGCCGAGATGGTAGACGAGGTGGAAATCTGCTCGGAGACGACACAAAGCGAAAGGGTCCGCAACGATGCTCCCTGTCTTGTCGACAACTCAATGCGGTAGGATTTCGAGCTCTCCAGTGAAAACGCCACGGGCGTACCAACTGTCGCGAGGTGGTTGGGTTCGAAGTGTCGATCATGAGGCGATAGTGACTTGGGCCGAGGACGGCTCTAGAGCTGTGTTCGACGCAGCTCTTTGTCCTCGTGGATCGCATTTGTGTGGTCACTACGACGCAATGCCGACCAAGGTGTATTGACATGAGGCGTAGATCAAGTTCGATTGGTCTCACTGAACGATACGCCTAGACAAGGTGAACAAAGAACGACAAGCTGAGACTCCCATACTGCTTTACAAAATTCCATCAGTCGGTCGCGTATCAGCTTGGAGAAAAGTAAACTTATCAGCACCAACAACAACGCAAAGGCTGCGACCAGCTGCCATGTACAGACTAGGAACACAACAAGATGACTGATGTAACTGAGGCATATGTTTCGGCCAATGATTCGGTCAGAACTCGGAAGGTAGGCACACCGCGATCTGCTGGATAATCCACGTCACTCGGTCACTGACATGCGCAGTGATCTGAGGCCAATTCGAATTATCAAGTTTGACCACCGATGTCCTGGAAGTTCTGAACAACAATGCCACGTCGTTGCCTCATAAATTGCAGAGACAAGGCTCCTGCTGCATTTGCTCATGACAAAAGTCCAGGTCCGCACTCACGCTTGCGCGGTGGTATGTTGATTGATGCTAGCTATATCAATCCTTGGGCACGCTTTGGCTGGTAATCCTGACTATCCGACATATTCACTAATGCGCATCTTGAATCAAAGATCCATTGTCGATAATTGCCTATTCCGGCGGCTTGATAGGCCACTCTTTCTGTACACATGAACATCTTGCTCATCAATATTCGTCAAAGTCTTCTTTCCCCCATTTGTTGTACTTTTCGTGCAGTTTCTATTAATTAGATCAGCATTACTCCTTGCTTTGCAGAATGATGGCCGTTCTCACCCTCGGCAAATTCACGTTAGGCACAATGACCGAGTTCAGAGCGGAGGGAGCATCCTTGGTTCTGACTTCTTTGCCCGGACCAGCTCTAGTTTGATAACGGTATTTACCCGTACTGCCTTCAGCTCCATCCTCCCATGGCTTGGTACCTTCGATTTGAGTTGTTCTAGTCTGACCGGCGATGGCCGCCCAGAAATGAGGTTGGTAATAACCATAAGCTCCCACCGTGGCAGCTGTCAAGGCGAAGATCAACTGCCAGCGTATAGTCAGGACTAGTCGATTGGAAGAGAGAAGACATGCTGAATGCTTGACTCACATAGATCTCTGGATCTTTTCTGATTTCTCTCATCAATTTCTTGTGCTCTCCCGTAGGACGATTGCGAGGGTCGCGAGACAAGCTGCCTCCTTCACCAGCATTGATGCCTGATGCTCGGAGCGATCTAGTCGCGCGAAACATTTGCTGTTGTAATCTCCTCGACATGGTGATTTGTGCTGGACTTGGCTTGTTTCAAGATAACACACAAGAAATTCTGAACGCAGATTGAGGACGCATGGAATGTAGATGTAGACGAACCTGATCATATAGAGTACTTCAGGGTCACTATACCATCATGCTTACGATGTCCAGATGCACGTCTCATGCTTGGTTCATCCCTCGTTCAAGTCGATATTCCTAGAGTGTGAGGTGGTGAGCCTTTGCCCTACGTACTTATGCAGGAACGAGATCAATGACGTCGGGCGCTTGAACGAGAGCGAGATGGTCAGGAGTCACGACGTGGTCCCAACCTTGAGATTGGGTCGATGCCAACGGTTTAACATAAGTCCAAGAATGTCTTCTCGGAGACAACTCATCAGTAGTGCAATCGTACAGAGGTAGATGCGATCCTTCTGCTTCGGATATCGCGTTGCAAGTTGTGATGGACACCCTTGTCCGAGAAGATCTAGATTGCGTCTATCGGAAGGGCTTCCGCCTTGTACCCCTGGCTTTGTCACACCTCCATCACACGTGACTTCCAAGATCCTGTTGATGATTTTAGATACTGATCAGTCACCACAATCGTTTTTCGCTGCTTAGTACCCTCAAGCCTTCAGAATCGGGAAGACGACTTCCACTGTCTGCTGCATCTTCGTAGGCTGCGTACCACCATGCTCGGTCCACCAGGCCGTTAGATCATCGCTTCGTGCCCTTCTAAGATCATCCATATCTACTTTGCTGTAAGTACACTTCGTGTGTTTATGGCTTCTTGCGATGAACAAGAGCCTACGGTGAATTCCCTCGCTATAGAATGACACGATCATTGCCTGATCAAAGAAGTATCCGAGAGCGGGCTTGATGATCGTTTCTGATAATCACATTGTATCTCGAAGATACTGTACATACCCACAGCTACTCGCATCAGAGATCCTTGTATCTGTAGGGATAGGACACTATCTGAAGTCTTTCCATTCCGTACGTCCCAGCCGAATCACGTCTTGTTGATTCAATACCCTCACGCTCTCATCATTACTCTTCTCCGTCACATCCAACAACGCCCACACAGCAGCTCGTGCCACAACATCCGCATCCTGTGCCCAAGCATCCTTCAACATACCTCCGCTAATCTTGCCCAAGAAGGATGCCATGCTCCTACCCATGAATTCACCAGGTCGACTATCTTCTCTTATTCCCACCAGTAAGCCCGGCTTTAGTATAATCACATGCTCGAAGCCAATCTCTTTGACGGCTTCATCAAGCTCGCCTTTCATCTTCGCATATGGAATCCTCGAGTGGGAGATGCACCACTTGTCGAGATGAGCACATAAGTCTGTACGCCTGCAGCTCTTGCGCTTTGTGCCAGAGCTAGATTAAGGTCGTAGTCGATTTTCCGCTGCGCTGTAAAGCTGCCTGCGATTCTTGCCGTGGTACCTAGAGCTGAGAAGAACGCTGAAGTGTTCTGAGGGAATGTGGAAGGCCAGTCTGTTGAATTTTGAGACCCAATCGTTGTGAGCTTGGCATGCGCGGGCAGGTCTCTGCGAGAGAAGGCATGAATGCGATCAAATTGGGAACATTGCTTAAGGAGTGTAAGGATATGAGAGCCCTTCGGAATTGTTCTTCACATCAGTCCTGCTTCTTTGCAAAATTCGGCCTCCTCGTTGCACAAGATGACAAGCTAGGTGGAGTACTCACAACAAGGCCGGTACTCCCAGCTATACTTATGGCGGTCATTGAAGTGATTTCGACGCTGCGAGTACACTCAGATCGAAATTGCCAGTCTGAGTGGAATATAGCACTTGCGACGTCCTCACATGTCCATATATATTTGTCGGTCGGGGGCTTGAAAGCATTCAAAATCCGAAACTTTATTGTACTCCATCAAGGTTCCCAATGACGTAGGCGATTGAGCTCATGCAACAATTCAGTGACTGAGTGAACAATTAGCAAATGCCAATAGCAAGAACATGGTCCTCTAGACATATGCACTACTGAAGCAGACGACGTTTGTGAACACAAGGGGCGGTCGCCGTTTGCCCTCGAGCAGCCCTCATGCGTTCGATCGACGTCTGGACGCTTCGACGTGCTCAGCCTTGTCAACCTTTGCCTCGATAATACTTGACATCCCAGCGTCCCATGGAAGCTCCCTCGCAACGCGCACAACTTGCAAAGCATTGTCCGACCTCATGAAGAACTCATCCACATCTTCGAGTCCGCGTCCTTTTGTTTCAGGACAAAAGAAATACACAAAAAGGAATGCCGTGGCGCTGGTACACATGTAGCAAAGGTAGTCTGTTGTTAGTTAGTAATGATCGAGCTCTTTCCCAGATTGACTTACATTTCCAACCGATAGTTCTAAACCCAATAGGCGTGACTTCTGCGATCAAAAAGTTGAAAAGCCAGTTCGTTGCCGCTGACATGGCCGTGATCTTGTGCCGAATCCTGAGTGGCGCGATCTCTGCGGAATACATGAAAGGTATCAGAAACAGTCCAATGGGGAAGAACGCTAGAGCCATGAAGTCGAAGAGCAGTGTTGCACCAGCTACGCTTTTGCTGTCGTGGGAATATTTGATGAGTGCAGCCTGACCAGCCTGAGCAATAGTCATACCAGCAGCTCCGATCATCAGCAATTTACGACGTCCAAGTCGGTCGACCAAAAAGACAGCCAATGTTGCCATACAGAACTGCCAGATCTGCAGACATCCGGAGATGACGCGCGATGTTGTACCGTTGTAACCCAAGATCTGTTGGAAGATCTCATTCGAGTAGAAGGTGACTGGCGGTGTTAGTGGTGTGGTCAACTTGCATGGTATGTCAACATACTAATGTTGACGCCTGTCATCTGAGCGAACATGTTGACACCGAGTGCAATCAAAGTACGATTTAGATGGCGATTGGGTGTTCGTGCGAAAGGATTGCCAGAAGCTCCCACAAATTCTTGCGAGATTGAATTGCGAATGACTTCGACTTCTTGTCGAAGCAATGATGAATCTTGTGGCAACCCGTTAAGTCGAGAAAGCGAGTAGAGTGCAGCATCGTAGTTCTCCTTCTTGATGTACCATCGAGGCGATTCTGTCATTGTTTAGTTCCAAGATGGCTTCAGCATCTCAAGCTGAATTACGTACCTGGTAACATGAATATAAGCGAAGCAATACCAAGCGCAAACACTGCCTGGAAAGCGATTGGAAATCTCCAGTTGGCAGAGTCGTTCTTAAGGAAGAAGAAGCCGAAGTCAAGCCAGACCGCAAGCGCGACACCACCGATAGCAAACATGCCCTCGAGCATCACCATCTTGCCTCTATTGTGAGCATTTGAGCATTCGGTCACCCACATAGGAACAGTTGCTTTGGAACCGTCAGCGAAGCCACCAACGACGTTTTGTCTAACTCACCTGTAAAAGCTCCCACACCAAGACCTGTGACGATGCGTGCTGCAATGAGCTGTCCAAGACTGAAAGATGAAGCTTGAATTGTGACGCCGATTATGACGAAGCATGATGCGCCAAAGATGGTCTTCCGCCTGCCTAGAATGTCGCCGATGATGAAGCATGACAGAGCTCCTATCGCACAACCGACTTCATAAATTGCAACTGCTGTGCCCTGTATGAGTGATCGTTCGTGTGACTTGTTGTCTGAAGTATTGATTTGAGGAAAGGTCTTCTCCCACGTCGATAGACTCAACAGTCCATTAATCACTGCTTGATCGTAGCCCTGCAACAAAAAAGCGAGAGCGCCAACTGCTGCGACAAGCAAGTGCAATCTGGGGCCTTGAAGTTTGATGCCTGCCATGTTCGCGAAACCTTGAGGAACGATCAGAGAAAGCGGTATTCGATCTCGAGGCACTCACGAGGCACTTATTCCGAAGCAAAATTGCTTGTGACAGATGATGCTGGCTTTCTCCACCTCTTATGCGGCATCTGCTCATGAGTTTACGAGATTTCCCGCAAGAGGGGTATCTTACCATCGTGGGGATGATGTCGCACAAGTTTATTTCTTAGTAAGAGCTCCGGGAATAATGCTTGGTAGCGTGTGGCTAGCAGATCAGGCCACGAATCAAGCTCTCGGACAGCTTCCGAAACCCAAAAAAAGCTTAAAATAATGATCAAGCTTCTAATCAGAGGGGCGTTCGGGACGAAGAGCTCCCGAGATTGACGCTGGCGTTGAGGAAGTGCCTGTGTCGGTATGCAGATCGCTGGACTCGGGGTGAAAAATCTCATGTCGGACCTCACTGCTGCGCGAACCATATCCGGACGGCTTTACGGTACTCAAGTCCTTGGTCATTCTTCTCACACGAGTAACGAGGCCGACGCATCATTTGTTCTTGTTCTGACAGTCAATTGGATGCGGCCTTGACTGTGTTACCGGGACAATCGGATCTGGCCTGAGGCACTTTCGGGAATGCCACGTTTCCTGTATTCGGCGAGACCCGCGCGCGGTCAATCAAGAAGACATTGTTGCATATCTGCAAGCCAACTGCAGCTAGTGTTACGGAGATAGCGGGTAGGACAACGGAAGAGCAAAATCGTTGTCAGGACGGTCTTTGACAGCAACCTGCAGTCTTAGAATCACCGTTTGCGGGCCAACAGCAAAACACTACCCCATTCAACATCGACCAGTGTTTCTTCGGACCCAAACGCGGGGTCTGTGCTTGCAATTTCATCGAAGAGTTCGTCAACCACGTCTCCAGAGCCACCCCTGCTTCTTCCTTCCAGTGTTGGATGAGCCTCCCTCCAAGAATGATACGAACTCCAGGTGCGAATGTATTCCTTGCATTCGCCTACCTTGAATGACACGTCCATGAACTTGGTACCCTGACCATCATCTTTGCCGTTGGTTCCTGGTTCGTACTCGATTCTCTGGAGATCCTCCCAAGCGTCAGATGGAGGCTTCACGTCTCGCAGCAAGTTCTGGACGATGGAGCGGCCTGGTTGTTGCCAATAGGAACCCAGCAGATCGGGATGGTGGTCATAGGCATACTTGTCCATGATCGAAGATGCTTTGGGAGAGTTGACAAAGACGTGATCTTTATAGCCCCAGAAAGCCATGGTACCACCGCTCTTGACTGTGCGAGCAAGCTCTGCGAAGACTTTTGCATAGTCAAACCAATGAGCAGCCTGACCTGCAACCATCATATCGACAGAAGAGTCCGCGACGAATGGGAGACTTTCTGCAGATGCCTCACGAAAACTGACGTTCGGGTAATCTGCACTGGATGTCGAGGATTGTGCTTGTTCTATCATGCGACCAGACGGATCGGTTCCCGTGACTGTGTCAAAGTGTTTTGACATTGCTCGCGCAACCACGCCATGGCCACATCCAAGGTCAACGCACAATTGACGCTGTCCACCATGATATCGAAGCACTTCTTTATAGAGCGATTGAGGGTAGGACGGTCGGAATGTGGCATAAGATGCTGCCGAAAATGATGTTTTGCTGGATAGGTATGAGTGAAAAGAATATGACAAATTGCGCGTCACTCACGCGAATGTTGTCATGTTGACTGATACAAGGCGAGTCCTTTGTAATTACACGAGATGGTTCTGGATGTAATCAAGATAGACGGGTCCTGTAGGGTTATGCTTGCAAATGGTATGTCGTCATACTGTAGCAGCCAAGGTAGGAGACCCCCGATATCGCTCTCCCGGAAATAGCCAAATGGCCGCTCAGCCGGATCGCGCAACATTTCCGTCATGGAACCCCCTTGGAGTAGCAATGGACTATTCAGCCACCCGCGGTTAGGATTGTTCAAATCCGCAATCACGAAGCTGCTGACACTCAAGACTAGATCATGGGCCGCAGTGCGAGCAAGTCTTCAATTTCATAGCCTGGTGGTTTGCACCAGAAAACACGAAGAACAGATAGCATTGTAGATATATATGGAAGATTTCATGTCTGCTTCGCGAAATCACGCTCGGATCGTAAAGTCCAAGTACCTGATCATGTCGTACGTGGGTACGAGATGAACATTTGATTGAAGTCATTCCTTACAGCCCACGACTGATTCTGCGTGTTGTACGTCAAATTAGTCATCTGCACCTGTCCAGACTTGATATAACCGCTCTCAACTTGGCCTCCAGCCACTGGGCGCTGGAGTTTGTTGGCACCGTTGACAACAGTAAAGTTAGCCAAGCTGATCTCCAAGGGATTGCGTGTGGCGACCGTCGGCATGCCAAAGTAGGAGGCATGCACGGCATCATACCCGACCTGCAGCTCGAAGTATCCTCTGTAGTAGCCTTCGTTCCACTGTAACTCGCTATTGTCCCGAACCAGTGAGGAAGACTGGTTGTTAGCGGAGCGAATGGTCCCTCCGAACCCAGAAGATGTGACTGCTGTGCCGGCAAATTCTACGCCTACTGCACCTTGGCCCGTAGCAGAATCATAGGGATGCTCCTCCAACCAGACCAAGTCCGAAACCCAGTTTGCGTGAGAGTCACCCGCGAGCATAATGTTATTCCCAATGTCGTGGTCGTAAAGTGTTTGGAAAGTTCTGTTACGATTCGATTGGTAACCATCCCATTGGTCTTCCTTGTAGGGATTCTCAAAGGTGCCGAACCATGATGAGATGTTGACACGACTAAAGACAATCTGGTTGCCAATGATACGCCAGGCAGCGCCGCGTTTCTTGCTGGAAATCAGAGTCTTGTAGAACCAGTTCTCCTGCTGCGAGCCCATGAGTGAGCGTCCAGCGTCGTTGTGGATCTCGTATATATAGTCTGTGTTGTAGTCTGGGCCGTGTCAGAAGTGTTTCTCTGCAAATGGCGATGCGTGGGTACTTACTCAGGTCGGTGATTGAGCGATCGTAGTTGCGAGTGTCTAGCATGGTCAGGTCAAGAAGCGTACCCATCTGGAAGTTTCTCCAGATGCGAAGGTTGTCGTCCATGTTGACTTGGCGGATGGGCATCCACTCGAAGTAAGCACGTACGGCATTCATCTTGCGTTGATCGACACTAACACCACCGGAACGAATGAAAGAATCCTCGGTGTTGTTCATGGCACTGAACCCATCGCGGTACCCGTTGTTAGCGACCTCGTGATCGTCCCATGTTGCGATCCAGGCAAAGTTCTGGTGAGATAGCTGCAAGTCATTGTCGGTCCTGTACTGTGCGATCCTGGTTCTGTAATCATAGAGTGTGAGTAGGGCACGACTAGGATTGGTCGCTCGAGCGTCACGGCCTTGCACACCGACGCTTGACTCGTAAATATAATCTCCCAAATGGACAACGTAATCGACACGATCTTTGCGAGCAGCATTACCGTAGGCGTTGAAGTAACCATTCGGATAGTTCGAGCACGAGTACACAGCAAGCCCGATCTTATCGATCTTCTGGTGGGCTGACGGAGACGTCTTGGTGCGACCGATAGGAGATTGATTAGTTGTACCGCATTGAGTAAATTGATAGTGATAGGTGGTGAATGGCTGCAGCTTGCGTGCCTCGACCTAAAATGGCGTCAAATAGGCCTCGCACAGATCTGGGGTTTTATCTTACCTTGACGGTGAAGTCGATATCAGACGTGGTATAAGCTGTACCTTGGTCCACTACGCGAGTGATGTTTGCGTCGCTAGCAATGCGCCATTGTGTGCAGACCCTGTGCTTCGAGGCGCGAACGTACGCTTCAGTCTCGTGGTTGTAGAGCTCAGCAGTACCAGACACGGTCACGTTGGAACGATCGCTGACAAGAGTAGGGGCAAGCCTAGTCCACAAAATAACCGAATCAGGGTACGGGTCACCAGAGGCTACACCATGGGTGAAGTTGAGTTGGCTGTTCGTGAAGTTTGCCGTCTGCCTGGCAAGGATTCCAGTGCGTTCCTGAATCTTGGCCAAGTCGAGGCCTAGGTCTTGGTGTTGTAACGAAGGGCTGTTGAAGTTGATATTGCCGTCCCAGGAAGCGGTGACTGCAAGCGCCAGAAGAGGCACAGCACAAAGAGACGCAAACATTGTGACTTGCAATCAAGTTGTCAGGATTTGTACCGGAATTCGATTTCATCAGCATGGCGACACCCACACCTTATATTATTCAACCTCTAGATCCCATAGCAATTGCTCTATCGACCCTTCCTGGATAGACCTCGCAAAAAGACTCAGAGTGGCCGCCCCGGAGAGCCGTCAGTCGATGAACAACGGCCCAATCGCACGCGAGATGTTCGAAGCATGCCTCGCAACGATGTTACGAAGACACGATCATCTTTCAGGGTGCAAAGGTCGTGTCAGATGCACTGAATGTAATTGGACATGGAAGACAGACTTTTGAAGGATGGCGGCAGGAGATGCATGTAAACCTGCAGATGGCCCTGGGTATTCGTGCTGGGCAATGCTTGGCTAGAGTTGTCGGCCGCTCCCTGGCATCATGTAGCATGCATGTAGAGCTTCGGCTTGATTAGATATGTCCGAGCATAAGCATCATGGGTGGACGGGCACTGAGCTTGGATGCCGATGCTGTGCGACTCCCCCTCCGAGTCGAAGAAACGAGTGGTTTGTGCACGTAATGTACAGATTCGCTTGGCGTGGTCGGAGAAGCCGTTGGCCAAGCACCGAGCACCATTGCCCAAAAAGAGTTAGAGCGAGCGCCACCCATGTCGACGGTTCACCCTGATCCGAAAGGCGATGTGAGAACGATCACCACGCGAACTCATTTGCTGCTGGTTCGCCTAGAAAACATCGCACTTCTGGCGTCCGGACAGAGGATAATATCTGATTAGCTCATCGGTCTTGTAGTTGTGGTATGACTCTAGGAAGGTTGTCGTTGCCATCAGCGAATGCGAGGTGAAGCACGTTCTCGAAACTCTCTTTTGCTGCAAGCCGTGGCGCGTCGAGGGGAACAGAGTTTATGGGAGGATCATTTGGCAACAATAAATCTCGTGGCGTCCCCTGCGAGGTACGGAGGAACCTGCACATTCTCGCAACTGTGCCCTCCTTCGCTGACATGTCTGCCAAATCACAACTGATGTGGATCACCGACGTGGGTGATCCGCGCGCAAAGAGAGATGCCTCCACGCGCTCCTTGATCAAGAAGCATGTCATGAAAGACATAGGCAAATCCCGTCGTAGACCTCAAAGACGTGATTTGTCCATACGGAAACACGTTCTCTCGAGCGGTGCCGAGCCTGGTCGTTACACGTTCAAAGAGGTCAAAGATGACTCGGCGAGTTCCTCGCCCAGCGATGAAGACATCGGCAGAGTCGTCGATGTTTTACACTATCCTTTGCACAGCGACGCGACTAGACCGTCTCTGTTCAGCCGAAGTATTGCTAACATGCCCCAAACTTGCGGCACTTTCTTGCTGACAGCCTCTGTCCAGTGCGTCAGCATCCCTCGTTTGTTAATCAGGATTGCAACTTTCATGCTGAGATGTGGTGGGATCTGAGTCTGTTGGATCCCGCAGCCAAAAGTCAGATCGACTCGATGCTGGCTACCAAGTATGGATTTCTGATGTTGGAGCCTGGCATTCCCTTCGACCTCGATGGTCCGACTACGACGACCCTTCGCCTCGAAGCATTGCGGGCAACTCAAAGAGCTATCGAAGATCCTAGTAGATGCTATAGTATCGGCGTGATCACAGCTATTACAGCGAGTGTCTTTGAAGCAGTAAGTGGTCATGTCGTTCTTGCACTTCGCGAGTCCCAGCTGATATGGAGTCAGCACACACGAGGTGATGATGTGCAGGCTTTTTTACATCTTTGTGGGCTTCGCACTCTCCTCAATCATCGTCAAGGTGGACTGTCCTCTCTCCGAGCATATCCCAAATTATGGATAATGATTTCGATGTGAGTATGAGCCCTGCTTGTCAACATATGAGGCCGATGATTGATCAGCAACGCTTGTATCAGATGTGAGATTATCTGCGCAACCACTTGGGGCACTGTTCCGGAGCTCCCATTTCCAATGGACTACTTCCAAGAGCCTTTTCTCCGTCCTACTCGTCCTCCTTCTGAGTTCTCGAGTATGGTGGCTACAGCTTGGAGGTCCAAACAGCGCCAGACCAACATCACGACCAGAACTTACGACCACATGTCACACTATCCTAAACTTCTGAACAACGAAAGCTCGGAGGCCTATTCACTGCATCCAAGAACAATGATCACGATTTTCACGGGATTCAAGAAGTGGTTAAGCCTGCCTTGTGCATCCTTGGTGGAGAGCCAGGATCTGAGACTGAACTGCCTGCGGACTGTGGACAATCTTCTGGCTACCTCGTCAGCTTACGAAGACAAATGGTCATGTCAAACTTCGAGTACCAGAAGCTTGCCCTGGTCGGGGCAAGATGTGCTCAAGCTTATCATCCTTGTCGTCCGTTGTGGGAACGAGATGCACCCAATACTGAATTCAAAGCTCCCGAGTACCGAGGCAAATGTCGCTTGATTAGGGCGTAAGATACGCAAGAATTTTACCATTCAGTGACCTAGTGCTTTACACTTCGAAGATATGCGAATGCTCGGTGTGGGTGTTGGCCACGCTACCTATCATCAGGGTGGCCAATGGCCTCAGAGCTCCCAATTCACAGCCGACAACGGTCTCTCCTTCACGCTGCCACTCAATCGCCGTCCATCAATCTCAGTCTGGACGTTCGTATCAGACGCAGTACATCTCATCTTTTCCCGCAGCTCTGTACTGACGGCTGACTTCCGCAAAACACTCGACAACCGAGTCCGGGAGCGCAGCGCCCTCACATGCTGCCAAGTTCTGCTCCATCTGCGCTTCACTTGACGCGCCGAGGATGATACCGTCCGCTTCACCCAACGAAGAATGGTGCATCAGCCATCGAAGTGCTGCTTCACGCACAGTGACACCAGCCTTGTCGCAGGTATCTGTCAGTCTCTGCAACAACTCCAAAGACATGTCGTTGACGTAAATGGTTTGGAATACTTTCATCTGGTCCATGCGACCGCCTGCGGGAGGCATACGAAGCTGTTCCATTGGGCGCGAGAAGAAGCCTCCGCCAAGTGGACTATAAGCATAAAACGCTATGCCGTAGCCTCGCAAGACAGGCAGTAGTGCTGGCTCCATAGCACGAAGAAGAGGGTTGTACACGCCCTGGTATACCGAAGGGCTGACCCAACTATTCTTGTGGCAGATGTCCACTATCTGATGAACCTCGTCTGCGCGAAAGTTGCTGATACCAAAGCGATCAAATTTGCCCTCGGAATGGAGCTGGTTCATAGCTCGGCATGACTCGTCCAGTGGTGTTTGACGATCCGGACCATGGAAGTAGTACAGATCGAATTTTTGTTGCTTTGTCGCAGCGAGCGAGTCGTTACAAGCCCGGATGATGTTGTCGTAGGACAGCGATCCCGGCACAAATCCAGGCGCCTTTGTCGCCACGGTCAGGTTACAGGCTTCCACGGTTTCTCTGGTTGCACCAAGATGCTGCTCGCTCTGTCCATTGTTGTACACTCGAGCTGTGTCGAGCTCACGAATACCGTGTCTGCCAAGCAAAGTCAAGATGGCACGCAGCTGCTCTGGTTGGGACATGTGAACAGATCCAGAAGCCACAGAAGAGCCCATAAGGCCAGCAATCACTTTGACCATGGTGTCGATGTTGCGATGGGCTGAAAAGGACTGGTGAACTACGGACCTTTTAGCGCGACATCGATTCTGTGACTGTTGCTGTAGCTACCACCGAGTTTAGCCTGTCAACAGAGGCACCGGCCGAGATATAGCTTGGCGTGGCTGTGCTCTCCCAAGTCATCACATGTGCTCATGTGCTAGCGTTCATGACTCTAGATTTTCCTCCAAACACCACCCATGGAGGTGTAGAGCATAAATATACTTGGTAAAATGCACGATTCTTTCCAGAGGACATACGTCTCAAAGAGATCTGGCGTAATGTTGGTGCTTGATGAATCCTACTTTCTTTCTCGATGTTACTGTGAGTTCCTATGGCTACTCGTGTTACATTCCATCGCACACAGTTAGGTAGAACCAAGATCGGATCTAGAGGTTGACGTTACTGTGACTCAGAGACTGACATATCCACCACGGCCGCATCGGGTAATGTGTACTTGAATAGACATTGAAGGATAAAATGCACTTGAAGACATAAGTCAAGGGAATAAGGAGATTCAGCAAGATATAAGTTATATCAGAAGCAGCCTCATCATACTCATATCATACATCGCATCAAAGCTATACAATCTTTGTTCTTCCTGCGCAACAACGCACATCCATACATCTTCATCAGAGCGTACAATCCGGATCCCATCAAATCCTCAAAGTCTCATCAATCGCTCGATTCAACTCTAGGGCACCGACTTGCCAGCGTTCTCAAGAGTCTTCTCCTCGTAAGCACCAACTTGTGCACCGAGGTTCGCAGCATCAGAGGTTAGCTGGCCGTCAAGAGTATCGCCATTATCCTTCTCAATATCAGCAAGATCGTTCTGGTGAAGGGCTGAGAGAACATTGGCAGCTCCATTGGCAATCTTGTCGCCCTGACGCTTGACTCTGGGAATGGCTTTGCCGACACCCTCAAGTGTCGATTCTTCGGCAGTGCCGATTTGAGCACCAGCATCGGCGGCGGCTGAGGTGAGTTCACCATCGGCATTGTCTCCGACGTTCTTCTCGATGTCAGCCACAGGACCTAGCTTGGCAGCGGTGAGGACGTTGGCGAGTCCGTTGGCGATCTTGTCGCCTTGACGTTTGACCTTGGGTCCCTTGGGTGGTGGGGGTGCGGCACCTCCACTTCCTCCAGAGGTAGTAGTGGTGCTGGATGCAGTTCCGCCGAGAAGGGCAGCGGTGTTGTCTTCGGCATTCTCGACGCCATAGCCTACACCGTTGTCGGTGCTGCTGAGGACAGAGTTGCATGCAGCGCCCTCGCCAGCCAACTGACGGCGGCTTACTTTGTTAATGGCGTCTGCAGTGTTGTCTGTGAGAAGTAGGTTAGCTCAGTATATCAAGCCGGCTTGCAAGCCACGTACCCAAGGCATTTTCAACGCCATAGCCCACACCGTTATCGGTGCTGCTGAGAACAGAGTCGCAAGCAGCGCCCTCTCCAGCAAGCTGAGGGATGGGCGCTGCGACGGCAGTGAAGGCCTGGAAGGCGGCCAAGAAGAGGAGAGACTTGGTGATGGAAGGCATCTCGAATCAAATCACCGGGTGAAGGCGAGAGATGAGACTTTGAGAATGAGAGGGATGGATGTTGTCTTTGATGATGGTGCTTTGTGTGCTGGATGAGTATGATATTCTCGAGGGCGCGACTGACATTTATATCAGTCAGGCACAGAGAGTCCTGAACCCCATCCAGTCCGTATGCTCAGGCCAAGCTGCGGTATAGCATCATACTTGCTCCTACAGAAATATCATTCACGGGAAGTCTTGTAGGACGCTCCAGTGTGTTGACCATTTCTGGAGCGCGACGCTGCAGATCCAAGTACAATTTGGCTTTTGAGGCTTTCGAGGCTTTTTCATACTTCTCAGGAGGCCGGCCGAGAGTCTATCCCGAGGACGCCGCGGAGGACCATAGGCCCTGGGCATACTGTACGTGTGCCTGTGTGGGAAGAGACGGCTGACTCGCCATCATCGTATCTCAACAGAGTTACAGTAAACTCGAAAGTCTGCCGGCGGTGTTCGCCAGGACCTGCTGCATCAGACATCCGCATGGGATCCCCAATTCACCAGGCCACATGGTATTTGCTGATCAGCGTTATCGCAGCCGTCGCTTGCCGATGAGCTCTATAGAGCAGCATTTGCAAACACACCTGATCCCGAGGGACATAAGTGAGGAGTGGCAGTCGTGATGATGCGCAATTGGCACTGACGGCGTCTCGCTCTGTTGGGTTTGGCTTCATCGCGCACATACTGACATGCCTCGTCATTCGCCGCAGTTTTTACAATGTATACGATGGAGTGAGTCCTGATAACTTGTGGTGCGTATCGCAAGGTGAGATGAAGTCAGTGGCAGGCTCAGGTTGTTGAGCTGATGCAGCTGAACAACGTCAGCATGCAGGCTAGCCTCGAACGAAGGGGTGGAAGGGGTTCAATTTCTCCGCCGGATAGCGGGGTCTGACATGGGTCTGAACCGCCAAGGAAGCTTATACGAGAGTCAAGACATTGGTTGGTCCAGTCAAGCACAACCAAGCAAGTGCAAGATTTAGGGTTGGATCGAGGCGTCTGGATCTGGCTCGAGAGCCGCTATCTCGCACTGCGGTGCAAGAGAGTAATGCTCCTTCACAGCGCCTAACTTTTCCGCGCGGGTCGACAGGCCCAAAGCATCCAATGCACGTCGGCTCCTTTTCATAGTCTTGCTCGGCGTGCATCACTCCAGAATCTGACGTGCACTTCCATGGCCCTGGTTTGTTTGCTTTCTTCGCAATGACTGCGTACAGAAACGCGGACGGATCAGCGTCATATGCATGATAGAAGTGACAGAACGCCATCGCGTCATCACACAATTTACACCTAGGTGAGATAGCATCGAATGGTCTTTAAGCTCATGATGTACTGATCAGTATGACTTGCTTATCACAATACATATCTACAACTGGTCCTGCCACTTGTATGCTGGCTTGAAGCCGATCTCCTTCTTAGCCTTCTCAATAGAAAGCAGGGTATCGTTGGACCCTGAAGTAGCATTGTACTTGACGCCAGGGAAGGCCTTCTTGACAAGCTCGTCATTCGATTGTCTCATGCAGGTGTCCTCAGCAGCAATGAGGTACTGGTGATGACCTTTGGTCTTGCTGTCCAACGACTTGGAAACAGCCTGGCCACCATCTCTTGCGTCAATGTAACCCCAGCAGTTCCAGTAACGCTTCATCGGGTCATCCTGCCATGCCTCGAAAGTCTTGTACTCCTCCGGCAGCATGACGTTGCTGAATCTGAGCGAGATGATCTTGACTTCGGGGTCCCATCTTGCGTATTGCTCGGCCATGGTCTCGCCCATCAACTTGGACAGCGAATATGCTGACTCGGGTCTTCTTTCATGCTCTTCTGTGATGGGCAGCGACTCTGGCATATGAGGGTCGAAGGGAATACCAATCAGTGTTTCCGATGACGCAAGCACGACGTTCTTGATCTTGAGCTTGCGGCAGGCTTCGAGGACGTTATACGTGCTCATGGTGTTGGTGCGGAATTGTCTCGAGCTGTTGGTTTGTCCGGGAGAGGGGATGGCGGCCAAGTGGACGACGGCGTCGATACCGCTGTATGCCATGTCCTAAGTTTTGTCAGTCGGTTGGATCGCGACACGCGGGATGGTCAACTCACAGTCGTCAGGAATGTCTCCAAGACAGCACCCATATCCTCCAAGTCGATCTCGACCAGGCGGTAGGCGCCACCGAGACCCGACTTGCCATCCTCGCTGATACCAGGAGGGCGACGAGTATCGACTGAGATGACCTCCCAGCCCTCGTCGGCAAGGTATCTGACTGTTGAACGACCGAGCTTGCCACTACCACCTGTGACGATGACTCTGCGCTTGTTCTCGCCTCTCTTTGCTTCGCCGAGGGCGAGCTTGTCGGTGAATGATGCTTGAGGACTCATGATGAAGTTCAGGTTGATTGCGATGTCGCGACGAGCAAACGATGCGCCAGTCTCTCACCATATAAGTCTCTCAGGAAAACTCATCAGCGGCAAGAAGACCGATGCTTATGTCATTAACGCTTTTCTCAATCCCCAGCCGCTCTGCGGTTTCGGTAGATGGACTCGGTGTAGCTTCCAGCGACCCAATCATGTCGCAACAGTGGCATTCGTTGTGTGGGGGCCTCCTCCGCCGCCCGCATGTATGACCCGCATCTCCACAAATTTCTCTTTATCCGGTGATCGCTTGGCTCTAGCTTGACAAGATACGCGGGTCGGTGGGTCTATTATTCTGCACTTCGAAAAGCGTCGCTGGTGTCTATCCTTAAAGGGTTTGATAAACCGCCTGTCCACGCTGATGCCTGCAGACGCTATGAATCGAAAACATCGTGTTGCGGAGATATGGACAATCAGACACAGGATCGAAGACCAAGCAAGAGTTATACCAAAGAGCTATGCACAGACCACTTCAGCTTGGTGTCGTTATCACCCTGTATCCTTGTGTTCGTGTTTGTCGTCGTCAACAGTTTGATCCTATGAAGAGATTGAAAGCAGTAAGCGATGCCTACAACATCGGAACGTGATCTGCATCTTACACAAACGCGTCAAACGCGTGGGAGGGTTAACGAGCATGAAGTTCGATATTCGCGGATGGTTTCTAAATTCTCAACACGATTTGTTTGTTTTGACACTGTGCTCCGTATGATTGACTCTATCCATGTGTTTGTCTTTCTATCTTACAATACTCTGCCTCTAAGCACGCCGTCTCTTGGCTTAAGAGCACATCATATGGAAGAAGGTGACAATCCTCGCAGAAGGCCCAGTCCCGACCTCGCTGCTAGCAATTGACACAAGTCTGGTAGAACGCCAAAATTCTTGGGTCGTCATGATTGGGCCGTCATGATTAGATTGTCATGATCACCACCAAGCACACATCACTTTACCTCCGAAGATCATGATCCCGCGGACACCGAGAACCCCGATGATCTGGGCGACCCCAACAACTCTAGAACTCCTTGTACAAAGCAGTCGGCTGTCATGGAACGCATCGTCATCAAGATCGATCTGTCCAGGTCTCTCGTTTCGACTGTATACTGACATTGAGCGTGCCCGTAGGCTGGATCGCTCGACACTCGATTGCATACGTCGATCCAGACGAAAACGTGGCATCTTTAGCCAGCCTTAGGCTTTCCAGGCTCAGTTGAGCCTCCTTCCGAACGTGTCAAATACGCGAATGAAGATGCGCTGCAGGTCTATGTTTCGAACTCTCGTCAGCATACGTACGAAGCGGTGCGCTATGTTTTTGAGACTCGACGTTGATCTACACTTATCTTTCCTTCTGGAGCATGCCGACGAGCAGCGCGCGTGCCGTGGACCGAGTACGAGATACCAGAACGCTGACATGATCGATCCCTTCTCGAACTGTTTCTCCCACAACATCACAATCAGTCATCTTATGAGCACGACATCTGCTTGAGATCCAGACTGACAATCAACTCTGCGAGTTATTGTGCTTGCCCACGGTCGGCATTTTGGTTTCTCAAACCACAACTTCAACGCTGTCTGGTCTCGGCATATTGCCACGTTTAGCCCGGCTGAAATTGTTTAACCCGTTATCAACGTCCTCTAGTCTTTCGGTGATGTGGTCTCACCCAACCTGCTTTCGTCAGCAATATTCAATGCTTTCTTCAGAAACAGCACCGGAATTCTTGGTAGGATCTTGTGTCCGATGTGCAATAGGTAGGGCATCTAAGGCGGTCGCATCTAGTGGTTTGCGTTTATCTATTGCGCCAGCAAATGTACTGGTCGCTGTTATATATGTCTCTGACAGTCCATGCCAGGTCGAACGACCGCGACATGTCGGTAATCCAATAGTCGCGCGCTCCCAATTCGTCGTCTTTGTCTCAAATCCTTCGCAAACTCTTCCCCTTGCACCGCCAAAATCCATCTACCACGAAGCACTTCCTCGGCTCTTTGGTCGAGACGTTGCTCTGTTTGGCTTTTCCCATCGCTTGCTGACCGGATTTGAAACTTCTTCGTCTGTTCCCTGTTAAGTTCTGGGTGTGGGACACAAACGACATCAGGCTCTCTGAAATCTCGTCTGCGGCTGCCTGACATCAGCAAAATCATTGAATGCTTCGCTTGGTAGGATCAGTATACGCGAACGTGGCTCAAGCCACATACATACCCTTGTCGTTCTTGGACCAGGTTCTGGGAAACCGTCCGGGGTCGTACCAAACACATATAGCTGGGCCCAGACACCTCGCACCTGAACCTGTCATATCGCTTCTTTCCTGTCCTTACAATCGAACCTTTGAAGATATCTACAACACTCCTTTGCTTTAACTACAAATCACCGGTACTGGTCTGAACATAAACTCGGTCTCACTTACATCTTTGATGTCCAACACAGTCACTGCCCAGTATCATGGATAGGCTGCACGGTATGCTACCGTGTCGCGAAGTCTCGATCCACAGCAAGGAGTACCTGGAAGAAGACATATCGTCGACGATCCTAGGTGCCACTGGCTTCTTCTGTTTCCTCTCACTCATCGTTGTAGCCCTACGATTGTATGCACGTGCTTTCATCGTGCGGCGCTTGGGTTGGGAGGATCTTCTGATTCTCATCACCGCCTTCTTCGTGCTGGGTTGTTGGATCTGCTTCATTGGCGAGTCCAAGACTGGAGTTCTTGGTCGGCACATGGCCTCTGTGACGATACCGCAATTCGAGCTCTTCTTATTGTGGACATTCCCGCATCAACTCTTTCTCATGCTCGGTGTCGGCACATTCAAATGCAGCGTTGGTTTCTTTCTTATCCGAGTCGGGCGTAGTCGGTGGCAGCGGCGGGCTTTGTACGGGTTGATGGGTGAGTCGGAGTCGTATTGAAGCGGTCTATGATCAGTGTTGACTGACCGATGCAGTGTTCATGGCCGTGTGTTCTCTAGTTTACGCCTCAACTCTTTTCTGGTCCTGCATTCCCCTTCGAGCGAATTGGCATTTCGACGAACAAAAAGATGCAAAGATGATCTCGACCAGAGTCTGGAAGGGTCTCGCTTTCTGGAACAGCCTGATGAACATGCTGACGGACGGTATTCTCGCGCTATGGCCCATGCCGATTGTACTGAGGATGAAGGTCTCCACCTTCAAGAAGGTCTCTCTCGGTGTCGCTTTGAGTCTAGGTTGGTTGGCAGTCGTTTGTGGAGCTATCAAGACATGGGCCATGTGGGACTACTTCACCGCCGAGGACAAATACTTCAAGGATACGTACTTCTTCTGGAGCTTCCTCGAGATCAGCGTAGGATCTATTGCGGCATCGGTCCCTCTCTTGCAACCTCTTGTCTACAGAATCCGTCGCTCTTCGTCATCGAAGAGTGACAGCGGAAGGGTTGTCTTGGTGGCATTACCAGCCACTACACCAGCGCAACCGGCCCGCGCGCTTGTCCGTCGGCCGGTCATCACATGGACGGGCATGGGTTTTACTTCGTATCAAGGGGAAGATGATGATTCCAAATGGGACAGTCCAGGGCAGAGTGGTTCGAGTACGCGGATGGACATGGAGCGGTCGGACAGCGGGACGATGTTTGTAGGATACGAGGGTTCGAAAGCGTTCGTTTCTAGAGCGACTGTATAGATGAGCGATATATAACGACTGAAATGACCAAAAGTATTCGTGACGCGCTGCGAGGCGGACAAGCCCGGCGCGTGCGACTGAAGTGACGGATGCGCTTGGCCATGACAATGTCTATTGCCGATGTTCGTCTTCTGCAGCCAGACCGCAAGTCGTGTCATCCTGCAGGCCCGATCACGTTGGCCAGTACCCCATTATGAGTGGTGGTCAGGCTTCGAGTTGTAGTTCCCGACTGCGACCGAGGAGCAACAAGAGACCCATCGCCGCATGCCGACGTTTCTCCGCGTCCTCGTCCAACAGATCCGTAGATACCGGTACTCAATCTTCTCAGTCATAGAGCAACGAGACTCGGTCACCTCTGTGACAAGACTAGTCGCTCGCTGCCGCTATCTCGAAATCCGACGTCCTTCTCAGTTCTCATGTCGACATTGCCTAGCCACACTACACGCTCAACTTGACATCCGGTCCGACGCGTTTCCATGGCTGTACTTGAGCAAGTCTAAATCATTTGGACGATACTGTCACGTCACAGCTCAATACCCAGAACCAAGATGGGCCGTAGAAGAGGAGGTTAACATGCATACTGGGCACATTGCGGAGCTATCATCTCTGCTTGAGCCGCCAGGCAAATATGTCTTCGACAGGCGGGTCAATAATATGCCTCGGTCAACGGATGTTACGAGACTATATTTGGGAGTCTGACGGCCGCGCGCTCGTCGCTATACGGCTTGACTCACAGACAACGGGTTGGGTTCTGCTCAGAAGAAGACTCTCAGACCCCCGCTTTCCTGCAATCGGATGGTCACGGCATACACATAGATCCGAACGAGAGGTAGAGTGGATAATCATGAATTCGTTAAGATACATCATTGCAACATCTCAAGACATGGACAGTCAACAACGTCAGACCTTAACGTTTAACCTTGCATCTCGATACCACCGGTACCGTGGATGCACTCGCCAGTGAAGTACGAGCCAAGAGGCGAGGCCAGTTGAATGTAGGCAGTGGCGATCTCAATGGGCATACCAGTTCTGTCCATGGGAGCCATGCCCTTGCCGACGTTCTTCATGCCCTCGGCAGGTACATTGGCAGTGGCGGGTTGGAGAGGAGTCCAGCTATGATTGTGTTAGGGAATAATCTGGTAGTGGGTGGTGGAATGGCTTACATGATTCCGGGTGCAACAGCGTTGATTCTGATGCCTCTAGGTGCCTGCTGCTTTGCGAGTGCGCGGGTGAAGGTGACAATGGCGCCTTTGGTGGAGCTGTAGTCGACCTTTGTAGCGTCACCCATGTATGCGAGGACGGACGCCGAGTTGACAATGTTGTCGCCACGCTTCATGTGCTGGAGAGCGTACTTGCTCATGGCCATCATCTGTGGTGGAGGTGGTCAGCATTTATATCGAGCAAGACGAGTTCGTGTTTCCAATAACGTACCTGGATGATGTTGGTCTGGAAAGTCTTGGTGACGACTGAGATGTCAATCTCTCTGTGGTCCTCGCAAGACTCTTGCATGGACGCGTTGTTGACAAGAACATTGAGCTTGCCGAAGACCTTGATGTGCTCCTCGATGGCAGCCTTGCAGTTGGCCTCCTCCTTGAGGTCGTATGCCATACCGTGACCCTTGCGGCCAGCCTTCTCAATCTGCTTGATGGTCCACTTTGCGTCCTCCTCTTCCTCGGGCAGGTACAGAATTGAGACATCGGCACCTTCTCTTGCCATGAGGATAGCAACCGAACGACCAATACCGCTGTCACCGCCGGTGATCAAGACAGCCTTATCCTGGAGAAGACCTCTGCCTTCATACTCCTTGAGATAAGGCTTGCCGTTGTCGTCCCAGAACTCGAGCTGTGTCCAGTTGGCCTGCTCCTTCATATCCTTGTCAAGACCGGGACCGCCCTGCTGGTCTTGGGCGGAAATTTGCCATGTGTAGGCGGTAACGGGACCTTCTTGCTCAGACATTATGATTTTTGTGTGTTTGGAAAAAGTTGCAAAGTGTGTATAAAGAAGGAAAAGCTGAAGAAACAAGAGAGAGGGGCATAGTCAAAGTACAGCGAGAGTGGATACTTCGCATACATGAGCTCACAGAGCTGGTAATGCATGACATCACAGTTCAGTGTTGAGGCTCAATCCTCGCCGCGGGGCATGAGAGTAATTTTAGCCGGGATCAGCTTCGATCGAACTTCGATCGTCCTTGAGCCTCCTGTTGGCAACATCCTCGCAGCCACACCCCTTGACTTTTCTTGTCTGTGATGGTACTCGTGATGATCTGGTTCGCAGAGATAGTCCCATGGACGAGGAGGCAAACTCGATCATCCGCCACGCGGATCCCACCACAGTGCGATCACTGAACGTGACTGGAGGCCAGTGGAAGACTCTTGATCACTCGTCAGACAGCAGACTGACATTGCAGCGGCTGTTTGAAACACCTGTATACTCGATTAGCTCTACAAACATGGGTAGCGACCTGGGCGAAGCTCTTCCGACAAAAGCTTTGGCTTGTTTTTGGTGTTCGCGTCAACACGATTGAGTACTGCCACTTGAGATCTACGCTTCTACTTTCTCCAAACCTGCCCGTGTGCAGTGTTTATTGACTCGACAGCCATAGTCCAGGAAGGCTAAGACCTCGTGTCTATGCCTTTGGTCAAAATCCCATACACCAACATATTTCTGATTGAAGGTTCACTGCCATTGGACAGAAAGCACCGGAAATTGCTGACGACGACACACAAGCTAGGTATTGCAATCTGTTGAGAGGGTTTCCTGGTTGGTAAATCCTCAAAGGTACCATCTTCAGAAACGAGACTGCTCAGACCCTCATATATTCAGCGCTCGATTGCGTGGGGTTGTTCTGACGATCCCGGAGAGGTTGCCGGGACACACCTAGACCACCAGGATCATGCACCGATCCTATAAGCGTCGATCTTGTATACCGAGTCCTCGATGTCCATCCCAATGCGAACATAGGAACGTTTTTGACGGTCCTCGAAACGAAACCGAGGTCGAGCTGATCTTGCGACCGTTGAGGCTCTGCGTCAGTCTCACTCATCGGCGCGCCCGACAAAAGGTCCACTACGGCTGGACGTCGTTGCACCGACATGATAATCATTTCAGCTCAAATCAGCCGCCGAAAGTTCTTTTTCCATCATCACATTCGGTCGTTTGAACGCCTTCATCGGACTGCTGTCTTGTTTGCAGCGCTCTTGCAGACATTGCCATCAGAGAGAGCGCAGGATATACTTCTCGGTCCGGATCAGCGTCGTCCGATCGCGGACTGACGGTAGAGGCAGCAGGACATGAATCAGGTCCTCCTTGGTACCTCGTCCTCTGCTGAACTCACTCGCAAAACCAAGCCACTTGCTGGAGAACAAGCCGACGGCTCATAAGCCAAAAATCTACCGCACGCTGTGGCTGCGTTTCAATGTTCCAACGGTCTGCTCTGGCCGCTCAGCTAGCGACTCATGACTTGACTTCCAACCAAGTTATTGGATCTAGAAATGTCTGGCATGTCATTGCGACGACAGATCAGGCAAAGACTGCCCGTTCAGTCTCAAAGCAAGTCGCAATCTCCAATATACTGCCCATTGAGATACGGATAGACGAGCTGTCAACCAGCCGTGTCTCTCCATCGTCGCTTTAGTTTTTGGATTTACTTCTTGTTCGGGATTCGTGAATAAGGGCTTAACTCATGCAGGGTCAAAAAACGTAGAACTGCATTGACCAGGAACATGAGCCGGGTACTTGGAGTTTCCTCGTGGCAGTAGGATTTAGGTCCACATCTCCCCGACTTCTTGACCGACCTTCTTCCTCGGTTTGGTTCGACCGTGATCGATGGAGTTCAGCACTGCAATTGTAAGTCAGATAGGCTCTCTCCTACCACGTACTGTATGCTGATCGGTTGTTGTTCCAGATCGCTCAAGTGGTACTACTCGCGGTGACACTTTCGATAACTCTTCTGCGATGTTTTGTTCGTCTTAGAATCGAGGCACGCGCTCTCACCTTGTCTGACTACTTGGTGTGGGTGGGCTATGCATTCACAGTCGCCTTTGTGGTCTGTCAAGGTGTTGCTTTGAATGCTGCAAGGACGCATCCGTTAGTCGACGATACTTACACCGACTCTGTCGTCTATCTCAAGGTGTGTTTCGTATCGATGCGTCGGCTAGCACAGAGCTGATCATATACAGGCTGTCTACGCGTCATGCTTCTTCTTCGACATCGGGTTGTTCATGCCCAAAGCGTCGATCACAGCCTTTTACTGGTGGCTTATACCGAGGATGTTCAGAAGTCTGAGATTCATGCTATGCGTCGTCACTGTCTATCTCGTCCTCGCAGCGGTCGGCTCTGTCTGTCTCGACCTCTTTATTTGTTTCCCTGTTCATTATAACTGGTCGCTGGACTATGAAAAGCAAGGTCAATCAATCTGGAATTCATGGAACGACTTCTGGATCAACTGGATGCTGAACTTTTCAGCAGATGTTTTCTGTACGTTTACCTGTTCTCACATCCTCTGTGTGTTGGTCTGTGTCACATGTGGGTAATCAGGCTGTGGTCTCAAACTGGCATTGCGTGTCTATGATACCCAGGTGAAACCACTTTGGCAAGAAACCAGTCACAATTCCATATGCATCTGCGGGATCAAACTTCATACTGACGTGCTGTAGTATTTTTCATTCCCTTCTTCATCATCAAATCACTCAAGCTTCGCCAGAGACAGAAGTTTGGTCTTATTGGTGTCTTCTCGCTCGGCTTGATCACCATGGCCATCAGTTTCGCTCGTTTCATGATCTACACTGTCTCGAACTACGACTTGGGCGACAACGATGGAGGTAACTTCGTCTATCTTACTCTATTCTCCGAGACCACAGTACTGATGTTACAACAGCTGTCATGTGCACCGCGGAGATGTGCACGTCCCTCATCGTCGCCTCCCTTCCCGGCCTCAAAGTGCTCATCACCCGTACAATTGCAAACCACTCGTCCTCGCGCTCCGGAACTGACGGCTACAACAAGTCGTCGGATACACCGCACAGCAGCCGTATCGCGAAGATCTCGGCTCGCCTGTCACGTCCATTACGACGAACTTCTCTTGATGACGCTGGGTTTGAGTTGATCACAGTGTCTCCCTCGGGAAAGCAGCAAAACCTGAAACAAGCCCCGTCGGTGGGGAGTATGAATCTGGATGAAACGCAGATTACGGTCAAGCATGACTTTTCTATCGAGCATGGGGTGGACAGTAAGAGGGGGTCATACCAGAACACGCAAAGTTTGCCCTTTGTATAGTACATGGGCAACAGACCGATTCTCAGCTACGTGACGCTGCTTCTACTTCAACGGACCCCAGATCTCGTAATGCCCAAACGTGGGAAGCAATCTCATCACCCATCCGGATCGCCAGTCATCATAGTCCCAACCAGAGAGCCAGAGTAGACGCTTAGTGCTGCCGCCTAGGAGACCTGCTTCATGACCACTGAACGAGAGCCTAGCTGTACTGCTCAGTCTGTACGTCACTTACATCCTCTGTGGTGATCTGCAGCTCTAGTGCGAACAACATTCTATCGGTACCATCATCGTTGGCCCAAAATCCGCAGTGGATATTCCTGACTTGGTTCTTACAAAAACAGCTTCGAGTGGTACTATGTGATCAAAACCGACTTGTCTCTGGTTCCTCGGGTCGGCTGGTCAATAGGCACAGCTGGAAGTAGAAGAAGCACTGCTCTACAACTCCATCAATCATATTCGCGCTGGAAGAGGGTCACAGCACGATCGCGGTTTGGATGAATGACGTCTTTGATGCTATCTCGATAGTTTTCTTGCTTTGAGGATGCAGTAGCTCCTCTGTCTGGAACCCTGAGCTCGCTGCCTTGATCCACACTATGTCGATTGTTGAGACCAGGCTCGCTCGCACTAGCACGTCTGAGAACCACCACCAGTTCCCTTTGCATAAGCACCACTTGTGTCACCAAGACACTCCGCTATCAACAACGTTAGCTTATTTCTCACAAATCATGACTCCTGAACTCGACACATACCAACCGTAACCATCTTCAAATTATTTTCCTTGGCCCACTTGATCAGTCTAGGCACCAAATCCCTGACAGTGCTCGCATAAGTCTCATGCAACAGCGAAATATGTCCCTTGCCATCCGAAGTACTAGGTCCGGCACTGCGGAACTTCTGCTCAGATGCAGAAGCCGAAAGCCCATTCCAGTCTTGTGAATCCACGCTATCGGTGATCATTTTGTAGCCAAGATTCCTCATAGCAGTAGGCACATTGCCACCGGTCTTAAGGTAAGGAGGACGCATGTAAGTGGGCTTGACGCCGATGATGTTGACGAGTGCGGTTTCAAGCTTCTGCATCTCGGTGGTGAGTTGAGCTACACTCATGCTATCCAACGTCTGCGGGTGTGTCCAGGTGTGCGAGGCAACTTGGTGGCCAGCAGCGTAGGCAGCCTTTACAGCGGAAGCGCGGTTGTAAATGCAGCCGTAAAGGGTGCCGGTGAAGAAGAAGGTGGCCTTTGCTCCAGCGGCGTTCAATGTCTTGATGAGTTCTTCGGTGTATTGGCCGGGTCCGTCGTCGAAGGCAAGGGCAAAGACACCGGGTTTGCTGCACTTGGAGTAGACGATACCCGCGGCTGGACTGCTTTGTCTGGACTCGATGAAAGGAGAAGGTATTGCCGATGCAGTGGCCATGCCGCTGATGGCGAGAATAGCAGGAAGAAGAGAGGAGAAGTGCATCTTTGCTGATTAGAGAACGAAGGCACCTGTCGAGTCGATTTTGAAGTAAGATGTCTTCATTTCACGAGAGTTGAACACCATCTTTATATGCAGGTTCTTTCAATTCGAAGCTCTCCACCTCGTCTATTCGGTGATACAGACCATCAGTGCCACAAACGCATGTTCAGTGTCGAATTGATGCCGTCCAAAGCTGTATAGGCTAATCTCAATACCAAGAGTTTCGGAGGACGCTTGGCGTTTCAGCACTGGTATAAGCGATTGATATAGTGCACTTTAGAGTGTATACCAAGACAAGTCCGCTGCTTGGCAGTTGATCAAACGCTCCTTTCTCCGCAGAGCAGATTTGCCTGTTCTCATTTCGCCTGCAACGATGTGGTGCTTTGCCTGAAATATTGGTATCCTTCTTGGCGAAAGCGCAGAAGGTCTCGTGGTGGAACGTCTTCGACAAACCAGGATTCGGCCGTAGGATAATCAAGAATGGAGGACCTCTTATGGTATCTTGCGTTTTAGGATGGTATGTGGCTGCTCTGGACATCATCTGGCCTCCGGATTATCCGCTTCGGGCACTCTTGCCTGAAGCACATGATCCCGGTCCTTGGGAGGGCGAACTCAAAGCACCAGTTTGCGCTACTCATTTGCTGATGCCTCGTCAACTCGAACGCTTGCAATGAAAGAGCGAAGGAATGGCTACTGAGCTGAGGATACTGTGTCGACTGCCGTTGGAACACTCTGAGGTTTCGAGATTCCCCGTACCATATCCCAAACTGCGTGTCCGTATGTGGTGGCAGCAGCATCTTCTAGCGCTCCGAAGAACCAAAACTCTAGACAATCTTGATATACGCGGACGAACGGAAGATAGAGAAAGGTAAGGAGAGAAAGGAAGCAAGTGGTTCGTAACGTCGTTTTGTATTGAGCAAGACTCGAGAGAGAAGACGAAAGATGGAGCTTACTTCTTCTGCATGCCAGCAGCCTGGACGTACTTGGCGAAGCTCATATCCTCACCAGACGTGACATTACTGCCTGCAGCCAGAGCTTGTTGGTATCGTTGTTGAAGACCTTCTTGACTGATGTCCTCGTCTTCGTCTCTTTCGATCAGACCGTCGTTGTCTTCATCTTCCTCCTCGGCTTCCGAGACGGTTTCGGGCTCGTCTTTGGGTGTCCGTGACTTGTTTCCTCCGACACGCATATCCTTCATCATCCTTGCGACTTCCTTTTCACGGTTGGCCTCCTTTTCCTTTTCGCGTTGTTCTCTTCGGCGGTCGAGGTCTGCTTTGTAGTCATTGTTGAACTCTACTCTCTTCTCTTCGACAGCCTCGAAGAAGGCGTCAATACCAGCACCGGTCATACTGCTCACACCGACGACACTGAGGTTGTTGTAGAACTCTTCGAGCACGAGACTCATGCTGTTGAGCAGCGAACCCATGTAGCCCGATCCGCCTGCGCCAGTCTCGGCCTCTTCCTCTTCCTCTTTGCGCAATGCTTCCTGGAAAGACTCGAAATCGCGCATCCAGTCAATTGCTTCTTCTTCTGACTTGACGTCGTTCTTGTTGAAGACGAGGATCATAGGCAGACGGGTCTTGTACATGATGGAGATGGCGTAGAGCATGTTTGACATGAAGGTCGAGGTCGAGGCGGTGGTACGCGGTGTGTCGATGACATAGGCGAGGACGGTGGGGAATGACGAGGCGAGCGAAGACAGCAGGATGCTTCCACTGGCGGACCAGACAAAGACCTCGATCTGGCCCGGCGTGTCGACCAGAACGTGCTTGGGGACTGTGTCTTCCTTTCCCTTGTCTTGACTTTCAGGTAGACAGCGCTTCTCCAAGATGCCGAGAACTTGGTCTATCTTTGTTGCAAACAGGTTCAAGGATGTGAGGATGCCGCCGTTGGGGCCGAGGTTGTATTGCTTCATGACCTCGCGGTAGTTGACCGAGTCGCGGATGTCAATGTTGGAGTCGAAGGGGACTTTGCGCACGGCGGGATCGAGATTGAGGACGTAGGGAGGGGTTTGCTTCGAGTGCAGGTGCGAGTTGATGCGCTGCATGAAAGTTGTCTTGCCGCTGCCTGCCATGCCGACACAGACGATCGTCACGGGCGGTTGCGCGCCTGCCGCTGCGGTCGTTGCTGGTGGTGATTCCATTGTGTGTTCGGGTTGGTGGCCAGACGTGGAAGGCGCGACTGAATGTTTGTGTATGCAAGTGGAAGGAGCGACGAACTTTTGAATGACGAAAAACATCATTGATGGCAGGCGCGCACGGTCCATCCGGAATTGCTGCCCGCCGCTCTTTCCACTTTTGATGCGCAATCCACCACCACTCTTTCTCGTAGACCAACACCAACTTTGAGCAAAACATCAGAGTGTACCGCCATCATGTCGATACACCCATCGCGACAGGCCTATGTTGAGGAGGACAAAGAGGTAAGACGTCTCGTATCCGACAGGCACCTGCGCATGTTCACAAAAGTTCCCAGCTCCCGACCTCGACTGACACAGACCTCGATCCAGGATGCTGAAATGACCTATGACCTCTCCAATGTCCCTCTTGATACCGACTACTACATGCCCTCAGCCGGCGGCGGCTCAGAAAAGGCCGCCGATGTCATCGCCCAATTCAACCGCAAGCGCAAAGCGAACGCCATCGCTGTTCCCACCGACGATGTGCGAGTCCGCGCAAGACTACGAGAGATCGGTGAACCCATCACTCTGTTTGGAGAGCGACCCGAAGATCGTCGCGACCGCCTACGAGAACTGCTCTACGCCAAACAAGAAGCCACTGGAGAGGATGTCGCCATGGATGTTGATGAAGACGAAGAAGACGAGGAAGAGCAAGAATTTTACACAGAGGGTGTTGACGAGCTGCTCGAGGCGCGCAAGGATATCGCTCGCTTCTCTCTGCCCAGAACACAGCAGCGCGTCCACTTCCAACGACTCGAGTCTGCCATCCCTCTACAACGGCACGTCGACCACCGCAACTACGTCAAGGATAAACTGTCGGGCTTTGAGCTGTTTGGTTCACAAATCGCCGGAGAGCGACCTGTGAGCATGGCTCGTTTCTCGCCTAATGGCCAGATGATTGCAGCTGGAAACTGGGGAGGTTCCATCAAGCTGTTGGGTGTACCGAATCTGGAAGAGAAGGCCGTCCTTCGCGGTCACACTGCCCAAGTCAGTGGTATCTCGTGGTTCCCTGGCTCCACCTTGGACGGCACCACCGTGTCTGAAGGATCTCTCAATATGGCATCTGGTGGTGGAGAAGGCAACATCCATCTCTGGTCGCTCAATCAAGACACTCCCATCTCGACGCTATCCGGTCATACTGGCAGAGTCTGCCGTACTGAGTTCCACCCCTCAGGGAAATACCTCGCTTCGGCCTCATACGACACCACATGGCGATTATGGGACGTTGAGACTACCACCGAGCTGCTCCTTCAGGAAGGCCACTCGCACGAGGCGTATACTGTCGCCTTCAACACGGATGGATCTCTCCTTGCCAGTGCCGGTCTCGACAGCATCGCCTGCCTGTGGGACTTGCGCAGCGGTCGTCGCGTTCTCTACCTCGAAAGTCACATTGCGCCAATCTACGGCCTTGACTGGAGTCCCGATGGTTACCGCGTCATGACTGGTTCGGGCGACGGTTTCGCAAAATGCTGGGACATTCGTGCTATGAAAGAAACGGCATCGATAGGTGCCCACAAGGGCGGTGTGACTGATCTCCGTTGGTTCAAGGGTACAGACAGCCCGCTGAGCCGCAAGCCTATAGACAATACACAAGACTTCAGTCCAAAGAAGAGCGGCACTTTCTTCGTCAGTGCTGGCTTCGACAGAAACGTCAAGATCTTCTCGGCCGACGACTGGGCTCTGTGCAAGAGTCTGAGCGGCCACTCCGGTCATGTGCTCTCTACGGATGTAACCAGCGACGCCAAGTGGATCGTCAGTTCGAGTTACGACCGCACCGTCAAGCTATGGGCAAGAGACGACATGCAGGGCCTGTACGACAATGACACCTCGACCGGCATGGATACGAGTACGTAGAGAAGCTATGCCAAATCTAAAATATCACGAACAGAAAATCAAGCTATCGAGCTGCATATAGCATCGACGCCAGACTCACGGACACCGACTATGCCCAGAACATCTGCACTGCACAGTGATCATCGACGTAGTATCTAGGCTATACCCGGCCCACTCGGCTTTCTGGCTTTTTGATACTCAATGCCAAGCGGCTCTACTCAGATCGACACGAGCGGAAGTGGCTTGAGACGACAACGTTATTCTAAAAACAGAGCCTTATGACGCGGGGTGCTCCATTTTGCTACCGGCGCTCAGTCCATCGACCTCTTGGTTTCTTGAACCATCATCATGGTTATACGGCCGAGGGCGGGGGTCAAGCTGTGCCATGTTCGCCGAGCTGAGTTTATAAGGATGAGGGGTTCCTGCCATCTAATTATTCCTATCGTCAGTGTTGCACCACTTCAATCATCCCTCGCTATCTCTACTTCCAACCGACAATAATTTCAGAGACTAGACCATCTTGACACGATGCGCTCTTCATTCTTCGCTGTCGCTGCAGCAGTGGCTGTTGTCAACGCTCAGGGAGCTCTTCCAGCTCCTTCATCGACCGTCGTCGCAGACCCCGGCACTCTCCCACTCGGTGCCGAATGTGCTCGTACTGAGCAGTGCGCTGGAGGTGCCGAATGCTTTGCCAGCAACTTCATGCAGATCACATCTTGCGGCAAGTACAACGCAGCATGTGACAACGACTCACAATGCGCTACCAACTTCTGCGCCGGTGGACTCTGCAGTGGTCCTCTGCCTCAATCAGAGTGGCTGATGCCCACTTCTCTCCAATACATGCCCAGCTCCACTGCGTCCAGTGTGGCTACCTCCACGTCCAGCCCTCAGGGTGCTCTGCCTGCTCCTTCGTCCACCGTCGTCGCTGCCGCTGGATCCCTTCCTCTTGGCGCCGAGTGCGCCGACTCCAAACAGTGCGCTGGCGGTGCTTCATGCTACGCAGTCAACTCCATGGAAGTCACAACTTGCGGCAGTTTCCAGGCTTCATGCAGCAATGATTCTCAGTGCGCAACCAACACTTGCAACGGTGGCTTGTGCAATGGTTTCCTTCCTTCTTCCGCTTACCTCGCCAACACTGCTTCTGCCACTGCTTCGGGCTCAGCATCCATCTTGCCTATCTCCATCTCCTCAACTGGCTCTGGCATGATGTCCATTATGCCCATCGCTACCTCCACCCCTCCTTCTTCTGGTCTTATCGCTCTAGGCAAGAGCTGCAACGCGACCTCCCAATGCGCAAACGGAGCTGAATGCACAGTCTCGTCCGCATGGCAAGAAGCCTCTGCAGGCATGGTCTGCGGACCTTTCAACGCAACATGCACGGATTCTTCACAGTGCAGCTACAACTCTTGCTTCAACTCTCGCTGCATTGGTCTGGTCGGCTACGAGTATGCCACTTCAACTGCCATTATCTCCGGCAAGCCTACCTTGATCGCTGTCAACGGAAGCAGTGTTTCCACTAGTGCTGTGAAGACTTCGGTTCCCAGCTCGACCATTGTGCCTTACACCGGCAGTGCTGCCAGGGCTGGCATGCAGGGTGGTATTGCTGCTATTCTTGGCGCTTTTGCTTTTTTGTTGTAGATGGATGTTAATCTTGTAGCATAGCATGGCGATAACGTTGTATGAATGTTCATATATAGTCAGATTTGTGTCTTTGTCTAATCAAACGATTCTCCTACCTCTACTCTGTCAATCGTATCACATTCTCTTCTCAACCCAACAGTGAGAATTCTGATCTCTCTGTCTTCTCAACATCAGTCTGTCATCACAAATGTTCCACCCATTCGTTTGTACTTCTATAGTCCCTTCCAGAACTGCCCGATATGCTTTGCGACCTCACCGGCCTTTTGTCTGACCACAGCATGGCCAGCTCCCTTGACCACCCTTACATTCTCCACACCCACCTCGTTTAGGTCTTTCTCGAACACAACGTCATCAGTCTCTCCCAAGACTGCCACAATTGGAGTTCTCGTTTTGACCGCTTGTCGATATACTTCTTCTTGCCCAAACACACCTCCATCCCTGACAATAGCGATGACACTGGCCATGTGTCCTTCGTGGTTTTGCATCTGCCATTCTCTGACTTTCTCAGCGACAATTTCCCCATTCCTGATGCGTGATTGCCAGTCTGAAGGTACAACCAGCGGTCCACCTTCCAGCAACTCCAAAACGTGCAATTCGGCAGTGTCAAAATCGGAAGAGTAGAGTCTTTGCTCGTCGAGGTCTGCTGGACGCCAGAGACCTGCTGGTGCGACTAGGGATACTGAAGAGATGTTTGCAGCTCGTTGAGAGGAAGAAGCGATGTAGGAAATAGCCAGGGATCCGCCGAATGAGTAGCCGATCAAGTGGCAAGAGGTCCATTGAAGCTCAGAAAGGACAGCATCGATGAGGGAGTGGAAGAGAGATGGCGAGTGAGCGGCCACGGGAGTAGAAGATAAGCCATGGCCCCATAAATCTACTAGTACGAATTCTGCAGAGGGGAAGGAGGTTCGGAGGGACGAGGCCAAAGGAACAAGACCTAGTGCTGGTGTTTGAACACCATGGAGTAAGAGGACGCGCGAAGGAGAAGAGGCGGTGTCAGAGTGATTTAATGTTGTTGCAGGAGTGAAAGCGTAGTAAGCGATTCTTCCTTGGGAGGTGGAGAGATAGGTGACAGAGGGTAAATGGTGACCGAATGTTTGAGTAAATGATTCTTCGGATGGCGCTGGGATTGAGTCGACGGGCGACGAGACTTTGTCGCCTGGGCGGGGGAGTAGAGTGTTGTATGTTGCGGCCATCTTGCAGTTTCCTAGAAAGTGAGAGGGATTGGTTGATGCCACTGCAATCCTAGTCCTAGTCCTTGAAAGATCGGATGCAGCTTGGTTCCAGTATGGGTGATTCGGGGCTCTGGATGGACGTCTTTGTATTTGACAGCTGAGAGATTCGAATCGCGTTCTAAGGTGTACAAGCGGCGGAAGATTAACGTGGTTGGCCAAACGACTTATATTTGTTGGATGCCGGCTAAATGCTATCTTCGATGACTGGTTTCAAGGGGTTAATTCGAGTGCCGAGATGTGGCGGCGAAGGATTGATAATTGATGAAGTCTGCACAACGAGAATTATGTCTAGACTGAAATTCCGGCCTACAGCATCTTCTTTCCACAGTCGAGTCAGATATGTTGATAAGTTGTCATCGATATACCCTCAGGAAAGGAAGGCGAGGACGATATCGCAGCGGCACGAATGCTTATTCAGCAATGAGTCCACATAACCCTGACCGACTTTCGCTATTCATAAGGTACCTACTTCTCCTCTTCGATTATTCCGGGAGTAAATATCCTCGGAGCGATGTCAGGCCTACTCAGTATTTGGAAATAGTGACTCGTCAGTCCCATCGAGTCGTTGTAAGTCGAGTTCATCGTGTGTGTGGACATAAGGGCACACTTTGGAGTCCGCGCTTCGCCGTCCGTCGCCAAATGACACCCAATCTCTCCGTGTAGGATTCACTCAGCTCTTCAATTTCTCTACCATTCTTTTCTTCTTCTCTCATGCCCTGACTAGCGCATCTTGCACCATCTGTCGCCATACAGCCCTCAGCCATCACAGGACCAGGATCTACGACAGCGACAGCATCTCGACCCCAGAAGAAAACCCGCTTGGACTCGGAACGACACCAGAATTGGTTGAGATGAGCACTTCCCCGGTTTCTCATCGGTGCCGCCCGGAGCGAAAAGGTCTCGAACAGCACCAGAATGGAACATGAATTGACCGATCGTCCCTTTGTGCGCTCCTGTCGTTGCATTGAATTGCTTGCTTTGCTTTGCGACATGCAATCTGAGAACATTGCGTCCTCGACACAGAGAAAAAGAAAAGTGGCAGGTAGGCACACGACCTAAGCAAATAACCAAGAGTCTCGGCGATCGAAGAAGCTCTGGATCGATTTGTTCTGGAAAGTCACAACCGAAAACTCTAAATCTGGTGATCGCATTGCGTGCTCTGCTCAGGCGTTGAGACGACGAAGAGAAATTTTTCTTCTCATGATGCTTAAAAGAGATTCTATGACCAACGACTGGTGATTTTTTCGCTCTCCATCCCCAAACGCCAACAGTCTTCACACCAAGTCTCTTGAGTCATTTCTTGGAGTTACTCCAGACTCCCCAGATTGATTCCTTCGCCATGACTTTCGAGCACGGGGCAGATCATGCCGGTCCTGCTACTGGTGACGACAAGTCTATTTACAAGCAAAACTCGGAGGAGGTCTTTGTTACTGGATCTGGAGACCATGATGCTGTCTACGGTGTCGGCGGTGTCGGTCACACACATCGCAGACTAAAGGCACGACACGTCACATTCATCGGTTTCGGTGGCGGTATTGGAACGGGTCTCTTCGTTGGTACCGGAAGTGCTCTGGCCAACGCAGGACCCCTTGGTCTTCTGCTGGCTTACTCTGTCGTCGGTCTGATCTTGTGGTGTGTTATGGAGTCCATTGGCGAAATCGCAACTCTGGTAAATGGTATCAGACCTGATGACAAAATGAGATCTCTGACGATGTATAGTTTCCTACTGCTGGATCATTCCCTCATTTCGCAACTCGCTTTGTAGACCCTGCTCTTGGTTTCACTCTGGCCATTTCTTACGGATACTGTTACACTATCGCTATTGCTTCCGAAGTCTCTGCCGCAGCAGTTGTGGTATCGTACTGGTAAGGCTGCGATTTTGCATACCGTCATCTCAGGATTGAGTTCTAATACTCTTATTCAGGACCGACATAACTCCAGCCGTAGTCATCACAGTCGGTCTCGCCGCGATCCTGGCTATCAACTTGTTGAACGTCAAATTCTTCGGTGAAGCCGAAGTCATCACCGCATCCATCAAGATCCTGTGCTTCTTGGGTTTGGTGATTGTGGCCATCGTCATCACTTCCGGAGGTGCACCTGACCATGAGTCTATCGGTTTCAGATACTGGAGGAATCCCGTATGTCCCACTTTCAGCAAATCTCGAGATCATGCTAACAGTACCCTAGGGACCTTTCACCGACTACAACGGCATCAAGGGAAACACTGGCCATTTCTTGGCGTTCTTCAGCGCCTTCATCAATGCCAGTTTCTCCTACATCGGTGTCGAGACCGTCATCGTCGCAGCCGCCGAGACCATGAACCCCCACAAAGCTATTCCCAAGGCTGTTCACCGTGTTACCTACCGTATTCTCTTCTTCTACGTCTTGGGCACGCTTCTCATCGGAATGATTGTCCCTTCTAACGATCCCAACCTTACTTCTGGTACTGGAAACGCAAACTCGTCTCCTTGGGTTATTGCCATCAAGAACTCTGGTATCACAGCCTTGCCTTCCGTTGTCAACGCTTGTATCCTGGTCTCCGCCTGGTCAGCTGGAAACAGCTACTGCTACGTCGGTTCGCGCATGCTCGTCGCCCTTGCCGCGGATCGCCAGATGCCTCAATTCTTCGCCAAGGTCAACCGTCAAGGTGTACCTTACTGGGCTGTCCTCGCTTCATTCGCATTTGGACCTCTTGCCTATCTCTCGCTTGGCTCGGGTGGTGCTTCTCAGGCTTTCACCTGGCTGCTCAACCTTAGTACCGTTGCAGGTCTGCTCGCCTGGATGACTCTCTGCATCTGCTACATCCGTTTCCACCACGCCTGCAAGGCCCAGAACATCGACCGCAACACTCTACCTATGAAAGGTCGTCTCCAACCCCTCGCCGCTTACGTTGGCGCCATCGGCAGCGGTATCATCACCCTCTTCTCTGGCTTCAGCGTGTTCCTCAAGGGAAACTGGGACACCGGCTCTTTCTTCGCCTCGTACATTGGCATTGCCATTTACATTGTGCCGTACGTAGTGTGGAAGATTGTGAAGAAGACAAAGATCGCCAGAGCTAGCGAGATTGACTTGATCTCTGGTCGCTTTGACCCCAGAGGTGCGGTCCACGAAAAGGTTCCCGTGACCAAGTGGGAGAAGTTTTTGGATTGGTTGTTCTGATTCCCTTTTCTTTTCTGCGCTGATCGATTCAACTCGACATGATTTAGACATGATAGATAAAATAGGATTAATGTGTTCTCTTCTTCAAATCGTTCTACAGTCGTCGACTCAGTGAAAACGATCTGCTGTAGTTTGTCGCCAGAACACCAGTGGATTGGCGGTTGAAGCCTGCTTGCCACGCCTTGTTACCTCAAAGCGATTTGAGCATCACCAAATCCGTCCACACTCCCGCCGTCTTCGTGACGAAATCATGCGTCCCCACCATCTTGAACCCCAGCTTCTCGTAGACCCGAATAGCTCTATGATTCCCCTCATAAACCCTCAACCACAGATTCTCGAATCCCTGTTTCTTCGCCTCTACTCCAATCGCTTGCATCAACATCTTTCCCACACATTTCCCTTGCGCATGAGGATACACATAAATTCTTTGCAAATGCACTGGCGCAGGAACATCGGCGACGCAAGGTTCAGGCAATAGTTCCCGTGTCATCAAAGCAAAACCCAGGATTGCAGAGGAGGAAGAGTCTACGGCGACGAATGTGTCACTGAGAGGGTCTCGGAGGCAGGAAGTCGTGGCTGGAATGCTGAAGGTGCGGGCGAGGTAGGCTTGGAGGTCGGCGGTGGGCATGTGTGGGCCTTGTGTCACTGTGAAAACATGGGCTCCTAGTTCTGCTATTGCTTGTGCGTCGGCGAGGGTTGCTTTGCGGATGTTCGGTGATGGAGAGGGAGGAAGCATCGCCATGTCGATTAATTGTCGTGCAATACAGTTTCAATTATGGTTTATGACAAGGCGTCATTAGATGCTACCGAGCGAGAACAATTTTGAGACAAATATGGATATCGTTTGTGCCGTAGAGCACATGGCAACTGCTACAAGTGGAAATGCTATGAGTCACGACTTGACGCCCGAGATTCGAACCCTTGAAATTGTTGTCCACGCTATCCGGCTACCCCACCTAATCGCGCATACTCAATCAGCTTGTAAATCTGGCAGTAAGTTGACGAAAGACAGCCATGATATGACAACCATTGACTGCCTTTCAAGGCATTCGACGGCTCAATCTCACATCATGTTTGATTAGCAGGTAGGCTACACCGTAAATTCTCACCATCCCTTGAGTACCCTCTCAATCCGCAACAACCCTTCTTGAAGTTGTTCTCTCGGCCGCGAAATTGTAAGACGAAACCAACCGGGCTGTTCACTACCAAACTGGTCGGGCACGCCTACATGCACACGAGCGTCGTCTAATCTCTGTGCGAGAGCACTACTTTGCAGCCACATCTCGTTGATGTCTCTGACCGTATGTCCCTCTGCAGACTTCGAGTGTAGGAACGGCGTCAGAAGATCGCACCAAACGAACAAAGCGGCATTTGATGTCGTGGCATAAGGTACACCCATGGCATCCAGGGTTGTGGCCACAAACTCGTATGCATCGAGCAAGGCTTTGCGATTGGAAGAGATGTATGCATCAGTGAACGCGTCGTCCTCGAGGAGTTCCGACACGGCGTGGTCAGTAAGACCAGAAGCGTAGCTGAAGATACTAAGATTCGAGACACACTCGATCAGATCGTGGTTCCGAGAAATAATGACGCCGCAGCGAAGTCCGTTTGCGCCAAAGTCTTTGCTTGTGCCCCACAGTACATGGAGGAGAGCCGGGTCTATGATATCAGTAGGGTCGATAGACAGCACCGATGTGAATGGTTGAATGGCCTCCGAGTCGCTGGGTCCTTGCCTCCATACTGACGATGCGTATATCTCGTCGCTGATAAGATGAACGCCATACTTCTGACACAGTTCCATCAGCTGAATGATAAAGTCCCTCGGATAGCAACGGCCCAAAGGATTGTGTGGATTGCAAAGCATGATTGCTTTGATTTTGACTCCATCTTGCAAGCTAGAGAGCAGTGCTCGTTCGTACTCAGCTACGGAAGATACATCCAGTGGGTCTTTCGTGCCAAAGCTGACAGGGACGACTCGAACTTCTGGACGTGTTCCTAGATCCTTTAGAAACGAGCGATAGTATGGTCGACCGAGCAAAATGCCGTCGCCAGGGTCGCACAACGCCCATGAACAATGCTCTGTCGCAGCAGAAACCCCATTGGTCACAACAACATCAGCGATCTCGATGGACGTGAAAGGAGCTAGATGGCGATTCAAGAATTTCGAGATAGCCGCTTTGCATCGCAGAGATCCTGATGGTCCGTTGTTGTACGTTAGGAGTCGCCTCGGGACATCAGAGCACTGATTGATGCGATGGGCGAGTTCGTCCTGCAGCAAAGCGTTGTCTGCTACGCCAAGCGTCACATAACCGCCAGTATTGCTTTGCGGGTCCCAGAGGTCGCTAAGAATGGTCCATAGCTTGTTTGATGTGCTGTTGTAAGACGCAGCAGCACGAGTGGACAATGTTGGCAGGGCTGCGGCTTCTTGAGGCTTCTGTAGTGACTCGCCATCAGTATGCGGAGATTCCTCAACTTCGTATCCCAAGCTCTTCGTGAAAAGCACGAGAATTGGGTTCCCTTCCCAGAAATTCCCTCAGCAAGGCCATTTCATCCACACTACCGCCTTTTTCTAGGACTGTTCGACGATACCTCAATCCCACTTCCCGACTCATAGGATCCTTACTAAAGGCAGCCGAAAACATATCTGATGCAAACACCCTCGAACTGTTCTGTGATTAGCAAAGAATCATTTGCCATGACCAGCGGCAAATGAGACTTACTAGAGGTATCCATAGTAACCTGCATCATAGCCTCCAATCAGATGTGAGAAGTGTGCGTGTCCATGGCCCCATTCCTCATCTGCAGGCTCATCTAGGCCAACAATTTCTCGTTGAAGCTTATTGAATTCGCGAGTGATGTCCATATCCTCCAAGCTCCTTCTGTCAGTCGGGCTGTGGACTTTCATATCGAATGCACTGCGCCATAGAGCTCGCATGTTAGTCAGAGATGCATTCACATTCTCACTCCTTACCAAAGCCTGAACCAACTCTGTAGGGATCTTGCTCGGTGGAACTGTATCTGCTGTACAACCATGAACCTTCCAATGATCACGGTACTCAGGTGTCAAAGTTGAGTAATGGCAACTCATAGCTTTCAGCTGAGGCTCTTCCCAACACCATCGCTCTAGCATTTGGCTAGGTGCCTCGCAGAAATCGTCTGCGCAAGCAGTACCGTGGAAACAAGCATACTTGGTTTGGGCAACCAGATCATGGATACCATGACCCAATTCGTGGAAAAGCAGGACCACATCGCTGTGGTTGAGTAGACCGGGCTTATCCGAAGTGGGTTTGTTGAAATTGCAGATGAGAGCTGTGCTTGGATAGTGACGTGAACCGTCTGGTTTGATGTAGCCCTATACTCCATTAGACGCTTCGACTTATTCCAGAGGTTCGAGATTGCATACCGGTTGCAGATTGAAGTTGGCAGCGCTGCCGTATTTGCCTTCGCGTGAGTACAAGTCGAGGTACAAGAAGCCTAGAAAGCCGCCACCAATCTCGTCGCTGTCCCAGACATCGAACACCTGGACATCGTCATGCCAAGTCTGGTTCAAATCCGTGAGATCGCTTATGTCACGAGAAACCTCTTGGAACACTAGACCGGAGAGCTGCTGGAAGTTTTGCAGCATTGCTGGAACAACCGTCTGAATCGGGAAGTATTCTGCGATCCTCTTCTGATCGATTTTGTACTGAGCTTCGAGTAGGAGTCGATGGTAAAAGGAGATATCCCAGACATAGAATTTGCCATCAAACTCCATTCCCTGAGCCGCCAAATGATCGGACTTGAGCTTCTTGAGAGCATCAAGGTCGTTCTGAAGACCAGGCTGGAGTTGTGATTTGAGATCATTCAGAAATGCCATCACATTGTCTGGTGTTCCTGACATTAGGCTTCTAGTACGCCACTTGGCATGACTGGCATAACCGAGCATACGAGCAGCTTCGTCGCGGAGGAGTACAATCTCCTGGAACAACGACACGTTGTCCGCGCAACGAGTCTCGTATCCGATCATGTACCGTTTTCGAGTCTCATCCAACTGCGCATATCTCATAGTGGGATAAAAGTGGTTTGGCTGGAAGGTGAGGCGAAAGATCTTTTCGTCATCTGTGCTATCGTCTAGCAAAGTACTATCCAAGACATGTGCAGGCACCCCTACCAAGTCTTGGGTAGTGAAGTCGACATGTTCGTTCTCCTCATTCATGTTCCTGCGAAATTCGCTTGTAGCTTTGTTGATACGAGTTTTTATCTCACTGAACCTGACGCGATCAGCTGCTGGAAGACCCAGTCCGTTGTCGTGAAAAGTTCGGTGTTCTCTACGGAGCAGTCGCTCGGACTCTTGGTCTAGAGTCTCATTCTTCTTGAACACTGCGTCGATGAGCAGGAACAGGTCTTCTTGCATCGCAATCTCGTTGTTGAAGTTGTCGAATAGTAACTTTGATTTGACCGATTCATCTCGCAGACTTGCATCGCTGGAACCCTCCTTGTAGAAGCCTAGAATACCAGCTTTGGTGGCGATGGCATTTCTGACATTAACCAGTGGGAGAAGCACATTGTCGAAGCTGGCTGATTGTGGACAGGTCGTCGCTCCGAGATGATCAAGTGCTTGACGCGATGTGTCGACAATCTGTGCTGTGCTGTCTGCAATGGACCTTGCCGTGGTCGCGAAGAGCAGCCTTTCTTGAGGCGGGACTTTCTGTTGTACGGTCATACCTCGTGCTTACGAAAGTTTCGAGGAGGTGGTGGACAGGTTCAAACATTTGAGTCCTCACTGCAAGGTGTCATTGTAGTCAGGGGCAGATGTTGCGGATGGATGTGCCGCAACTTATCGATAAGGCATATAGGTTAAGGTCCTTCCTAATCGGGCATCACCCGAAACGTACATCTCTGGGATTTCTCCATGGCTCGTCCTCTGTCGGAGACATGCGAGAGTCCAAATGTGACAAGTCGTTCCCTAGTGCTGTGGTATATGATAGTTGATACCGGGCCGAGATTCTGACCGCGATCGATGGGGCATCATGTGGCATGCAAAAACTACTTTGTATAATCTGCCGATCTTCTACAAAGCGACTTGCGAGTCAGCTTCTCCAAGGCCAGTCAACTAAGGCTCTTACACCGCCCAGTATAGAAGTGACCTTATTGCTCAAAGACTCTCGAACCATGCAAAGCGAGGGAGAATAGAATAACTTGTGCATCTTAGGGCTGGGGTAAGCAGCTAGGTATTGCATCGGAGTAGAGTAACCTTTCCAACTTGCGTCATTCGAGATGCCCATAATTCTCTGCATAGGCTTGTACATGAACCCAAAGTGGTTGTTGCATTCAAGCGTTGCTTGTTAACGAAAGCCTTGCATGGATCTATCAAGATCATATGTGAATTCAACCACTCTGCACCGGAGTCATTCACAATGATACTTCACATAGACGTTTTCCAATCTGTGGTTGACTTGTAGTTTGGTTTGCCTTGACCAAATCTGAGCTGATCAGATCTGTGTATCGATACAAACTGAACCATGTCGGAGGTGTAAGATATGGTAGGTTCTGTCCAACGTTCATATGCCGACATCCATCTGCTGACGATACTTTCTTGGATAGTACATGCCTTGCACCAGCTTCGTCTTGGTCTCATTTACCCTCGGAGCTATCTACCGTCAACATTCGCGATACTCAATGGGGGAGGTATGACTCGCCGACAGATGCGCAAAAGGCGGTATTCCGATTGCCACAGACGCTTACCATATCGAATTCCTCCGATCTCTCGGAATGTCGAGTATGATCACAGAGTATCGATTTTGCGGAGAGAAGCATATTCTCAGAAGGCGTGTCCGCCACTCTCTGGTGATTCTTGTGTAAACATAGGTGTCAAGCAGCTCCCAACAACACAACCGGTCCAGTTGAAACTGTATAAGACAACATGAAGCTTCCTTCTCTCAAGACTCTAGTTGTCGTATCCAGGAACTTTACATCCTGAGTACAGTGACCCGATCAAGACTCCTGGAGCATGGGTTTGTCACAGTCTCGTAATCCACGTGGACAATACCAGCAACATGACTGACCTCACTCTTGTTAGACACAAGAACGTCGGCGTCTGGATCTAAGCGGGCAGCTGCGGGCTAATTAATCGACTTGCAGTTACCTCGGCCATATCTACGGCACTGTCGACGTTATCAGCGGCCACAACAAGGATCTGTCGAACCAACACAAATGTGGGAGCTATGCTGGCTCTGTCAACGATGTCACTGAGGTCAAGCCGGATCTCTCGGCTCTGACTCGAGGTTGATGTAAATCATGATCAGCGAACAAGACTTTTTACCTTCATAGCACGTAGAGATCTAAGCTTATCATGGCCACATGGCCTATCTCCACTCCCGGATATAACACGAGAACGACTCTACGTACGAGAAAATGAATCCTTCATCTTTTCCTGGATTTAGGTTTGCCGATCTTCTTCTCAGGTCATACAATACCCTAAAACCCTACGCTACGCCAAGGCAGCGATCAGATGATCCTCGAGACGAGAAGATGGACACGGAACAGAAAGTTGATCGTTCGGTTCATGATCAGCCATGTATAAAAGTCGCTACTCCATTCCTTTCTATCCACCACCAACATCCGCACGTTACACCAAGATCTAGACGCAAAAAACATACAACATATATCCCTTACATCATCTCATTGAATTACCACCATCACATGCCAAAAGATGGAAAAGCAAACAACCAAGCAAGCCACGCTCAACGTGAACAAAGCCACATCCAATTCAATCATCAGAGGCTCAGTCAAGCTTCTTCCGTGGCTCATGCTCCTTCACAACCTCTTGTACATCGTCTTTCCAAGCCAAAGAGACGGCGAGACTGACAAGACTCTGGCCTGGAGCAACTTCACCGGCATCGTCTACTTGATCGGGATCCAAGCTGCAATCGACGGCGGCCTTATCGCTGCATAGGTTGAAGGGGCTCGGTCTACTTTTACGCACTCCTGTCATACGGTGAGGGAGTGGGTAGTTTGAGAAGAAGATGGATGCTTATAGGGTATTCACAACTAGACGCTTCTGCATCAAAACACACCACAAGGAAATAATCAGGCCCATTCACCCTATATCTCTTCCCTCTCATCGGGTTCTGACTTGATAATAACCCTTCTTGGCCTTCGCGGTTTCTGCCTCTCACTAAGTCTAGACAGGGCTTGGTAGTCTACAACGGGCTGGCAGTATGCTCCAAGACCTCAGAATACATGGAGGTATTGCCATGATTGTGGCATAGTGGGAGGGTTCGTGTGGAAGGACGAATATCGATACTCTCGGCTGTGAGCAGTACTAGTGATACACTTCCTACGGACAAAAGATTGCTATACGGGTGGCGAACCATGGACCGGAGCATAAAAGTACTTGTCGCCAGTGCATGATCAGTGTGTCTGCCTATGATCATCAGCAAACCCCTAACGACATACGCACATGAAAGAACCCATGCGAAGTACAAAGATATTGTTATACCTCTCAAGCGTTTAGCTCCACGTCTCAAATTGTGCAAGAAATCCCAGTTGAAATGTATGCTCGGCATTCATGATTGTATCAGACTCCAATTCAATGCGCCCTCTACGTGAGACGGCGATCATAGCAAGGCCTATAAATTACATCATCGAATAACAGAAGTCTGACAGCAACACCGCATAGCTGAGGTCAATTGTGGAAGAACCCTCAAATGTATAGAGTCGTGTTCAACACACCTACATTCAATCAGGAGAGCTAATCATTGCATCCAAAATGACAGTGTAAGCACCGGATTTGTTTTGGTATAAACTATTGTGTCTATCAGTAAAGACAATTTAGTGTCTGTAATCCAAGTTTGAGCTTTCTATCGATCGAGGTTGCGTTCCGCTCTTTGCTTCCAATCATCCTCAAGCATGCTCAGCTGCACATCATCCCAGAACTGCCCATCATGCCACAGCGCGTCTCTCCATCTTCCTTCCTCAGTGAACCCTAGCCTTTTGTACAACTCGATCGCCCTCACATTCCACCCAAACGCTCTCACCTGCACTCTATGCAATCCCAATCTCCGAAATGCCCACTCCAAAATCCACGTTAGCGCCTCGCTCCCATATCCCTTGCCTTGGAACCCATCCAATATCTCGATTCCAATCTCTGTGCTCCGGTGATGCGTCATTCCGTCCCCAGACTTGCAGAGGTGCATGGCCCCGATCGGCGTCGGTTTCTCACTCTCGTTACCGTCGACATGAGTGGAGCGTAAGCAGATAACCACACCGAGCAGAGTCTTTTCCGTAAGATATTCTTGATACTTTTTGGCTTGTTTTGATCCTGGGACCGTGGCGTTTGTTATGTTTGAGTTCATGTAGGCGTCTATGTCGCTGACCATTGCGGAGAAGAAGTCGTCATCTGAAGGGGATTCCGGGGCGCGGAAAGAGAGGCGCGCGGAGTGTAGAGGGTTCTTTGGTGGATTTGATGTCATTTTTGCCTTTTGCAAGAGAGGTTGCAATTTATCCTGCGAAGGGCCTGTTGGTGTACAATTACGGTTCGCAAGGGTTCGACTGTCTCTTGGCTGTGTGGTGCACTCTCGGGAGGTTGTTCGAAACTCAGAAGATGCGGAGTTGCGACTTCTGGACTGTCGAGTTGATGGAGTACTTGGAAAAAAGAAAAGAACCCGTCCGTGGATAGGATTATCCTTTATCCATCTTCGAGAATGCGTCTAGGCAGCAATGCAATCAGACTTTATGTCTTGCTAAGAGACACCGCTCGCTCGATCAGGCAGGTGAGCGCCCGTTGTTCCCGAGGGGATTCCACGAATGGCAATTCTGAGACCAGCAGAGACCTATCCATTTGTGAGAGCGTCTGACCTGTTTCCAACGATTATTCCTGTTGTCCATAATGATTCTTGCGACTCTGCCATGATCTTGTCGATCGTTGAGTTACTTGTCTCTATAGCAAAGGAAGATTGATCTGCTGATTCATCATTCGGTGTTCTGCTCACCGCACTAAATTTCTAGTCCATCGAGAGTGAGAGGAAGCTTACTTGGATCAAGTAGGACGTAGAGTCTGAATGTAGATGAAACAGCGACATACAGTCGAGGGCTTTATGATACTTCGATCCTCTCGGTCGACATCAGACTGCAGACCGTCGTAGACACCACATACGTGATATTGATATATATAAACAGTATGCGCTTCGCTAGAGGCCTTCATGGAGCATGATGTTGGCAAATGCATCTGTCACACTCGATCATGGCAGTACAGGCTGTTGACGACCGTGTACAGATACTGAGACGAGCGCCATCAGGCTCTTCTGCAAATTCTATGGTATCCATGGATAACCTTGTCATCCTAGAAAGCGACGGATTCAAAAGTGCCCAAATCGCTCAAGTGATTTCCAAGCATCTGGCCCGCTTTTCTCTTGTGGTCAGATAATAACGCTCGATCGTCTTCCAATCGGTCAAAATGCGTGGGAGTGATGTGTAGGTCCGGGCAAGTACGAGATGCCACGAGTGGGGTTTCGCTCTTGGGGAACCAAGGATGTCGGGAAATGAAGTGCGCTGACCTGGCTACGTCTTCCGCTGGCTCTTCCTCATCTTCTCGACCGTCCGACCCTTATAGGTTTCTCTTCCTCTCTCTGCACGTCTCGAGCACGATCTCTCCTCCTGTCACTTACTATGAGGGGCTTTGCCTGAAGCGACCCAAGATGAATTTCTGCAATGTGTTTCATCGCGAAAACACTTTGCTTGAGCTGTGGGTTGGGACAGGCTCTGTAGAGGGATGATTATTGCTGAGGACACACATCATCGGGACTCACGGATTGATGGGAAAGCCTTGACGTCTAAATGGTAGTATTCTGAATTTTGGTTGCGGGTCGCGAAATTGAGCACGAACAAGGGAGAAATATAAACCCGCTAATCCTAAATGAGAAACTGCAGATGCTCTGCTCAAGCTCATCAAACTGGCGAGCTCCGAATCGGAATCTTCTGTGTTCCGACTACCCTATTTGGCAAAGTGCAAATCGTAGTTGAGCCACTTTCTCGCCTGGACCTGCTCGATGCTCAAGCCAGGCTGACCGTAAGTCAGAGGAGCAAAGTATAGGAAACTCCAGACAACAACAGCAAGAATACCGCCAGTGGCAGCCCACATGCCGAGCAAGTTGGACTGGCCAGTTCTCTCGCGGACGGGCTTGTTTTGCTGCACGGCAGTCTTCTTGTTCTTTGTGATGGTGGCGTTGCCAGAAGCGACGTCGTCGAGGTCAACGGGATCAATGTTGAAGACAAATTCGACGAGGGCACCGGTAACGAGAGCGGAAGCGAGGTGGGCAGGGAGGTAGTGGTGGAGGAAGAGCTGACGGCCCATGATGTAAAAGGGAACGTAGTGGGCGGCCCAGGTGAGGAAGAAGAAACCGGTCGAGTTGTAAAGACGGTTACGGGCGCCTGAGAAATGTTAGTATTGGGATCTGGGATTTGAGGAAGAATGAACGTACGCTTGTCAAGAGCATCAACACCACGGCGCTGAGAAAGCTGATCCGCGAGAAGAACACCAGCAAAAACAGCGAGCAGACTGCTGGCCAACCACCAACCTACAGGGTTACCGAGGAAGTAAATCTGCTGGCGAGTCTCGTTCTCGGTCCAGAAGCTGACACCGCGAAGAAGGAAAGGCCACTGGATGGGAACACTGGCGTAAGGGTGGCTGCTGGTGAGAGCGTTGTTGTGGTAGAACATGGCGCGCTGCAGCTCAAAGTACTTCTTGAGGAAAGGCACGTGCTTGACCTTGCGAGGCTCCTTCTTTGCGCGCTCAGAGTCCTTGGGAAGAGCAGGAATGTCTTCGGCGTACCAGATGTTGCTGGTTTGGAGGGCGTTCTTGTTTCCGTTGATCTCGGCTTGCTTGTAAGCCCAGTCAGGCAGAGGGGTGGTATGGGTCCACATGGCAACCTTTGTGGGCACGTGAACGAGCTTGAACTGGACAGACATGGTCTTGAGGTCCATGCCAGGCTTTGCGCCATCCACTCTGATTTCGAACAGGGTATCGTTGAAGCGCTCGCCGTTGGCATCATCGTGGCCGACAGTGGTAAACTCCTGGTTGGTGGGGTAGTAAGGCGAGGCAACATCGTGGGTAAGGAGCCAAGTGTCGGTGACGAGATGGCGGAGACGAACGACATCGCCGACGTGGACGCGGTGGCCAGTCTCTTCGGGGATGGCACCGGTTCCAGGGATGATCTGCCAGAGGTTGTTGGTGTCGTTGTGAGGGTAGCCAGTAACTTGCTGACCCTGAGAAGAGACACGACCGTCATCGTAGCGAAGAGGGTATTTGTCGGGGTGACTGTGGAGGTAGACCTTTGTATCCTTGTGACGGATGTTGATGGCGTCGTAGTAGTCGATGCTGACGGCTTGCTGGGTCATGATGTTGTCGCTGAGCGTCTCCTGGAACTCGGGGCTCATGAAGTCGTCACCAGGGCCGGAGCGGTTGAGGATGGCGAAGTGGACCTGGAACCAGAAGAGGTAGAGCATAAAGGGAATGACAATCAGACCAGTGACACGAGCACCCAAGTGCTTGCCGAACTCGGGCAGACTGAGAGCACCCTGTCTGCGGTTGATGTCGAGAAGGGACCAGAGATCAATGGCGACGGGGACACCGATGGAGAAGAAGGTGAAGGCACCGACGTATTTTGTCGAGATGACGCAGCTGAGGCAGACACCGGTCAAGAGCAGCCACTTCCACCACTTGCGGCTGAAGGGGACATGGCGAAGCTTGTAGAAGCGGATGTAGCTCCAGACGGAGAGAGCCATGAAGAGAATGAGGGTGGCATCGAGGAGGATGAGTCTGGTCTGGCCAATGTGGGCGTTGTCGAAGAGCACAAGACCGGCAGCCAGAACACAGGCAGGCAGAGAGTAACCAGACTCCCACATGATCATGAAGACGGTCGAGACGGTCAAGGCGCCCATCGAGGCGGGCATTGCGCGGTAAGCAACGTAGGGGACCTTGTTTGTGATGTACGAGTCGCCAATGTTCTCAAACAGAAAGTCGCCATTGTAGCCGACCAACCAGCCTGCAAAAGCGAACAGGAGCTTGCCGAACGGAGGGTGCACATCGAAGAAGTAGGTTCGCTGGAGGTAGTAGGATGCGAACTGCCCTGAGTTAGCAATTGGGTCATAGGCTTGGGTGAGGTCGAGTCTTACCTTGCCAAAGTGGACTTCATCAAAGACGACCTGGTTGGGGTGGGTGATGGCGTAGAAGCGGGTTGCAAAAGCGAGGAGGGTGATGACAGCGAGAGCAAGCTTGTAGTCCCAGTCATTCGAAGGCGACTGCTTGGTCTGGTTCTTCAGCTGATTGAGGTATTCGCTGGTCTGGTCGGCAGCGACATCAACCTTCTTTTTGGTACTGGCCGCGGGCCCCTTCTTGGAGCTCGGCGTCGAAGACATGATGAGAGTTCAATCGAGGACAGAAAGTGCTTGCAGATCAATCACAAAACACGTCCTACACACGAGGCTGATAGACAGTGATGTCGAGGGATCAAGGAGAGACTCGGACAGACAAGAACGGACAGCTGTCGCAACGACTTTGGACCTGCTCCAAAAACACGACGCAATTGTTCCTGAGCTTGGGCCAGGGAGCTTCAGCTGTACTCGTACTACGACCCCTGAATCTCATCCCTCACCGAGCCCCTTTCTGCTGTCCAGCGACCTCTAGAAACCCGAAACATCTGCACCTTCAAGCCATCGAACAAAAATCGCCTTCGTCATGCTCACATAAATAGAGCTCCCGCAAGGTTGGTCCAAATTGCCCACGAGGGTGCCCAAGCTCTTCCCCGCACCCACTCCACCTCTCGCCTGTTAATCATACCATTGACTAACCCGCCGTCCGCCTGCTCGATACTGTCGCACTTTCGTAAACTCTGTGTCCGCTGTTTGTCTGTTACGCTTCCACATTCCATATCCGTCCGCGAATCGTCGCTACCGAGTCATCAGATAGGTAGGGACCGCCCGGCGGCTGACAAGACCCTTGAACTGTGCCTATCCTTATCCGCTCCCGAGACCAAAATCTACCGTATATAACTCTCTTGCACCTCACCAAGTATCCTTGGAAATTTCGTATCGCAAAATGGCTTCCAACAACGTCACCTCGGACGAGGCTCGTCGTGCTGCTCAGAGCTACCTCAACGACCGCCTCACCACAAAGACTGACGGTCCAGCTCGGCCCTTCAATGTTCCCGTCATCGACATCTCCTCCACTTTCAATGGCTCCCTCAAGGACAAACAAACCGTAGCATCTCAGATTCGCAACGCTTGCACGAACAGCGGCTTCTTCCAGATCACTGGCCACAATGTCCCCGAATCTGTCCGTCAAGGCGTGCTGAACCAGGCTTCTCGCTTCTTCAAAGAGCTTCCCCCTGCCCAAAAGGATGAGCTACACGTCAAGCACAACGACTTGATGCGCGGATGGGAACCTTCAGACTACACCTATGTGAACCCAGACGATTGGGCTACCGCAGCTGTGCCGGAAACCAAGGAAGGCTTCAATTGGGGCTACGAAGCTTCCCTCGACCCTACAGGCGGTGATGGTAAATACCGCGACTTGGACGGAAGCACCGAGAATGGCAACGTATGGCCTGCCGATTCCGCTCTTCCTGGTTTCAAGCAAGATATTGCAGAATACTATGGCCAAGTGCTGCAGCTTGCTCGCCATCTGTTCAGACTTTTCGCCTTGAGTTTGGCATTGCCTGAGAATCACTTCGATGAGATGATGACGCATCCGGGCGGTATCTCTCGCCTGTTATACTATCCTCCCTCCAAGGATCCAAAGCCATTGGACCCCAACGAGGCAGACAAGGAGGTTGGCCTCGGATCGCATACTGATTACGAGTGCTTTACCCTGCTGCTTTCATCCACAACCCATGGTCTTGAGATTCTTACACCTGAGAATGTCTGGACACCTGCAGCCGCTGCCGAGGGCGCATTCATCGTCAATGTGGCAGACTTCCTGATGAGATGGACCAACGGTGTTTACAAGAGCACGATTCACCGCGTCGTCAACAGAACCACCAAGGAGAGATATAGCGTACCCTTTTTCTTTTCCATCAACTACGATCAACAGGTCGAGGTAGGTTTGTTGTCGCAAACTAGAGAAACGCCAAACTGACCACACAAGCAGACCCTACCTAGCTGTGTCTCGGACGAGAACCCCTCAAAATACCCACCTATTCGTGCGGGCGAGTACATTCTTGAACGTCTCAAGGCTACTGTTAAGGATGGTTAGAACTACACTGCCTCTGTCAAGATCGCTCAGGAACGCTTTATGTGTATAACATCTCATGGTCAACAATCTAACGAACCATTTCTATGTCGGTCTGGTACGACATAATCAGCCAGCAAGTCTGAGGCCACCTACCATCCTATTCTGTAATTTCAGCGGCTCGGGGTCGTATGAGCTGTTCATAGATACGCTAGCGTGTTCACCCTTCTGATATTCGTGAGCTTAAAAGCATCATGGTGGTCCCTAAAGATTGATCCGTGTACTGGAGATGGAGCGGGAAATGAGTCGGGCGGCTCTGCTCTGCTCATACACGAGCTCCTGTTGCGACGTCAAGCAGAAACGAGTATGCGCAATCGCCACAGGTGTATACGCAAGTAAGTCGTGTGCCTACAGCAAAAAGTCCTCTGGGCAGTGGCAAAGTACAAGAGTGTATTCGTGGACAAATGGTCGTATCGACCCGGTCAACGAGGCGCAATTCGTGGCGCCAAGGATGGAACAGCAAGCAATCACATGCGCCTTCCCTCAGGCCAACCCGACACTCTTGATTAATCCTTCATCTCGCTCCTTCCTGGACACACTCAGAAGACCGAAGCATCACATCGCACCATGAAGAAACTACGCGCAGGCTTTCTCAAGAGAACACACAGTGAGCGACACCGACTGCGACAGAAACATTATGACGCAATGTTTACTGACATGAATGGCCAGGCAGCGATGCCGCCGCTCACGTCAACAACACACGCCCGCCTGTCGACTCTCCCGAAGCAAACGCTACTCATGCCATCGTGAGTCAAGTCCAAGCCTGTTATCAACATGTCGATCACTGACACAGCAGCTAGCGACTATTCTGCGAGTCCTCTAGCGATAACAGCGTAAGCTCAGACTGCCAGCCTGTCCTCCCATGCGCTGTCGCTAATCACGCTCCAGGGAGAGGAAGTGCTGCACCTACCAGTCATCGTCGAAGCCGCCGAGTCGTCACCACATGCAGCAGCCGCCGCAGCCCATCAGATCCGAAAATGCCTCTCCAAGGACAACAAGTCGCGAGTCCAGTACAATGCCATCATGTTGATACGCATCCTGGCCGACAACCCAGGCCAGTCTTTTACCCGCAACTTCGACGCCAGATTCGTCTCGACCGTAAAAGACCTGGTTAAGCACGGAAAAGATCCAAGCGTACAACAGATGATGAGGGAGACACTGGACTCGCTCGAGGCAGAGAAGAGCTATGACAATGGACTGTACGATCTGCTGGCCATGTGGCGCCATGTCAAGGGACACCAGGCTCGCATTCCTCCGCAAGGCGCATACCGTCAGATCGCTCCGCCGCTACCCCAGCATCCGACTGCACATTCTCCCCAGTCAGACTCGCTGCCAACGCCACAAGAGCTCGCATCGCGCGTCGAAGAAGCCCGAAATACAGCTAAGATCTTGCTCCAGCTTCTCCAGAGCACCCCGCCAGAGCAGGTCATGGACAATGAGCTGATCAAGGAGTTCTCGGAGCGTTGTCAGCAGGCGCAGCGAAGCATGCAGGAATACATCAACTGCACTTCGCCCCCGCCTGACGACGATACACTCCAGACGCTGATCGAGACGAATGAACAACTGAGTCTGGCGATTAGTAGACACCAGCGCGCAGTTCTTCAAGCTCGACGAGCTCTTGGTCAAACCGCTTCTCCCGCCCTTGGGCCGAATAATCCTTTCGCCTCGCCCCCTCCTCAGTCTCAGCCTGCCCAACAATATCCTGTCCTGCAGCCGACCTCACATCTGAACCCGACAGACCAACATATCACACAATCGCCTGTGTCTCCCATCAACGACAATTTTCCCCCTCCGCCAGGGCCCCCTCCAGGCCACACTTCAGCTCCGACACTGGCTCCAACAAATCCTTTTGCCGATTCAGCAGAGTCTAGCCACAATCATGACCTGGACTACACCAACTACGCTCATGAGCCGCGTAACTATGGTCCTAATGTCGACACGAATTCGCGACCGGCATACGGCGGAGTGACTGAGAGTTACATGGGCCGCCAGTATAGTGCTGCTAATGGTCTTACGATGCACGGCGGTGTCGACACAACCACTACCGAGGAAGTGAGTCCGGTCGAGCAAACACACAGTCAGAGGGAGGTCAGATATAGGTACTAAGTGTTGCGACTGAAGTCTTCGTCTCAGTGTATCATGCACTGCTTGTCTACGATTTTGGCAGCGAGCGTTGCTTTTTCGGGCTGGACCGATTCTATACATTTGCATAACAAAGGATTTTTTGTTTCTCCCTCCCTGTCCCTCGTATGCTTACTATTATGCTAGTGTGTGGATTCGGATATGTGTTTGTCATGACTGGGCGAACCAGCTGGGATCCCATCCGCAATTCGTTTACCGACATTCTGCAGATATCGAAATCGAAGAATTGCCAGGCACCAAAAACATCTTCACTCTTGATAGAGCAAGTCCCCCTACGGTCCAAAGTGAATGAAGATCTCGTAGACCGGCGAACCAAATCTTCTTCCTTCTCAACATCAAAGGACTTCGGCGATTTACCCAAGCGAAAGCACGTCTTTTACTTTGTTGACCCTGTTGACTCTGTTGACTCACCCGGATGGAGGTTTCAAGGTGCGGTTTGAATGTATGGTCATCAAATGATTGCTTTCGATCGGCATGAGTGCATATGTAAGCAAGTGAGGGCATCTTAGTCTCTGCGAACGGACATGTTGCGGGTTTTTTGGGTTCGGGTCGGAGGGGAGTGACAATCATCATCTGTGATTACGAACAGGTGGATTCGACACCTGCGTTTCCAGCATCGATCGGAGTGATTTTCGCAAAAGCTCGATGTTGTGTATTGCCTTCAAGGCATTTCTCCGATGATCTCTGAGGTATCAGTGATACGGCTTTTGGGCAGCTCTTCTGCAGAACGCCGATAATGTGTGTCAGTCGTCATTTCTCTGTGTATAGAATGCCAACCTCGAGAATTCCAAGGTCGGAGTGCATGCGAGAGGTACCCTACCCTTTTGATGACTTATCAGGACCTATGGAACTTTTTTTCGTAGAATCGCAGTACGTCTGTTGTTGCCTGTTGAGATTTGCTCAATGGTTGGATGGCAGATATGAATGTGCGCCTGATGGAATTTTCTTTCTTGTTCTGTGGGTGTCGTCTGCAACAGGTAGACAGAGGATTCAACACTTCCACAACTTTAGAACAAAGGAAGATGTGCACGTAGGTCTCCCTGGTCTTCCAGAAGTGAGGCATGAAGTTGCTGAAAATGATAAATTTGATATGTATTGGTCTAATTTCTGCGCCATCACCCGAAAAAGAAAAATTCCCCTCCAGGTAACCCCCCATATATTCTATCAATCAAAACTAAGACTCGGCTTTCTTAGTCTGCTTAGTCCTGAGCTTCATCAACAAAAACACGAGACCGTAAATGCCAACAGCAAATACCACAGAGATACCCGCATTCCTCCATCCATAGCTCTTCTCATTGAGATTCAATGTGCGTAGGTAATCAGCTCCAGTCGTGTATTGGCAAACCTGACAACCGGCACTGGCATTGGGATTCAGCAGGTTTGTCGCGGCGCCCATGCCGCTCTGATAGGCGCTGAGGTACTCGGCGCAGGTTTGACCAAAGGGAGGATCGAAGAGGGCGATTTCGCTGGGTTTGCAGTTGACTGGTTTGTCCCAAGTCGTGAAGACGAGCAGACTGGACATGATGTAGTTAAATGGGTCGATGTAGTATAGCCTGGGAAGCGGATGCGTTAGCGATTGCAGACTTGACTTGTGCAGCTTGGATCAATACTTACCAGTACTTCCAGAATGGCTGGATTTGACTGTATGGAACGACGACACCGCAGAAAGAGACGAGTGTTACAATGACCAGCGGGTTTACCAAAGAGGCGAAGACGGCATTGGGCGTGTATGCAGCGATGGATTGTCCGACACCTGTGTAGACCAACTCGAACATGATCTGAGAATTGTGTTAGCAACAAATTGATATATCAGATGGAGCGTAGGGGGCCTTACGATGACGAAGAATGTGCTGCCCGCCGAGTATGTCGAGTTGGGGAGTCCGGCAGTAAAGTACCAGCAAACATAGTACAACAGACCGCAGATCAGTAGGTACGGGAATTCCGAGACAATCAAACCGGTAACGAATGGGCCCCAGTGGTACTATTCGCACACCATGTTAGCTGATTACCACCTCAGATGCAGGAATCAGGAGATTTTACCATTTTACTCTTCTTCTCTCTTGCTTCGTAAATGTCGCGACGATCGATAAACAGAGGCTGCAACTGTGCGATGACTCCGGGCGACACGAAAATGATGTTGAACACGGTAAACAGGTTCAGTTGCAGCGAAGTCAAGGAATCTCTAATCATCCAGTAGGTGAATCCGTTCAGCAGAGCCAGTAGCACGTGCATTGCGATCTTGTTCATCACATACTCGGTGTTGCGGTAGAGGGACACATTCATGCGCTGAGTGACCAGTTTCGTTTGCGTCCACATTGATGCAGCGAATTCGTTGCCGTCGTCATTCACGTATGTGGGTTTGGAGGACGCTTCCGATATCATGGTGTCGATTTCGTTGGTGAGCTCTGTGTACTCGTTGGATTGGAGCCAGACCTGATTCCAATCTTTGCCTTCACCAGCTCCTCTGCCCGTGACGACGTCAATCATGTGCTCGGCAGGGTTCGCCTCCGAAGGACAAGGGGCGTCGTTGCGGCTCAAATAATCATTGATCTTGTTGGTGTCACCGAAGTAGACGGTTTTGCCACCTTTTGTGAGTAGGAGCAGCTTGTCGAATTGGGAGAACAGTTGAGCTGACGGCTGGTGGATTGTCACCAAGATGGCTTGTCCTGCAGCTGCGAGCTTGCGCAGGAATCTGATGGTGTTGAATGCGGCCTGACCATCCAGTCCGGATGTTGGCTCATCAAGGAAGACTTTGAAACGAACAGTTAGTGATGATACTCTGGGCTTTTGAAGGCGTGTACTTACTCAGAATACTAGGCTTTGCGACCAATTCAACACCGATTGTCAATCGTTTACGCTGCTCGACCGATAAGCCGGAGCCAGGGGTACCGATGAGAGTGTGTTCCAGGGCGTTCAGCTCCAATAGATCTATAATCGTGTTCACGTATTGCAATTTCTCATGGTCTGGTGTCTCTCGCGGCTGGCGAAGGCGAGCTGAGAATTCCAGGGCCTCACGAACAGTCGCTAGAGGCTCGTGGATATCAAGCTGTTCGACGTAGCCGGCTGAGCGTTGGAACGAGATGGGAACAGGTCTGCCGTCGACAAAGACCGAGCCTTGGATGGTACCTTGGGTTTTGCGCTGAGCTAGCACGTCTAACAACGTAGTCTTGCCTGCGCCAGAAGATCCCATGAGGGCGCCCAGTACTCCGGGCTTGATGTAGCCCTGTACATCGTCCAGCAACACACGATCGCCATCGGGTGTCTTGACTGTGTAGGTAAGATTCTTCCAGGTAAAGACGCTCTTGTTCTCGATAAGATTGCCAGTGACGTTCTGATCGGAGCTGATAGACGAATCGCCCTTCTTTTCCGAGATGGCTTCCAGTGACTCCTCGTCTTGAGGTTGTGCCAGATGTCTCGACTTTCTCTGTTGTTCGCGAGGAATGAGCAACTTTCTGCCTCCGTCCCCAGCCAATTTCCATCGAGATGTGAAGAAGACTGTGACTGCAATGAAGAGCGCCCACCAAGCGCATAGGATGCCGAAATTGCGCCACACATGGGAATGCGAGTATGATAGACTGGCGAGGTAGTTATCGCCGAGAACGCTTGTATCACCTGGAGCAGCACCAGAAACGCCGACACACGACTGTCCGCCTACGCCAGTCCCGTAACCGGGTCCATTAGGAACAATATTCGGCCCAACGCATGGCATGACGGTGTCGTGGAACTCATTTGACATGAGAGCTTCGAAAGTATAAGCCATGGGATCGATCCAGAAAATCCACACAAACCAAGGATGCATCAAAGGTTTGGCAACCATGTAACCCATGTAGATGAAAAATGAAACGAATGTAAGACCAGAAATCTTGGTTGCCGCGTCGAAAGTCGGGAAGGCAGCTCCGATAGCTCTGAAGTACTGAGTCATGGTCAAGGCATTGATGTAGCCTATAGTCAGGAATGTTAAGAACGCAGAAGCTGTAGCCCGGAGACCAGTCATCCAGTAGAGTACAATGCTGAAGTGACCAACTTGGAACATCAGGATTGGTAGGTCAACAACGACCTGAGCGATGACAAAGGCTGCCGGATGGTGGTAAGCAAACGCACGATGCTTTGCTAGGACAGGTCTTCCAGTGAACGAATCCGTGACTTCGCCGAGGGCCAACAAAGCATGATATAAGGTCGAGAAAAAGATGGCTCCGCCTTTGATGAACAAGCCGAGATTGTTCTGAGGAGCAGCATAGAAGAGAGATCCTCCTATGAGAGCTTGCACGAGTGTTGCAGCCTGCTTGATGAACAGTGTCCACTTGTCTCCCCACAAAAGTTGACACTGTCTGACTACAGACACCCGCACCTGCGTGGAGAACTTTGCTGATACTGGAGAGTCTCTGAGACCCTTGTGTTTCTTGGTACCGATCAACTCCTGTAGAGCCAAGGTATCTTTCTTCGCTGTCTCGCTCTGGGGATAGCTTTGACATTCCTCAAGCATGTTGGCTCTGGCGGGCCATTGCTCGTATGCCCGAGCGATGTCACTGCCCGTCCGAGGGAATTTGTCGGTATAGCCTGAGGCAATCTTGCGTTCTGTGGGAACAGTCACTCCGGTGAGGAAGTCACTCTTGTTTGAGCCATCAACGCAGACGAAGCCGAGGTCTTCCATGAATGGCACAGCATCTTCCCGAGGACCGTAAAACAATTGCTTACCCTCGTCAAGAACGAGGACTTTGTCGAATTGCTCATAGATGGCATTACCCGCTTGGTACAATGTGACGATAGTTGAAAGTCCAAGAATATCGGTCATGGCTCGGATCGTTTTGATGTACTCAAGAGCGGTACTAGCATCGAGACCTCTGGTAGAGTTGTCTTTGCAATAGACAGCCCCACGAGTAGCCAGACATTCCAGGATCGATACGCGTTTCCTCTCGCCACCAGAGACACCGCGGGTGAAGGCATCTCCGACCTTTGTGTTTTTCGTGTGCGAGATACCGACCGACTCCAATAGGAAGTTTTTGTAAGCCTGAGCATAGTCTTCTTGTGTCTTGATGCCTTGGGGGAGTTGGCGAGGAGCATTCAAGCGAGTGGCAAAGTCGATGGTGTTGCCAACGGAAAGGGTTGGAAAGAAGACTTCTTCCTCGTTGTTCATGACGATCTGACCTCTATATGCCTGTGCTTCGGTAGGATCCATGGACCCAAAGTTGATCTCTCCGGTGACTTCTTTGTTTCCTCGTTGGTTGTTGGCGAGTATGCTCAGTAAGGTCGTACATCCAGCTCCTGGGCGGCCCAAAACCAGTAGCATCTCGCCGGGCTTCACGCAGCCATAAGAGGACTCGATGATGGTCTTTAGCTCAGCCCCTTTGGTGGGTTTGTTGGTGATATTGAACTGGGACAATACGTTTTCGTTGAAGGCTGCATCGGCATCGACACCTTTGACGGTGAGATTGTTCCAGGAGACGCCGAGCCGTCTGGGTTGCTCGCCGGTATTTAGATCCAGACTCTCCAGTCGTGCTAGCTCCCCTGCCAGACTCCAGTCTGCCATGGTGCGGTATGTGAGCGCTTGCTGCTGCTAAGACTGACGAACTTCAGGCGTAGAATTTCCACGAGGTAGAGTGTCTTGGAAGTGTGTGTTCGAAATCAGGTGTTATGTGCTAATGCAGTTGAGTGATGGAACCAAGCTTGGTCCAATGTGGAGGACATGCTGTTATATATGGAAACTGGCAGTAGGGAGCCCAAGATTAGGGCTTCGAGTGTGCAAACTGCTGTCGGCCATCTTGGACAGAGACCCGACGGAGGGTTGAGTAAGTCCTCCCGGAGCTGTGCAAAGTACAACCCTCCGCGACGGATGGTCTGGTGCAGCCGATAAAGTTTCAAACTTGAGCGTTATGAGTAATGATCGAAGTGCAAGGGCAAAGATTACAATTCGTCGACGGTTCTGTGTCGTTCGCCGGGCCTTCTGCGACTTGGAAGTTGTCTTCTCTTGAGGATGCGACTTCTTGGACCCCGCGCCCGCGCTTCCTTCTCCGATTTCTTGGAGAACGTCCGGCGATTCAGCTGTGCCCGATGCAGCTAGCTCCCGTACTGTCCCAGAGTTACGCCGGTGCGTCATCAACTGAATGTGAGGCCTGTCAGTGTACTCGAGTAGAACTGGTGTGATTATCTGGCGACATTGAGTTTGCTAGAGCGATAACATGGGTGGGTAGAGGTAGGGGTTTTGTGTGATTTTGTGTGCAGTTGTCATGGTTTAGGCTTTAGCTGAGAAAGTAGGCAGGCTGAGTGATTCACTGGCAGGTGGTCTGGCCAAAGAGCAGGAGTGACGAGGGCGTGATGGGTGGAGGAGAAGCGGATAGTAGGGAAGCAAGTCATACATAGATTTAGAGATGAGTGGATTGTTTGGACTTGGCGAATAGAAGTTATGTTTCTGACCTTGGTTTGTGTGGATAGTTTTCAAACACGCGGATCCGAGTCACCATCAATGCACGTCACCGCAGCTTGCCCCATGGGTCTTCGAATACGGTTTTGTTCAAGTTGGAGTCGGTTCGTGTCCCCCTGATGATCTCCGGTGATAGTATAAGGATCGAGTACTTTTCGACGAACTATCTAAGGAGATACTCGTGTGTTTTGCCAAGAACTACTCGTTGAGGGTATCACCCTGATATTTCCTGGTGTTTCCAGATAGTCTATCCGTATGAACCATGAGAGCAGTCCGTGTCGTGCCTATGAGACAAAAAAGCAAAACGCAGTCCGGTTGCATTCCGTTCAACAAATGGCAATCAACGCTCGGATGGCAGTCTTCGCTTGTAATTGTTCGCGGTGACAAGCAGGCTTCGAAAGCCGCACATGGGCTGATAGTGAACGACAAGTCACAGACACAAAGGAGCGGTGTCGTGAAATGACCGTGAGAGCGCGGAAGATCTCTGGAAAGCAATCGCTTGTCCTCCACTGCGCATCGCTGCTGCCGCCGTCCTTCTCCGCTGTTCCAAATGTTGTGGAGGATTGAAGGTTCTGCGTGTTTGGAGTTCTACTGGACCCCTACTCCGTACCCCACTGAGAGACGGCATCTCCATCATCCACATTATTCCTTTCATTTGATTGGCGCGCTTTGGTCAGGGTCCGCAGCATCTAGGCCAAACTGTAGCCGATATCCCCCGAATTTCGGGAAATAGATAGCGAAGGAAGGGCACTTTCTTCTATTCCAAGTCTTGTCTTGCATTCTTGTCCATACACATCCCACGCGCAGTGACACCGACAATGTTCATCGCACTGACTATCTTATTGCGTACCTTCATTACCGTTCGCATCTTTCATTTCCAGGAACACCGTCAGCATGAAGAGTGTAGGCTCCGTATACCGTTGGTTCCTTGCAGCCACTTGAGTTTAGGCTAGGCATGCAAAAAGTAAGGTCGACGTTGCCTGTCTCGTTCCTCAGATGATTCTTTATCAGTCGCTTCTGATCGCCTGAACTACGCAAAATGCAACAGCGGACACGAGATTGAAAATCGAAATGCTGTGCATTTCCCGTCGTGTGCGGCTGATGTGGCCTTACACGTTGAATGCAGACAACACGATCTTATGCTATGAGCTCAATAAGATGGCCAAATCGAGAGAGTGGACGCTCGGTCGTTCAGATGTTCTGGCATGTCTTGATACCACTACTCTTGCTACTACTCAGACGCGATACATCTCAGACGTGTCCTGCACAACACTTGTGGCCATATGAACCTTCTCAGTCGGGGCATACCACATAACACCAATATCCTCGTGGTCTTTGCTTAATCTTTCTCCTTTGCTCCAAAGCTGGAACTTTAGATCGGCAGATCCCAACATGACCTTGAGATTGAAATCCGCACGATTGTAGCGTGGCTTGAAATTGTACCTGGACTGAATCAGTCGTGTCCTCGTGGAATTCGGGCTACGGCCGTACCAGTGTCTGTTCTTCAGCTTCATGTCGTCAGGGTTGAGCACGGATTCGATGTGACAGACCGACTTCACGGAAGTGTGCTTGGTGCTCTTCGGAAGCTGTTCAGATGGCAACCCGCACATCACAACTTGAGTCCTCCAAGGGACGGTCTCTTGACCAAGATTGATCTTCAGTCTGTAGGCCTCGCTGATGCCTTTTTCCACAGAGATCTTCTCACCCTGCAGTGAGATGCTTAGCAAGAGGTTTCCCAAGGCTCGAAGATTACATACCCGGCGGATAAACCAATGAACTTGCTTCTCTGCCCATTTTTTCCCGTCTCGGGGATCCACGGAGACATCTTCTCCAACATGCTGTTTCGGATCATACAACTTGCGAACGACTAGTCCGTAGCTGTTCCTGCAGCACTTTTCGGGATAGATACCTCCACTTCCTTGAAGCCTCTGAACGCGGTCCATGACAAGTCCATGGGTCACAACTAATTGTCTGGCACAAGTCAGTATGAGATCAACTTCGAACGCTTGAAGACTGACGGTTCCGGCGCCACCAAGACTTTCACATCGCGAGCGTTGTAGAGGTCTGTGTTTGCATCTTGCTCGTAACGCTTGCGCATGCGTTGCTTCAAGTAAGGCGATGACCCTAGACCTCCAGAGAGGATGAGATAATTCTATGCTAGGTTAAAACCATGGTAAAAGGTATTCCATACTGCTTCTAGGCTCACTATAGTCTCACGCGCATGCGTGTTTTGAAGTTGTCTGATTTGAGAATCGAGGAGTTGGAAAATCTTGTCGACGCGTTCGTCGAACACTTGCTGGAACTCTTCCCTGTCAACGAGTAAGAAGACATGGAAATCGCAGTGCAGGATAACACTTACCTTGTGATTCTCATCTTAGAGTCTTGTATGTTGCTCTCGGGAAAGTCGAGACCAGTCGGAAGGTCGGGTACTGTAAGGAAAAGATCAAGTCCTTGCTGCGCATCAAGGCCAAAGCTACACTTGTATGTTTGGAAGCTCAGCGAGTCTACCATTTTCCCAGCCAGCTGCTCGGCCGGATCACGGAGGTGGTTCTCGATGCGTTCAAGCCGTTCCAAGATCAACTCTTCGATTTTGAAGTCAATCATGGTGGAACCCACTGCGGTTCCCTCTACCCAATCAAGAGGCTCGACCTCGCGTTGTCCAGGATCCGTGTTCTTGATCTTGAGGATGTTGATGTCGGTTGTTCCGCCGCCAGCATCACATACCACGAACACATCACCCTTTTCGTAACCCTGCTTCGACACACAGACTGCCGCAGCTTCTGCTTCTGTCAGTGAGATTTTTACAGCGTGATTTCTCATGCTTCCGAAGCCAGCTTGCTTGATCAAGACTTCAATCTCTGCAACCATGGCAGGATTTTTCCATGTCGTAGGGACACTGAACAAAAACTCGACCCTTTTCGTACGCCAACGTGCATAACTGTCATCAAAATGCTGGACGATTGCATCGAATAGGCAGCTCATGTAGTCCACGAACCACTTGCGAGCCTCTTGAACATCAGGTTTGTGTCGCGACTGAGCCTCATGCATGGGATCCAAGAACAATTTGAAAAGAGACTGAACTACTAGCTCATGCGAGACATCTTTGTCAATCAAGAAGCCCCAGGCCACAGCTTGCTCTTGTTCAGCTTGATATGCAACCATGGTGTCGACTTTGTTGAGGTTCTGACTTGGTCGTCCTGGCCAATGCTGGATCGTTGTAGGTGCTGCCCAGTCTGGTGCCATCGAATAGGCGACTCCAGTACACTATCAAATATTCAGTGGCCACTTGTGAAACATGAGTTTCTTATACTGACAGTCATGCCAAAGTCGATGCCCACCACAATTTCAGGATCCATGGCGACGTGTCTGCAATGGGAACAGTTGGTACGGGGAGACAATCATCAGCATTGCAGCGGATCCTAAGATTGATATTCAACCCTGGTGTTGCACAGACGAGATCGCGCTAGGTCGATTGAACTTGCATGAGGGCATGTTATCGTAAGCTGGTAGCCGGCAGGCTGAACAGAATCCCGCTCATGCAGACTGTTTGGCGCGCTAGTTCCTAGTTGGGTGAATGTGTGTCGACCATATGCACAGCTGAGAGCACTTGAAGGAGTTGCATATGTGTTATTGAAACCGTTACAATATTACCTTCAGCCGCAAGCTGCATCTCTACTGTATCCAGATATAGTGCTCTGCAAGCCCTGCTTCGGCCCCCACCACTATCTGCTTCCAGTCATTCGGCTATGGGAAATTACCGCTCTGCAGATTGGTCTTGCGTCCCACAGCTAGTGTGGGCTCTGGACTATGCTTATGGCATGATTGGTAGCCACTGCCATTGGATGGCTACCTTAGTTGTCGACCGTTGGTCGCGGCAAGAGCCTGTACATGTACCTGATATCCTCGGTCGGTCAAGACAGGCTGTGAATCTTTTCGAACTGTCTTAGTTCCAGGAAGCCAGTGGAGCCAGTCTGGAGGACAACCCGCATAGGATGGCATCCACATAATGCCATCATATACTTGATAGCCAGTAATAGATTAGTCGAAAGATGCTTCTATGAATGCAGAATACTCATCTCTCGGTGTTGAAGGCTGGGATCACATCGATATGCAAGTTTGGCTAGCGTTTGAAGTCTCGCTTAACCTCACTGCAGACATGCTTGTAAGCCACAAAATGCATCTCAGCCTCATGCAAGCCAAAGCCTCCAACATTTCCGGTATGCATATGCGACATCTATGCAACCCAGAGCGATTGAGCTATTCCGGGAGCGTCTCGACCAGTTGGAGCGGTTCGGTAGCGCTCAGCCTCGCATGCCATCCGTCCCTAGAAAACTCGCTGGCCCGAAATATATCATACACACAAGGCGGCACTGCAGATAACGGAACTTCAATCAGAAATCATAGCAAATTGGTTCAGAACACACAATGTCAGGACCTGAGGCTACTACAACCTGCTCAAGCCCGTCAGCATCTTCACACACTGCATTCCAACAACTTCGCCTACTGAGACTGCAGCACCTGGGTCTAAGACAAGCACCCTCCGCTACTGCAAATACAACGTCTCCTGAAGCTCCGGCATCTATACCTGGTGGGGATACGAAATCTACATCTGCTGGGGTTGTACCATCCGTAGCCTCTGGCGATGGAACACTCACATCTACTGGAACCACAGCACCTTCGTCTCAAACAACTTCGCTTGGGTCACAATCGTCTGTGGGAATCACACCTACTGTGTCCCCCAACGGCACACACATAGGCACGACCACAGCCTCCCCAAACCCTTCCCCCAAGATAAATGCTGGGACCGTCGCCGGTGCCGCTATCGGATCAGCCGTAGGAGCAGCAATTCTTGCAGCGATTATAACCTATCTCTTGATGCGCTCTCGTCTGCATGCGAAGAGAAGAGTTAACTACACTGACGGCTCCTCGCCTGAGCGTTCGAATGTTGCAATGGATAAGAGCTATTTCGCGGGTTCAGTACGAAAGGGTGTCGGATCTGGAGACTGGACAAGGCATCTTCCACAACCTGCCGATGATGAATTCATCACTCGAACTATCGAGACCATTTACCAGCAGATCGAGCTTCACGTTGACAACTTCTACAGCAATGCCACGCCCTCGTCGGACCGTGTGTCAGAGAGTGCTCGGGCTTTACTGAGCGAGATGGATACTGGCCTTGTCCGTCCTCCGCTGCCAGAAGCAATGACGAAGTATAGGCACAAGAAGACGTTGGTCAAACAGACACTTGCTCGTCTGATCCTCTCGAACATTACCATTGAAGACGGTTGTCCAGGCTCTCTTCTGCCTCGAGATGTAGCAGAGCTTCAGAGGTCCCTACAGAACGTCAATGATCACCAGACAAAGCCTGGTAAGTGATGGTATCAGTCCATAGCCAGGGGCATACTGACTCTGATCACAGCCACCTCGAAAGCACTTGCCTACACTCGCGTGTTGACCAGTTACCTGCGTCCCACACCGTACGAAGACCAAGCTTTGCTCGCACGTCGTGATAGCACGATCAAGACCATGGCAACCACGTTCTCTACTGCATTCGAGCCATGGTCCTCTAAGGACACGAGCTCCAAGAGTCGGTATACCAGCCTTGTCGAGATCATGCGTGGAGCTGCCTCTGGTGGTTTCTTGCTGTTCTCCCAACGCGCCACTTACAACTTTGATTGGGACTTGAAGGAGAAGAGCATTGTGAATGGCATAGTAACTCTGCCTGGGTTTGCAAAGGTTACCGATGACGAAGGACGCCCTATGAAGAGGATGTTCGTGTACAGACCCCAGATCGTTACGCAGTTGAAGTGACGATCTGGGCCCTCTAGGATGTGCGATGCTGTCAGGTTCTGATGCTTTGCTTCTTGGAGACCTTGCCAGGTCGTTTGGAGATCGGATTGAATTTTCGCCGAGTTTGAGTGTTTGTATGGTTTTGTGTCAGTTTGCACCTAAGGTTGTTTCATTCTTTTTCTCTTGATATCGCTTGACGCATGACGCTGCAAAGACTATTCGAATGTCCTTTAACATTGCTACAAAAGATAGGCCAATATACAATTACCTGTCAGAAAACCATAGGAAGGCATGTGATGTACAGCCCGTTACATATGATTGACAGTCAAATCCCTGAACCGACTGAACGAAAACCAGAGGTGTCATGATGCGTTACTGGTATACCAGCGCCTTCTCCTTTCCCTTGCGGTCAGTGTTCGCTGTGGTTCGGAGTTTGTGAGAGACAGGATCTCGTCAAATAGGCCACTGCTTGGCCGTTGATCTGACTGAAGGGGAACAGGTGACTCCATCTGGGTAGGATGCAACGCCAGAGTTTCGTGTTCTTCGCATGGCAGCATGATGAGAACAGCTTGGTCGGACTGAGGCAGGCGATCTTGTTGAGTTGATATTGGGATGTCGAAGTCAGAGGTTGGATATGGTGGACCTGCAGAGGTTCTCTCTACCTCGGGATACAATGCAGAGGCATTGTGATATCCATAGTGGGTCTGCTCTGGCATATCGATGCAGAATGAGTCAACGCTCTCTCTGGAAGGATATGGAGGGCCCTGAGGAGCTACCGAAGGTAAATGTGCGTCCGAAGATCTACAAATATCTTCCATCGTAGAAAGACTTGACAGATTGAGGTCCTCGCCCAGTGTGTCCGTAGAGAATTGTCCATGCAAATCATGTCCAAGAGCTGATACAACTGCATGTCTTTGGTCTCGAGAGATCAGATCGTGAGGAAGCTCGGTGAGTGATGTCAATGCCGGTTCGAAGATTGTAGGTTTGGGATCGATCAAAGTCGTCCTTGTTGAAGATTTCCCGCGTAGGCTCATGGACGACGGATTGGATCTTTGCAACCGCTTTCGATCAAGGTACTCGCTCTCTTGGTAGGAGGGTGGTAATTGCAACGCTTCTTGATTCGAGGAGACGATCGTTGGTATTGACAGCTCACCATTCTGGTGGTGTCGAGTCGCTCCAGGACCGGTGCCTTCCCTCGAGCTGAGCATGGTAAGAGCTGTGTTGAGACTCTGGCTGGTCAAAGTGAGTCTGGCGAAGTTTGTCGCAACCTTGGGCGAGTCACGAAACACAAAGAGTGCCCGATTGACAAATCCTATCTTCCCGGCATTCGTTTGCATATCCACTCGAGCTGGCTCTACGAGGGAGGCAACGTTGTTCAATGTTTTTTCTGTATCGTTGATCACTCGGTCGACCCATTTCTTCTCTTCGGCCTGAAGGAGACCGGATTTTTGTCGACGCAACGACCGGACAGTCTCCACTGATGCTGTGACGTGACAGGCAGAATCAAGCAAATCACGCGCTTGCCCGGTCACAGCGATCATTGCGTAGACAGTTTGACCGATCTTGAACAGCCCGTTCAGAACCGGGCCAGCGCCCAAGAGACCTTCAACCATTGTTTATTGCGAGGCTCGATACTATGTTGAGGAACTGCGACCGCAAGCAAGTCCAAGTACTGATACCGTCCGTTTTGGCCGTATTGTACGTTGTGATAGTTAGCTTGGATGAGAACAGAAGTCTCAAATTTGACTGTGTTGACTCCCGCGGAGGTGGCCTGAAATCTCGGGCGCTGTACGCGTGATGTGATGGCCGGCCGAGGGAAGCAGGAAGTCAGCGCTAAGATACGTATGTGTATCGTGCAATCTGTATGATACTGTACATGTACACTCATGCTCAGGCTGTCAATCACCGGGCGCTGTTCATGCCACTTATACATTGTGGCGGAATCCAGTGCGCGGTCTAGAGAGAATCGTACCATACCATACCCAGCTAGGATACATGATTCTAGAGCTGTCGTAGCGCCATGCGGAAGACCGACTCGTGGTAGGCGACAAGCTGAGCATGGTTATGCAGCAAGATTGGCTAGCGTTCAGGTATGCTGCATGCAGCATTTTGCTCGGGCCGCCGCGAAAAGATCTGCAGATTGCTGCATAGCTCCCGCTCAGGTCAGGTACTTCTGTCTCTTCTATTATTGCCTGTGATCTTTTTATCGAGCAACTCTACCTGGTGTTCGTGGTCCTTTCGAGTCAGGTCCTAGGCCACGTGTTGGCTTCGGGGCCATAATGACTGGCCTATATGCCGATTCTGGGCACAGGGACGTGTTGAGGATAAAGGAGCGACAGATACTGCTGAGAGCACTGACGATGAGCGTCTGTCTCCATGTTTTCTCATGGATACACACGGGTTCGATTTCTACCAAGCCTGGCACCGATATTGACACGGCTATCGTCTGTGCAAGGACATAGTGAAGACAACGGCCACAGCCATCAGCCTTGTCACCAACACTTCGCTGCAACATAGCGATATCGTTTCTCCATGAGTCTCAGCCTCCATCCAACACCGGAGCTTTTCATAGACTCCTCTTGGCAGGTCGAGAAATTACGGCGACTGATCAAAGCGAACTGAAAGCTGTTTGACCACGATACGTGCGAATGCAGTCAGGTTGCACAACAAACTCGAGGTCCAAGTCGTCAGAACAGGCTTTGCAGAGGAAGTGCTTCTACTCTACCTTACGCCCCGGAAGAGAGTATGGATGAAACTAGTTCTGGATGTTGAAGAGAACGTGAGCAGTTGTGTGTCACTGCATATCGCTGTGCTGCATGGTTGGACTGTGTCCGTGGAATCATTTCAGAGAAAGAAGTTCTTCGCGGATGGAATCTACCCCACCGGTGCCACCTTGGAAGTGACGGCCCCACATCTCTACATCCCGATGACGGTGCCGATCATCGGTAAGAATTGGAGGATTCTTACTAGGCCCTTTGTGGACAAGCCAATAGTAGCCGGTATCTCACAGGTCTTTGGGAAAGCAGGGCCAAGAGTCCTTCGATGGAATCCTGTCTCTACATGCCTGGGAATATATTCAGAGTCAACGCGGGGTGGTAGCGAAGCTTGTCAGATGCTTCGACGAAGCTCATAGCATTCTTCTTGCCTTCTGCATGATCCAAGACCAGAGGACTGACAGCACGAAAACCGCAGACCTCATATAGCGTTCGTCTTTCGCAGCTACTAAACTTTGGCTAGGCATGCAAAAAGTAAGGTCGACGTTGCCTGTTTGTTCCTCGGATGATCCTTCCATGTTTGTGTTGCAGATTCGAGGAACGCGAAGTCTGTCATCGCTTATCGCCTTTCGCGTCGTCCTTGTCGTGTATCGTCCTGTCGCATTCTCTTCCTACCCGCATCTCAGAGTCTTTACTCCCCACTCACGCTCACTGCCTCCCCGGCGTTCGCTTTGACCGGCTAAAGAAACTTCATCAAGGGGCTCGTCGGCAGAACAAACTTGATAACGGGCGGCGACTGGGCGTTCAGTCATTGCCGCAAGCCACTTCGCAGTTCGGCGCAGGTCGGTCATCGCACAAAAATCGAGCCATGCTACAACCTCACGCCCCTGGAACCAGGAGTTCGAAGCGTGGAAGATCTGTGCGATCCAGCGACTCTCAGTTCATTGCGTCTGTGATTCGAGAGCAAGAAGTGGATTCACGATTTCCACTGAACCAAACGAAGTTCCTGATCAACGGTAAGCTCTATCCTTACAGCGAGGTGGCGCGTCGCATTCGCAGAGCAAAACAACCGGTAACCCATTGGTCGGACGAATTTGAAAAGGCGCCCGCACAGCCTGATCATGTTCAAATTGTATCTTCCCCAACATCGGACATGAGCGAGTACAATCTTATGTCACCCACTGGCCATATCAAGAGTTGTCCGAGGGAGCATCAACCAGAACGGCGGTCGAGTGTGTCCGGAATACAAGCTCGCTGGGCGGAGCTTATGGAACGCTCGATTCAGAACTGCTTCCTGGACTTGGTCACTTCCGAGGAGAACGCGACAATCTCTCCTACACTATCCTACCCTGACGAGCAACTGGTACCGGCGAAGTTCTACTTTAATATTTTCAAATACTTTAGGGGGGCTCACGACAACGGCCAATTCGTCAGAAACGAAGTAGGTGATCTGGTCAGTCATGCTTCTGCCAAGAGCTCTGCAAACGTCAAAAACTTCTACAAATGCTGCATCACCGCCATCGACCTTATAGAACGAGGCTACCCTACTCAAGGATTCGCCTTGGTTTCAGAAGCTCTATGGCTGATAGAGGAACTACTGGAACAGCGAGACCCAAAGCTGATAGACACCATTTGCGACGTGTCTGTAATCCTCCTTACGAAAGGATGGGACCAGGTGTATGACATATTGAATGCTAGGATTTGCGGTATGGTCGAGATTAGTGCCTTGCGCAAGGGAGAAGAGTCTCATCCGTGGTCGCAGATCTTTGCCTGCTGGCGGAAGCTACCCACATCGCAAGCACTCGAATTTATGCGTCGAGGTTGGCGGTGTGGCTACGATCAATTTGAGGGTATCTCTTCTGGATTGGCATGGGAGGGACTCAACATGTCCAGCACCTCGAGTCACTCGTTGCGCATGGGAGACCACACTGCGCGACTCCACCAGGAAATAATGTCTGCTTGGTTTTCTGTGCCGGATCCTTCTGCATTGAGCAGTATGCGACAGCAGTTTGCTTGTGGCAACGTCCTCTTCGACGAGAAAAACTACCGCGAAGCTTTGGGAACCATGGAGTCTATCGTCTCAAGATGTGCCACCGCGAGAGAGAAAGGCGACCAGATGTGGGTAGCAATGGAGATTGAGGCGCTCGAAGTGGCGGCACGATCCAGTTACGCTATCAGCACCAAGCCGGGCAAATTGAATGATGTCGCTCCAGCGATTGCACTGCTTGAGACTGCCATCCTGCGAAGTGAGAGTGTATGGGGTACCGGATCCGCCACGACGATAGCCCTGCAACATACCTTGTGGTTGTGGCTGTTAGACGATGACCAACATGACGAAGCCGACCACTTGCGAAAGCTCATGGATGCTGTTGTGATCAAGTCTGAGCCTGAGGTATCTCATCTTTCGATGAGATGAAGGCGTCACGCATGGCTCATGAGCGACTTCGAGAAGAGCTCGGGAAGAGTACTTGATCTATCTTGTCCTTTTTCTGTTTCCTGACATGAACGCACGATAGCCCTGTGATTCTCCCCAAATCGGATACTCCTGGGCCACGGTCTAAATCAGGATGACTTGTATAGTCGCCGTCTTGTCCAGGCTTCCTTAGCCGCTACGGAATCGAAGAAGGCTGCAAGAAAGCAACATGCTCCGATCCAAACTTGAGACCCAATATAACCACCACTCACGTCATTGATTGCCAGCGCAACGGGCGAACTGATCAGAAATCCAATGCCTCCAGCCGCATATACCATACCTAATCTGGTTCCTAGTACTGCCATGCTCGGGCAGAGATAAGGCAGTACTACAGCAGGAAGCGTGACGACCATACCGCTAATGAACCCGTATACGACGAGCCAGACTATATACCCTGCCAGGTCGCGAATGGCATTCCAGCAGAAGCTAAGGATGCCCGTCGTGATTATTGCTCCTAACAGCATTATCTCTCCGCCAATATGGTCAGACAGAAGTCCTCCAAGGACACGGCCGAAAAGCTGCGATCCGTTCAACACCATAAGCAAGTAGAAAGACAGATTTGCCGAAGCCGACAATGCCTGCTCCGCGTATATCGTGACCAAGAAAAACGGCACGAGAACCCCAGCGAAGAGTAAAAGGCCGGCAATCATGAAGCAGAAATACGGTAACTCGGTCATTGCCTTGACATCCAGGGAGCTGTCGCGCGGAACGAACTCCGATTGGTATGACAAGAGCGACCGAAAGCAGCATCGTCGTTAGGGCCAGAAAATCCATTACTCTATTGGTCCATGCGAACCCGACATGATTGAGCAGTTGGCGAAAGATTAGAGGATACAAGACGCCACCGAGTGAGCCGCCTGCGGTTGCCAAACCAAGTGCAAGTCCTCTGTTCTTCTTGAAATACAGGGGAATAAGTGCGACACTTAGAATATACAGGAATCCAAGGCAGACGCCGAGAAGTACTCCTTGCGATAGCATGACCGAATAGTAATCTCGGGTGAGGCTCAACATCATTCGAGCGAAGACAACACCTAAGCCTACGAAGATCTGGATCAAGCGAAAGTATTCTTTGTCGAACAATGGTCCAGAGAAAGCGCCGATTAGGAGAAGAAGAGCTCCTGCAGCCTCCCGATCCAGGCAATATTGGAGGCACTATGGCTTTGGAGCAGCTCAAACTGATAGTATGCCTGGTACACGCCGAAACTATTCGCCAGCCCCCAGTTGTTCTATGCCCATCCATATCAGTGCTGTCTTGTCATATCTGTGTACTCGAATGGGGACTCACCATATTTATCAAGAAACTTCCCACCACTTGCAGCCAAGCTGCCAGACCACCGTCGGGTTGGTACAAAGGCGGACGTGCGTGTGACTTCATCGCTTTCCTCAGGTGACGTGGTAAATGTGTACCACCAGACTCCGCTGATCTTTCGCTCGAGACATCCCTACGGTAGTGTTCGAGCGTTTCTTCCATCTTTTCCCAAGCTCTGATATCCTCTTCGTCATCGCTGTCAAAGTCGGAGTACTCCTTGATTGATACGCCATTTGCAACGGCTGCACCGAGTTTCGAGACGGTTAAGTGCTCATATATCAGTGAAGCGTTGATCGGAGGGCTGTCCCTCGATCTGGCTGCGGTAATCGCTTTGGCAAGACTCAACACCTGGAGAGAGTCCCCTTTGCCTGACTTCCATTCCTTAAGCCATCGGTCTTGATGATTCACGGCAGCAAATTCCATCTCATCGGCAGTAGTACGAAGGGCCGGAAAGAGAGGGTAGAAGCTGTTGGCTGGGCTACAGGAGGCAGTGGTGGTGTCAAGGGCGGCCGGGTCCGGGACTTCGTGATCAAAGGCTCACATTTCGTGCCCATGGACAATCCGTCAGAAGTGGCAAAAGCGTCAGCAGACTGGTTTGGGCAGGAGATGGAACGATGGACTAACTCAGAGCGGGAAGAAAGATCTTCTCAGGAAGCTTTGCCGGTAGGACAGAGAGTTGAGTTGAGTGATGACAGGGAATTTTGGGTGAAGAAAGTCTATGCCAGTCGGCAGCCTGGTGGGGCGTCGTCGGTAGCCAAAGCTGCGAAGTTATAGTCTCTCAGGCCAAGTATACTTGTGCCCGTAACAACATTCTTACGCCCGCTCAGGTCGACTCTATGGCACCGTGCTGCCCTCAATACGCCACCTCGGTCCGATCATAAGGGACACTCACTTTGCTACAAATTCGCACCTTGCATGATTTGGTGTCATGGGCGCTGCGCGCAAAGTTTCTACGTTTATCATGACTGCCTGTTAGTTTGTGCTATATAGCAAACTTATCAGAACATTTCATTTGTCGAGTCATCGCTCCGGATCGTGTGTACGCCTTGCTTCCTCACCCATGAGGTATTTCCCCCCGCGAGTAGTGGTTTTGGCACAAATGGTGGAGAGGAGAGAGTCAGTGTCGACGTGGATGTAGGACATCTTGACCGCAAGCTCGTCGAAGGCCTCTACGTACCACGTTCCCTCAGGAATGCCGACTTTGGAGGAATCTCAAGATAGATGCATTCCATCCACCAATTGGCAAATACAGAACGATCGGAGAGTTCAAGAATACCGTCGACGACAATCGCTATGCCAGCAGGAAGGCGAGCGCTGTCGATCGACATCATTAGACAGGGTCACTGAACAAAGATATCTCTCGATAAACGCGCCAAAGGTATTTCACGGGCCATGAACCTGATCAGCCTTCCTCAACCTGCCTGCTCCCTCTCTTCCACTCACCGTTCCAGTTGCTTTATATTTTGTCGTCAAGATAGGAGGGTATAGGCGGTCGAATTCCCTGGTGAAGAGGGCAAGACCGGATACCTTCGCTTTATGTATTGAGCTATCATGCTCGCCATCCCCGAGATGCATATGGATTCTCTGTAGCGCAGTGATAAGTGTCTCGCCATTCTCGGTATCAAAGCGATTGCGGTGACGAAGTTCCTCTTGCATTGGTGCTCCTTGGCCGGATCAGACAACTACGCGACCTTAATGATTACTATGAATCTTTTGAAGCCCATGCAAGCAGCTCCATTGCTTGGAATGTCGGTAAATTTCTTCAGCACACCACAGGCACTCTTTGCCTGTGAAGTTGATTTTTCGAGTGGAGCCAGACGGCAAGTATTGGCTCTCGTGAACGAGGAGGTCAAGAATGAGAGCGAGCTATTCGTCCATGCCTTATTCGGAGAGGTTCAGGTACGTGCATATATTCTTCAACATCACCGGTTGCCATCGATTACGACCCAGATCCCTGCGAACGTCGATTCAGAGAGCTCAGTCTCACAGTCACCCTCTGAGAGATCAAAACATCATAGATCGTCAAGTCCACGACACACTAACATCTTGACCCATATCCCTACCATTTGCGGAATACCATAACTCCATGATGGGGTCATGAATTTAGTGTGTTTCTTCTGTTTACCTACTTTTCGCTGCCGACGGCTTCATGAAGCTCGGCTTTGTACGACTCGCAATCCTCACAGACGGGTGAGTCTTCCAGTCGCAGGTTGACTCACGATGATGATGGTGAGATGGAGAACTCTCATGGTAGGATTCATACGTGATCCGTAGAACATATTCCCCTGTTCACCTTTTCAAGTCATTACGCTATGAGAAGAATCAGTCTCTTTGGGCTGTAGACCTGGTGATACATAACACGCCACTTTCTCAACTGATTGCAGAATCAATTGGTGGCGATATGCGCCCTTTGTGGACATAGAGAGGCACATCTGAGAAGGGTATCGCGTTGTCTCTGCGCTGAAATCTTCTGTCAACTTTCTGATTGAGTGGTGGTGGGCGGAGAAGGGACTATGAACAGAACTATCTGAGGAAAAGCAAGCGTTAGCTTGTATGCTATTGGGGACAGTATTGTCTTGAAGTGCTCTGACAAGCCGATGAGGGAACTATGGGCTGATTTCCGCGCGTAAGACCTCCATCAGAGAACTGACCCGCTCCCCTGATGAAGAGCGTAGCGAACCAGGTCGCATCCTGGTCCGTCCAAGCGCATGACGAGGTCACCTGTTCATAGAAGTCAACTTTGCACATGCACTAGCGGTTGACCTTTTGTTTGGTGTCATCAAGTCTGAGATGGCAATGACATGGAACGCATAGGAGAAGAAACGATGACATTATTTTCTCATATTTGAGAGGCTGCATGATCCACCATCTGCTCCAATATTGAACTAGTACCTGTTATCGTACGGTGCCATCAGCTCGCTGTGTTGTACAACTTGAGGAAATCTCGGTGTAGAGGCAGTGGTCTGACACCAAGGCTTGATCGACACTTCTTCTCTGATCTTCGTGGAGAAGCAGACCGACCATTCTCTCCTCAGGTAGTTCTTTACGACATCCTTAATCGTATCTAGATGAATATAATCAGCATGGCAGCCCATGTTGTTAAATTGAGTAGTCAATTGAGTGAGCAGGCCGATTGTGGTGATATTGCCAGTCTCCACGGTATCTTGGTGACGGATAAGTGCTTCAGCGACGATCTCGGCCTGAGTTGCTGGAGAATTGAGTTTCTGAAGCTGAGCCATGGCTAGGTATCCGCCATAGAATTCGAAAGACATAAGAGTGCCACGGGTCTGCTTGTTAACTGTGTCAATATTGTGGAACAAGCATGTCAACAACCATGTCTCGGCGCTGAACTTCCAGTCTGGGAATCGTTGAGACGCGATCGCCATGCCTATGTTTACATCTGTTAGTGTAGAGACGCCGGTGTGAGAAAAATTCCATCTCGCCGTGATAGACAACGCGCATGCTATGATTAAAGGTGTGCTCTGGCAACTCTTGCTTAACGTGCTCCATTACAGCTTGAACAAGAAGTGTGTCTGGCAACGAGATAGCGCTATAGAGCTGTGGAATAGGTGTCTTGTTCTTCTTCTCGACACTGCTTCGTTGTGCGGGGTCGCATGATAGCGATGTCTAGCCATATTCGATAATTTGCTCTTCACGCGACTGGCTCATGATGGAAGTGATAATGAGGGAATAGGTCAACCGAGAGAAAGGAAAGGATGTCTCGAAACTTGATGTTCCTAGGGAATTGCTTTGTTTGATGTATCTGAGATTTTAAGTTGTGGTTACATCATCGTTCGTCAGATGTCTGTCGTCTTTTCTCACGTCCGACCCGTCTGCGTGTCACGATCTTAGGTGCCAAGATTAGCAAGCTCGGTATCACCCTCAGGGCCGGAATTCGACCAACGCGAACTACTCGCGCTACTAGGCGTAAAGTACCGCGTTTCAGGCAACAGCTAAACCCCGGGCGGTACTAGCCACGTGTATAGTCGCGTCATAGTCCCGTTTTTTTCGCGTTGGTCGAATTCCGGCCCTGAGGGTGATACCTTTTCCCATACGACAAGAGTGACTCAATCATCCTCGAAATCGATTTCTTATTAGCTTGCCCTAGGCTTGGTGAACTCTATCTATCTCTTCCTGGCTGAAGATGTTCAACTGCCACGACTTTTGCGCTCCAGGATGCAAAAGTGAGTCATACAAGATTCTTAAGAGTATACTCAGCGAGTATTTGATGCATGCCACCCAAACTTGGAGAACGCAATCCTCTCTTTGCCAAAATTTCCTGCTCATTCCTGTCTTTCCTGGAACCCTACAGTGCACGCCCAACACCGACAATGCCCCCGGATACAGAAGCTGCTGTGACCCTGCGTCACTCTCTGCCCAAACAGCAATCCAATTGGAACGAGGCTATCCGACTCGAACCGGTCAAGCGTAGTGGTAAGGACAGCCAGATCCCAATTGTCCAACAGCGCCAGGATGAGACTTCTCCACCAACCCCACAGGAGAATTTCGATGAGTGGGACAAGAAGGAGGGCTGGCCAGCTGTTGCGGCCGGTTCTGCCATATTTTTTGTATATCTTGGCCTGGTATATTCATACGGTATTGTGCAGCTCCATCTTATCGAGAGCCAACTTGCAACTGTCTCGACTTTGTCTTTCATTGGATCTGTAGGTGCAGCAATGTCTCCTCTTACTGGTATGGTGGTTGCACGGATCATCAAGCGTTTCGGTTGCAGAAAGACTGCGTTTGCTGGAGGTCTCTTCTTAGGCCTCGGAGAGGTCACTGCGTGCTGGTCTACGGGATCAGTGCCTGCCATGTTCATTACCCAAGGAGTTTTGTTCGGTATCGGAGCCGCCCTGTTGTTTCTGGTATGTCCAATTCAATTCTCATTTGCATCCCTGACTCATCTTCGTAGCCAGCTGCAACTGTCCCGTCTTTATGGTTCAAGAAGAATAGAGGATTGGCGACAGGTGTTGTGTTTGCTGGCGCAGGCATAGGTTCTGCTGTGATTGCACTGACCCTCGATAAATTGATCGGCATCACTAGTCTGGAGACAGCCTTGAAAATTCTGGGGGTTTCTGCATGGGCTATCTCCCTTCCAGCATCTTACTTTCTCAAAGCCCCTGCGGGACGCGGTGGCACAGTGGCTGAAGTACCATGGTAAGTTCTCTCTTATGCCAGCGAGTCATTCTCGCATGTAAGCATCAGCGCCTATTTCGTAACGTGAAATTCCTCATCATGCTCTTCATGGGAGCAGTAGCAACATTCCCTCTTTTTGTCCCCCCATTCCTGCTCCCGCTCTATGCTGCATCGGTCGGACTCTCTAGCCAGACCGGCGCTGCCATCCTCGCGGCTTGGAACATCGCCTCCGCTCTTGGTCGTATCGGCATGGGGTTTGGAGCCGATGCCTTCCTAGGGCCCATCAACAGCCTACTCATCTCGCTTGCTCTTATTGGACTGAGTGCTCTCGCACTTTGGCCCTTCGCTTCCTCCCTCGGGCTTCTTATATTCTTTTCTATCCCGAACGGCATCGGCTCCGGTGGCTTCTTTAGCTTGATGCCCGTCGTCGTTGGATCGATTTTCGGGGTAGGGCAGCTTGCAGGTGTCATGGCGATGCTGTCTACTTTTCGGACGTCTGGATATGTCATGGTAAGATCATATACAACTTACTGATCATGGTTCGCATTCAATTTCAATTTGCCATGTGGGCGAAGTGAGACTGAATATAGGCTGACGATATTTTGAGACAAGGAAGGCACGTAACATTATCTGTTCGTAAGCTATGAGTGTCGAGGAGGCAAATCATTGTCCCATTATAGCAATGATTTGTACCTGACTGCCTCTCTGATCATCGACATGTACTTCTCCACGACGATTGACTGATGTTTCTTGTTGCGAACCAGTGTCTAGCAAGATCCTTGTAACAAGCACACTGACGGTCAAGTTTCGGCAGGTGAACTTGCGCAGCAACAGAGTATATGCATGGCTTCCGATTTTTCCAATGGGTCAAAGAGCTGACGGCAACAAAACTATTTTTCATTTATATGACCTTATTACCAAACTCATTCCAGCCGGCCGTAGCTTCCACAAGCAAATCATCTACGCCTTCAGCCATGGTTCTCACGCCATTTTCCTCAGTCCACACCACCCTGCTTCCCCAGAACAAGAAACTCCCCGGACTGCCCTCCCACCTCCACTGACAGATCCTCCACGCAACCCACGCATAATGCCCACACTCATCAATCTGACCTTTAATCTGACTGATTGGCGAATACAAACTCAATAGCCACCATTCCCACCGGCCCGGGAACATGCGAAACCATTCAGCGCCCATCTTTTTGTAGCCCCAGTAGGCGGAAAGCAGTTGCATTATATCAGCCATTGCCACAGCGATGGCGCCGATATCCTTGAATATCGAGCCATAGCCGGTGAGATAGGCGAGTGGATTGAGGTAGGACCAAGTCCAGTGCATATGGGAGAGATGAGCGGGATTACAGGCGATGAAAGCGATGGGTTGACGGAAGATGGAGATGAGGAGACTCGTTGCCACAAGACATATTCTGGCTTTGTGGACCTTTTCGGCGTAGTAGTCGTTGCCTTGGAACATACTTTGCTGGAAGAGAGTTTCTTTGCATACAGGACATGTGTTTTTGCTAGAGTTGATCCAGTCGAGGATATCCTGATTGCAGAAGACATGGCCGCAAGAGAGTTTTGTGGGTGAGTTTGTTGCGTCTAGTTCATCCCAGCAGGTTGGGCAGTGCTCTCCTTGCACTGGTGTTGGGTGTTCTAGTGGTTTTAAGGCTGCCAGATATGGCTTTTTGGTCGGTAGAAGTAGATACTCTGGACTTGGGATTTGTGAGGGAAAGAGGTGGTTCCAGAATATCGTTAGTGTGAAGATGAGGGCAGCATAGACCGGGTATTTGAACAGCGGAGCTGCGAAGCCAGTAGCCAGGACCAGCGTCTTGAGTAGTCGTGGCATTATGTTGTCGTCTTGCGTGTCGTCTGGCGAAAGAATATATTGAAGAAAGGAAGCTGTTTGTGCTTGGATATAAATGGTGTTTGTATTAAGGTTATTCTGCCGAGAAGGCAGCGGAGGATGTGGGGCACGCGCCGAATCCTTCGACAGACAGGCGCATCGAGTTATCAGGACCAATGAACACCTGTTGCGATGAGCTTTTATCGCAATGAACAGGTGTTAAAGAGTCATGTAGAGGCAGATGGCGCAGAGTGGTGTAGAATTACCTGGTGGAGGCTGAGAGACTCTATATCCGGATATCATGATCACCTGCACCGGAACGAGCGGGCAGGACAAAACTCGCGCCGAAGATCACTTGAACGACGATCATAGGAGCTATCTCTGGCGAAAGGTCATTCCACTGGGCGACTATATACATAATGATTCCTCCCTGAATGGTAGCCGTTAATAGCCAGAGATGATCAGATAGTCTAGAATGCAGTCAAGTAGATTGGGGTAATCTTGTGTAGAATAGTTTTTGTCTTGATATGCTGTCATGACAAAGGAAAAAGGTATGTACGTTGTGATCATCAAGTTTTCGTCATAGGGGTTTAGCGAAAGAGCGCTGGGTTGGAGTGCTGAACAGCACGATGGCCATGGAGTTTCCTACGCGTCCGCTGATAATAGACTGCACCCATGCCGAAGAGGATGGCTAGTATCGCAGTCCGCTAGGTATGGTCTTCAAAGTCGTCGGTGACTTTCGTGTGACTTGTGAGACTGGAGCTTTCCGGACTCTTGCACCTGTGTCTCTGCGCTTGGCTATGATGGTGCGAACGCATCGGGTAGGGATCGAGTGTCAAAGCTGCCATGAACGATGATCCAGTGTCTATCGTAATTAAGCGGCCCTTTGAAGGCAATGTTTTGACCGCTAATCGTCGTTCTGACATTTTGGAGGGAAGCCGGCTTCCTCTCTCGGGTTTTGGCGGTATCGAATATAGAGGCAGGACATGCCGTTCAGTCATACTGCTCATGCTGCTTGTGCAAAGCTTTACGCATCTCAGTGTTCCCGATGCATCCAAATCCGAAGGCAGGCAAGATACGGAAGCATCGCACGATAGTGGTAGAAAGCAAACCAGAACGGGTGATTCCCACGACTCTCTCCATCCAAGGCACATGGTGCTGTCTCGTTGTGAGATCCAAGCCAAGTAGATGCAGCGGCGTCGCAACAATCTGCGTCAGAGCGGGTACTGATAGCTGAGAGATGGTCTGGGGGGAGACTGCCAAGTTGTCCGGGACAGCTGCGGCTAGACGCGGCGCAAAGGTAAACGATCCGAACAGCGTCAACGCGTCACGTACGAGCCAAACAGTTGTTGCGGAACGTGAAGGACGGAGTTTGGGCATGGGGACTGTTGCAGTCGCTGCAGCTGCAGCTGTGTTGGCTACTCGGGATGGCACCCGAGCGAACATCTGAGCAAAGCGAACATCCTTGTAGACTCCGAGGGGGACATTGACCAGGAACGCAGAAGCACCGACGATAGCGCCAACATGCTCCGGGGTAAGTCGTTCTGAGATTGTTTCTGCGACATTGGCGACTCCATAAGTGCCAGCGTAAAGACTCCAGACAATTCCGAATGGCAGTGATAGCATGAATTGGCGGGGAGATTTGAGCAGCGACCAGGCTTGATGACGGAGACTTCTCAGCAGAGGTTGGTTTGATGCGGCCTTTTCAACAATGGCTCTGTCGATGATGGTCACTGTGGGAGCGACCAGAGTAGCGGAGAGAGCAGCAGCGGTGATATCACCGGCTAGAAGTTCCCATATGCGTGTGCTTCTGGTAAAGATGAAGGATGGCGACTCTCTGTGTGTTTGGTGTTGCATGTCCATCTTCACGGCCGATTATGATGGAATGAGAGTGGGTGTGAACGAGTGTGAGTAGGAAACGATTGCGATGAGAGATGCAGGTCAAGAGCAACGACCCGACCTGTTATCTGCATGACGAGTCAAGGCATTTTTCTCCTGACACATCGGATGTTGTTTGACGAAAGTTCGGTTTGCGGCGGCATTGTTTTTGTTGGAAATTAGAGCTGTGCACCGATGCACGCTGGGGATCGGTCAGTGCGGCCACTCGGCGCGCTGATACTGACTCTTCCATCTTTGAATCTCCAGAGGTCATTGTGGTCGTTGCTTCTTGGTATCCCTGACTAGTCGGTATCCCTGGTATATTCCACCTACACATGGCACAGTGTACTTGACGACTGTCGGGAGCCCTGCCGTACAGCTATCGAAACGCGTACCGTGACGCTGCGGTTGAGCTTTTTGGGAGGCCGATTCTTTGCCGCTTGTGGTTAGCGCCCATGTCATGGTATCGCATCTTATCAGATTGATGTCTGGATGGTATCCGACCGACACCGAGTCACGTCCGCCGTCCACCTCGGCCTTGTTTTCATCGTCCTGTAGGTGGTTCAAGAGCATGTTCTCCTTTGCCTGGGTCTTCTCACAGTCTGTTCGACCATGTCTCCGACCATGGACACGCACTCCTTTTCTACCCAGCCATGTATCCTTCTCTTCCACACGCCCAATCGCCATCACAAGAGTCCAGCGCGAACAAGAATCCGAACAAGCGCGTGCCGCCCGCCTAGCCCGGAAGCGTCAGTACGAAAAGACACGTCTTGCGAATGAGAACGATCAAGAACGAGAAGCACGACTTTTCCGACAGCGTCAGTACAACAAGCTGCGGCGCGCGAATGAGACTGCTGAAGCGCGAGCTGCCCGTCTGGCTCGTATGCACGAGTACAGAACAGCTTGTCGTGAGTGTGAGACTGACAAGCAGCGACAAGAACGCTTGGCTCGTGAACGACAAGCCAGGGCCGACTCGCCCCAGAAATTCCTGGCCTACCAGCGCAAGTTCGGGAGGAAACCAGAAAATAGAGAGAAGACGAAACAAAAGAACAGAGAGTATCGCAAAAAGCATCCCGGTGTGGAACATCTACAGCATGAGCAGTTGAGCATCCGGCGTGCGACCAGACTTGTCGAGCAGGTCTTCTCCGGTCGCTCCAAAACCATAGCCAACACTTACACATGGAAGACGCACACCCCTGTCAGCTTCGATGACAAAGTCGAGCATCACTGTACAGCTTGTCATCGGTTCCGCTTCTTGAAACACTGGTGGAAAGAGAAGTCCCGTCCAGAAACAACGGAGACAAGTTCCAATCACGACCGCTACATGTGCAGTCGCTGCTTTGCCAACGACTGGAATCTGGTCGTGCCCGAGACCTTTTCTGGCAGACTGCCTAGATTATTCACCTCTCCAGACTACCCTCCGCCATTTCGAAAGGAGCGACTCAAGGCTAACAAATCGGCACACGATATCAAGAAGCAACACGAGGAAGATGAAAAAGAAAACGAGCGTTCTTGAGCAGACCTAGGGTCATGTTACGCAGTCTGGAGTCGCACACTCTACACTGATACTCAACGATCGTTCGACGGAGTATAGGCCCCGCCCTCCAATAGCTCGAGCAAAACTTGCCCAATCTCCCAGCCCATGATGTAGCACGAGACTGCGATCATGTCAGGCATGTGTCCTTCAATTCTCATCATCATTTTCATAGCAGCAACACACATGGACCCCAAACACTGCCTCCAAACCAGCAATTGCACGACTCCCGATCATGTCTTGTTTAACCCCCACCTTCGAGGCCCATCATCACTTCTTCACGTAGATAGGCGTGGCTCTCGAGTGTCTCCTCCGCCTTGCAGGGCTCGCAACAAAGCAACGCACTGTCTGCTTGTCACGTCTGGTCGGCTCACATGTTCTGAATGATGTTGCCGCCTCACCCCTGGATCCAGCGTTGCTTAGTCACATGGCATTAGGGCTTCGGCTTTTTATCAGTTCTCACTTTTCGCGACGCGCGAGGTACACCAAGTCGGGGATTTCTTACACAGCAATACCTCAAGGCAAGCGAAACACACGTAGCTTATCTCATGCAAAGATGTCGGTTATCGAGCAAGACATCATAAACCCTCGATTAAAGGAGTGACTCGGTTGGATATTATGACGACAGGTAAAACAAATTGCAAAAGACAGACGAAAAGAGACCAAACCTTTCAAATCACTTCAAATCGTGCACCATCACACTTCCACTGCCTCAATATCTCAATTTCACACTCGTCACTCCCATCTCATTGTCTTACACCATCACCCTTCCTTCCTACAAACACCCACCAAACAGCTCACCCCACTGCCCACCTTGCCCCCCTGCTCAAGCACACCACAGACCTGCCTTACCGCCTCGACTTCCGCATCTTCCCCACCCATTTCCCTAGCCAACCTATACACCCACTGTTCCCAGAGCCTAGCGCCTAGCAAGCCAGTGACTGGGCCAACGGCCGCGGTGCTGCCGGTGTATGCTGGAGGGTAGAAGGATGGTTTGCCAGAGGCGTCGAGGAGGGGTTCGCCCGAGGGGGAAAGCATTGGGGTTTGGTGGTGGATCGTGCCTGCGGGTTTGATGGTTTCGTCGTTGATGGCCGTGTCAGGTGAGTTGGGAGGGGCTGACGAAGAGTTTGAGGATGTTTTGGATAATGTAGCGGGAGTGGGTCTTGTGGCGGCGGACTTCTTGGGAGAGGTGAGTTTCTTTGCAGCAGTGCCTTTGTCTGTCTGGGTAGGTTTCTTGCCGCCTTTGACGCCTACGAGAGCAGCAGGAGGAGCAGGAAGAGCATTGGCAGGTAAAGCACGGTTGGGTGCCTGCGCGACCATAGGACTCTTGATAGTCTTGCCCTCATCCTTCCACGTAGGTTGCACTTCACCCATACCCAAGAACATCCACATCCTCTTGACATCCCTGAATCCGGCATCTTCAAGTCTTTCCAAGAAGTGCTTCGTGGGTTCTCGTTCGTAGCCGCGTTGCTGCAGGTTGTATCCGAATTCTGCATTCATCACTTGGCCCCAACAGTCTGCTGTGACGTTGCTGAGGAGGGCGTCGATGAGGCTGAAGTCGAGGTATCCAGAAGGTTTGAGCACACGATGCAGTTCGCCGAGTGTGGAAGTCCAGTGTTCGGTCTTGAGGAGCGAGTGCAAGGTGCGTGTGGAGATGACATCGAAGGTGTTGTCTGCGAATGGCAGAGAGTAAGGCTTGTCGACGTAGACGGAGACGTGGTTGCAAGGGGCTCCCAAGATTTCCGTGCTTTCGTCAAAGTAGACTGTACAGACTTTGGCGGTGGGAAAGGAAGTTGCGATACACCAGCCCCAGTCTGCATTGGGCTTGCCTCCGAAGTCGAGGATCTGGGGTGCGGTGATGGACTTCATGTGTGCAGTAATTTCTTTGGTCAGCAAGGCACCGCCACGGATGTATGACAGCGCTTCGAGCTCCCAGAACTGTGGAGACACTTGCTCAAGGACCTGACGCTCCCTTTCGACAGCAGCAATAGTCTCCCTCTTCTCGTCGTCTTCAGGCGAGGGGGTAGGTAGCATGGTGGAAATTGGGCGACTGCACACTGGCCGACTGGGCTCTGCGATCTCGAAGTCATTGTGCAGCGTGCGCAGGTAAGCGGACTGGAAGTTGCGACGCTGGATGTGCATGGTCTCGAGGCGAGATTGGCGGTGAACAAAGACGTCTGATGCATGACGGCGAGACATGATTGATCTGAAGCCGGCAAGGAAGATAAAGTCTGTGTCAACATCTGAAGCGACAACCACAGAAGGTGAAGCAGGCGCAGAGACTGTTGTCGTCGTGTTCGTCGATGGTCTTGGTGATGGCGCAGTGCCAGGCGCAAATCTCACGCTCTTCTTAGACGGACTATTGTTAGCCGACACGAGCGATGGCGAAGTCATGTTGGGCGTAGTTGGCGACATGACCTCTTTGCTAACCATGGTGAACTGGTCTTCTAACCAACCCTTTGTGCGTTCAAAGTGAGCCAACGCTGACTGTTTTAGTTTCTCCTGATATTGCTCGTTGTACTCGCTGGACAAGGGCAAACGTACGTTGGGGATGATCTCTGCGACTTCGACTGTCGGGTCGATAGATGAAAAGACGTCCTTGATTGCCGTAGGTGGACCGGAAGGAAGTGCAGAAGTGACGATTGTTGTTGTTCGCACGCGTTGATGTTGTTCACTTGCGCTTCCACGCCAGGGAACACCATAGAACTTTTCCGCAACGCTGGTCGAGGGTTCCGGTTTGCGGATTGCCCAAGTCTGTGCGGCTACTGGAGCAAGTGAAGAAAAGAAGCCACCAGGTGAAGGCACACTCAAAGCAGAAATTGGATCTTGTGCAGCTGGGTCCTCAGAGTCGACTGTCAGCAAAGCAAAGTCTAGCCGTACGGGAGTGGTCTTGATTATTTCTCTCATCTCGAGCGACGCTTCTTCGGGCACTTCGAGTACAGTCTCAATGACCATTTCCCTAGCGACCTCTTCCGGAGACAGCTGGTGTAATGTTTCGAATGCATCTGGATGAAGTTGGCAAGGTGGCTCCCATTCATCAACTACTTCCTCTCTCGAAGCGAGATCCGGAGTCGATGGACAACTGCTCAAAGCAAGCTCCTCTGACGTCAAACTTCCATCCAGAGATGGTGTAGAAGTACCACTGGGTACCCTCAATCTCTGAGTCTGCCAGACCGAGAACGCAGAAGAAGATGCCAGTTTGGAGGCAGGCGACAAACCCACAGGTAACAAACCCTGTGGCTTATGGATAGACGGCCATTGGGAAGGAGATGGTATGACAATGGAGGGGTATCTGCTACGTTCCTGGTTTCCCACATGCTTCTTGACAGATGCAGACAACTTCAAGGGCACTTCTTCACCTTCACTGTCCGTAAGATCGTAGAGGCTGTCAAAGCTCGATTTGGAATCGCGTTGGCTCCACATTGACGAGACTACAGAAGTGGCGTCTGTCGCTGGTGTGATGGTTGCTGCCAACGGTCGGGGTGTGGGCACGTCGTCGGCCATGGGTGAAGTGATCATGAGCTTTGAAGGATAGCGATACGAGGTCAAATTGATCTGAACCTCATCTTCGATCAATGTAACACGAGCCTCCCTCCGAACCTGCAGAGGTGGCTGATAAACTGTTGTTGGTAGAACATATGTCGCCATTATTAGGTATGTTGTATCGTTTTTTTTGCTGTGATTTTCTTTGTTCGATGCTTGCTCGGGCTTTTTGGTGATCTCCCAGTATAATCGTTGCTGTTATTATGAATATATGCAAGTTGACAGTCCGGCCAGCGGATGCGAAGATTGAATCAAAGACAGAGGAAAGAAAGGGCACAAAACACAAAGTCGCAAAAACAGCAGTTCTGAGAAAGAGAAACAGGTCTGGGAATGGGCCTCTCAAGATGCTTAAGTCACTCTACCTTGGCGCTTAATCGAGGCAGTGGAGACCTTGTGGCTGCCACAAATATTGTTTCATACGCAATATCAGCAAGCAGGCAGCGCTGTCGTATATCCCTATCCGGGTTCCAAGAGACTGCCGGGTCAGGCTACCTGAAGCCTAGGCAAGAAGTGCAGGCTGGTCATTGGCTTCCAGGTGAAGACGTGCAGCATCTTTGCAGCGTTTATTGGCAATGGCGGCCATGCCTCGAAGCACACGCATAGGTTCCTGCATTCATCTTGCATCCGCTTTGTTGTGGTTGGTCAGGCTATCGCCCGGTATATGCAGCGCTACGTGGGCGCTTAGAGAGCGAGCCATTGGATGCTCAGGTGTCACACGCTGTGCGACTTGCAGGACTCATATGTCGTGGCATGGTGGTCTTGGCAACGCTCTCCAGAAACAAAGACTCGAGATGACTTGTTTTTCGAGTATGAAGACAATCGTTTCGAATACACATGTTGGTGAAGGAAGAGTGCAGGGCCTGATTAGAGGGAAAAGTCGCCGCTTCAACTAGGGTCGACGTCCCCACAAGCTCGGTCAAATTGGGCAGTTGCGAAAGACCGGCACTGTACATTCCAAAAAACATTTCTCTCTACGAGATGACAGGACAAAACAACAAGCCTCACAATATCGGAGCTCTCACACTTCACATCGTGCTTAGAGGCATCAACGTGTAGTCAGCGGCTGAATCGATGCAATCACGGCTGAAATGTGCTTCAGTCATTGATGAGATGGGGCGACCCTGTTCCGCGTGCGGTCAGTGCGCAAAAACTTTTGCCAAATCACTACGATTACCAAGCATTTGTCGCGACCATGTAGTCTCATCGTCGCTGGGTCGAGTAGCCATTACTTTGCAGATCTGGACAATACATTGTTCTGTTTCCTGAGATCATAGCGCATCGTCACCCTGCCGGATCGCTGGTTCTGAATCCTGATAGGCACCATTTCCACAAACATCTACCAGCGATCATCAATCATGTCGTATCAACGGATATTACGACTGGAGTCTTTACCGGGCGAGGTACTCGATGAGATATGCGACTCTCTCAACAAGAAGGAGTTGAAAGCACTCCGTCTGTCTTCAAAGAGGATATCTTCTATCGCGACCGCCCACCTGGCAAAGGCTTACATGTTCAACCTTTGCTCCTTGATGACTCGACGCAGTCTAAACAAGCTGGCCGAAATATGCGCGCATCCTCAGTTCGGGCCCCATGTCCGTAAGGTACATCTGTCCTCTGGCCGCGTTCACCCCCGAGAGATGCGAGCACTTATCGAAAGAGTTGAAGATATGCAGCGAAGGATACCGCCTCCAACTTCAGCTCAAGTCAAGCGGGCGAAAGCAAAAATGCAAGATGCCATGAACAGATCTACCAAAGAATACGAGCTGGAAGCTTCGGGCGATGCGGTTGCTCTACTTTCCCGCGCCTTTGCCGCACTGCGCTCTTATAGAACACCGATCATCCTGGACATCTCAGACTTTGAAGTGTCGCAATGGGATCCGGTCACTTTGTTTCTTGACAAGTACAACCACTTTCATGGCGAACCAGAATTGTGTTTCAAGTCGACTATGGAGCCTTGCCTTCAAGCAATCTTCGACACCAAGATGCATTTTGACGAGATCGAATTGACTGTCGACACACTCCCGATAGACCCCGACGAGAGAGGCTACAACACAGCTGAGATGCGCTCGGAAGACCTTGCATTGTTTTCCAGCCTGAAATCTGTGTCTCTCGACTTGAACAACACCTTTGACGATGCCGGAACTCAATCTACTGGGCACATACTGTCGTATGCCCGCTCGCTCGAGCATCTGGTCTACAGGCAGGGGTGTAATGATTTAAACCGCGATAGCTGGCTCACACCGGAACAACAGCCAGCACTTTTGAATGACCGCCAGTTTGAACGCGCTGACATTGTCCTGGGATCTGTTAAATCCAGTGGTCTGAAGTCGCTCTGTCTAGAGTACACCCCGATATCATACCTGGTCCTCATCCAAACCCTGGTAAAGCATGCCGATACCTTGACTGATCTACGAATCGCCAACGCATGCCTACGTGGTGGTACCTGGGCTGAGGTTTTCCTATTAGTCAAGAAGACTTGTCGATTTGTAACACAGCTTGAAGTTGAAGACCTCAGCCAGGCCAGACCGGACTTGAAAGATCACGAGTATCGTCCACTCGTGTTGCCTGAGGAATGGACGTTCTTGACAAGTCGTGGACGAGCAGGAGTGGGCGAAGCTCTGGAGGAACTTATTTCGGCTCCATCCCTAGAGACCTTGGATATAATGGACAGAAGAATGCGAGTACAGACCATTGAAGTCGATCCTAACTTTAACACTGTACATTTGTCGGATGATGAGATGGACTTCGTTGTTTAGCGAAGACGAAACCGCAGCTTTGTAAAGCCTTTGGCCCATCTCGGCTACCAGCAACAAGCAGTCACAACTAATTTGCCTGATGAACCTTTGTGTACTTCGAACTGTCCATTGACAGGGAAGTAAGATCGCCCATCTTTACCCCGGCCAAGATACATACCCGAAACGGCAATCCTTCTGACCACTGACCTTATCGCTATCTCTCGACCCCACACTTGTGTTATCTCCATGTTTGCGGCTATGGAGGAAATACATATATCAAGGTGCTCAAGACATGTTGAGGATAGAAAGTTTATTCTCACAAGTCACATCTTGCTCGTCGCCCAACATGATCGCTGCCACCGAAGTTCTCAAAGCTTGGGAGGCTTGTGACAAGACAGATTCAGCATTCATCCTCGTCTGCAGTGTCTTTTGCTGGCCGATCATCCCCGCTGTCGGTCTTGGATACTCCGGATACTCCACACGACGTAGTGGACTGGCTTCCTTTATGCCAGCTTTGCTAGCTGTCGCTGTCTGTACGATTCAATGGTGGCTATTCGGATACTCACTGGCCTATGGTGAGGGCAATGGCTTCATTGGCGATCTCAAGCACTTTATGCACCTCCATGTTCTGGCTGAGCCCGTTGGAACAATTCCTGCTATTCTTTTCAGCGAATTTCAACTCATCTTCTGCGCCACTGTATGTGCCATCGCAATTGGTGGTGCTTGCGAGAGAGGCAGACTCCTACCTCTTATCCCTTTCATCTTCGTGAGTATCTCCTGCTAGTGACTACTAAGCGGAAAAACAGCTTACACTGGTCACAGCTCTGGGCGACATTCGTCTACTGTCCACTGGCACACATGGTATGGGGCGGAGGCTTCCTCGGACAACTTGGTGCCCTCGATTACGCTGGAGGTGGCCCCGTTCACTTGTGCTCAGGAGCCACAGCAACAGCCTTGAGCATATATTTGTCGCACCCGCTCTTCCGCTCGCGCAAATCTGCAGAAAGATCACCAGCTCATCTGGTGCTACACAAACCACACAACACGTGGAGCCAATTGCTTGCCTTGGTCACCATCTGGGGCTCCTGGCTTGCCTTTGATGCCGGGACTACACTTGCCTTCAACTTCAAGTCGGTGATGGCTATGTGTGTGACGAATTTGTGTGCTGCTTCTGGTGCGATCACCTGGGCTTTCATGACCTACCACGAGACTGGCAAGTGGTCACTGGACTCGACTTTCTTAGGCGCCATCAGTGGTCTTGTCATGATAACGCCTTCGGCTGGTTTCATCGACATGTCCACGGCATTCTTTTTCGGCATCTTTGGTGCGTTCATCTCCAGACAAGCTCTGCGTATCAAGTTCACAGATATGGCAAGAAGGTGGAAGTGGGTTGACAATGGTGACACCTTTGCTACCCATTGTATCGGTGGATTCGTCGGCACAATTGCAACAGGCCTGTTTGCGCAGAAGGGGATCGCAGCTCTCGACGGGACAACCGAAATTATTGGCGGTGTCTTTTTTGACGGCAATGTCAGACAACTGGGTGTTCAGATTGTGGAAGCCCTGATTGGGTTTACGTGGGCGTTCAGCGTCTCGTATATCCTTATCGCCTTGATTGATTGTGTTCCAGGCTGGGAAGTTCTGGCGACCGACAAGTAAGTCTGATTCCAACTCGAAAGTCACAGTCACAACTAATACAGGTATTAGGGATGTCATGATCGGTATGGATGCGTCGCAGATGGGCGAGTCTCTGTACGAAGACCAATGGAAGGGAGAAGAGGATTATCAGCCATTCGCCGCAACGATTCAGCTAGAGTGAGCTTATCGACGGGCCAGTCTTATGAGCATCATATGTATGTTTTTCAATCGACTGTGACAATATGTTCAATGCTGTATGCGTCCCAGCTCTTGTGCCGATTATATGCGTGGAGTGGCAGGTTCCGAAGGCAGGAGTGGTCAAAACAATGTCCAATCTCGGCCTAGTTCAACTGTGGGCCAGCAGATCCATTGGTCAAAGCGAGCTGATTGGCGTCCGCCTGGTGGACTTCTTCTCTCTTCTTGTACTGGCTCGCAATGGTCACATGGAGATATCGATATCGATAGGAAGGCTTACCTGATATAATCGCATTATGGCAAGCATGCTGATGGTTTCCAACGCCTGGATAAGCTGGCTCCAGCGGTTCGGCATAGTCTCGATCGACCGTCATTACATCCACCCCGGCATGCGTCTCTACGTCCTGGGTCTTACTGCAGGCCTCGCACCGGAAGATTGATCGCATCTCAAGCTCTGTCCAGATACGTCAGATAACCAATCTGTATCGTCAAGCATCTGGAATTCATAGCAACGATATCAGCTCTCAAAGATGCCTCCCAAACGAATCAGAGTGTCCGAAGGATCGTGCTGGAGATGTAAAGACCGTCGAGTCTTGTGCGACGTGAAAAAGCCAGTGTGTGCGCGCTGTGAGGCTGCTGGTACCAAATGCGAATATGGCGTACGCTTGAAGTGGGCGAATGGAGTCGCAGCTCGAGGACGCTTTGCAGGTCAACTGCTACCTGTTCAATCACCTACACCGCCACCTCGAATTCGGTCTCCATCGATGCCTGACGATTGGCAAGTGCTTTACTTCTCCCGGGAGGTCCTTCCAAGATTCAGTCTTATGGACGGCGGACCTGGTATCGACCCAGCATGGCTTGTCACCGACTCGTCCATTCACCAAGCAGTCATCGCTGTCGCAAACGCTCATCGATTGTTCAAGAATCATGCCGTTCAGGATGAGACTTTGTCACTGATCAAACAAGCGCGATTGACGGCTATACGATCACTACGAACACGACTTCAGGACTCTTTCGATCTAGCACACGCCGTCACTTTCCCCTCTAGCGTTTTGCTTTGTATGCTGGATGGTATCATAGAACCGCAAGAGGATGGTCCCGCAGCAGCTTTCCATCTTCGTGGCGGACGCGCGATTCTCCAACACGGAAACCACCTCACAGAGGTTTCTTCGAACAAATCAGGGCCAATGTCGTTACTACTTTCAGTCTACGCCACCATGGATCTGACTTACGCGATAATGGGTGGAGAGGCACCACATCTCGGCCCAGATATCTGGCTTCAGCTAGCTGATGGCGAAGCATGGTGGACAGGCATCAGTGACGATCACGCTTTTGTCGATATCATGGCACTGTTCGCGCAACTAGCCCAACTCGGCCACCAAGCCCGCATCACCGGCCTTCCAGTCCCAGTACGGGAATTACTCGAGATTCAACTCACACTTGGGAGGACCGAAACTCGGCTTGATAATTTGTCAGTAACGTCTTTGGCAGAAGATGGCAGTCTGTCTATCGATGCTTTGGCCGTCTTTTGCTCAGCGTACCGAGCCAGCGCCCGCATCTACATGTATCGCGCTCTCTGCAGCCTTGAAATCTCCGATGTGCTGGTACAAGAAAGCGTCCAGGAAGGCATAGATGCACTTCAACAAGGCCCCGAGATTGGAAAGCTTGCGCATTGCTTACTGTTCCCATGTCTGATGATAGGCACTCACTGTATTGATCCTGAGGCTCAGCAGACTGTATTGAGCTCACTGGAGATTGCTGGCGACTATCTCTCTTTCGGATCTGTCAAGATCATGGAGCGTTTTCTGAAGGATGTTTGGGCAAATGGGGATCCCGACACGGACTTTTGGACCATGATGCAATCAGTGTCAGGCAAAGCCTTCATGTTCTGAGTTTGCACGAGAAACGAATCGTCTTTGAACTTTTCATAAGTGCTGAATTCGAGGCAGACTGACCCCGACTCCGTCGCATATCAACGAGGAAGGGGAAGCGCAAGTTCTTGGAAGCAATGAATTTACGGGTTGAGGACTCTTGTCCATGCTCCTGCTTACAAAGTTCTCCTCAAAGCTTCGATCTCTGCAGGAAACTGAACACCAGGTCCCACGCAGCATACACCAAGATCACGCCATGTGGAGTCCTGCGCATGTCGTTGGACGAACTCGGTTTCAGAGCGACTCGAAGCCGTTGGCCGAGCAAAAGTGTGGTATACGCGACGTTGGATGTATTTCAACACTTTCGATGAGGCACACATGCTTTGGTAGTACAGGGATGGACTTTATTCGATCTGTATCGTACTCCCAGTGTTCCTGCATCCAGCGCATTCAGTCCACCAGGAACAATGGCCTGACGACCAAGCACGGTATCGTTGGGATGTAAGGAGCGAGGAGTACAGACGGAATCCGTCCGTATAACAATGGGAGCTAATCTAGCCCCAATACAATTGTGAAACCCTCCGAAGAACCACTTACGAAGGGTTCGAAAGCCTCCAATCCCTCCATGTACATGGTATGGGTTTTGGAAGGATTACCTCCGCCCTTCTCTATGCCATATGGGTAACCTCGTAGCGCTCTGCTCTGTATATAAATCGACCACTTTACCCTCTTGTGGAAGTTGTACAAGAATCAACTATCATCAACACTTCTACCTTCCAATTCAAAATATACCTCCACCACTCGCTATGGCTCAAACATCCAAGCGCATCCTCATCGCGGGCCTTGGCCGCCACGTCGCTGTATCTTACGAAGTAGGACCTAGACTCGGTATCCAAAAGACCAACAGACAAATAGTGCTAGATGTAAGAATGACCTGCGAACCTCTGCACCCAAAACATCGCTCTCATGCTCATCAACCAAACAGGAAATCGACAAAGCCAGAGCTGCAGGCTACGAATGCTCAAGTATGGATGTGAACCCCGAACAGCCCGAAGAATCGATTAATCAGATCAAGAAAATGTTGACGGAACAACGCCAAGATCTGTTCATCATAGGTTTTGGACTCAGAGGAAACGCCGTATGTGGACTTCGACCTACGCTGATGCGTTTTGCCCGCTTATGGACCGATGTGCTGACGACGAGTGCTAGACTCTGACTGCTTTGTTCGAGAAAGCTGTTAATGTGTGTGTCGCACTGTCGCCTAGCACCAAGCTTGGATTCGCACCTGCACCGAATGAGATGTATAAGACGATCTTGAGGGTGCTGTCAGAGAAATGATCGAGTGGAGAAAGAGTGTTTCTTCTGTCAAAGGCTTGCATCATTTTCGACACGGCGCTCCACCGCATTGAGATCTGTAATGGTAGAGCGCTTCCTTCCCATATGCAAACGTACAACGCGTGTAGCTATCAAAATGCACAGTGTTCTCGAGAACTGGATTGTATTCATCGAGACACGGTATCATCCAGGCTCCCTCTGGATAAGTCCCCGATCCCGAATTCACTGTACCTTTTCACAGCGAGCATTGCGCTCCAAAGCTTCGCAGGAGACAGGAGTGTAGGTAACCGGGAGCTACGAAATTTAGCACACGGAAAGGTTGTTGGTTTACGAATCCTTGTGTACTTCCAAGGATGTTGTGTTGATTGATAGCAAAACCCCATCCATCACGCCGTTTCCGTCGATGCTAATTGCTCCAAGATGATGGTCACCCGCATAAACAGATTTTTGACATCTGCGGGCCTTATGATGCCTCGGGTCTGGACCAAACCATCGCCTTTATCCAACTTCTTATACAGCATGACAATCTGACATGCTGAAAAGATCCCATTCCCGGTGGATGCCGTATCGAGCCCAAGAACACTTTCCGCTCTTCCCAAGAGATAGAAAATAGAGCTGCAGATCAATGTGCCTTGTATGCCAGCACCAGTCAAGACTAGACCATTGTATCTCAGGCCAGGAATAGGTTTCACAGGGGTGGTTGCTATGCGCTCGGCTGCATTTGTGAGATGTTGAAGGAAAAGTTCGAAGAATGAGAGAATGCGGCAGTACACATCCATTATACTCGAGACGAGGGGAGTTGGAAGTTTCTCGTTAGGCTCGAGTAGAGGCTCCGATGTGTTGACTAGACTTGCCACTATCTGTAAAAGTTGCTCCGTAGATGCCATGACGTACTCGACCAACGAGAAGGTTCCAATGAACACAGGACCGTGTCTCTGTATAAGATGACTGAGATCAAGTCGTGATCTGTGAGGTCTCACTATGTTGCTACGGAGCTGTAGACCTTGAACCATGCTGAGAAGTGTGATCGTGGAGTCATTTCTTCCAATTTTGCTAGAAGCATCCGCTGGGATGGATGAGAATTGGTTTTCGTGAATGTAGTAAGTAGGCGGTCTGCCTATGCCGAATGGTAGAGGATGACTCCTCTTGCTGATTAGAGGGTACTTCGAGGTCCGATCAGGAGTGATCCAGGGATCTGAAGTCATCCAAGGGCGCGAGTTGCAAGACAAGACTTGATTCATGAAGTCTGATAAGCTCAATGTGGGATGGTTTCCAGGCCTGCAATTCCTGTTGAATTCCGCTGTAGAGCAGGCAGCATCCGCACCGCAATGAGAATCTGGAGTTGTTTCTTGGAAATTGTGACTACTAGGGGCATAATACGGTGTGTTGCCATACCATATATCGTTCATGGTAGCAGGCCATTCCCCAGATACCAGATCCGGCATCATTGGCATGCGTGTAGACACACGTGCTCGAGAATCGAGGAGATGCTGAGAAACTCCATCGGTTCCCATGTGAGCTTGAGCAGGCTTTGCGAAACTCTCTGAAAAATTTTCCACATGTTGTACTGATACAACCCCATTCGCAGGAGTTCCATGAGCCTCTAGATCAGTAGACGCTTTTTGGCGTTTGCTTGCAGAACGACAACCAGACGCGGAAGCTGGATCCAGCGCCTTCCGTTTGGGCCGTCCTACTTTCCTCTGCTGTCCAGTATCGCACTCTATACTGGCAAGAGCACATCGTACACATTTCAGATCATCAGCTTGTATCCGTCGACATTTTGTTTTACTCTTCCTGCAAGCCTCGCACGAAAGCCGTCGCTGTGATGGGTGAACTTCCATCTCTTGCTTCGCCGGATCAAACAGCTCAGATGAGAGGTACGGAGTCAGCAATCCGGAAATCCACGGCGAAGTGCTGCACAGCTCCCAAAATGTGAAGGAAAGCCTCCGAGGAGGGTTTTAGGAAGCATATGTTATGATCCGTATACGAATACGAGCGTGTCCTAGGGCTGGAGGCGCATACCAACGCTCCGACGGAGCTTCGGAGGGTTTTTGAAGAAGGCCAGAGCTCCGCGCGAGTTCCAGAGCGCAATGGTGGAAGTAATAGTACATATAAGGAAGAAAGTCATCATCGCTGTGACATGCGTTATCAATGTCAAAGAAGCACTTGCTATCTCCTTTCCTACTCCGCAGCTGTGTGTTTCGCCGTCCTCACTGGATTCTGCGAAATTACACAACAGGTCAGCCAAAAGTAATATCTCCACGCCGTCAGAGCCGCGTCAAAGCATATGCCATGCAAAAAGCGATGACAAAGCAATAATGCCGACATCATGTCAACACTTGCTGACTGGAAACTGCAGCTAAACATGGTCATCCTTGGGAAACCTCTTCAACAATCCACAGAAGCCCAGACTGAGCAATGGGATGCACTGTGGCGACAAAAATCCACACCCTGGGATCGCTCCGCCCCAAACCCTGCACTAATCGACGCGCTGAACGACAAAAGCGACATACTCGGTTCGTCCACTCAGAGCGGGGAGACGCGCCGCAAGAAAGCGCTTATCCCTGGCTGCGGTCGCGGGTACGATGTCCTGCTCTTCGCCAGCCACGGCTATGACGCTTACGGACTGGATATCTCTCAAACAGCTGTTGAGGCTTGTCGAGAGCTGGATGCAGAGCAAGGCAAGGACGACGCGAGATACCCCATCAAAGATACGACAACCAGTCGAGGTTCAAGAAACTTCCTTGTCGCGGACTTCTTCAACGATGATCTGTCCTCTCACACAAATGGTGCGGGCTTCGATGTAATCTACGATTTCACCTTTCTGTGCGCCATACCACCAGAACTACGCCCTCAATGGGCAAAGCGGATGAGCGAGCTTCTAGCACCAAATGGAAGTCTGATCTGCCTCGAATTCCCATTGGCAAAACCACCAAAGGCAGGCGGGCCGCCGCATGGTCTGAGTAGCGAGCTATACATGCAGCTCTTCAAGCAACCTGGCAGAGAGGTCAGCTATGCAGAGGACGGACACATTGCATCTGATGAGCGCTCTCTTGACCAAGTATCTGGTCTTGTGCGAGTTGCTCACTGGTCGCCAGCACGCACGCATGACCTTGGCAACGGGACGGATATGATGTCCATCTGGAAGCATGCGAAGAGTATCTAGTATTGTGTACAAGTTCTCGTTGCCACCTATTTTTATCGATGCCCCATTACGGCTTTTGCAAAGTTCACGAAATACAACATTGCCCTATTCATTTGTACATCTAGAACATCTTGCCATACTTGTCATCGGTGCCCTCCTTGACCGCCTCTCTATCCTTGATTCTGTTAACCCAAGCATGTAAACTCGGGAACGCATCCATCTCCTCCTTGGTAAAGCCTCCGAATTCCCACTTCGCAACCCAAGGCCAAACTCCGATATCCGCAATGCTGTATCTCCCCTTGCCGTTGCCTGCCAAATACTCTCTAGCATTTCCATCACTGTTCTTGCCGGAGAGATGAAGTTCAAACACACCAAAGATACGCAGACTTTCATTGTGGAAACGCTCGATAGCTTGAGGATTCTTTTCCTTTGAAAATTTGCTGAACCAGATTAATTGGCCTTGAATCGGTTGACCGGAGCCATGCCAGAAGAACAGCCATTGAATCATTTGCGCGCGCTCGAGTGGGTCTGAGAAGCTGAGTTCGTGATCTCTGTCGTACTTTTCGACGAGGTATAGCATTTCGGCTGTTGTTTCCATGACGGGAACAGGATGGCTATTGTCTGTGTTGTCTACCAGAGTTGGGATTTTGCCATTGGGGTTCAAGCGAAGGAACCAGTCTTGCTTTTGGGTGCCTTCAAAAAGCTTGATGGGGGTGAATGTGAATCTAGTACCGTAGAGGAGGGCCAGTTCGTGGAGTACAATCTGCACTTTCTGGCCATTGGGCGTGTTGAAGGTCAACAGATGGAGTCCATCGGCCTGGGAGACCTCGGATGGGGTGGAGTCGATGTAAAGGCCAGACATGTTCCGATTGATTATCGAAGTGAATTTGTGTCAAGTGAACGAAGGAGCAATGAAGTGCTGGACATCGTGTACTTATATTACCTTTACCAAGGCGTTGTTATCCCCACAGTGCCATATAGCCGATGCGGTGAAAGCATCATCACGAGATGCCCACAGGAATTGATCAGCTAGGTTTCGGCCGCAGGTGATGGACATCTCGAGCGGAGGTAGAGGAAACACATATCATATGCCGAGGCCAGTAATGCCAAACCTGACTATCAAGCACCTTTCACCAACACTTTGCCTGTATTGGTAGGTCGACGGACCTTGATTACCAAGGAGTTTGAAGAATGCGTTCAACCCTGATTGGTGCAGGTGCCGGCGTTGCAAACAATGAAAATCACGCCGTCCGCACCTTCCTAGAGAACAAAAAATCCAAATTCTTCGTACAGTTTCTGTTGCTGAACAACCAGCGATCGATCGCTAACCAAAACACATCGCACAAAACAGACAAAACAATGATTCCGCTGAGGCTCGAACTCAGGACCGCCTGTGTGTTAGACAGAAGTGATAACCAACTACACCACAGAACCAATTGATGACTAAAATTCCGGTAGCACTCAACACGTTGTCGCACATTGCAGCACCTCCTTTGAGCAACATCGCTGGAGAGCTTGACGAGATCAGACAGATGTATAACAGTATAGGCAACAGGATTGCGAGAAAAGGTTAGCAGAAACAAATATGAGCAATAGAAAATACCGTATTGGCAATTTGAGCAAAGTTTCTGAACGCCAGACCCAGCTCAAAACGAATGAGCGAACTCCATATCCCATATGTGTGTATACCTTGACCCAAATGCAATGCCCACCCCAAACGCCTCATTATATTCAATTTTTCGTGTCGGTGCCATCTTCAGTGAGCCGAGATCTCGAGATGACTGCGTTGTAGTGCTCTCGCCAGCTCTTCTTCGGTGAAGGGTGTGTGGTCGTGAGCAAAAGCAGCTGCTTGCTGCGCTTGTGATGGTGTTGACGTGGATGCTTCCGTTGTTTGTGCGAGCGGTGATGCCTTGGTGGGAGCTCTGACTCTGAACTCGGCGGTTTGACGGCGGGAGTAAACGGGACGATGCGGTTTGTCTTCTCTGGACTGAACCCGCGAGAGACCGACTGAGATTGACTATTAGCTAGATCCTCGCGATGGGTGCACAGTCGCTAAACATACCATTTGTGACATCGTCGTCGCCATCTGCTTCTATCTCTGTCGACAATGCAGGTGCAAGAGCTGCATGTCTCTCTCGCGGTACTTCCAGACTTTCGCGACCGCTCTTCACGCCTCCTGAAACACTATTCCTCCTGCTCATATTCATGCTGTTTCTCAAACTGCTTCTGCCTCCGAAACTCTTTCTGCTGATCAGACTCGCTCGTCGACTGGGCATTCTTGTGCCCATGGGACTGTATTCGCTCATAAAACTCTTTCTCCTCCAGGCTGATGCAAAACTGAAGGATTCGAGTTTCTCCTTGTGTTCTTTTTTGACCGGGGCACGGTACTTTGCTCGAGGCATTGTTTCCCCAGGCTTGTATACGTTTGACGGCCATCGTTCTCGGCTTCTGTTCGAGTCTGTCGTGGAGTCCTTGTGGATTGAAGAGTTGGGAGAGGCTTTTCGTAGGGCTTTCTTGATGCGCTCGCGGAACGCCATGGTCGTGTGGATTGTGTATGATGCGGAAGTCGCCGGATCGACGATTGAGGTGTGCGGTGGCCGAATATCAATGTACCACTTGCGTGGAGACAATAGGGATACACGGCTCCTCGTGTCAGAAACGTGGGATCACAAAGACCCTTTGTTCTGTTATGAAGGCGCAGGAGTTTGAACGGTCGGTTGGTCGCGGCTAATTTACGATTATGACGTGCGGCCCGTTGTGGTCGGCTTTGTTCGTTGTTTGGACAATGAAAGGTGAGTCTTGGGTTGATGAAAGGCGGTGATTGATTGAGGGCAATACGGTATGTATTCGAGATAGGGAAAAGAGGACAAGGAAGACAATTGACATGAGGAGGAACAAGAAAGTGCCGTCTCAAGGTGCGGGTGTAGGTTGCGGAGGACTTGCGTCTCTCCCCACTCTTTCGACACGGCGCACGGTTCTCAAAAGGCCCTGGTCGAGAACTACCGCCCGACGCTGCCTTCGGCGGTATTCGGCCTTACTTATGTAGAGGAGGGAAAGTGCGGAGGAGTATGGAGAAGGCTTGAATGACAGAAGGCTGAAGAATGTTTGCTCTGTGGTCGTCGGACTTGGAGGCCTCTCAAGAGATGATTACCCCCGAGATTGACATCAGCGACGATAGCGACGATCGATATGCAAAAGAAGCGTTCTCGAAGCCCATGCGTCTGGGGCAGGTCTCACTTCGAGGCCTGACGCCAGACGAACATGCATGCCAGGTTTTTGAATCATTGGGGGTGAGAACAGACGAACAACGAAAAGACACCCACTCTTACTTACCTTGCTTACTGTGCTTGTTCTTCTCGCGCACACACACAGACATCGTGTCCGGATGAATGTGGTTTCGACTTACCGGTAGATGCTCGTACACGAGCGTCGGCGTTTGAACAACAGATACCTGGGGTACCATCGTTGGTGAGGATGCTGCAGAGGAAGAGACGACCTTTCCAGACGGTGTTCTCACCCGCAGCCTGCCATGGATGGCTGAGTCGGCGAGTGGAATGCAGCGGACTCACGTGCGGCCTTTGGCCGTCCCAGCAACTGTTGCCAACATGAAGGAAACAAGACAGTCCAGCCACAGAGCAAACATGTCAAGCCATCGACGCCGCACGATAGCTCGGTAGATCAGTACCCCGCCGTCGACGCAAACTGACGATCGCCGCGTCACTGAGTCCTTGTTTCGCTCCCGCGTCTTGAGTAGTTCATCGACAGAAGAGTAATTTGGAGGCAGGAAATGGTGCTCGCTTCAGCCACAGACGCGGAATGTGGTTCGATCAAGCTTCTGTAGCGGAGCGGATTGGTCGCAGCAGTGATCGTGCAGGTTTCCAGCGCCCGTTTTCCTGCATGAAAGTGCCTTGAATCGCTGTGATGCAGAGCTCGAAGTGGAAGTTTCGACGACGTCATCCTCGTTGTGTCGTCCCTTCCTGTTTAAAGCAGGGCACTCGACCTGCCACCTTCCATTCTTGACCCATTCACACTCGCAGTTCATCCGAATTATAATCTTAACGACCGAGACCGTACTTGACGATACTACGAAACAACACATTCCCCCAGTGACGACCCATATCTAACGAACACCAACATGGAGAAGCTCAAGAAGATTTTGTAAGCTCTGTTCTGCCGCTGATCGCATACTAGTAGCTGACCTGTCTCCAAAGGTCTCCTGGACACAAGCAGGACGAAAACGTCATGTATAACGATACCAACTCCACCACCAGCTCCACTACCAGAGATGGCGCTGCTGCTACCCACCACGCTCCTGGATCCAGCACCCATGACACGGACCTTAGACAGAATGTCCTAGATCTTCAGAGCAACACCGGTTCCAGACCACCGATCTCGGAAAATGCCAGCACAGCAAGTATCCGATCAGGTGTCGTTGGAGCCGGTCAGGAGCCTCGCAACATTGAGGGTACAGGATTCACAGATTATGCCACCTCAGGCGGTTCGGGTGGTTTGGCCGCACCTCAGCAGACACTTCCTGTCAGAAGTGCCACCCCTGTTGGACAGGCCCGCCCCAGAGTCACTCAACAGGAGACCATGGACCCCAGTGGTTTCGTGAACAGCTCACATGCACACAGAGGTCTTGGCCATAACTACAACGGCGACCCCTGCTACGAGGCCCAAGAGGCGCCTGTTCCCGGATATATTCACCATCAGCACGGTCCCCACGGCACAGACATTGCCAACATGCTCGACCCTCACGTACCCGGTGAATTCCCTTCAGACAACGGTCTTGAATCTCACGAGCGTACAAGAGACGGCCGTTTGGAATCAAGCTTGACATCAGGCTCCCCAGGCCTTGGTTCCGGTGCCTACACAGCCGAGCAGCGCGCTTCTGCATTGCCTGGTCAAGGAAGCAGCACAACAGACTCAACTAGCGGCCACCACTACGGTAGAGACGCTGCACTCGGCGCTGGAGCTATTGGAGCCGCTGGAGCTGTTGGAATCGGTGCCCACCACCAGAACAACCTCACTGCCAAGGTCGAGGATCCTAACTACGATCCCCTGCTCGAGCAGCAGAGACAGGAACGCGAACGTGCTCTCGACGCTGCATTGCCTGGTAGCCAGAGATCGCAGCCAGACGCATACAACAACCGTAGCACCTCGGCTGTTGCGTCTCCGTCTACCACCGATCGCTCCTTCCCACTCAGCAGTCACCCCTCTGATACCACCGGCTCAAGAGACGTTCCATCCGACACATCCAGAGAGCATCACTTGGGTAGAGATGCCGCCCTTGTAGGCGGTGGACTTGGCGCTGCCGGTCTGGGTGGATCTTACAGACCTTCTCACGAGAATGAGGGTTACGATGATCAGCGCTTCGATCCCTCTGCCGCCTCTGGAGACAAAGCTACCCGTATTCCCAACCTGATGTACGGCAGCTCGAACAAGTCTACCCATGAAGGTCAGCGCACTGGCGGTCTTTCCGGCCAAGGCGTGAATGCAGCAGATACCGCCAGTGGTCATTCCTATGGTCGAGATGCCGCTCTGGCTGGCGGCGCTGGGGCAGCTGGGCTAGGTGTCTATGAAGCCCAACACCACTCTGGCGCATCATCAGGTCAGGGCGTGAACGCAGCCCAGACGGCTAGCGGCCAGTCCTACAATAGAGAGTCTTTGCCGGGCCATGGAGTCAACGCATCCGAGACCGCCAGTGGTCAGTCCTATGGCAAAGATGCTGCTCTGGCTGGCGGCGCCGGAGTTGCTGGTTCCCAAGTTCAGGGTTACAACCACGGCGGCCGCACTGAGACCGACCCTGCTTCCAAGACTGTTGGTCCTCACAAGAGCAACCTCATGAACGTTATCGACCCTCGCGTCCAGCCTGAGCCCGAGAAGATGAAGGACAGAACTACCGCTGGTCCTCACCAGAGCGACATGATGAACCGTGCTGATCCTCGTGTTGACTCTGATCTGTCCAAGCAGAATGAGCACCATTATGGCAGAGATGCTGCTCTGGCTGGGGGCGCTGGGGCGGCCGGCGTAGGTGCTTACGAGTTGAACAAGCACGAGCGCCCTACTGAGAACATTGGCAAATCTGCATTCGATCCGAGGTCGACGAACACTAGCAACGTGGTTGATCCGAACCATGACCCAATTCTTGAGCAGCAGAGAGTGGAGCGTCAACGTGCCTATGAAGCTGCCATGGCCAGTGGCACAGGTGGTGCAGGTGTCGCTTCTCACGAGCACGGCACCCATCACGGCACCAATCCTCAGAGCACTCTTGAGTCTCCATTCGCCTCCCGCTCTGCCAACACCGACCCTGCTCTGACACAACAACAATCAGGACACCATTATGGCAGAGACGCTGCTCTTGCTGGCGGTGCAGGTGCTCTCGGAGCAGGCGCGTATGAGCAGAGCAGACACCATGATGCTCCTGCAGGATCTGCCGTCGGAACCCCGATCTCCGATCCTCGCTCGACTAACACTGCTGGTGCTCACCAGAGCGAAATGATGAATCGCGCCGACCCTCGCGTCGACTCTGATTTGTCCAAGCAGAACGAGCACCACTTCGGCCGTGATGCAGCCCTCGTTGGAGGCGCAGGTGCGGCAGGCGCAGGTGCCTATGAGTACAGCAAGCACCATGGTAATGCTGCCGGAACCACCCACGGCAATACAACTGGCAACAATCTCAGTACTTCTACCTTCGATCCTCGCTCCACCAACACCGCCAACGTTGTCGCAGACCCTAATCACGATCCCGTGCTTGCACATCAAAGAGAAGAACGTCATCACCTCGGCCGTGACGCTGCTGTGGCCGGTGGCGCTGGCGCGGCAGGCTATGGCGCCTACGAGGCTCTTGATCCTAAGGAGCAAGAGAAGCTGGCCAGAAAACAAGCTCACGAGGCTGAGAAGGCACAGAAGGCCCAACAGCACCAGATGGACAAAGACCTGAAGCACCAGCAGAAGGAACGCGAGCACGAGATCGCCAAGCAGGAGAAGGCCGCTGCCAAAGACCGCGAGCACGAGCAGAAGAAGCTCGCCGCTGCTGCTGCTGCTGCCCACGAGAAGGAAGAAAAGAAGCACAAGCACGATCTCGAGAAGGCCGAGAAGCAACGTGAGAAGGAGGCCGACAGATCCGAGAAGGAAGCTGAGAAGGCTACCAGGGAGAACGAGCACCCGGAGAAGAAGAAGCACGGTCTTCTCGGCTTCCTCCACCGCGACAAGAAGCACGAGCCTGAGGAGGACTTGCGCCAACAGGGCCGTCTTCAGGAAGCAGACATTGCTGCTCACGAGCGTCACCAACGCGAACTTGAGGCTCGCGCTGCCGAAGGCTCTATTCCCGCTGCAGGAGCTAGCTTCGAGCCCTCGCTCGATGAGCAGAGAGAGCATTCTCTTGCTTCAGGTTCCGGCTATTCTGGCATTGAGGAGAAGGGACACCAGACTATTTCCACCGATGGCTCTGGCCGTCACCGTCTCCACAAGGACCCTCCTGCTAGCGTCTTGAGGGAGCGTGGTTCGGATGTTGATCACCACCCTTACGGCGACAGCCATGGAGCCAATGTTCGCATTGCTTGAGCGGTATTGATCAAGAGAGTAACGAGCGTTCAGCTGAAATTTTGAGGGTTTGACGATTCTTATAGTGTAATGAATTGCTTCAGATTATGATACAAGTTTTGTAACTGCATCACCCCTTCTCCTTGTGTGTGCCTACTCCCATTCGCACATGCTAATTCGAGCAGTCTCAGTCGCCTAGAACTCCACTTTGACTCCAAAGGAAAGGCAAAGGTTCTTTCACCTCAGCAACATGTATCTGATCGATTGGCACCTTCTGATGGCATGAGCTCGCCGGTTTCACCTCAGCAACACGCCTCTAGTGTTCAAGGAAGGAACTCAGTCAACTCACACTCAGGCGACAATGCAGATTCCTTTCCAGCATCACACCGTCGTACCCCTTCATCGAGAACGAACGCGTCGGCTTTGGACACTCTACGTTTACTCCAGTCCAAGCCATTTTCTACGTCATTTTCTAGTCGCTCCTCTACAGTATCCAAAGGCCTCGAAGAACCGAAAGACACTCGCTCTGTGATCGTTCCTGGGTGTGTTGTTGGTTCGAGTGCTTCTGATATCAAGAGAGGCGAGGACGCCCGCAGTTCTACGTTGCCGAAGCCACATTCTAGGCATGCGAAGCTAAGTAACTCTGCTTCAGATACTTTACGATCATTACAGGCATCTGCATTACCTAAGTCTGTTCTCGGTTCAGCCTTGTCCGCCTCTAAGCAGCACAAGGACGCTCGCTCGTACGCTTCTTCTAAGCCTGCCATTGCCCTAAAGTCCTCCGCCTCTAAGCAACACAAGGACGCTCGCTCGTACACTTCGTCTAGCTCCGCTCCTGTCTCTGGTTCTGTCCAAGGCTCTCACAACAAGCGATCGGCCCCTCTTGACTCCAGTCCGCGCCTTCCCCCTCTCCCTAAAAGAGCTAGGCCAAAGTACACATACGAACACATCTCAGTTGACAGCGGCGGCGGACGTGAGGTACCAGACTCGTGTGAACAGGAAGATGGAGAGCTCGACCACACACCGTCCGACGTACATGAACCTCAGATCCTCAAACTGTTCTCACGTCTGGCGTCCACCACCCCTCAACTACTAGGCACTCCTTCTGCTCGCTTTGTCTATCCTGCGCCTTCATGCCATGGCAAGACTTCGGACCACGCGTGTACCAGTGAGGAGTTCTACAAACACACGACCACTCACGCAGATAAATTCTACCGCTTGGCCCATTTCACGTGTGACTTTGGATGCCAGGCTGGTCTCGCGGATGAGTTTGCCCGCCAAAAGCACTTATCTGCAATGTCCAGATACACACGTTCCCCAGGACATGTGGCCTTTGCAGTTCTGACAGAGCCTTGTTGTCCGAGCCCAACTTCATCCTTCACTACAAGCGCATCCATGGCTTCGACTATCAGACAGTGACAGTCAGATGTGACATCTACGAAATGCCATTTGACCACATCGGTAGTCTATAGTATCACGTGGACGCTGGACGTGAGGATGCAGGTAAAAATGCACACTACAAGATGCTGTGTGCCAAAGTCACCTATAATGGTGTCATTTCTACTGAATGTTGAGGGAATCTGTCCGGTGCATCCAGATTGTTGCTTTCCATAGGGATTATTCATTCGATGGAACTATGTTAATACCCTGCCGACCCCGAGCTGAGGCAGCACAAACTGCAATGCAAAACTCAATCTGATATCAACCGGGCATGGGAGCTTTGCATTCGCAATGTATCGTTAGCAACGTCCTACGACACCCGTCTCACATCATCTCCACATCGGCTAGACAGATCAAGCTTCGGCGAGGCTTCGGTGTTGCATCGAGTTGTGACATCTTTCGACGTGCAATCTGCCAGCCATACCGATAAGCTAGATGAAGATGGTACTGAAGAGGACTCTGATGAAGAGCTTGTCGACAACGACGCCCCACCTCCTGAGGCGACCGCCACTGTTCACACAGACCCTCCAGACTACCCCCAGACGATCATAAGACACCAGACTGATATGGCGCTCCAAGACCAAATCGCCGCTCAGATCATCGACATCGCAGGATCAGGATATGCGACCTTCATCTGTCCTGTCTGCGGAGACTTATTTGACCATACGTTCCCTCTGTATCTGTTCTACCGCCATCTTAACGCTCCCGCTCATTGGGAATACTTCGCGTCGCGTGGTATCTTGTGTCGGTTTGATGGTGGGCGGGGTTTTCTAGATGGACACCACCGCTATATGCACTACAACAACGGCAGCTGCCCATCAATGCAGAAGCTAGCAGTCGAAGCGCCATACAAATGTACAACGAAAGCCACGCAATTATGCACCACTGATCGGACTCGAAACCTCACCCGTTTTACCCTCGCACACTGGATCAGATACCGTGGCAAGCAGCACTACAAGACGCGTAGCTCTTTCGATTGTGCTATATGCAAGTTGGGGTTTACCTCAGAAGCCATGCTCGTTGCGCATCTGCAGCAACCATATGGTTATAGCAAAACGGAAGATTCTAACGTTCATGCTACCAACAAGAAAGCGTGGTCTCCTTTGGCACGTTGACGATATCCACATCAACGCCTCTCCAGACTTCCACTTTCTACCTAACTTCGAGGAGATCAAGTCTGCGTTCGATGTGGCTACCCCTCGGAGGTCTCATGCCATATTCCAGTTTCGATTCTCTTCCTGGAGAAAGGACTTTCGTACTGCATACGCTGAGAGGGTTATGCGCATTGCCATCAGAGCGGCTACTGCGCTGCAAAAGAGCAACAACGTCGATCTCAAGTCATTTGCTGTTCTATCCTCACGGGGTTGTAAAGGGCGTCTGGTGCCATTCTTTGCAGCGGATCCTGCAACTGAGATGAGTCGAGTCGAAGCAAACCATCCCGCCACGGGCGCCCTCACACAGAGGCAGGTCATGGACTTGGCCGTTCGTGCTCGAACTGCCGCTCATGCAACACTGAACAATACGGATCAGTTGTTGTACGCCAAAATGCATGGCTGCCGACCACTGCTCGTCTCTATGGTCGTGAATGGAATATCGAGCAACTGGGTTCAACTGAGCGAGTTTGTCCGGCAATACCATGATCGATCTGGTCGGTTGGACGTTGTCGTTCGTATAAGGCTTGGTGAGAAGAAAACTGAATTCAGGAAGGAGTGAAAAGCCCAAATGTTGTCCTCACACCACCCCATGGCGACGTCGAGGGCGTTGTCCGCATCACGCGCTAGACTTGAAGTCTGACGAAGCCTTGATTCCCCTTCGCCAACGCCATCACTTGACAGTGTGATGACATCCGCAGCGTGGACGTGCTTCCACTTGCCTCCATTGTCAACGCCATCACTTGACAGAGTGATGACCTCTGCATCGCGGGCATTGCGAACAATATCTGCGCCCTTTCGCTTCGAGGAAGCAACGCCCAGCGGTTCCTTCTCTTTGCGATCATTGGCTGGTAGTTTGGCAGTGCGCAAGACATGGCGACGAGTGTGAGGCCGGGCGGTGGCTTCCGGTATCGAATAGGCAAATCTCACTGCGTCGACACGGACTGGCGCTTTGTGTTTCGATCGAGGAAACCTCAATGCTTCTTCCTCTTCCTCGTCATCATTGACCGGTAGCTTGCTGCTTTGCAAGATACGGCGGTTGTCGTAGTCGAGAGCTGGCGCTTTGTGTCCGGACCGAGGAAACTCCAATGCTTCTTCCTCTTCGTCGTTATTGCTTAGCAGCATTAAACCGCTGCAGATAGGTCAGTATCTTGCCCTCTTTATAGAGCGAGCGAACTAATAGTGACTGGTTAAGGTCCATCAGCGTAGTAGGAGTGTATATAGTAGATAAGCCTTTTTTAGGTCGTAGAGAGTAGGGATCGCAGTCTCTTTATCCGTCATCACTAACTCCTCAGAGAGCCTGTCGATTCCTGGCAGGGCGCGGACCAAACCTGACAGCTCCTCTCGGCTGAAGCTGGCCGATAGGCAGGGCATAGTATGCTCCGGTATACCAGATACGAACTGTTCCAACTGGCTCTTGTTCAGTGGATCCCATTCTGTGAACGACTGTACGATGAAGAGGAAAGTCGGCAAGCGATTGTATGATGAGGGACCGAAGAGCCGAATAGGGCTACACACCGACCAAGCAAGGAAGGCACATCAACCTAGTTGAAAGGAGCATCCTCAGCTTGATTCTCGAGTGACTGGAATCGTTCGTGTTAGCTCGCGCGATCAGAGAAATTCTCGAGCTGTCATCTACAGGTGATACTGGCAAAGACGGGAGGCGAAGTGGCAGTTGACGATACCATGCTTGGAATCAGCTTTGACCACTGAAGTTGATGCATGTCGTTACCGTGACAGAGGCTCCGAAGAAATCCAATAAGTGTCGCGCAAGACTACAACGGCATTGTAAACAGTTTTTGGCATTTTTTTTCTGGCATGACCTTTATGAATAGGCTGGGCATCTATCGAAGTGCTCTCTCTGGTCGCCTAGTGAAAAAAGGATGTTGGGGATTGACGGCGGTGAGAGAGACAGGGTGATACTCTCGACCAGCGAAATTTGTGGTCAGCGAGAGCAGAGAGCCCTCCATCTAGAGTCGAGTTGCGCCGTTCGACTGCTTTCCTGCGCGCAAACCTGCATTTCCCACCTATCTCTTGAATCTTTTTGTCCTTGCGCTGAGATTACTCTGGCGAGGACAAATGTATATGCTTCGTATGCGGACGTTTCTGTTGTAGCGTTTCGCTGTGCATGGTCTTTCGCTCGTTTGCGTACTTAGATGGTAGCAGCGCCTTCTTCCTCGGCTTGCACAAAGGGATTTGCGATTTCCTCGCTGCCGTCAAGAGGGGAGATGAGGACAAGGAGAGTTCCGCGGGCGACCAGAAGACCGAGGGGTCGGGAGGAGGTGTTGCCTTCGTCATCTTTACTTCAATTAGCTCTGGTTTGGCTCTTGTATAGTAATTAAAGTGGTGGAGATGGTTTGTAAGACGGTGAGAAGAGCAAGAGGTGGAGGTGTTGAGGGATCGAGAGGTTGTCGCATACCTCTTGTGATTTCTTTGACGTCGTCGAGGACGAGGTTCATGAGTTGATCGTAGCCCTTGAGTGTTCCGGTGACTGTGATTTGACATATATCAGCATTTCTGTTGCTTCGCTCCCCATACGCATGCGCCCAAGTCTGCATTTATGAATGCGCCAGCCACACCCCCCCATCTTCCTCTTTCTCGCCGCAAGGACAAAAGACAGACTCACCCTCTCTTCCTCCACTGAATTTGACCTGGATCTCCTTGTCCATGTACTTGTTCAAATCCAGGATATTCTCCTTCTTTGGGCGGGGTGTTTCCGAGTCGTTGTTATGCGATGAGTTGTTGTTGTTGTGAGCACCGCCGCGGTTGCCTCCTCTTCCTCCACGGTTTCCACCGCGGTTTCCTCCTCGGTTGCCACCTCTGAATTGACCACGTTCTGACATTGTTGTTTGTGGTGTGTGAGATGTGTTGCGCGAGAGGTAGAAATCTGACGTATTCAGCTGTGCTTGGATGGCGGAGTCTGAGCTCGGCGGAGAAGCGCACGCAGCGGGGAGGAGCCAGAGGGGAGGAGAAAGCGGTGGGCGAGTGACGATGGCGCGGTGCGGGTCAGTGCGCCTTGGGAGTTCCGCTCAGCGATGCAGGTGGGATGCGTCTTTTTGTGACGTGCCGTGATAGCCTGAAAATGAATTTGGAGGCGCAAATAGGCGTTTGGACGAGCATGGTCACTGGTCAAGCGTCACTGGCAAACTGCCACCGATAGAGCTTGTCTCTTCGCTTCATGTACGCGTGTCAGATTAGGTTCGCAGATGATGTTGTTGGCTCGCTCTATCAGGCTTTGGTTTTATTCCCGAGAGGAGCACCTTCCTCTTAGGACGTTTTACACCGCTCCGCCGGCATGCGAGGGTGGCAGGAGGACTACGCGGCCGGTGACGAATGCTCAGCTACATGCTGGGCCCAGACTGAGACAGGCTTGCTTTCAGGAGGCTGTCCCTGCCATATAGCAGACAGTACCCGGGTCCCAGTGAATGGCAGACGGGAGAGAGCAGTGGTCAGACTGCCGAGCTTCCTGGCCGACCATCAAGCTGCCAAGGCCCAGTCAGAGGCTTCGAAATAGACAGCGTGATGAGTGTTGGCGGCATTGGCGGCAGCGACACACCAATCCACCCGACCGGCCAACAAGTCGTCTTCGTCCATCAACCACGCGCAGACCAGAGTGACAAGTTGTCGTCGCTGCTGTGTGAGTACCTTCGACCACACGCCAGCGTCCACCGCTACCTGCCTCCCACCGCGCACCACCCACCGCCGTCCGCGCTGACAATGTCCGAAGCCGCTCCGCCCACCGACTCCCGCCAGACGAGTATGTCCACCATCACCCACCACGCCCAAGCGACTAATATGATGCAGTCAACCCTGCGGCAAAGCGCAAGAGAAGTCCTTCGCTGCCTCAATACCAGCAACAAGGAGTCACGCCCCAGAACAAGGCTCCCAAGACGAACAATGTAAGCAGCCAGCTACAGATCAACTATATCGCCAGACAATGTATCGACGACCTCCCCTTCGTCTCGAAAGAAGACACCCTTCCTGGTATGCTGGAGACGCTTTCGTCATACACACAGGTTCTGGATCGCCATGAGTCGCTGGCCAGCAATCTCGGAGCTCGTCCGCTCGGCCCAATCCTGATCAAACGCTTTGAACGCTGTTTCGATGCGCCTCCGCGAGTCATCGCCTCGCATTCGCACGCAAGAGAGTCAGACCTCCCTCAGGTCACCTGGCTGGATGTCGTCCACTTTGCCCAGGCCCACCCGTCACAGTTCACCCTGTCGACCTTTAGCGAGGGCCGCCGTGTGTGCCAGTTCTACTACCCTCAGAGGCAGGTGCGCGTGCAGATCTCCGAGGAAGACTACCTCTTCATCAACAGTGGAAGATGCCAGGATCTGATCCCACCGCTCCCCATCTGGGAAGATGAAGAGAAAGAGGTAGCCACATGCGAGCTCGTCGAGAAGGCCTTGAGAGACGTGACTGCCGCTGCCGATTCAGTCGCTGCTCGTACTCGTCAACTGGCTCATCGTCTCAAGGGGAGAAGGATGGCCATTCTCGAACGCAGGTCTGCCGAGGAGTCGCACAACCACCAAGTGCAGCAGCAAGCTCTACACCCGTCGTTTGTCTCGGTCAACAACACGCCCAACCAGCAGCCACCCATGAAGCAGCCTCAACAGCAGCCGCCCATGTCTCCCGAGAAAGTCGATCCTGCTTTGCACATCCGCAACGACCTGCTCAAGCACTTCCAATCTCTGCCTAAACAAGTTCCTCAACAACCAGACAACCGCCGTGTCTCGTCCATCCCACAACAACCACAATCGCCTCCTTTCCAAACGCCGCAAAGTTTCAATCACCACCCTCGACCAGCCCTCGAATCGACATCCACTTCAGTCTCTCCCGTCCCCACCACCGCCGTCGCCCTCGCAGCAGCCGCCGCCGCAGCCCAAGCATCCCACTACTCTCGCGACGAATCACCTCAATCCCAACCGCGTCACAACTTTTCCAAACCTCTGCCGCCATCGCAAGAAGTCTCGCAACCCTACCGCGCAATCTGCCAATCCCACATGGAGAGCCTGCCCCGGGGTTCACGCATCATGCCACCCTGCGACCGCTGCAGACGCCTGAAAATGGATTGTCTCAAGAACCTATCTTCCTGTGGTGGATGCACGAAAAAGCACGCTCGATGCCACTGGAAAGACGTTTCTCGACAAGAAGTACAAGGATTAGAAGGCTTTGACGATGCAGAAAGATTGGCGAATGAATATGCAAATGGCAGCAGAAGATTCAGTGCCGAGTACGCTCCCAGCGACACCAGTATGGATGTTGATGCCAGAAGCCCTTTTGATTACCCTTCTCACACTGCGGCTTCCACGCCTGGAGGCTTAGGCAATGTCGCGAACTTTGTTGCGCGCCCAGCAGCTGCGTACCCCGAGGTTCCGCAGCAGCAGCAACCTTATCCACCCCCTCAACCGCCTTCCCAGCCTCAACCCTATGAAGACGGTTATCGCAGTCAAAGCACTGTCTCTGTTGCCCAGCGCCCACCACCTTTCCCTGAAGATTTGACTCAACAACAACAACAGCAGCAGCAACAGCAACAAGATCGTACAATGGATTTGCTGCGCGTCCTCAGCAACCACGATAACGGCGCTTCAGCCTCTCCTGCTGCTGCCACTACGACCAACGTCGATCAACAAAACAGAAACAACGGTGCTTTCAGGTCGAGTTTTACTGCCGAAGCTACGCCTGCCACTGTGAGTCTGGGGGCAACGAACGGACAGACTGCAGCTCAGCCGCAAGAACAGACCAATGGTGGTGGCGACCAAGGCCAAAGAGTCTAGAATGCTCGGTTGACGCGAATGGTGGATGCAGGTGAAAGAAACACAGACAAGGAATCTTACGAGGAAAGACATCGCAGACGAACACGGAGATCCATGCAACAGTATCCGTCTTCTCCTGAATTGGGTGAAGGATCCGGGGGGAAAGAACAGCAGGAAGTTCATGTCCATCTGAGACGAGGGAAAGGAAAGGATTCGAGAGTCTAAGGGGTGATGTCATTCGTGTTGCCTGAACGCAGGAGTGACGGGAGTGAGATCAGTTTTGGACATTGTTTCTGAAGCATTTGCTACGCTACCTGAAGTTTTCGTTTGTCTCATCGTTATAGCGTTTGGAAGTATTGGATTAGCGAGTTACCAAGATACACCGAATGACAGATTAGCGAAAGCATCAAATCAGTATCAAAAAAGAAGTCTCGATCAAATCACCTTCGACTTTTGCATAATCGAGTAATCCCTTACAAAAATTGCTCAACCAAACACCATACTCTCCTCGTCCTCGTCTCCATCGCTCTCCTCCACCGACAACCCCCTCTCACCACTTCTATACCCTTCCAAGTCAAGAATCTTCCATTGACTTTTGCTCTTCTCCACAACAACGCAATTCCTCCGTTTCTTTCTGCCGTTGGCGACTAGATATTTCGGCGTCCAGTCTTGTTCAAACACATGCGCTACGTGACCTGCCTCGAAAAGCTCTTCCATGCTGCGCCAATGGTTTTGAATATCAACACCAGAAGGACAGTGATAAGGCAGACAGAGCAAGTAGTTCTCTCCTTCATGACAGAACAGACACAAGTAAGTTTCGTCGTCGAGGAACTTCAGCGCCGAGATGGATGAAGGCGTGGGGGAAGAAGACGGTAAAATGATTTGTCGCCATCCATTTACCATTCCTCCATCGGGCTGCATGGTTTGATACCACAGTGCCAACTCGCAGACTTCTGTGACAGGTTGATATGTAGGTTGTGCAGGGGCACCGATGACATAGGTGGTGAACACGCCGGGGGAGGGTTCCAGCATGCGTATGTCGAGGTAGGGGAGTATGGAGGGTGTGACTTTAGTTCGGCATCCAATGTCTTGAGTTGTGGGTCTGGAGCTCTGGTGCCAGAGAGAAATATGGTAATGGGCGGATTTGCAGACGGCGTTGAGGTGCGAACTCCAGAGATGGAGTGAGAGTAGAGGTTCAGTGTCTGGATCAGGAGGGTTGGACCTGGAGTTATGGATGCAAGTGATGAGGTCTTTGGTTGCTGGCTTGGTTTGATCATCAACCGAGGGTGTAGAGAAGACTATGGCCTTCAGTCGACTTTTGGTCAATCCACCTTCGAGGTACGCGAGTGTGTTGGGGAGATCGAGCTGTGGCGTTTCTCGCTCGGCCATGTCTTTTGCACTGAGTGACTCTGGATCTGCGGCTGCGAGATCAATTTGGTGCCGTAGCCATCGCGAGAATGCACGGAACTGGCGCTGCTCGGTGCCTAGTACCTGTACTGTCTCGTGAACGAGTAGTTGGAGAGATGATAGGGTTGAGAGGATAGAAGTGAAAACATCTGGCGATACGTTGAAGTGTGTCGTGTTGGAATAGTATCGAGCCAGACCTCGTAGATTTGTTGCGACCACAGCACTCCGTTCAAGCACCGGAAGCAGGTTTGTATGTAGGATCTTGGAGAGTTCGTTGTAAAGTGTTGTCATGGCGTGATCCCAGCGTTTGTGACCGCGCTCAGCTAGCTCATCCCGTAGCCATTCCAGAATCGTCGGTGTGAAATGTCCAGTCATGGCGAGGTGATACAAGTTGTCTTCCAAAACTCCCTCACCCTTTTCCTCCAACGTCTCGTTCACATTCTCCATGAACCGAGAGGGAAGATTAGTGTGGGTCGTCCAATCGCTTTTGGCCGACACAATGCTGCATGATATGTACCCGCACAAGTCACGAAGCTGTGCTGTTCGCGAAATGATGAGGTGCAGATGTGACCCCCCAGATGACATGAGTGGTATGTCGAACAGAGTAATGTGTAGGTTCTTGAGGCCTTGATCGTCTCCTTCCAGTGTCTCATCATCACGATCTGCTCGCAAGATAGCGTGATGCTTTGCTCGAGGATGTGATGTATACATGACAGGTACAAGAGAGTGTGGTGTATCATCATCCTCATCCATAGGCCACATGATACCCTCACCGGGAAAGGCAGGTGTGTATTTGATCTCGAGAATGTCATCTACAGTGACTCGATTTCTACCACCTGCATGTCCGACAAACATGACATCGGCCACCAATCGATCTTTTCTCTGCATGGAATCAAAGTAATCGTCTAGGGCTACTTGCGTAGCAAACATGTCGTACTTTCCACTAGCAGTATGTCGAGTCGGGATCGGACTGAGACGAGGGAGTATCGACTCGACATCAAGGAAAGCCAGTTGACGAGGCAGGTCTTTGAGCAAAGCTTCTTGTCCTTGCGTCTCAACATCGTCCTCATCGTCCGCGAGTGATGTCTCATCAGGGTCGAGTCCAAGGCGACTCCATAGATCATTGATCATAGATTGATCTAGCGCAGGCTTCGAAGGCTTCTTTGACTCGATGCTCTCTCGTGTCGATACTGTGCCCCAACCTAGACAGGTAATTTCGCCCCGTGCGACCTTTGACTTCGGATTTGCAGCATCGATACTGAACGGATCATCACCACCATGTCGGATGATCTTTCCAGTTTCTCCAGAGACGATATCCACGAAACCAGTATTGAGAGCTACAGCCAAGCATTTGCCTGTGATTGTGTCAATCGCGGCACAGGCATGGATGATTCATAGAGACCAACCATCACGGATCCACTCGAGACCAACGGCGACTGTGGATGGACTCTTTCGTTTGACAACAAAAGCGCGTTGGCCGCCAATGCGGTAGACTTCGATTACTTCATCTTGTGTGACAACCGCAAGCAGATCCGTCCGAGGACAATAGGCGAGAAGATGAGGTTTGATGGTGTAAGACAGTGCCTTCTCTGATTGCAACGGGAGGCGACACTCGTCAGCCATTTTCATCAATCACTCGAATGCACATTCGTGAAATTTTGAGGAGGGTCGAGAATGCAAAAGTCGATGTCGATGGTTGCTGGGAAATGGTTGTTTACTCCCCAAAGTCCATTGTCTTGGCGGCTTGAGATGGCAGTCGCGATACGCACAACATCACGTTTGGAAAAGAGGCCATGCGGTCGTAGACATGGGTAGTCACAAAAACAGTCAAGATGGTAGAAATGATGTTGACGTTCTGGGATCATAGCCAATACATGTTCGCTTTTCGTGACACAACTTAATTACGCCTAACAGAACACACACCCTTACACGACCATGTATCCATCTGCCACAGATTTGATATCCTTTGAGAAAGAAATGTCCTGGCCCATATTCAAAAGAGTCACCGATGAAACCTGGATAGCTGTTATGAAAAAGAGGACAGAGAGCAGATAGGATGAAACTTACATCGACCTCAACATATGGCCTGGTCTTTGCGAAACTGACGCTCATGGGGAAGAACTCGGCCTCGCTCTCCGCCTGAGCCTCGAACTCGAAGCTGCCGTTGGCATTGGTGTCATCCACGTCACCGATAGTCCAGTCGATGCTGTCGCCAGAAACCTCATACACAGCATCAAAGCTGGAAACAGACGGCTCGCTCGTTTGGTATGGTATCGAAACGGTAACATCGTTGAGAGCATCTCCCCCAGTCAGTTCGTATTCGAGGGTGATGTTGTATGTGCCAGAGCCAGTCTCGTTCACCCAGGCAGTAAAGGTGATGGGAGGGTCGCTGATATCTTCAGCCTTTGCAGCCAGTCTCCAGCGCATGACACCAATTGCGTTGTTTGCCGGGAATCCTTTTGACGTGTCTGAAAGCTGGATGATCTTGTCGTTCTTGAAGACGGCCTTGTCAACCTTGGGATGGGAGTTGAGCTGTGCGCCACGAGTGTCACCCAATGCGAGGGCGAGTTGAACTTGTGTAAGGGAAGGATCGGTGATGCGAAGTTGGAGATCGCCCTTGACTTCGAATGACTCCAGAGATCCTTCGCGACTGAGCTTGGCTGAGATGGTTTCGGCGACGGTAATGTGAAGACCCTCGCGATCTGAGGAGGAGGCAGCGGGAGCCGCAGCTTGAACGGGAGCGCTAACAGCAGGAGCTGACGGCACGAGCGGAGCCTCTGCTTCTGGACCAAGATCGCCACGGACTTGCTCGAACATGGATGTCGTCTTTGTCTTCTTTCCGAGCTGCATACCCTTAGCCCGGGCAGGGAGAGACTTTTGGAAGGACTTGTTCTTCTCGGCGTTGTAAGAGTCGTAGGTATCGGTGACTGCGGGTTGAGTAGGCGGAGGCGTGTAGGTGGGGTATGAGGGAGCGCTGGGCATGTTGGAGCGGCCGGAACGAGTGGCTTCTTTGCGCTGCATCTCGAGTTGCTTGGCCTTTCTCTTGCGCTCCTCGGTGGCTTCGAGCTCCTTGTTCTACAGGAAGTGTAAGTATGTGATGTTCTGTACAGCGACTCGCGCGGCGTACTCTTGAGATGATGTCCTGGATGCGCTCCTCGTGCGATTCCATGTCCAGGAAGGTCTTGATCTGGCTCAGGGTGAGGTTCTCGCGGTAGCCCAGAGTAACCAACTCATCAAAGGCGCTCAGAAGCTCAAAGGCATTGCGCAGAATCTCGCGCTCGTCCAGACTTCTGCAGATGCTGGTAACGACTTGGGCGAAGAGGTGTAGCGAGTCGATGTCCTGGAGAATGTTGGACTGACGGTTGGTGATGAGGACCATGTATAGCTCGTCCAGGGGCTGATAGACAAAGCGGACATTGTCTTGCTCGACGGTAGTGTGCTGGGTACCGCTGTCGGTGAGCTTGGGTAGAGAAGCGAGAAGGCCTTCGATTCTCGATCGCTGCATCTCACGGAACTGGCGAGACAGGACGGCCTTGCCGCCGCGCGTGCAGATGGATGCTGCCAAAACAACCTATACCATTGCGTTAGCAGGGTCTAGATACACGAGATAGTTACAATTACCATTGTGTCGGCAGAAGAGTAGGACAGGTGCGAGAGTGAAGACTCCAGACAGAAAGTAGGCAGGTTATGGTATAGCTCGTTGTTACTCGGACCTTAGTTGTCCTCTCCTGGAACTTCCCCACGCTTTGTGGCTCCTGCCTGGCTGGCGGCCATTTGTTGGTCCTCTTCTCAGCCAAGCCTCCGCCCCGCTCCGCTCGCACTCGCGCTTGCACTTTGGCGTTGTCCGTTTTCGTCCTTCCAACTTCTGCTGCCTGACTGCGACTTCTTCTTTACAGCCAACTTTGCGCAACTCATCTCAACAGCGACCCGTAAATTTCGTCTGTACTAGACACGTTGACAATACTGTCTGAGGTGTCAATACTGTCTCTCAAGTGCTGCAAAGGTCTGCCGCCTTCCAAGACGCTGCGCATGTGTACTGTGGCAAGCCGCTAGCTCACGTTCCACCACTCTTACTCTTCTGGCATTCCTTTGTCCTCTGCGCACAACACCCAACCCCCTTGCCGATCCCTAGTATTACCAACCTTCGCATCAGCCGTCATGGCTACCACTCTTCAACCTTCCTTCGGCCTACAACAGCCTGAAGATTCCATGGAAATCTCATCCGAGTACGGCAACAACATGGACGCCGACATCGATATTGATCTCGATGCCCCCGACGCCATCGACACAAACATGCAGTCTTTCCAGGTAGACGACCACCAAATGCAAGAAGACCCTAGATCCGACCGCCCAGACGATCTTCTCATGATCGATGACTCTAATCTCGACGACACCGACCGTATGATGCAAGACGACGCTCCGCTTCCACATGAGCAAGACGAAGAATTACTAGACTTCAGCGAAGACGAAGAAGATGTCCCTATGAACCCTGCAGAGCCTAGTCAGGCCGACAACATCTTCCTTGTCGCCCAATCTGAAGCGCCTGCTCAGCAACCTGTAATCATCGAGGAACCTGTCGAACTTGTACAGTCTGACATGGCCTCCGAGCTCTTGTCTGAAGGCGTCCAACCCGTCAACGTTGAAGTCCCACAATCAGAAGACGTCTCTGAACAGCCTCGTGTTGAACATGCCGAGATGCAGGAGCCTGTGCCTGACCAGACCGTGACCAACGAAGACTCCCAACCGCCCGCTGACACATCACTCGACCAAGTCGCAGTGTCAGCGCCTGAGCCTGAGTCTAAAAAAGTGACACAGCCTTCATCTCTCGCGAATATCGCCGAACAGTCTGAGATACATGTTGAGGAGCCTGTCATAGAGTCTACCGAGATCCCTAGCGCAAACGACGAGATTCTAGAAGAGAGTGCACAAGTTGTACAACAACACACGACACAAGAGCAGCACTCAGAACAAGGTAAAGATAATAACACCACTGGCGCTGCCCAGGAACATGATGAACCATCCACTAAACGCACCTTGACTCGTCAAGAGACCGATCTCTCGAACTACACCGTCCCTGATGATTACTCTCGCGAGAGGCAAGTCAACTCGCCTACCGTGACCGGCCTGCACCCCACCGTCGTTGAGTACAACGACCATGAGGTTTACCTCTTCCCCTCAAGAGATCCTGCTGTGCCTGAGCAGTATTTACTGCAGAACGAGAACCTCGTGACCACTAGTCTCGGCGATTTGCTTCAAGCTTGTCGCACTGCTCTTGGTGATGGTATCAGCGAAGACGAAGAGCTGGTTCTGGGTGTAGAGGAGTTGGACCTCTATGTGAGCGAAGTAAGTCTGGCCAAACCCCTTGCATCCTCACCTGTGGTTGCTAATAGTTTTCCCCAGGACTCGACACCCGCATTCTCTACCAGCTTTTCCGAGTTGCTTGACATATATCTGCAGTTGCACAAGCTTGATGGCAACGACAACCCTCCCCCGTTCCGTGTGTCTTTGACGACCAAAATTAGATTTAGCAACCGCTTGGCTTCGATCACTGAAGCCATCTCGGAAGGCAAAGGATTCTCACAGCTTCCCTTCTTGCAGTATTACGACTATGATGTTCCCACTGAGTTGCCCGAGGAGGACTTTGACGATGATTTCGATGAGCTCGCGAAGCTTGAGGAACCGCAGCAAACGCTTGAAGAGGGTGCTACTACTGTTGAAAGCGCACAAGATGCCGCTGAGGATGAGCAAGCCGCTAATGATACATCTGCTCCTCAAGCTGAAGAGCAACAACCTGAGCCAATTGGCTCCGCCCAAGAGGGTGAGTATGAAGACGAAACATTGGCCCAGCACGATGTGCCCGCCGATGCTGCCGACCAGTCTGAGTACATTCAGGACGACACTCAGTACTTTGATGCTCAAGGCGGCGAGTCTGAGCTGCTGGATGAAAGTCACGTAGATCAAGAAGACGTTGCTCATGCTGAAGCTCAGTCCACCACTGGCAATGTCGAGACCGCGGTCGGGGATGAAAGTCACCATGATGACCAGAATGCCGAAGAAAATGCACACGCCGAAGACGCCTCTGAGCGTGCCGAGCACGAAGCAAACCCCGAGCAGCCTGTTGAAGAACAACAGGAGTACGAACCAGAAGGCGAAGAGCACGAATTTGGCCACGGCGAGTTCTTTGACGAAGATTACGAGTACCAAGATGGTGAAGTACACGAAGAAGAAGGTGCTCACGCCGCCGAGGAAGAAGCAGCCAACGACGATGGTCACCACGAAGAGGAGCAAGAGTTCGAAGCTTCTGCCATTGAAGAACAAGATGACAACGTGTCGCCTTCGTCTGGAGAGACTCTTCACGGCGATCAGCTTGAAGTTGGTCAGAATGATGAACAAGCTACCCAGCAGAACCACAGCAGTGCTGAACAGTCCGCCGATAATGCTGTTGGTGATGCAAAACATGACAGTGGCTCAGTTGATGGAGCTGTTGGCGAGGACAAGGTCAAGCGCCAGTCAATCGCCGTCGAGGATGATGCATATGACGAGATCAACTTCGATGACGAAGACAGCTACGACGGCGATGGCACTGAACTTGAGCCAGTACTCACAAACACGTCAAGCAAGGCATCTCCTGGGGCCAAGCGTTCGTTCTCGGAGCTTGACCAAGTGGACGATGAGCAAGACAGCAAGAAGGCTCGTGCCTCATGAGCGTCACCCATCTCAACATGGGACGCCTCGTCATAATCCACTACAACGAACATCTTCGATGAAGCTGTGCTGACCACACTATGGTCAAGACTTTCCGAGATCACCACCGACGGCCACAAGGCAAGCCGGACTCACGACTCGGCCTGAGTCCTTGATCTTCACTTCCTTTTGCTCTGTTTTCACAGCTTTGCAGCGAAAGGCCTGTCTGCTAACCTCTAGTACCGAAACGGAATACTAACAATGTCCACGCAGGTCTCCAGCCAGGTAAGGAGCGAGTAACAAATCTCATCTCGAGTCATGCATATCCAAGGATACAATGCTGCATTGCCGAGAATGAAGACATCAAAAGCATGGCGTTCTGGGAAGCTTGTTATTATGGGTCGAACGAGTCCTAGCAGGTGCATGGTTTTGCTGTTTCTGGCGTGCTTTCATCTGCGCTTCGCGAAAACGATACCCCTGCTGTTGATTTCTGCTTTTGTCACTCATCCCTTACTCCCCATTCCCCGTCACACTAGCTTAACCAGTTTCACATAGTCAAATGCAGCATTATACTTGTACTTCGACTCATGTGTCAAAGCAAAGCCTGGATAGAAATGTTGCAAAGTCATGACCATGATCTAATCCTCCTTCCTCTTCTCATCGCCTTCGCCAACACCATCCAAAAAGTCCCTGCAAGTCTGGACGATGACCTGATGATCCTGCTGCTGCTTCAAACCACTGACGACAATGACAGCAACGACACCCTCGACACCCTTGACTCTGACTGGGAAACCACCACCATGAATGGCAAACTCCTTGGCCTTGTCCAACAAACAATACTTTTCGGCAAAGGCCTTTTCGTCTCCTTGGAACTTGTTGTGCATGTACCAAGTACTGCAGCCAAAGCGCAGAACTGTTGCACTCTTTCTGTTCACCCAAGCGGTGTTGTCTGGGGTGATGCCGCTGCGGACGGCTGTGTAGAAGAGAGGAGTGCTGTTGGCTAGTGTAATGGAGATTACGGTTGAGCCAGGGAAGGTGAGGAGGCGAGAGCGTAAAAGACAACCTAGGTCCCAGGCGTCGGAGACTGTGAAGGAGGGGAAGAGGATCGAAGAGTCGATCTGGGAGATTGCTGAGAGGTCGGTGGGTGGGTTTGTGAGGGGGTAGAGTGTTGAGTCTGCCATTTTGGTTGCGGGTGTGGTTGTTTTGGGTCGGCTTGGTTGGTAGAAGAGTCAATCAAAGTGTTGGAGAAGGGGTTTCGAGGTTGAGGAGAGAAGAGTTGAGAGATGTTGGTTTGCAGGAGCAGCAGGCCTCAGAGTGACCGCATGCGGCACTGTGACATGTGGCGCCGTCCTCACCGCCCAGACTTGCGGGGCAGAAACCACGACCCCCGAAGACTTTGATACGAAGCAGTCAGGGTCTGCTTATGCGGCATTCCTTGTCGTCTGTCCGCAAAAGGCCTCGGTCGTACGTTCTCTAGCACTTCCTCCCGAGCTCGCGCCTTGGGAATTTTTCTAGCAATCCGACCATCATTTTTCTATACACATCCGACATTTGCGCCTCTCGCTCACCACAACCGCAAATATGGCCCCTATGGACGATGACTTTGTCCTCACTCTCTCGGACAACGAAGACGGTTTCGCCGACGAACTAGCAGAATCCGAAGCAGAACCTGCGCCCATCTCCAACAAGAAGCGCAAGCGCGATTCCGACGTCGCAAACCTCTCCAAGAAAGACAAGAAGTCCAAGAAGCAAAAGAAAAAGCAGCAACAACAACAAGCGGATTCAGAGGATGAAGAGGAGCAAGCAGCTATCGATCAGGATCTAGACCCTGAGTTTGAATTCCAACTTGGCGATGGCACGACGGCGAATATGGACGACTTTGACGGCTGGACTGCTCATAATGCTGCCAAGAATGCTGGCAAGAGATTGGTTGATATCGATGATATTATCGCAAAGAGGAGGCAGGACAAGAAGACTGACGGTGAGGATGAGGTTGAAGATGACGAAGAGGAGGTTGAGTTTGCTGGCTTGAGCGACGATGAAGACGTCCTTGCTGAAGACGCTTTCGGCATGGGTGCTGCTCCTGGTGTCGAAAAGGACTCTGAAGACGAAGACCAAGAAGAGGACGAGGACAAGGGCAGCGATGCTGAGGATGGCAGCGAGGCTGGAGATGAGTCTGACGACGAGTCTGTTGCCGAGCATGTCCCTCACCCGGACGACGACGAGTCAGACGCTTCAGATGTCGAGGAAAAGGAAGACGCCGAAGAGGCTGAGAAGCGCGCTGCCTTCTTCGCTCCAGAGTCAAACCTGGACGGCGACAAGGATCCTGCTGCAAAAGCCGTAGGTTCGTTCCAGGAGCTCAACTTGTCGCGTCCCATCATCAAGGGCTTGTCATCTGTTGGCTTCGCCGCCCCTACACCCATTCAACACAAGGCCATCCCCGTCGCTCTCCTCGGCAAGGATGTCGTCGGAGGTGCCGTCACCGGTTCCGGTAAAACCGCCGCCTTCATCATCCCTATTCTTGAACGCCTGCTCTACCGACCCAAAAAGGTCGCCACCACCCGCGTCGCCATCCTCATGCCCACCCGTGAATTGGCTCTCCAATGTTACAATGTCGCCGTCAAGCTGGCCAGTTTCACAGACATCACTTTCGGTCAGGCAATCGGTGGTATGAGTTCGCGCGAGCAGGAAGCAGCTCTCAAACAACGTCCTGATGTTGTCATTGCCACTCCCGGTCGTTTCATCGATTTCATGCGCAATTCGTCTGCTTTCCAAGTCGATACCATCGAGATTCTTGTTCTCGATGAAGCTGACAGAATGCTCGAAGACGGTTTCGCAGACGAGTTGAACGAGATTCTGACCACCATCCCCAAGTCGAGACAAACCATGCTCTTCTCCGCCACCATGACTTCCAGCATCGACAATCTGATTCGCGTGGGTCTCAACCGCCCTGTTCGTCTTATGGTCGACAGCAAACGCCAGACCGTCGCAGGACTCACCCAAGAATTCGTGCGTCTGCGCCCAGGCAGAGAAGACAAACGCATCGGCTACCTTCTCCACCTCGTCCACGAATCCTTTTCCACAAAAACCATCATCTTCTTCCGTCAAAAGAAGGAGGCTCATCGCGTACGCGTCATTTTCGGTCTCTTGGGCCTCAAAGCCGCTGAATTGCACGGAAACATGTCTCAAGAACAACGTATCAATGCCATCGAAGCCTTCAGATCCGGCACCGCCCATTTCCTCCTCGCCACCGATGTCGCATCCCGCGGTCTGGACATCAAAAACGTAGATGCGGTCATCAACTACGAAGCACCCCAAACCCAAGAAATCTACCTCCACAGAGTAGGACGCACGGCTCGTGCAGGCAGACAGGGAAAATCGTGCACCCTGGCCGCAGAACCCGACCGCAAGGTCGTCAAAGCCTGCGTCAAGACCGCTCGCGCCCAAGGAGCAAACATCAAGTCGCGCATTATCGACGCCAAGGTCGCCGACGACTGGTCGCGCAAAGTCGATTTGCTGGCCGTCGAAATCGAAGACGTGTTGCGTGAAGAAAAGGAGGAAAAAGTGTTGGCGACCACGGAGATGCAGATGAGACGTACGGAAAACATCATGGTGCACGAAGACGAAATCCTGAGCAGGCCGAAGAAGACGTGGTTTGAGAGTGAAAAGGACAAACGCGCTGCTCATCAACGCGGCAAAGAAGAACTCAATGGTGCCATGACGCCGGGAGCTAAACTCAAGGGCGACAGGAAAAAGCTGTCAAACAAGCAAAAGAAAAAGTTGGAGGACAAGGATGAGAGAATGGAAGGTGGAGGTTGGAAAAAGGGAAAGGCGGAGAGAGACGGCAAGGGTGTTTTGGAGAAGGAGAAGAAGGGCAAGGGCGGTAAGAGGCCGCAGAAGGATACGAGGAAGGGTGGACCTAGGAAGTCGATGTAAAGAGTTGGTGAGATGAGAGGAAGGGTGTTTTCGCATGTTATGGAGCCGGATATAAGTGTCAAATCATCATGAGCGTCTGGACTGATCATCTGTTTTACTACCGGGTTCAGACATGAGAGTAGTGGGTAGCACTATCTATTGGCAAACTGAGCGAGCCTATCTACCTACTGATCATCAAAGGTCGTAAATTATGAAATTTATCTGTGATTCTCCTACATGATGTAAAATTGTCTATATTGCGCCATCCTCTACTCCTCGCCAAAGGGGAAGTTGAACTTCAACAAACCATTCAAGCCACCGACCCAATGGTCATGACCATCGGCGACATTGCTTCCTCCGGTTCTAACAATAGACGGCACACCGCCACCGCCCCAGGTCCTCTCTTCGCTCCTGACTTCTTCACCGACAACCCTGACCTCCATGCCTCGCGTCAAGCCTTTCTCTCTGCGAACTCCATCGACAGACAACTCAATCTCATCACTGCGGTTCTTGGGGGACAGACGCAGAGTGATAGGAGTATTGGAGGGAAGAACAAGAGGGCGGAAGGAGAGACTGCGAGGGCAGATTGGAGTAAGGAGAAGGGACGAGACCAGAGGATGGACGATGCTGCCGCCAGAGGATAGTGAGTAGGCTGTCGAGCCCGTAGGTGTGCTTATCAACATGCCGTCGGCTACGGCTTCGGTCAAGAAGCGACCTCCGACGTAGATGTTGATGATGCTGAGATGAGGTGTGCGGCCACGGTGGAGCAGGACTTCGTTCATGGCGAAGACGTCACAGTTGTTGTTGACTTCGCAGTCGGAAGAGCACATGGGCGACGAAGGATCGGCGTGGGTGATTGGAGTACCGTCTGCAGCAAAGATACCGACCTTGAGTCTGTTCCTGAGAAGTACGCGAGATGAACGTGATGGGCCCATGGACATGCCACGGACCGAGCTCCAGCCTGAGAAGACGTCCTTCTCTTTACCAGATTCTGTCTCCAGAAGGGCACTGCCGTAGCCTGCTGTTGCACCTGACATGTAGACTTCGCGGAGGGCACGCTTGTAGTCCGAGAACTTCCACTCGCCGAGGAAGCCCAGGGTACCCATGCTGAAAGAGAGAATTGGTGGGACATTCTGGGCGTTTGCGAACAGAGATGAGGCATGTAAGATTGTGCCGTCACCGCCCAGAGTTGAGGTCAAATCGACCTTGTCTTGCAGACGAACATTTTTCGACGCTTCCGTGGTGGTGTAAATGGGGAAGGAGAAGTCGGTATGCAAGGCTTCGGCGACCTTGGGCTCGAAGATCAGAGAGACGTCAGGATAGGTCGAGTGGATGTGGTTGGCGTATTCGTGGACGGCTTCATCGACAGTGTCGGAGCCAGACTTGTGGACGATCAGGATGTTCCGAGGGGGCTGAGGCCATTGTAGCGAGAGGAGATCGTGGTGCTTGGTCTCTGAGACAGATGGTCAGCGTCACAATGTCTCAGCACGTGGGTGCTAGGAAATACCTTGGTACGAAGGGCGGATGCGGTCTGGCAGAACAGCAATGTCGCGCAATTCACGGCGGATCGCCGAATGAGAAAAGCATCTCCGGGCGACAGATCGCAGCAGAGGCAGACATGGCCGTGTCATTTGTTCATGTCAGATGAGGAAGACACAAAAGTGACATTTCATGTCGAGGAAGGAGCAGACAGGGAAATGACATGGCCATGGTGGGGCATGCGAAGCTTCGAGTGACGCGATGGACCTGGTCCATTCGCTGATCAGAAGACGCTCTTTGTCCAACCCCGACCACGTTTTCATTCTTATTGTCTTCTTGTTGCATGTCTTTTCGCGTGTCCTAGTCGCACTCGGTCCCGTCGCATCCAGAGACATGTCGCGCATCAACACCGAGGGTGTTCGCCAGCGCCCTATACCCAAATCCGAGCCTGCCGTGGAACCCGAGATCAAGCTCACATCCAACAATGACAAGCTGAGAGACGAGGACCACCCTGCCGGTCCAGTCAAGCATGGCCGTCCCATGCAATATTTCCGCGTTGCCTTCTTCGCCGTCTTCTTCCTCATCGCTGCTCTGGGCATCCACTCGGCCCAACTCCTCGGTGCTCCCTTGTACTTCTACAACAAGGACTACTTTTACGCATGGCAGGCCGTCTGCAAGCAATACTTTGCCCTCGTCCTGATCACCGGCACCTACCTCTTTGCCCCCACTGTCATCCGCATCTCCGGTGACGCCTCAGTCAGCGGTCAACTGAGACAGTTTCCTGATGGCCGTCTCGAGTGCGACTTCCCCGAACGCCTCGTCCTGGTTGCGAACCACCAAATCTACACCGACTGGACATACTTGTGGTGGGTTAGCTATACTGCCGCATGTCACGGTCACATCTACATCATCCTGAAAGAGAGCTTGAAGTACATACCCATGATTGGTCCCGGCATGATGTTCTACAACTTCATCTTTATGAGCAGGAAATGGGCAAAGGATCAGCCGCGGCTCAAGCATCGTCTCGGGAAGCTATCTACAAGACACACCGGCCCGATTCTAGGGAGAAAGGACAAGAGTGGTTTGGATCCCGCTTGGCTGCTCATCTTCCCCGAAGGCACGAACCTTAGCCCAAACACTCGCAAGTCGTCGGCTAGATGGAGTGAGAAGTCTGGCATTCCGGATATGAAGCACCAACTCTTGCCTCGCAGCACTGGCCTCCACTTCTGCCTGGAAGGACTCAAGGATGGCGTCGACTGGCTCTACGATTGCACAATTGCCTATGAGGGTGTTCCTCGCGGCTCTTACGGTGGACAACTTTACACTCTGCGATCCGTCTACTTCCAGGGTCGCGCTCCCAAATCTGTGAATCTACACTGGCGCCGCTTTGCCATTGCCGATATCCCTCTACACAGCAAGGAAGAGACTGAGAACTGGTTGCTGAATCGTTGGAGAGAAAAGGATGACTTGATCGAGTATTACCTCGAGCATGGCAGGTTTCCTGCTGATCCTACTGCTGTGGATGTCGTAAAGAGATCTGAGGAAGAGAGCAAGCACGCAGAGTACATTGAGACGGAAGTGAGGCCGAAGTCTGCTTGGGAGCCGTTGCAGTTGTTTGCGCCGCTGCTCTCAGCGTACTTGTTGTGTAACATTCTCATCAAGCTGGTCAATCTGGTCTTGACGGGGAGAATGAGCTCAAATTAGAGGATGGGTTGCGGCATATACTGGCATAGTGGAGGATCGATTGGTCACTGGCGTTTGGATGAGGCTGCACATTATAGGTCAAGGCTTGACAGGATACCCCATGGGCCTTTTTTTCATATGGGTACTACTCATGAGGAGGCATCCTTATATATACCCACCCTGCTCACAATGCAACATGAACAAACACCTTCTTTATATGCCATATGCCCAGAACTTCGCTGTGTCTCTCATGTAGTCCCGGCCAAGACGCCACGGATGCAAACGAACAAAACAATAGCTCTCCCCTTACAGAGCAAATCTCGTCCTGACCTTTTCATCGCCAGCCTTCCATTCCCATTCTTGTCCACTCCTCCTCTGGATACCCTTGTCGATTCTCCTGAGTTTGAGCGTGAATCTCGGTCCCAGCTCTTGCAGTCCAGCCCTGATATCCTCCACTCCCTCAACCAACTTTCCATCCGGACCCACGATACTCTTCTCAGTCGCCCTCTTGTCGCGGAACACATATCTGTGTCTCCTCACGAAAATGTAATCGCGCTGATTGTGCAGAGTAACCACCTGTCTTCCCTGAATCTGCGGCTGCGGAGGGAAAATCTGGCGGAACAGATGCGCAGTCAACAGACCCAGTGGCGTGCGGAAGTTGTTCAAAATCAGCTCCGGGTCGTGAGAAGTCGGGTTACCATGACCAGGCAGCTTTGCACCTTCCACCCAATTCGAAATGCTGAAATGGAACATGGGTCCGTGAGGTAGATGCACGATGTCCAGTCCTGCAGGCTTTTTCTGATCTTCGTTCAGGATAACCACATGTGTGTAATTTCTGTTGGACGCAAATTGGGAGATCTCAGAGACGCTGTATTTATGGGCGTGGAAGTGTGCAGTGCGTTTGATATAGACCGAGTTTGGGAATAGCGAAGTCAGCAGCGAGGCTTCTTCGTGTAGGAAACTGTTGATGCTGGTGGTGACCAAGACTTTGGGATCTTTGTCGTTGTTTTCGAAGAGCGAGGGGAACTTTGCGGCGAGGCCTTCGGGAGTGAGGCTGAGGTTTGTTGCTGCTGTGGAGGGTGTCGGTGAGGGTGCGCGGGTTGCTTTCTTTGCAGCGGCGGCCTCATCTTTCTTTTGCTGTTTTGCGGCTTTGGCATCTTCGTCGTCCTCGTCGTCTTCCTCGTCAAAGTCGATCATGGAGTCGGCATCGCTGTCCTTTCCCTCTTCCTCTTCTTGCTCTTCCTCGTCCTCATCTTCCTCATCCTCGACTTTCCTCCTCTTGATCGCATTCAGATCTACACTCAACCCCAACTTGTCATTCTCCTCTCCATCGCCAGCAGTATCCCAGGTTCTCTTTCTGTCGATTGTCTGCGGGATATTCTTTGCGCGACGAGCTTCCCTCAGTGCAGGGTTCTTGTCCTCAGTGCGTCTGCGGCGGAGTCTATCGTCGCGTTTTGTGTTTTCTGCTAGACGCTTGTTTTTGACGTGTTGTTCTTTGCGCTTTATTTTGTTGCCGATCTTGTGAGGGTTACGGGACACCATGGTGAAATGATGGGGGTTGAGAGTGTATGGGAAGCGATGTGTTTGCGTGCAAGTTGTAGGGAATTAAAAATTCTTGGAGACCCTGGGAGAATTTCTGGAGGTGGGCCTAGTGAACAGTAGACTATTGCTAAACTACACAGGCCTTTCTTATGCTCGTCACGACAGCTGTTCTACGAATGCTGTAAACTTCAAGCAGCTTTCTCAAACATCGTCATTCTCAAAAGTGCTGAATCCACGCGAGATTAGCTATTGGTATATATGTTGTCTTGTTAGGTAGTGATATCTTATTCTGCACTTCTATCAGTGACCTCTGCGGCATGAGATGTGCGTTGTATAGCAAAGCTCGGGCCATCTACACATTTTCGCGGTGACCTCGATTCGATGATGGAGCGTTTGAGCATATCATAACTCGTTGAGTCACCCACGCCGCCTCTCTCTCTGCGGCTACTCGTATCGTTCCTCATCTGAACAGATTTATATGTTCAAGTACCTGTGCCAGGTCACCAATAGGCAATTTCCCCTTCCGCAAAGGCACACCAAGTCCTTTTCATCAACCCCGTCCACTTGCCGTGCGGTTGTCAACACTCGCACGAGAAATACACCAACAATGTCCACCGACTACGTTACTCAAAAAGGCCAGGCCTTTGACAGAGCTGCTTTTGAGTCTCTGTTGCGCCGCAAGGTTTTCCTGTGGCAGAGTTTCGAGCCTTATGGTTCCGTCAAGGGTCTTTTCGATTATGGACCTCCGCTCGAGCAGCTCGAGAGTCAAGTTATCCAAATCTGGCGTGATCACTTCATTCGCTCTGAGAAGATGATGGCTCTCAAGTGTTCGATGCTTACTCCTTATGAAGTTCTGAAGACTTCTGGTCACGTGTGAGTGGTTTATCTTCAATGAATTGTTATAAGAATACAATGGACTGACCATGAACAGTGATCGTTTCGCCGACTACATGTGTACGAATTGTGTTCACGATGTGCTTTTCTGATGATACTAACTCATCTCAGGCAAGGACCCCAAGACTGGTGAAATTCTCCGCTCAGACCACTTGATCGGTGATGTGCTCGAGTCCCGTCTCAAGTCCGACAAGGAAGCTCGTGGCGAGAAGGTCGAAGAGAAGGAAGAAGACCCTAAGAAGAAGAAGAAGGCATCAAAGGCCGCCAAGGGTGCCGTCAAGCTCGACGATGCCGTCCGCCAGGAGTACGAGCACGTTCTTGCCATGCTCGACGACTACACTGGCGAGGGTATGGGTGAGCTGATCAAAAAGTACGACATCCGCAACCCTTCTTCCGGCAACGAGGTTGAGCCCCCTGTTTCGGTCAACCTGATGTTCCAGACCCAGATTGGTGCTTCTTCCAACTCTCCTGCATTCCTCAGACCCGAGACTGCTCAGGGTCAGTTCCTGTCTTTCCAGAAGTTGCTCGAGTATAGCGATGGTCAGCTTCCTTTCGCCTCTGCTTCTATCGGTTACTCATTCAGAAACGAGGTATGCACAGCATGACTACCATAGACAGAATCATGCTGACACATCAAAGCTTTCACCCCGCGCTGGTCTCCTCCGTGTCAGAGAGTTCTTGATGGCCGAGATCGAGCACTTTGTCGACCCCGAGGGCGGCAAGGCTCACCCTAAGTTCCACACTGTCGCTGATATCAAGCTTCCTCTTCTTGACCGCGACACCCAGACTTCTGGCAGCACCAAGCCCACTTTGGTCGCTATCGGTGAGGCCGTCAAGACCAAGCTGGTCGACAACGAGACTCTCGGTTACTTCCTTGTCCGCATTTATCAATTCATGCAGAAGATCGGTATCGACATGAGCAAGCTCCGTTTCCGTCAACACATGGCCAACGAGATGGCTCACTACGCTTCCGACTGCTGGGACTGTGAGTTGCTCAACAGCTACGGCTGGACCGAGTGCGTTGGCTGTGCCGACCGTTCCGCTTACGATTTGTCCGTTCACGAGAAGGCTACCGGTACTATCCTCCGTGCCCGTGAGCAGCTTAAGAACCCCGAGACCATCGAGGAGTGGGTCCCTGTCATCGACAAGAAGAAGGCCGGCCCCAAGTTCAAGAAGGATGCCAAGGCCATCGAGAACGCTCTCGAGGCTCTCTCGCAGGAGATGAAGGAGAAGCTCCAAATCACCATGGAGTCCGAGGGCAAGGCTGAGGTCCCCGTCGAGGAGATCGCTGCCGGCAAGGTCGAGATTGACACCTCCATTGTCAAGTTCGAGAAGCAAAAGAAGACCATTACTTTCCGCGAGTTTGTGCCCAACGTCATCGAGCCCTCATTCGGTATCGGTCGTATCCTCTACTCCCTCATGGAGCACAGCTACTGGACTCGCGAGAACGACGAAGCCCGCTCTGTTCTCTCCTTCTCACCAGTCGTTGCACCCATCAAGGTCCTCGTTTGCCCTCTCCAAAAGGACCCCAAGTTTGCTCCTCTCATCGCCAAGCTCGAGGAGGCTCTCGACAACAAGTCCATCTCATTCAAGATTGACCAGACTGGTGTCAGTATCGGCAAGCGTTACTCGCGTAACGATGAGCTCGGTATTCCTTTCGGCATCACCATTGATTACGAGGCTCTTGACGATGGCAGCCTTACTCTCAGAGACCGTGACTCAACCAAGCAGGTTCGCGCTAGCCAGGCTGAGATTATCAAGGCTGTTAGCCGTATGGTGAAGGGTAAGGAGACTTGGGCCGATGTTGTCGTTCGTCTGCCGGCCTACGAAGGTCAGAAGGAGGCTACTGAGTAAACCCCTCTAGCGAGCTCAGAGGAATCCTTCGAGCTGTCTGATCGCAATACGCGATAGCTTCGAGTATCCAGACGCTGCCAGTGATAAAATCAAGCAGTGAATTCCTCGAAAACAGGTTGGCGTATTGGTCACGGCTGGGAGAAAAGTTTAAAGCATGTATGGCGGGATCTAGATAGATCACAAAAGCACACAAATTCAGATCTTCAATCAGTAAGTAAGTCGCCGCTCGCTTTTGTATTTCTCTCATGCATCGCGTTATCGCTCCAGGGTCATCCCTCGCTCCTTGGCATGTTCACTATATCCATGAACCCTGCAGGATGACATTTCTCTCCTCAACAATCGTCCTCTCCGTTACGAACATTTCGCCATTTTGCAATCATGCAAAGACACCAATGCAGCTTACCTTGTTCCTGCATACCGATTTTCCCAATTCTGACACATGGTCCGTGGATTCCTCAGTTACACGTCACATTGACGAATAAGCGTTTGTTAGTGCTATATCAGCTTCCCAGGTTCGATGAACCAACCAACTCTTTCCCTAATCATCTCAATGCGCAGACTACAACTTCTCATCCGCCTCGTCATTCCTTGCGAGTTGATTCTGTGAGATTCAGGTCAAAACTTTCTTGTCACTCTCCGATCTCGATGCGATACGATATCTGATTAGATGTTCGTATCCTGGAGCTGTGGACTCAAAACTCGGAAGGACACCTCTACAGCAGACCAAAATTCCTTCTGTATTAGAACATAGTCATCAGACTCGACCATGGCCACTCTCATCCAATCCCTCTGGACCTCAATTCTTTCCTCGACCTCAACCACCAAGATTGAGCTCTACGGTATCTTCACAATTCAACTCTTCGCTTTCTGGCTCCCATCCCTGCTACTTCTCTCCATTGATCGTTTCGTCCCTCCATTCTCATCACGCCATAGGATACAATCGAAAGCGCCACCAACGCCAGCGCAGACATGGCATTGCATAGACGTCGTACTATTGAATCAACTTCTCATGGCCGCCACGAAAATATCTGAGCTATGGATTCTGCAAAGCTCAGGACGAGGCTCACTCTATCGCTTCGACGACAAAATCCCCTGCCTTTTCGAGGTGACCAGAGATGTGGTGACATGTATCCTCATCTGCGAAGTCCTCTTCTACTACTCTCACCGCTTCCTCCACCTCCCCGTCTGCTACAAAACCATCCATAACCAACATCATCAGTTCAAAGCTCCCATTGCATTGGCTGCTCAATATGCTCATCCGCTCGAATACCTGATCAGCACGATCTTACCTCTTTGGCTGCCTCCACAACTCTTGCACTGCCATTTGCTTACCACTTGGACTTTTTGGACATTGGCAACGCTGGAAACGGTGATTGCGCATAGTGGATATGGTGTTTTTGGACAGCTGGCGAGAAGTCATGATAAGCATCATGAGAAATCGAGAGGCAATTTTGGTACGCTGGGATTTTTGGACTGGGTGCATGGGACGGGGGTGTGATGTTCTCATGCTGCATTGATGAAGAGAAGAGATGGGACGGTGTTGCAGCTGCGAGCAGATTCAAGAGTAATATACAAAGCAGCATTCAGTCCACGCTTTTGTGATCATGTCTTTGATCAACTGATGCTGTATACAACACGATTTTGTGATTGTTTTGCCAGACCTTCCAACCCAACAGCCTGCCAGAATGCAAGTCTGACTGTGAGGTCATTCACTGCACTGACTCCGCACAGAAAGCAAAGTCATACATGACTGTTTGGGAGATATCGCGTGAGGCCAATGCTGTTACTAGCAGTCAAGTCTCTTCTACCAAGACTGAGGCTGGCAACAATCTCTTTAACCCCGATTCATCTGCAACGGGGATGAGAGGAGGTAGCGATATTAGATCGACCACATTGTGCTGCACGGGATTTGGCCAACTTGAGTCTCTTTGGCGTGAATCACAGAGGCCGAGCATGTCGAGGTGGGCTTATCTTTCAATTGGCATGGTTGCAGAAGATGTAAAGACTGCGAAGAAGTTCTGCGAGATGAAGATGCAGAACTGAAAAGAGGAGAGGAAGAGGTATCAAGAGACGATGAATGGTTTTGGCATGGATTGCATGTACTCTGCGCAACTTTCAGAAGCCAGAGTCAAGGAAAAGGCATGCAAGGAGAGAGCAGTCAAGGTAAGAGGACTGGGCTCGATGTTGCACTTTTCCTTCTTGGAGAAGATGTCGGATCTGTCGATGAAGCAGAATTTACCAAATAATGTTGTTGCAATGTTGTTACACTATTGTTACGAAAGGGACGGGGCTTGACTACCCAGGTTTATCAGTTCCTGGGAGCGATCCCAGTGTATCCAGGCGTCTGAATCAGGCGTGCGGTGACTCTGGTATTTGTCGAATGTGCACGCATCCAGTGGTAGTGTGTGGTAGAAAGGGAGTTCAAATATGATCCAGTGAGTCTCAAGATTTGTTTAGTGGCACGGCACGGAAAGGTGATGACTGCGCAAACAATATCCTATCCATTCCTCGGAGTAGCAATCATTCCTACTCTCACTGTTTTCTTGTCCATCGACAAGAACGGTAGGCTGAAGCAAGGAACGGGTGCGTGGATCGCAATTGTCTGGTGTATTTGAGACAAAGCATCGGGTATTGCCAGAAGAGCTGCAGAATAACTGTACAACGGAGTTTGTAACTATAACAGACACCCTGCCTAAGCAGCACGTCCGCGATTGGAAACGTTCAGTGTACAGACATTTCATTCCACTCCTTCTGCTACTTCTCCTTCTTCTTCTAGCAACAACACACCACCTCGATTTATGCCATCGTTGTCAAGATATGTAGTCGTATCTGATCCCCTTCGAGACTTACAGGAGTAGGTCGACGACTTCTACATCAGGATGCACCTGAGACCACAGCAGCTCGGTAAGGGTGGTGCAGCTTGAGGTGGAGGGTGGATTGAGGTTGTTCCATCGGGATCGTCTTGGTTGTCTTTTCCATTGTCGATGATCACACACGCAGTTTCGTGATGGTTGGAAGTCGGTAAAGACAAGTTATCGAGTTCGACTTCGTCATCGTCGACAACCGAGATGTGGGCACTAGCACCACGATCATTGTCGTTGGGTTGATGAGGAAATAGTAAGGAGGCTAGGTCGCATCCCCAGACAGGATGATGCAGAGGTGGAAGAGTAATTGCCAACTCAATCGCCTCACGCTCACCATCGGGTGCTTTCCAGAACTTTGTAACCTGATCGACGGCTCTGAGGTGTTGGAACTGAAGCAAGATTATGTCTCTGTCTATCATGTCTTCGAGCCTCCGAATCAGTTCCAATTCATGGCGCATCGAATATTGACTACGCAGCTTCTCAATAAGATCTCCGACAGCCTCCCTCAAGATTTCGAGCTCTTTTTCAATGGCGGCGACTGAAGTGTCGTGATCGTCGACCTGGATGCGAGCCTGTACTGCTTTGAACGAGATAGTGTGTGGATCGGACATTCCTGGGTCCAGGTATTCGAGACATTTCAGAAATGCGGAAGAAGGATCTCCGTAGTTGATTTCGATGGACAGTCTGTTGGAAGGAATATTGCTATCCTCATGGTATTGTCTTTGGAGTCTGAGGGGGGCTTTGAGGAAGTCTCTGTCAGGGTATTGACGGCGCTCTATTGTCCCGAATCCGCGCCTGAAGTATAAGCCAGGCCACTGGTAGCTGAAGCATACGCCATTGATACGTGACATTAGCTTCTTGCTTGATGTTTCGATTCCAGCATGGGGACCAGCGATATTGAAGCGGTGGCTGATCAGTCGGAGAACCTTCTCAGGTTCACATAGCTCAAGTGGGTATGTGGCGCTGTTCGAGTGTCTCGGAGGGGACGCCCGCCTTTGACTTGAAAAGCACGTTCTCAATTCTGCTTCTCTTACGAAGACTTCAAGGTACTCAGCACAGTACTGTTTGTTTAGGGTGACCCAGGGAGAGGTGATAAGATGTGCTCTCGCTGCACCAGTATCAAGGCTCTGGCTTTGGGACTCATCCTGAATGATGCAGATTTTGTTGTCATGCGGCTTCAGGTGAGATTTGATAGTGTTTCGGACCATATACGAGAATATCATGCTGCGGATCTCAGACGGAAGCCTGCCGAAAGGCTCAAAAGTAGGAGGTGTGTTTGCAGACATGTTGTCAGAGGATGAAGACAAGACTTTGGTTTGCGTGATTTCTGGTCGAGAGCGCCGCTCTTATATATGCTTTGCTACCTTCCCGTTTGTGAGCACTAAACAGCCAACACTGCAAAGTGAAAGTGTAGCCAAGATCAAACACGAGGATCTAGCTAGCAATAACCGTTTTGATCTAGATCTATGATATCAAAGAGACAGGTGAGACAAAGACGACCCTGCAGATGGAAAGCAAACACCAAGCAGCAGAATCAGAGACGTGTTGCAGATGCTTCAAACGAAGAACTTGAATGTTCCTTAGATCAACAAAAATAGTTTACTGCCTTTGTCAAAATACACAAAGGTCTCATGGGTGCAAGTGCAGCCAGAAGAGCGTCTTGTGATTCATCTCTTTGGTCAGTACTCACTTTTACAGATCTTTGTGCATTTCGATACTATAGTTGTCATGTTCCATTTTCAGAAGGAGACATCCAACCATTTGACCCTACTTTCTTTGGTTCTCTGAAGAGGTCTGAGTACAGTACCAAAGTGCTTGAGTTCCATGGTGCAACTGCAGAGAATCGTGTTACTGTACTTGGGGCCAGAAATTATCGCATCAAGTCTTCTTTCTGTGGGTCATGAACAGTGAGTTGGAAATTCAAGTGTGACCAGCTTTGTATCTTTCTCACTGCTTTTGATCGTCCACCTATCCTAGTGACAGTGGTAATTGTGGTAAGATGAGTTGGAGCAGAACAACAGAGCAAAATCTGAGGAAGGCCGACCTGTGAGACACCCTGAAAAGCTGATGCCCAAGATAAACCACAACGAGGCCGTCAGACTATCAATCCTCGTGCTCTGCACTCCACGCCTCCGCAATCTTGAACATATCATCCAACTCATACCAACCATCCTGTGCTTTCCAGAACTTGATGACATCGTCAATGATTCTCAAATGGAGTCGTCTGACGGCTGTGATGTCACGCTCAATACTTGCCCTCAACGCTCCAACGCTGTCCCAGAAAGGATTCAGTCTTGAATATCGAACTCTGGCCTCTTGAAGCTTGTCTCTCAGCGGGCCTCTCAGCACACGAATCTCTTCATCCAGAGCAGCGACCGAGGCATCATAGTCTGCTACCCAAATCTTGGGCCGTACTGAGCGCAGAGACTCGGCAAAGTCCCTGTTGTAGACTCTGTCGTGTATAGATGTGAACTCTGCGAAACTTGGGGATGGGCTGCCATAGGATATGTGAAGATACATCTTGCTGGGTGGGATGTTGTACTTTTCGTGGAGTCGTCTCAATTGTTTCAGAGGTCTTGCCATGCATGGCTCGATGGATTGGAAACGCACCGGATCACTACTTCGAAACACTGTGTTGTGGTAGACATAGATTCCTGACACGTAGTTGGATAGTTTTGCGAATGGCTTGTTCAGGTCTTCTTGGGCAGTCGCGATCCTCAGGCGGCGATCGATGGTCCGAAGGCAAGTATCAAGCGTGTGCATCCGCTTCGATCGTCTCTCTGCGTTCCTTGCCCACCTGAACTGCTCAACCTTTCCGTATGCTTGTGCTCGCTTTGTATCCTGTCTGCGCATCTGATGTACGACCCAGTGTTCAAAGTCCTCACCGAAGTGTACTTGCTTGAGAAACTCTCTCAAATACTCTGCGCAATACTTTTTGTTGAGCTTGATCCAAGGCGACTCGCTGAGATGAATCCCGATCTGCCAGATGGTGGGAGCATAAGGAAAGTGCCACGTGCCATTTCGCTCTTGGAACTTCTGGAACCTTTGTCGTGCTAGTCGTACCATATGTCCGAATATCTTACCGCGGATCTCGGAAGGGAGCTGGTCCATGAACCTGAATGTGGAGAGAGGTGTGTTTTCGCTCATCTTGGTGACTGACGAAGTTGAAGATGAGAAGCACAACTTCCCGAAAGCTGGCGAGGGTCCGGCTTTATACTTTACTGCAAACATGAGTCACCAACTCCAAGTGAATCACCACTTTCTCACCGAGATCGGCTCTGCGGTATCCTCACCAGCATCGCCTTTACCTTACCTTTCAGCAGCGCCTTACAGCAAACTCTAGAAAGCGTAACGCACGATACAAAGACACCTTCACGATAGTGAGACAAGAACATCAAGAAAGTAGCGATTTCCAAGACAAAGACCTGACTTTAGACGTCACCTCTTCTTCAACCGAAGCGAACAACCACTTAGATCTACAAAGTCATGGCAAACAGCACATTCAGTCCAGCTCTAACAAAGTGCTGAATATTAGAAACTCCCCTAATCCTCCGCAAAGATCATCGAAGGGTTACATGTTTTGCAAGACAAACGAAGGGATTGCATTTCTTTCTTTGCTTATCAGTAACGATTATGTCTCACGATTTCGAGCATAAGACTTCACTGATCCTGATTTGCACAAATGTCCTCACAATTACTACTAGATCCTTGAAGAAAATTCAAGAAAGCTTCTCCTCATGACTAAGAATCTAATCCAAGCAATTCTATACAATTCCATTGCTATATGGTCATCATGCACTTTGATCCGCGAGAACGGCGTCACTTCGTTTTCATACCTTAGAATCTCTCGTCAGTAATCGATTACGAGTTGAAGTCCTGATATCACTAAAGCGGGCTTGAGCACTTTCAAAATTCACAGACATCTTGATGACCGTGACCGTCAGCCATGGAGGCACCTTATAAGGACGCTTCCCTATAGCCATCAATCTGCTTCAAACGACTTTATGCATCTTCGTGGCTGCACTATGGTTGTACTCTCTGGTACATGAGAGAAAGTAGCTATATCTTTCTACGATATCCATTCCCTCATCTTGAACCACCTCCCGAAGCTTCTGTATAAAAGTTCTATCTCTATGTGGGTTACTTGGCCGAGAAAAAGACTTTCGCATGGTACTGTTGAGCGCTTTGATGTCTTGCTCGAGTAGCGTAGCAGAAACAGTGCCCTCAAGGAGTCATAGATTGTGCTTTCCACAACCGGGTGATTGTTTCGCTAGTCATCACATGAGACTCTCTGATCTTTACCATCTCTTCCTCAATCCTCGTCTCCAGCGTAGACATATCACCGAGTCGTGGGTCGGGCAATGGGAAGCGGTGGAGAGTCTCCTTCAACCTCTCTACGAGTTTCCTTCTCGTCGTGCGAAGTCCTTCATCGATGGAAGCCACCGATGCATCGTGATCAGCCACATATATCCTAGCTTGAACGGGACGTAAAGAGTCGTAGTTATCAATGGGTTCCTGTTGTCGGTAGAGGAATCCTGCAAAAGCCGTGCCAAGCTTGTCGTACTTGATGCGAACGTAGAGCTTGTGGGCTGGGATGTTGTGTTTCTCATGAAGTCTCCTCATCTGTTCGAGAGGTGTTGTGATGATGCGCTCAACAAACCAGAGATCTTCTTGTGCCATATTGTAACCCGCGTCGAGGATTACGCCGTCGAGCGAAAAGAGCGAAAGACTCAATCCTCTCATGTAGTTGCCAATGCCGTCGGTGGGATCTTTGGGATCAAAATGAGTATCGCAGACTCTAAGGCGGGCTTCGATTATTTTCAAGCAATGGTTGATTTCGCTGATTGCGCCGCGTTTTGGTGCTTGTAAATCCCACATCTCGTTTGATATATCCGCCCTCAACTCGACTTGCTTGAGGAAAGTTCGCAGGTACTCGGCACAATACTGTTTGTTGCGTGTGATCCAAGGTGAGGTAGCGAGGTGGCATCTGACTTGGTGGGTATTGAGGACAAGGTCGTGCTCCCGACTCTGATGTCGAATCATGTACTCGAAGACCATACTTCGAACTTCAGGCGGGAGTTGGCCGAGGCGCTCAAAGGTAGGTGGACGTGTGATCTTGCTCATGTTCATGGTCAATAAAGTCCGAGAAGAATGGAGTTGGCCGAGGCGCTCAGAGGTGGAAGGACTTGTGATTTTGCTCATTTTGGTGGTCGATAAAGTCCGAGAAGAACGACCTGGATTCCATAGTTCTGGAAAGGACCTTCCTTTATCTCGTTGCTTCCCTCCTGAAACGTCAACACCCTCTCACTCATACCATCACCGATGGTTTCACCGATACACACTCTCACCAAAGTCGCCAGGAAGGCTTCTATCATGATCCTCTATCAGGCTCCAGAAGTTGACGAACATTCACCAACACCAACACCTCATATTGACAAAAGATGTCAAACAGCAAGACGAAAACTATCCGGATTATCATCCATCGCGATGAATAGCGGATCAATGCGATTCTGAGTCAGGACCGACTTTAAAATTCCAAAGTTGTGAGACTTCAAGACAACGACCCAGGCCCAAATAGCGACAACAAACAGAAACTCAAACGAACGATGACAAGGCACTGCATATCAAAGCTCTTCCAAGCGCTGTGATAATCCCGCTGAAGAAGCGTAACAGAAGCAGTAGTTGCAAGGGGCTATAAATGCCTATCGGCGGGGGCATCTATTCGATGAAAGCACCAGAACATACGTCGATACTCCAGACCAGCCGCGAAGTCCGCATCCAGGCAATTCCTGTCTACTATGGGCTCTCAAAGTAGGCGTCTCATTAAGTCCAAGCATATCATCAGGTCCATCGGGTCCGTCAGAGCCATCAGATCAGCTGCCATCCCTCGCGACCTCGAGTACGAAAGTTTTCTCACTATGAGATGCACGAACATCTTCACAACCACGACTATTGCCATTGAGACACCTTCCAATAACCTCTCTTGACAGACACTCATCCCCCTGAACAACTTTTAGCATCTTCGCAGCTACAACATGATGCTCTCAAGCTCGTCAGGGAGAGACGACTCTGCTGTCTCCTCGCCAAACCATCTCTCCCGATAGCAGATATCAGATTCTCACACCATGACAATGCACAATCGCTCCAAGAGATACAACTACAGTCGGATGACATACTCCACCATAACATTTCCCGTGCAAAATGGCCCCTCGGTATACTCAACTCTATGCATATTCACAGTCACATTACTGCACCTGGAGATCTGCGAGAGAAGGATGACTTGACTATGTCTCCTCGCGGATACTACTCTGTCTCTTCGAGACATATGCTGTGTCTCTCCACCTCCATTCACCACACTTCTTCCTATAAGAGGGTACATATCTAGCTCACCTTTTGCTACGGTACACATAGAAATGCTGTTGTGATGGTGCCTGCAACCTGATCACAGCATGAGGCGAACGACCATGTAAGCTGTGAGAACGCTCCACAAGCCCTGTCAGATAAAAGGGCTCCTTGTCTTCAATCACATCTCCTTCTAATCTGATCTCCACAAGCATTACTGAAGCTAGGGCGTCTTATGCAGCAATACGATTCTCCCGCAGCAACAATGCTTCAAGGCCCAAGATGGGGATGTATATCCAGTTCGACCTCGCATTGCTCTACAGGAATCGTCAGTTTCCACCAAATCATCGCATTTGCAAGTTTCAACGACGTCCAGTCTCACAGGTATCCGCAATCATTGATTCAGGACAGGACACATTACAAACCCTCCTGACTATACACCTCTCACACATTTCCCATTTCCCTCAGCAGGAATACCTTTTCTCTACAACTCCCTGATAACCTCTCCAGCAACCCTCCCCACGAACCCAGCCCAAGAACTAAACACAACACCCTTGAGGATAGTCTCACCCTCTTCAACAGTCCAATGTCCAGCTTCCAGCAACTTTTTCTTCCAACCCTCTTGTTCCTTTGCATTTAATTCGTGCCAATGCTTTGCATGTTCATCTTGTTGCTTATACTCTTCTTTATCTCCCATGTGCACAGCTAAACTCTTACCCTCGCCTTGATCGCGGATGATGACCGCTTTGTTTTCTGCGTCGGAAGAGCCACCGGGGAGTGCAAAGTGCATGTCCAACAGATCCGCAATCTTGACGCCTGGAGAGGCAACAGCAGAAGACGCAGCAGAGGCCACAGAAGGGACAACAGACGAGATCGAAGATACAGCCTCAGAGGCAGAAGAAGATGCAGAGCTAGCAGCATGAACAATAGGTTCCCACCCTCCTCGTCCAAGACTGTCAGCAATATTCGCCGGATGAGCGAATGTGCGTTGCCACGATGCCGGCAAGGGGATAAAGTCGGCGAGAATAGGCGCGTAGATGTCGGTTGAGTACATTGATTGCAGCAGGACTGCGAAAACCAGAACGGCAAAACCAATGAGAATACCGTAGGTTGTGCGTTGGCGGAATTCGTCAGAAGGGTGCAGGAGCACGTAGCGGGATTGGCGGTCGGAGGGTGTAGAGGGAAGCAGGGCGAAGGTGTCGACGACAACGGTATTGCCCATACTGGTACTGCAGAGTTTTATGTATTGGGGTCCTGGGTGGGCTGGATTCTTGGTGGGTAGAGCATTGCCTTTTTTATCTTGCTCGGGAGGAGGAGCACGGACAGGGCTGTGGAAAGGCGAGAAGCGGAGGCAAGTCATCTGAAGCGGATGCACATCGCGGAGAGTGGTGAAGCGCTTGAATTTGCCAAAAGTGTGGGTGTTGGCGTTGTAGTCGAGAGTGTAGACAGGAATGGAGATGTCGTGGCTGGCGATTGCGATGACGACTTGCTTGTTTCCCGCCTTGTCTGAGTCGAGACTGCAGACGTCAAGACCAACGGCTTGTTTGACGTGGCCAGGAAGAACCTTTTGCTTGACCTTCAACGCCGGACCAGATGGGTAGAAATGAATGATGCTCAACTCAGCACCAGTACGGTTAGGCAAATTGCTCAAGAGCAACACATCCTCATTACCCAGCCATCTGATAGCACGATACTTAGGACGAATCGGCTTGCTAGGATCCTCAGACTTAGGGATTGTGTAAACCTTCCGCGGGTTGGCAGGAGAAAACGAAGCCTTCTTGGTGTCGAAATTGTACATGACCGTCTGCTCATAGACATCATAATCGGTTGCCCAGGTAATGGAGAAAGTGTTGGTCTCCAACTCTGTAATGTCCAAATCGGCAGCTTCGGCATTATCGCGCATGGGGATGCGAGCGATGATTTCAGCATCGGTGGTGGGTGTCCTTGTAGCATCAAAGACGACAATCTCAGATCGCTTGGCTAGTCCAGTCGCAACAGCACCAATACGCTTGTTGGGCGAGTCGCGCTTATAGGTGGGTGACAGTCGTAGCACACGCTGATATGTCTCTGGTTTGGGACCCGTTGCGGGTTGGAACAGAGATGCCTTTCCAACGAACGAGATGTTGGCATCTTGAGCTTCAGCGTCTTGCTTCTCATCCGAGGCCTGCTTCTTTTTGGGGTACTTGATGTCGAAAGTGCGTAGGTGTTCATTCTTGCCAGCCTTTTGATCTGCTTCTGACGAATTGATGCCAGCTAGTGTGACAAGACCGTCCTTAGAGGCCAGTGTGGCCAGCGATGTAATCGAGTCTTCTTCGCTCGAGAGCTCGATCTCGGCGGTCGTGTCCAGAGTTGCGCGTTTGCTCGTGTCCAGTAGCGTCTGTCACATATCAGCATCTGTCATGCGACTGCTCAGGCTTCACACGTAGCTTACAATCTTGTTTGCGACACCACTGCGACCTTGACCACCACCGCCGCCTACCACGAGGAAGCCACGGTTATAGGGATCGAACTCGGCTGCATACACGGGATATGACAGCGTCGTCTTGGTGAATGATACTGGTCCTTGACTTTGGAGCACCATCTTGTTGTAGGAATATGCAGGTGTGAGGGAGAGGTATAGCAAGAGGTGATACAGTATTGTTGCTTGCTGTTTCACATGAATCCCATTGACCGATGACGCCCGTTGATCTGCCAAGGCCTCCACACCGCTTTCCAGCCCGCTTTCGTGTATCGAGTCCCTCCTTGAAACATCGTCAACCACAAGCACAAGACTGGTCATATACTCAGATCAAATCAAGTAGAAAGAGGAGAAAAAAAGTATTCATGTCGTAAAAAAGTTAACACTCGCTTTTTCTGTACTTTCAACACACCCCATGCCAGATTCACCCAGTTCTATCCCTTTGGACATTGCATCCAGGTATTCCATCTTCATAGCGGCAAAGCTTACTCCTCGTCAATACCAGCCATCTCGTCTTCCTCCTCAAAGGTATCGCGTGGGACATTGTAAAGACGGATAGTGGGCTTGTTAGGGTCCTTGACAAGCACAAACTTGGCCTCATCCTCGTCTTGCGACATGACCATGTCGACAAAGGTGCGGACAATGGCCCAGCCGTTGTTGAGGTTCAGGTTCATCTGGGCGGCGAATTCGCGAGGCTTGTAGCCGAGGACACCGAGGATGACGTGGTCGTTCGCTGTCTTGGGGTTGACACGCGATACGAAACTGTGACATGTGTGTTAGCATGTGTTTTTCTTTTTTCTGCAATCATCAAATCATAAACTTACCCAATCTTCATCTGGTCAGCCTTTGCGAGGATGGCCTGGGTGGCCCAGCGAGCGAGCTTGCACGAGTTGTTCTTCATCTCAGTAGCAACAACGGCACCACGCTGAGAAGCCAACTTGGTGCGCCAGTCAAGGGCACCACCACTGCCGATAGCCTTGTTGTCAAACTCGTTGAGAGCCTTGATGGTAAGGTATTGGTCCTCGCCGGAAATGGCGTTCTTGACAACAGCGTCGAGCTCGGTACGGACAATAATGTGTAGCGGCTGCTCGTCGGCCTCGAGCGAAAGGTCGAACTTGCGGTACTTGTAAGCCTTTGAGGCAGGGGGGTCGGTCTCCTCCTCGGGGTTGTAGAAGGGGTGCTCGTTGGCCATGTCGCGCTTGGACGTTTGGCTCTCGGTGACGGTCTGGATGGGGAAGACGTGGTTGATGTGGGTGGCCTCCTCCATGAGGGCGCCAACGTTGTTGATGGTGTCCTTGGTACCCTCGGAAGTCTCGAGCGGTGCATCGGCGGCGTTCTCGTTGACGGTGACACGGTCGACGTTGCTGCCCTCACGCTTGTCGATGAAGACCTTGTTTCCTTGTCTGGTGATGATCAAGTCCCAGGAGTAGACGGAGCGGGGTGCGCACATGAGCATGGACAGAATATCGCTGGTCGTGAAGATGGAAGCGGCGTCCTTTGAAGCCAGATCCTGGATGATGGGGTCGTGCGAGGTTGTGACATTGTAAGCAGCACGCTCGACAACGTTGAGCTTGCGGAAAGAGGTGGGAGCACCAGGCTGCTTGTCGAACTGGCGGTCGTAGTAGTAGAGGAAACCATAATCCTCAACATCCTCACCGTCACCAGTATCCAGGTTCAGCTTGATCAGACGGTTAAAGTCAATCTCCTCAAGCAGTTTCCAGGTATCGCGAGGCTGGACCGAAGCCTCACGGGTGCGTTGCGGCTTGTCCCAGTCCTTCCAGCCTCCTCTGCGACCACCACGGCCTCCACGCTGTGCATTGCCACGGTTGTCGTATTGCTGTTGTCCAGGTCTGCCACCGCCAACGCGCTGGAAAGTGCCTCCACGGCCACCGCGCTGAGCAGCACCGCCGCGAGCACCTCCGCGACCACGGAAAACGGTACCACCGCCACGGCCGAAAGTGCGACGAGCGGCAGTGCGCGAGTTGTCGACAATGGAGAAACTGGCTTCCTCGCCGATACCTTCGACGTTGAGTGCGGTCTGGAGTCCTGCGCCGGCACCGTAAGGCTGGTCTGTTTGTGTAATCTGTCAGTGCCTGTAGAGTCCAAATCTTTCACATCTTCTTCCTCACCTCTGAAGTTGCGACCGTATTGTTGTCTGCCTCCTCTGCCTTCACGATCCTTGCCCTCGGTGGTCCAGTCGGCCATGCGGCCAAGCTTGTCGCCCTTGGAGAAAGGAGCGTAGGGGAGACCATCGCGCAGGGTGTCGGTGGTGACGGTAGGTCCCCATGAGTCGGTAGCAGGCAGCGCCTGTACGAGACCAAGAATAGAATCCATGTTGGTGGTATGATTGATCTGCTACGGAGTCGAGACGCTCTCCCACGAAAAAGTCGTCGGCGACAACATCCCGCACAAACTTCGGTGGGCCGTGGCCAAAATCTTGGCGTCGGTCTCTTGTCTCTGTACCATTTGATCCACTTCATGAGAACAGTCGATAACCTTGAGAGAGTCTTGATCTGATGCATAAACGAGCTACTCTATCCATCTGGGACAGTTTTCTTTTCGAACCCATGCCTGTCCAGACCATCTCCTGCAAACGCCGGCTAATTAAGATGAAAAGCATTCCTTTTTTGATAGTCCAGCCTCAGCTACAGAATCTCTCTCCCTCTCTCAGTACACCATGACCTAATCTGAGAATTGTAGAAGCAATAATAACTCCGGAAAAGAGAAAGAAAGTCGGCAAACATTCGGCCTATCATGCATCCAAACGTTGTCGCTAGAAAAGAAGATGGTTGTAAAGCAGTAGTCGTCCCTTTTCTCTTCACCCCATTTGTGAGAGACGAATATGAGCTGCTCTTCTTTAACGATGATGCATGATGTAAGGCAAAACATGAAAGATTTCTTTCCTTCTCTTTTCGTCATCGTGGTCGTCATTTATTATTGCATATTCCCAGGTCATGTGGTGTCTTTTTCTCTGCTTGTGAAAAGCTGTCTCGCTCGCTCGGTCGTTACGTCCCACGACTGTCACGTACTGTCGGCCAGTACAAGCGTTCGTGGTATCGACATAAGCAAAAGCCAGCGCTTGGGTATCATGGGTATATGCGAATTGTGATGCGAGGACTTTCACACTCAGTGTCCACTCTGCTTCCTGAATCTCAGAAGCTCGGCGAGCATGTTGGGGTTGCAGCCCGTCTTGAGAAAATCGTGTCTACCGAGCTCCTCGGCAGTGGCACGAGACTTGACATCAACGCACAGGCAGACGCTCAAGAAGCTCTTGAGTTCCTTGCTAAGGGCCTCGGGCTTCTTCAGACGTGGTGTACCGTTGGTGGCGATCAAGTACAGAGCCTTCAAAGGCTCCTCGTTAAGGTATGGAGGCTCAGACTCGATCATCTCGATGGCCATGATACCCAAGGACCAGATGTCGACCTTGCTGCCATACTCCTTCTGCTTGACGACCTCAGGAGCCATCCAGTAGGGAGTTCCGACCATGGTAGCACGCTTGCTGCGCTGCTCAGTCAACTTGGCACAGAAACCGAAATCGGTGATCTTGACATTTCCTCTCGAACTGAGCAGGACGTTGTCTGACTTGATATCACGGTGGATGATGTTCTGCTGGTGGAGATGGATGAGACCCTTGCAAGTCTGGAAATAGTTGTCAGTTTGAGGTCACAATTCGATGAAGCAATCTGACACTTACCTCGTGGCAGATTGTGGCAATCTGGGGCTCGGAGATGCTGGGGTTATTGTCAATGACATCGGTGAGTGCACCACCCTCCATGAACTCCATAACAACCCAGAGCTCGTTGCTCTCCTCCTGGAGGAAGGCATCAAGGAAGTTGACAATGTTGGGGTGCTTGCTGTCCTTCATGACGATGATCTCGTTGACGATCAACTCCTTACGCGGCTGGTTGCGGAGATCCATCTGCTTGATGGCAACTTGAGCTCTGGGACCGTTCTCACGCAATTGCTGACGAGCAGTGGGAGAAGTGGCGGACTCGCGGATACGAGCAACGTAGACGGAACCGGAAGCACCTTGACCAATCTTCTTCTGCTTGTTGTATGAGTCAAGAGGACGCTCCTTCGAGACGACCTCGCGCAACTTCTCCATGACCTGGGCATCAGTCATGCTTGACATGCGGACGTCCTTTCTAGGTTCCTCCTTCTTAGGTGGGGGAGCAGAAAGAGCCATCTCGGCCTTCTTGATAGGGTCCATGGGAACACCGGTAGGTTGCTTGGATGCAACATTGAGCGGCTTGGGAGCAGCGGGAGAGTGCTCTCTCTGATGCGATGATCCAGATGGCATGTGAACACCAGGAGCGCCTGCATTGCTAGGCTTTCTCTGGCTGCTAGGCGACTGCTGTCTCTGAGACGAAGATTGACCAGGTCTGGGAATGGAAGAGGACGAGCCATTGGGAGATGGTGCTGTAGGAGCTTGACGCTGAGCAGTCAATTGACGAACTGGGTTGACCTTTGAGCTTGATGAAGAAGGTGCAGACGGAGCGGGTCTGGAGGGCTGGTATCTGGACGAAGGGCTGGCATCGCGGTCGGGAGAATAGCCACCACCACCAACTTCTTGCTGAGCCAAGGGCAGCTTGTGCTTGGGCAGGCTAGCGTTATAATCTGCAAGTTCTTGTGCCTCTCTTCTCTGAGCATCTTCATAGACACGCTGCTTTTCGAGCATTCTACGTCTCTCATCATCCTTGCGTCTGCGTTCATCCTCGATGCGGGGGTCGTACTGTGGAGCTGTGTTGGTGCGTGAGAGCGAAGGCTGCGAACCGGCCGGTGAGACGTTGCGGGTAGAGCTGTAGCTCTCCTTTCTGGTGTATGCGGCAGGGGGTTGGGGACGGGGAGGAGCAATGCCGTTTCCGTGGCCCAGCTGCTTGTTGCCATAAGCGTCAATGGGAGGAGTGGGAGTGAGGCTGGTGTATTGCTTGGGGTCGTCTGCTCTCTTCTGGAGCTTGGTTGTGTAGAATTCCAAAGCCTCGACAACAGCCTGGGGATTCTTAGCCATGTCATCCTGTGTAAGCGCCGAACTGTTGAGCAGCTTCTGCCATTCGACAGGCAGGCCGACGAAACCTCCAGTGACGGGATCGAAGCCAACATGAATGCGGTGAGAGAATGAGGTGGGGTGGCTGACACCGCCCATGGTGGGACTCTTGTTGTAGATGACATCGATCCAGCCGTAGACATCGTTGTCCGTCTCGAACTTGCAGATGACCATCTTTTCATTTCCAGGGGTACCTCTGGTCAACTCGAACGAGTAGGGAATGGTCTCGGATCTGGTGATGTTGAGAACATCCTTGAGAGGAATGGAGAAGGAGATCTTGGGAGTGGTGTCGCTCTTCTGGAAGTCCAGAGCCTTTTCTCTGAGGACGAGGAACTTCTCAGACCAGAAGACACCCTTCATGAAACCACCTTCTTCCTTGACCTTGGCCCAGCCGGACTTGACGGCTGAAGATTCATTGCGAGAAGAGCCAAAGTCGGTCATGGAGCGCTGGAGAGAAGCCGAGGCGCCAGGGCCAGGGGATTGCAGACTCAATTGGCTCATGTTGCCGGCAACATTGTTAACGTTGGGGGTGAGAGCGAGACGAGGACGATCGGTGGGAGGACGAGGGGCGGGTCCTGGGTTCATAAAGGAGCCCTCTGAGTAGATACTGAAACGATCTGTGAGCATGGCGGTGTGGACGAGTCGGTGCGCGCCAAAACATACCCGTGTGGTTGCGACATTGTGTGTGTGTGTTTGATCGCGAGTGCTTCAGACGGCGAGGTGACCTTTTTTTTCTTGTGGACGCGGGCGCAACACAAGGTTCGGCAGGCGTTGACCAAGCCTCGGAGGATTGTTGTGTGCGCGAACTTGTCGTGGTTGATGTCGTGTAACGTCGTGGATTGGGATAGCCTTGTTGGAGTGAGGGCAGGCGCAGATTGCGGAGTTGGTTCGGCGTCTCTTGTTCAGCCCCTGTGCTGGTTGCTGACGGCGTGCTGCGAGTGAAGCGCAAACAACAGTGACGACGTGACAAGATATGACAGCTCTCTGCCAGCAGACGTTGAGATAAACGAGCGAAGTCGACGGACGGTTGGATGCTGCACGGCGAAAAGATCGAGGGGCTGCTGTCGCACTCTCTCACACCAGAGAGCCTACACCTAGTTTCGCCATAGAGATCCGTGCGCTTCGTCTCACCGCCTTTGACCCGCGACGAGCTTGACTCTTGTACGCAAACACTACACGTTGCTGGGTTCTATTCTTCACCTAGTTCCCCTATATGTATTGTCCTGTCTCTACAGCTCGCTTTACAACACCATGCTCCCTCACTTCTCGCATGGATTACAACTATTCTTCTCTTCTGCCACGCACCATCCACACAACGTCACACACGCGAACGGCCCCTGAACGGCCAACTCTACCGCAGTGGCTTTCCCATTGTCACTGCACCTTGCGCCTTATCACAAAGCCCCTCATCCTTTTTCCGAACATGTCCACCTTTCATTGTCCTTCATTCGGCTTATTCTTGCCTCTCTTCCCACTCTTTCGTCTTTGTGAAACGCTGGCCATGCCCTATAGCAAAGCTCCTTCTTATTCCAGTGGGCATGTGAAACGCTCTTGCTCGTGCCATGCCAAAGCTTAAACTCCGCCCATCCCGCAAGAGGCGCACGAATCACACTTCCATCTCCACCATGACACGATAAATTCACTGCTCTCACAGCTCGGTCATGACTTGACACTCAATTGTGCATCTTTTGCAGAATATACAGTATGCCTCGATTGTGTATCATGCTCGCGGAAAATCAAAACTAGAGAAACTCGCTAATGCCACAACAAACAATATCTTTTCCTTTCGCACGCGGCATAGAAACACCTTTTGCGCTGATATGCAAGCTCTCTGACTGACTGGGTTGCATCCAAAAGGACAGCAGTCAGCCTGTCCAGCATCCTCCTTTCCAATGCTCTTTACTCTCCATTGGCATCGGGTTTGGCTCCTCCCATATACTTCTGCATGAATGTAATGTAGTCGTACTTTTCCAAATCACGGTCTTCCTGCAAATCAGGTCCACTGTGCGTTGGCATCGTCTTGACCAAATCCTCGATAAGCTCGTCAGGGATGAGCGAGTGTCTGAGATCAAGCTCAGTGACATATGGCTTGCCATCCGCGACCTCGCGGAAACTCTCAAACACCTGCTCAGCCGTATACTGATCCTCGGTGACTTCGACCATGAAGCGAATGAACTGCTCAAAGCTGACGGTACCTCCGGGACCATTGCTGACTTCCAAGAAGCGTTCGTGCATCTCGTCTTCATCATACACGAGTCCCAAACTAGCAAGTGCTGCGGAAAACTCGAGTTCCTGCAGCGAATTGCTACCGCCGCGGTCGAAATGTCTAAAGACTGATTCGAACTCTTCAAGCTGGATAGGCGTGAGGTTCGTCATGCTGCGCGCCACCATCTGGTTTTCCAAAAAGGCTAATTTCTTCTGCACACTCGATTTGACCAAGCCCAATTCGTAGACAAGCTCGTCGTATGTATATGTTGTAAAGTCGTTTTCCTCAATGTTGGCCTCTTCGCATTGTTCGTCCAGGCGTCCGATGATGGTGAGATATTCGTCGAGAGGTGGTACTGATTCTGAGATCTTGGTAATGTGCTCTCTTTGGTCTTCAACTTCGCCCTCCAGTCCAGAAATGCTTACGCTCAACGTGTGAAGAGCTAGAGCAAAGTCGTTGGCCTTGTCGGCAAAAGTTCTCCGTAGAGTGTTTTTGATGTCGCGGATCGTCTCGTTGATCACTCTACTCCTCTCTTTCTCAGCACGCATCAATCCAGCCCAAGCAGATTCGAGTGCGGTCAAGCTGAGCTCCGGTGGTGGTTCGTAGGGTCTCAAGCGGTATGTACTGAGTTTCGTCTTGATGTTGCCCAGCAGACCAACCAAGTCGCTCTTCTCTGCTACCCACTTTCTCTTTTGATTGCGCTTGTATCCCATGAACTCTGAGCTCTGCATCTTGGCGTCGGTATATGAGCCTTCGAAAGTGGCTTCGCTCCATTGCTTTTGCTGGTCGGTGATTTGGCGAAGGAGCTCCCTCATACGGCGCTCAAAGCTATTTTGCATCTCCCAGGCTCCTTGCATGTTGGAAACGAACTTCTCAACACGTCTTCCAGCGTTTTCGACACGTTCCATGGCGGAGAAGGCATGGAACCAGTAGGCGATGTATGTCATGAGCGAACGCTCGTCGGGCTTCGCGACGTCGCATACGTCGTCGACGTCGAGTAGGTCCGGAATGCCGATTTCCTTGGAGGCGATGTCGAAGGCCAATTGCATGTTTCCACGGTGGTCGTTCTTGTCGAGCTTGTCGTAGTCGATAAGGTCGGGACGATGGATATCAAGTAGTGCGCAGCTGAGAGATGTCAGGTTAGCTTTACCTCAGCGAGGGCTTTGTGGAAGTGGTTTCACATACAAAGCGAGACCATCGTTCCAGCTCGACGAAAAGTCTCGGACCTCGACCTCGTCATAGCATGCAGTCTTTCTCTGACACCACAACAGCAAGCCTTCTTTTGCGCTCAGGCCCTCCTCGTTGATGTCGCTGATGGTGAAGCGGAGAATGAGAGTCCAGATGAGACCGAGGATGATTTTCCGATTGCCGTCGACAATGTCTTCGGCGCCGATATTCGTTAATTGGATACGCCGGCCTTTGATAAAGTCTAGGGCTATGTTGACGTTCTCGAAACGCTGGACTCGTAGTTTGGGACGGGAAGCGTAGCGGCCTAGTGATTCTTGGGAGAGGATCTCGAGGAGGTGGATGAGCATGACCTGCACGCGCTGGTCAGAATGCAGAATAGACAGTTAGAGCAAGATACTCACGCCATCGGAGAGGTCAGTGACCAGGTCTTTGATCTGCACATCGCGGACCTGCAGTTTGCTGTTGAGCCTGTGTCGCGAGCCTCAGTCAGCCATCTGCTTAAAGTTGTCGCGGATGTGGTAGCTCGTCATACCATTTGCCGAACGTCTTCTCCTGCACCTTGACCCAACTCTGTTCCAGCAGCACAGCCATGGCTGACGCGCCCTTGTTCAGCCAAAACTTGCTCAACACCCGCCGGCGCCAAAGAGCTGTGTGCGACGATAGCGATGCTGTACCCTCTTATCCAGAAGAAGGCAGCCGATATTCCTGTTGCTGCTGCGGTAATATGTCTTCGCGGTCCAATTGTATACAGAAAGGGTCGCCGAAGCGGTGAGATGCAAGTGAGGGAAGCACAACGACGACGACGACGACGACAAGGTTAAAGTAAATAAACGGACCTCTTGGGCCGAGAGCCTGCTGCCTCCGCAACTCAACGAGGTCCACCACTTGCCGACACCCTCATTTCTTGCCAAACCATCTAATTTCGTCTTCATACCAATTTCTCGAGCTCCTTTTTGCTACACTGCCCACCTCATCTACCGCTTAGGTATATTTCTGTCGTTCTAGCATGTTCTTCTTTGTGCCCCGGATTGCGACTTCCGTGTCGAGCTCGATGTGCCGCAACGCTAAAGTCGTTTTTGTTACGCTACGCACCCTGACGCGAGTTGCCATGCTTGACGTATCATCGCGACAGATCTGTTATAGTTCTCAGTTATTACTCGGTACAATTGAATGTTATCCTTCCTGCTGTATGCCTGGTTTCATGTGTTGTAGTGCCACATGGTCGCCTTGATGATGTCTGGTAGACTTTCGGAGAACCAAGATTGAAGCATCGGGTAAGCTGCGTAGCACAACCACACCACAACTCGAGGAATCTGATGTCTCACCAGCCCACTCGTTCACAAAATGGCAAATTACATGGTGACGACATGTTCCTCAAAGCAGATCATGGAAACGTAAATCCTGTCATGACAAAGTTTGATTGATATTTCTGCAATTCCTGCACGCATCTATTCCTTCCCTCCTGCTCGATCAGACAAACCAAAATAAAATCAAACACCCCAATGCTGTTCCGCGCTCTGAGTTTGGGTATCCGCTAAAAAACCAGGCAAAATCATGTTCCATATGACTTGTTGATATCTTGTTCGTAGACGGCCGTGATGATCATGAACGTAAAAAATTGCGAAAAAGCAAGGAAAAAGAAGTAGAAAGAAAAACCGAAACTGTAGATTCCCCAAAGCTCACTTATATCCAAGCTGGGTACTCCTGGAAGCCCTGGTGTTGCTCGGGCGGAGACATTGGTGGAGTGGGTGGCACTCCACTGTACTTGCAATCAGTACTGGCTGTCGTCTTTGGTGATATGCTGGTGCAGTCCATAGCAATGGAGGGGGAGGTGCGAAAGGCGTGTTGGACGTGGGAGAGACGGCTTGGTGTAGTAGGTCTGCTAGATGCACGTCCGTTTCTGACGAAGCGTCCGGCAGCCTGAAGGATTGCGCGATCCTGTGCGGAAGAAGGTCTGCGCATGGTTGGGAATGAGCTAGGCCATTGCGAAGTGGGCGAAACTGGAGGGGACACAGGCTTCGCCGATGGCTGTGCGGGCAAAGGTGGGAGGGCGGTCTTTGGAGGAGGCAATGGAGGTGCGGCGAAGGACGAAGGTACGGACATGCGTACTGATCGTGATTTGTACATGGGGTGTGTGAAGGTGATGCCTCTTTGCTTTGCATCTTCTGGAAGACATAATGGTGACGCAATTGACCAGCGTGCGCTTCTGTCCAAAGAACGCCCGCGCTTGACGTTGTCGTCCAGGGAGATTGAGCGGTTGTGAGGAGGCTTTGTAGGACTGAGAGTCTCAGAACTACTGTCGGTGGTGGTAATCTTGGCAGGCGATTCCAAGATGGGGCTCAAATCAGCACGTGAGACGGACATTTGAGGAGAATCCTGTCGGCTCTGTTCCTTGACAAAGGTGGAACTGCTGTCAAAATCGGCAAAAAGTGCCTCGACATCTGGCTGTGACTTGATGCTTGCTCTGCGTGATGGATCACTATACGAGGCGCGCTGGATAGAGACACTGGTGGTCGAGTCTCTACGCGCCGAGCAGGCAGATCCTTTGCGGCTCGACTTTACCGACTCCCAGTCGAAATCACACGACGATTCAGCCTCTACAAGGTAGCAAAAATCGATGTCGTTTTCCCATGATTCACCAGAAGTCAAGCTGGGTACATTGCCATCAACGCTGAAGGAGAGGCGACTCTCGGAAGAAGTTCTTGGTACTTCAGCACCAGAGCCTCCATACGCTTGTGCAAAAGCGTTTCCGATAGGGAAAGGGGTAAAAACCAGGCCATTCTTTTGGCGGGCGGCTGAGCCAAGAGATGGTGAGGATCGTGGTGATAGTGTAGGCGACGTGACGGGTGAAAGATCCAGCATAGCCTTTGCTCGGGGGGCTTTTACAGGACTGGGCCCACAACCTTCCATTTCCTCAGGAACCGATTCGAGACTGGTGCCAGGAAGTTCGAAGATCTGCGGTTGACTCGATGTACGCTCTACTGTAGGTGGTGCGTTTTGCGCGGCGCGTAAAGCTGGATGAATCATGGTAGGAGGCTCTCTCTGCTCAGCACCCAAGGCAGCCAATCTTTCTCTTGAAGGCAAGTCCAGTCGGGAGAAGCTGTGAGATCTCGAGCTGAGCGACAACGAGCGTGCTCGCTCGTCGACAGGAGAGTCGGTCTCATTGGGAGTACAAGGAGTGCTATCGAGTTCATGCACAGACGAAGTGTAGCTTAAGCCGTGGTGCCTAAGAGCAAAAGACTCGGAGCGAACAGATGAGGCGGTAGAGGGTCTCCTCTCGTTTCCTCGAGTTCGATAGCTACTGTCGACAGGATCTGCTTTGATACCGCGAAGTTCGCTTCGAGGTGCTTGGAAGGCTGATGCGGCCCAAAACTCAGAGACAAGTTCACTGTCGGTCACAGATGCTAGTTGTGGCAGCTGCTCCTGCTGAGTGTGTGTGACATGTTGGAAATTGAAGGGAGCCGAGATGTTCTTCTTGCTCAATGTTTGGTAGACTTGTGGGAAGGCGTTAGTACTCATATGTCAAAACGACCGTGCACGCGACTTACAGGCTTCTTCTGACTCGTGCTCCATGTCAGCATCTGTAGATTCACGTCTCCAGCTCGATGTTCGATTGTCGCTACGCAACCATCGCATAAGGGTTTCATCCTTTGTTTCCAAGCCTTTCGAAATTTTGGAAGAGCGTCTCCGAGAGAAGATGGATGACCGCCAGCTGTCTGTGGGCGGCACGGCAATGGTCGTCGACTTTGAATCAATACTGAAGCGAGATTCGGGTCGAGAAGAAATTTCGGATCGACCAGTCTGGACGAAAGCGGAATCTCGAGGCGAAGAATGACCCGACGAAAATATGTCCGCTGACGAGGCTGTGGAGCTACGGGCGCCGAACAGTGACAGGCGTTTCCTTGAAGACGATGAACTGCGGTCGGAGGCAGAGCTCATGAAGTTCCACGGTCTGGAGTCGGTGCCAAATGTTGCTGATAGTCGTGAAGCCTTCTTAGGGGTCGGATCGGTCGTAGTGAAAGCCATGGCATTTGGTTGTTGGTTGGAGTTGTCATCGCTTTGCGAAAACCACTTTGGAGCCATCTAGTCCGGGAGATGATTCATGACCATAAGAAGGAGATAAATGGGTGAAGCCGTTGTTGTTATGGTGGATGGAAGGAGTACGAGTCGAGGTATCGCTTGGGCTGCTTGTGATAGTTGACGGCGTGACAAGACTCGATAGCGACAGACGCAAGATGGGACGGATACACAATGGGTTGGATGGAGGACGAGGATAAGAGAAGTAGGAAAACAGAAAAAGACCAGCGTAAATTGCAAGCCAATGTTGTGACTGCAAGCTAGGTTGCACGGCGCAAAAGTACAGCAGTGTGGAGCGTGTACGACCAGGGAACGTCAGCCGAATGATGACAGAGGGTGGTAGGCTAAATCTGGAGGAGGAGTCAAACCTGGCCCTCCCAAGCAAGCCACCAAGCACTCTCTCATAATGCCCATCACGCTAGGTGTTCCTGCAGCCGGCGGCCGTATGGCACTATCCTGCACTTGCCGTGTCTCGTGAGCATTGAACCGATCGCTCAACTTCCGACATCCAAGCCCACTGTCCACGCATCTCGGCGTCAACCACAGGCCCCGGCGTTCATGAGAGGAAGCATCGATGTTACTGCGGCGCTTCTGTTTACTTCGCACCATTAGCAATCTCAGGGCTAAGGCGAAACCCGAGAGAGGGGGGGGACTCGTGGGACTCGTGGGTACTCGAGCATTGGCCTTGCGCAGACTGCGGACTTTTTTCACAAGTACAGGATTGCGAAAAGTCTAAAGTCTGGAGCCACGAGTAAACGAGCGGAGACGCGGGAAAGCGACGCTCAGAGGTGGAGCTGACATTGCATCGCCAACATGATGGGGAGACGCAGTTTTCTTGCGTCAGAGTCCTGCTGCGCTTCCTTTGTGGAGGTCATGGTCGTGCATCCACCGTGTGATAGAGTCGGTCGAATCTGCGCAAGAGCTGTCTGGCGACGGTTGCTGGCTGCGTCCGACCTGGTTGTCGGGTTGTAGAGAGTGCCAAAACGCTAAACGAGCGGTTGCTGTGTTAAGATTGCGCGCACCGTTGGAGGCTGGTGGGTCCCCGATGGTATGCATGTCTGCGGGTTTCGCGATGGTGATCCCGGGCAGCTGGACATCGCGCAATCATCTCAGACTCGAGGCCTGGCTTGGTCCAACACTACAACGCACTATTCCCCAACTACACACGCTGTCAACAATGTCACTTGTCATGGTCAAGGCGCCTATGCGCAAATGGTCAAGACCTGGTGTCTTCGTGGGCAAAGCTCTGTTGTCTGAACAGTCGGTAACCATCTCTCGGGCGACGTGCCTGCCGCTCCCCAGAGATCAAACGTCGCACATACATATGCAAGTCGACAAGAAAAGATATGCATATCCATGTTGCGTTACGCGCGCTAGAAAGATGCATCGATGTCGTGCGACTTCTTTGCATCCGATCAGGTATTGTTTTCGAGGGACTCATCTCTCACTGCAGGCACTCGTCCTCGACCTGGCTGGACCAGATTTTACCTGGGGACTCTATTGTACCCGATGCAACGACCTCTTCGGGCCCGTCGCGGAATCTCAGCCGCGGCGGCCTCAGCTTCATCCAAGAACTCTAAAATCTGATGCTCTCAATGCAAGGTGCATGTCCTTTTAATCTTGTTGTTTATGCGATAATGGCGGTGACAGGTACATACACTATTACACTTCCAGACACTGCATGCCAGCCGCTGTCATTCAATGTCCTTGACAGCGTCTATCCTTGCATGCAAGATTGAATTGGGTTATGGTGTGTTGTTGGGGCTTGAATAGGCATTCGCGTGCCAGCCTCCGATATCAACACTCGAAACGCTTCCCGGTATCGATATCTCCATATCATCAAACTGCATCGGCCCGCATCCGCCTCAGACAACCTGGATACAAGTGACCACTTCATCCCATTGGCGTGCCCTCCGAAACCCTCCGAAACCCTCCGAATCTTGTCTGTGGATTCGAAGGATTCAATGGCCAATAGTGAGGTGCTTGGTTCACCTTATCCACTTCAGCCTCCTATCCGTGGCCCTCTTGTTAGTATGAAGCTGGAGCTCCAACAGATAAACGAGTGTGGTACTCCGTACTGCGGACGGCTTCCCCGACAATATGCTGTGCTTATTCAGCGCCCTGAGCTCTCCAAAGTTGGCGCCAAAATAATCCCCCAATCTACACAGCGGGATGAAATCTCAATTACAACCGAGTTGCTGGGAATTGGTCGAGCCGCACCAAATCCTTCGACCATTTCGTTTCGTGCACATTCTTTTTTTGTTCAATGCCCTGGAAAAAAACATGATGGATCCTTTTCCAAGTTTCGGACGAGATTACTCGGTCTGCTGCGGCTCTATGGATGGGCTGTCGTCAGACGTGGTGAGAAGTCCGACTTCTGAACAAAGAGGTGGTCGGTCTGGCCGAAATCCACCGATCTTGATTGGATCTGGGGGCCCACTGTCCACGCAAAACCTTGGACAAAACAAGTTCGTGCTCAGCAACAGGTCCATCCACCATCGACGTGCAGCAACTACAAAACTCAAAATCCAAGACGTTGGAATGATGTCAAGCATTTCAACATACTACTTGAACTCCAGAACATCCACCCACTGAAACTAGGCACTTGTCCACCGCCTTCCTAACTGTTTAGTTCGAGGACCGAGCGTGCGACGTACGATGGACCGGCAGTTAACATAGGTCAAGACACGCGACGACATTCAGTGTTATCAGCGAATCAGAAAAAGAATGCGGTTTACAAGAAACAAACACACCGCGAATCGGTCTTGAACATTCGAAACTGACACGTATACACACGACCTCCTGAATTCCCTTCCTTGGTGCTCGATCTGGACCTCATATGTTGTTTCAGTGATAAAAGTAAGCAGACATGACTCTACACTGGCATGTTGAGTTGCCTGCTGTCATATGCCTATAACGCAATTCCTGACTCGCCAACATCGATAACCCGATTGACTTTGGTCGAGCCATGGCTTACCACACACACTCAATCGATCTAGTCCATAATCAAAGAATTGCCATGATTGTAAAGTCGATGCATGATTGTCGGATCGCACATATCACCACACATCCGTTCGCATGACAATCTGCGAAACAAAGATTACTCAAGTCTCGTACTTTGTCGATCATGCAATGTCAGAAATGTTGGTTGTCGGTTACATCTGATATTCACTATGTCGGCCACAGAGGTAGATCTCTTGTCCACGGAGCATACATCTTCGCGACCAACCTGGCGGACACAATGCGGCCTCCGCGCACTATCAACAGTCATGTCACACCGACTGAGGACGATCAAATTCCGAAAGGCATCCGCTCAACGAGATCTAAAGCGTCTGTAGGTGCGACAAGTTCACAGCATCAGGGTTTCCGCTTGAGCACGAGTCGACAACCCGCCGGCGCCCGAACAAGACCGAGGAGAGACCTGTACACCTGAGCTTGTATGTACAGTCCATTACATCTGACTGACCTCGGCGATATTACACGATCAAAATGCTGTCGGCGAAAGTCATCGTTGCGCTTGATTCAAATACCGCAAAGCAAATCCTGCTTGCGTAAAGCACTGTCTTCAAGCGGGCATTTGTATCAATAGCCTAGACTTGAATGTCTGTCTGTGTAGGTGAGATGCAAGAGAAGATTGGAGGATCTATCTTACATGCCATGTCTCGCTGTTCGGCTCTTCAACCGTAGGTACAATAGTCCTCTATCACAACAAGATCCGAGAACATCATCACATGATGCCCATACGAAGTATCAGATCCCACAATAGCACAGAAGAAAGTCAGATAGAAAATACAAAAACAAAAAAAAAAACTGATTATATGAGAATAATTAATCTACATCTGCAACTCTATATCTTGTTCATAATGGTGACATGTCCAAGGATGAGGGAATACGCGGTGAAGAAATGATATCGTATTAGTGTTCGTGCACTGTGCTCCTGTATTGTATGTACCGTGTACCCATGATCTGTCTCCTGAATCCTCTATTACACCTCCATCTCTCAGCCATACTATGAGACTTTGACGATATCCACATCCAAAGATCTATATCCTATCGCACCACATCTTCTTCAGAGTAGTCAAATCACTTTGCAGCAAAGCGACTCTTCGCTCTCAATCTCTCACCATAGAAGAACAGGATGAATATGCCACCGATGCACAGAGTCGTGAGTCCAGCAAGCAAACTCACACCTCCTCCAACTCCCAAGCCCAAGAACATCGGGCGTGAGAACAAGATGGCTGCAGCTGCAAGTGTAGACCTCATGGTATCGTTACCTGCAAAAAGACTTCCAGCATACGCAGGATATACCATAGGCAGATAAACAAACACACACTGGAAGAGAATAAACACACCGACCATATTGACAACGATACCAACACAACTGACGATCCAGTGAATCTTGCCATCGCCAGTCCATGCAAAGATGAACAGGCCAATGGGGACGAGGAAACTAGAGAACAGAGCTGGAATCAATCGACGCTCGGGAGCACCCAAGCCGTGTTCTCGGATCTCGGGTTCGACAACGTAGTAGAGGTAGGCGTAGTAGCCTGCTATTGAGATGACGACGCCGACGGCGATGCTGAGGAATACGAGACCCATTTCTCCGACGTTGAAGCCGTAGCGGGCGATATAGACCAAGGGGAAGACTTCAAAGAAGGAGTAGAAGATTGCGTAACAGAGAGCGATGTAGAGGTCGGCGTAGGCCTATGTGAATTTCGAGTTAGTACACACATAGGTATACAGTATCACTGAATCTTGACTTACGATAGCTGGATCCAGGGCGATTAATTGAAGAGGGCGCCATAAAGCTTCGACGACCAGATTGTTGAAGCTACGTTGAGCTTGGTTGATCTCAGACTGAGCTTTCAAGTTCTCATTTCCAGTGAGAGCTCTGAGTCGCTGAGCACGACGCAAGAGGATGGTCTCTGGGTATGTCTCGGGCAGGAAAAGGAAGAGTGTGATCCAAACAGGTGCCGCAAGCCAAAGCATTTCCCAGAGAGACCATCTCCAATTCATAGCTGCAACACTGAAGCCAGAGATGATGGGACCAAGAGCAGGACCAATACAAGCTGCTGCTGCCCAACAACAGAGGATATAAGGTAACTTGATGAGTGAGAACATGTCTTGCAGACTAGCACCACCTGTAGCGAGAATAGGAGAACCGAAAAAGCCTTGCAAGAATCTCAGCACCATGAGTCCAGCAAAGTTGTCCACGAGGGCTGTCGGCACACACAAAATGGTGAAAATGGCAAATGTAATGATGTAAGGCGGATTCCTGCCGATCTTGGGAATCTCTGAAAGCGGAGAGAAGAGCAGTGGCCCGAGTCCATAAGCAAAGACAAAGAGCGCGATACCAAGAGCAGCTGCTGTTGCTGAAACGTGGAAACGCTCCATGACGCCTTCAGCAGAAGGTGCGTAGATCGCAGATCCTGTGTAGACAGCTGTAGTATAGATACAGATGAGCAGTGTGACCAAGCCTTTCTTCGTGTTGGACCAATTTTGAGGATTCGCCTTGTCGTCAGTGGTGTACCAGTCCACGAGAATGACTCCATCTGCGGTGCGAACAGGGATGATTGGCTCAGGCCGATGAGCTGGCTGGGATGCGATGGCGAAAGCTTGCTCGAGATCTTCTCTGGTTTTTGAATGTTCGAGAGCAAGGCGAGATCCCACTCGCGATAGAGCAGATCTGTTGGTGTTTGTCTTGCTCAATTCATGGTGGCTTCGGTCGGTCTCTGTCCTTGTCAGGTGGAGATCTCTGTCAGGTTCCACTGTTTCTTTCTCCGAATCATCCTTGACAGAGTCGTTGCGAGATGGAAGCGACGGAACGATCTTGGAGTATTGTTTGGTCACTTCCTCTGAGGAGGGGTGTGAGTAGTAATCTGGACAGATGAAGTCAGGCTTTTCTTCAGGGTACTGAAGTACTTTGTTCCCTGTCAAGTATCGAATGAGTTGCCCGAGAGGGGCGTCTCGAATAAGGTCGGACATATTGAGAAGTGGTCCGGTTTATGGATAAGAGAAAGGTAGTAGTTAGGCGTTTTCCCGCTCGAACGAGGAATCTGGCGAACTGGAAGATTGGCTGACGATTGTCTGTACCACATACATATACTCTTCGACCCGGACTTCATGTTTACAAAGCTGCTGATTGCGTGCGATTGTCTTCAGTAAGCATGCCAAGAGACCTTGAAGTCGTCCTTGTGTCACACCATGGAGATTAGCAGGAGCAGACGGAGTTTTGTCTGGACTTTGTAGGACCTGGTTGCAAGGAATGTAAGCCTCGCTGTGATTGGGCCAAGTTGGGGTTTGTCAGCTGCATACTCATGCCTCGCTGACAAACGCTTGATCCAATGAGTTTCAGACACCATCGAACAGATAAAACTCTGGCCGCTGCCTATGGCGACGGATGAATATTCGTGCCGGTCTTACAAAGCCAATGTCTTTCGACTGTTCTCTCAGGCTGTTTCTACGTGTATGGGACGTGGCTGTCGTGATCATCGAGGACAGAGATCGTTCTCACATGCAAGACCCATCGCTGATTACAATGACCTTTGAACAATTGTGAAGGCGTCTTTCGGCCGGAGGGTGTCTCGCAGACAAGCGCGTGTGGTGCTGTCTTTATGGGTAGATACCTGACTGTTTCCTCTGGTCAGTCGGACAGCAGAAGTGCATCGAGAAGCGACATGCAGCAATGATTTTGCTGTGGGGGACGGTAGCATGGGCGTCATTACCCAAGAGAAGGCTTGGCCAAAGCAGTAGCTAATCGGGAACATTGCAGCAGCGACCGATCAAACTCAAAACGCCTTAGATTCTTCGCGAAACTATTCACGTTCTCAAGACTTCCAAACCTCACCCCAAATGTTACGATGCGTGTCTGTCACAAGGGTTCCGAAAATTCCTCAAGAGCCATTCTCATTTAGCCACAGGTCAGCCGGAAAGCTGCACCAAACAGGATCATTGAGCTTCTTACCAATTGTATCAAGCCTTGACACTGCCAAAAAGGAATTTCCGCCGAACAGTACAGCTGACAAGGCTCGGATCATACACACGCCAGACGACAGATACGTCGCCAATCCAGAGGCTCCGGACCCACATGATAATACAATCGCTCAAACTCCTCACGACACCGATGGTGAGAAGTTCCATGGAGAATCGCCAGCTCAACCAAACTTCTTCTCGGCGTCACTCGCAGATGGGACCATTGTGCACAGCGCATACGCATCCAGACATACGACGCTGTCCCGATTTAAACGTCTAGCCTCAAAAACTTCCAAGTTCTGGAAGCAACACTCTCATTCAGTCCGTTCTCAGATCTCCGCGCAAACCTTCGGAATTGCGGTTTCGGAAATATGGAATGATCACTCTACCGTCACCGCGAGAATATACGACATTGATGCACGCAAGGGACCCCGCACGGTGTACCGTTGCAAGTGGAATGTTTCGAACACCTCGATCGTAGAAAGCAAATGCTTGCCAGGAGAGTGGAATAAACTGTGCAATGTCCTTCCGAGAGCCCTCGAGAACCATGTCGGATCTGTGGATCAGCATGATTCGTTGGTAATACTCTCTCCTGCCGCTCCTCATTCCCTCTTTCATGCATTCAAAGAAGTCAGCAGAATATTCGCTTACGATCGTGGGATCAAAAGCCACCCCATATCTGTGGTCCTGGACGAGAACATTCTCGTCAGTCCAATACCTGGGTCAATAACCGAGTCGGATACTTTCCTTTCTTTGGCAAAAATAGTGTGGCAATGGCTGCAACGGGAGCGCGGCCTACGAGTCGAAGCGCTGAGCGGGATAATCCACATCCGAATCATGTACGTATGCAGAAGATTTGGCTATTGACTACACTGACGGGTCCTTAGAGAAACAGATCTTCGCAGTAGATTTCTTAGGGTGGAGGTCTGGGCAATGAGTCACATTGCAGACAAGAGCCTTGTCAGGAGTGTCTACAAGCTCTTCTTCTTGGCCGTCGATGGTCCATTTGCAACTTCCCGTATCGAGTCCAGAGATCATGTGAGAGATCTCCGTAAAGGTGCCGATCACAGCTTGCGGGACTATGCTTTGCGTTCTCTAAAACACAACATTGGATGGATTGACAGTGCAGGAAGACTGATAGAGGGAAAGTACCCAAATATTCAGTCACTTGTCGATGAATTCAAAAAATCCAGATACCCGCCACCTTCAGAATCTCAACCCTTGCTCTCGCCGAAGACGGCACCTACGCTTCCTGAGTCACAAGAGATGGTTGAGTGTGCAGGACCGAAGCTCGCTAAAGATATTCGCGGAGCACGAGTCGCCACACCAAACTCAGATGGCAAGAAATTGGCGAACAAGGGGGGCACAGGCACAGTGATTCCAGAGAACGACAGTGGATCTTCTGTTTCCAACAAACTCAAAGATCAAAGCATTATCATGTCTGCATCCCTTCACGATGGAACGCTGGTAGTTCCCAGTTACATGCGTTGCCTGCGTATGCGCAGGGGTCAAGGACTAGGCTTCCGCGATATCTTGAAGATAATATTCCAATGGCGAGCGCGGACTCGTGAGGAGTTCGATCATGAACAGTGGAGCGTGCCTTTGCTTTTCTACATTCGCTTCGACATGGATCCATGTTTTGTCGTGATCGACGTCTTTCGCAGAGGAGATGACTCGATCGAGCAGTCCATGACACGATGGAAGTTGCATCACACACCTCAAACGCCAAACTGTTCGTTCATTAAAGCCGAGCCGACAAATATAGCTCTCCAGCATGGACGATTGAGTAAACAAATGTTGGAGAGACTAAAGTACGATATGCCAAAATTGTTCAGACCTGCTCTGCAGAACCACGTGGGGATCGTGGATGAGACCGGACTTCTACGAATGAGCAATCAGCCAACGATCCATGAAGCCTATTACGAAATGGAGAAACCCTTCAGATTCCCCTCAACTGCTCTGAGCGTAGAAAATGTGGACACAGATCATGCAGAAGCAAGGTATACGCCGCTGGAGCCAGCAGACAACGAAAAGGCAGAGAGAGGACCAGAACCAAAGCCGGAACAGAGTCTAGGGAAAACTCACAAGGATGACCACAACAGGTATCTGGCTTACGAGAAGGGTCACTCTATCATTGTGTCTGCGACCCTCCAGGACGGATCATTGGTCGTCCCTAGCTACAAGCTCTGTGAGCAGATGTCGACGGGCGTTGGAAAAAGCTTTAGCGACATCTTGAGAATCATTTCTCAATGGCGGACACAAACTTGCCGTAACAGCAATCATGGGCAGGAGATGATCTATGTCTTCGCTTTCCCCAACGTAACCAGCTTCGCTATCTTGACTCTTGGTTCTGATATTCAGACTCTTCGCTCGAATCTCTTGGCTCTTCCCTCGCACAGCCGCTTGCTTCAACAGCCGATGACTCGCATCAAGTTATATCACAAACCTGGGACAACGGAAAGTTCCTATGTAGACTATAGGTGTGTTCGCAACAACCAATCAAACTCAATCGAAAAAATGCAGAAGCTACTAGATACCTTCGAAAGCGGCCTGAAGAATCACGTGGGGGTGGTGGACGAAACCGGTTCGCTGCGAGAAAGCGAGCAATCAACAGCTCATGAAGTGTTGAGCGAACCTGAGAGACCCCCCGAGCCGGGGGTGAGGTATACGCCACCAGAACCAGCTCACAACGGGAAGCCAGAGAAGAAGCCAGAGAATGAACTGGACAAACTTCTTGAGGATGTCCAAGGAATCTCGATGCACGACCAAATTGCAAGCACCATGAAGCTGGCGGGTGCACTATTCGAAGTGAGCACAATGCTCAATGAAGAACTGTCAAACGCACCATCGCAAAAGGACGACAACACGTCTTTCAGTGAAAGCGACTTAGACTTGATTAACGAACCCAATCCAGTTTTCAGAACCATGAAAAATGGCGAAGTCGACATCGATGCCGTTCAGAAAGCCATGGCGGATTTCCGAACTCGACTCGGCGACCGCCAAGACGAATCCCAGATCCTAGCTTACGTCTGCAGAAGATGGAAAGATGAGCTGGAGGCACGTTATCCAATGATGAAGCGAAAGTCTGTAACGCACAACGACGTTGGTGATCTACTATCACCACGCTCTAAATTGGCAACACAGAAGAGCCATGCCACCAGAGAACCCCCTTCCAGCAAGCAAAAGGAACAGGGATCACCGACAAAGGTCAGGTTCATGATTGGCAACTCAGAGCTGAAGTTGGCTTCGACGACGGCGGACTCAAAGGAAGATAAGCAGCCAAACAAACAGCAAGAAAAGTTTGATAACGACAGAGGAGGTACACAACCATACAATTATTCCAGCGATGGCAGCAACCATCGCCGCGGCAAGAATGATGATGGATTTTCCATCTCTTCTTGGTGAGGATCAGATTGCGCTGTATAACAAGATTTGGCAGTGAAGATGAACATGCTAGCATAGCACTGTCTTGAAGCGTACCACATGGTGGCTCAGAAGATCGAACCCTCACTCGAATCTCAACCTGAGACTAGTTACTTGCTTCGCCCCATGCAGAACATAAGTACATAAAACCTGACAGCACGCGATCATGACATTTCGAAGACCAAGATCTTGCTCCTGCTCTCTTGTAACTTGGATCCTACCAGACAGACGCTACAGAAACTTCCGGCCAGGTGTTCCACAAATTGTGAAGTCGGCAAGAGACAAAGAAGTAAGCCCTGAAGTCCCGTGTGGTTTTTTTCCTCTTGCGGGTGATGGTCCAGATTGATCTTATGGCGTGGTTCTTCCGCATGTCGGCGGTGTCGCAGCAAACGAGTCATTTGTTGAGGAAGAACGATATAGTTTCCCTGTCGGGCATATCTGATCATCTAATGATCCGGCGGGAAAAGTGGACCTCGGGGGCTCTTGGCTTCGGTCTTGCCGACTGCGTCTCAAATCGTGAGCGTCCTCTTTTTACTCGTTCATGCGCAAGGCTCGCAGATATATGCGAGACGCGTGGATTTCCCTGGCTATACTCAAACATCCTAGTGTTTGTAATGCATGTCAATATGCATCTTCAAGCAAACTCCTCGGCCATCCATCACGACGCGTGAAACTCTACACCGGACACGTTGGCGCCACAAACCAAATGATTCAGAACCGCTGCAGCATAGAATGAGCTCCCGAACTCGATCATGGATAGACCCATGCGGTTCCCCTCCAGACAGCGCAGTTTTGATCCGCAAGATTATCGCAAAGATGGAGCTTTGTGGCTGGCCGCCAAGCACCGAAGGATCTGGTAGCTCGGGCCCGATACTCTGCGTCTACGGATCTGATAGGTTGTTATCAGATCCGCCGCCCGGACCTAAGCATCTTGAGGTAATGATAACCGAATAGGAGTCTTGTTCTGTCTTCTGGATGCTGTGGTTCTTGCATGGTGAGAAGGAGGTACATGGCTTGCCCTGGCTTGTTGCTGCTCTAGCCTCCCAACGGGGCTTGAGTTCTCTTGGTAGCCCTGACCTCGACCTTTGTGGATATGGATGTGGGTCTTATTGTTCGTTTTTTTTTCTCTCTTCCTTGTGGCGTGTTGTATTTGGCTATGGCATGCAGGATGTGTACTCGGGTAAGTGGGGGATATCGTGCGGCATATAATATGCTGTCCGCCCTCGTTATCTGATCGGATCTCTTGCAAGCTATCTAGATCTTTCACACTCTACTTCTCTTCTGACCCTCATCCTTCATCATGAGGCTTAGGATCCCTAATCTGGTCTCACAACCCAATGAGGTGCCAATCGTGGCAGAGGCTGCTACCGGTAGCGATGTCGAGGTCTCCGGTGCTCAAGAAATGAACGAGAAGAACGGTCCTCAGACCCAGGTCCACAGCAAGTTCGACGACGAAGCAGTCTCTCCTGAGGTACAACATGGTGTCCAAGTCGCCCAAGCTATTAACCAGGTTTGGTCTCGCGAACATCTGATCGCTGCATATATCATCATCTGGATCATCAACTTCATCCAAGGCTTCGGCAGTGGCATTACAGGTGCGTTGTTCCGTAAATATCTAGCAGGAACGTACACTAACGCCATATTCCGTAGGCACATTGACACCCTACGTTACCAGTTCTTTCGAAGCACACTCCCTCACTGCCACGACAAGCATCATCTCAAGTCTGATCAGTGGTCTCTGGAAGCTCCCTTACGCTAAGATCCTCGATGTCTGGGGCCGTCCCCAAGGTTTCGCCCTCATGGTCGCTTCCACTGTCCTCGGGTTTGTCATGATGGCTGGATGCAACAACGTCACAACCTACTGTGCTGCTCAAGTCTTCTACCAACTCGGCTACAGCGCCATCGATTTCACCATCACCATCTTCGTTGCCGACACCAGTAGTCTGCGCAACAGAGCCTGGTGGATCGCATACACTGCATCTCCCTGGCTCATCGTAACATGGTGCTACGGCCCGGCCACAAACTCCGTCCTCAACACCATCGGCTTCAGATGGGGCTTCGGTATCTGGGCCATCGTGTACCCCATCGTTTGCTTCCCTCTCTTCTGGCTGATGTGGCACAATATGAAGAAGGCCGAAAAGCAAGGCTTGATCCCCAAGTACGAATCCGGACGCAACTGGAAGGAATCAATCTACTACTATGCCGTCCAATTCGATGTTGTCGGTATCTTGCTTATCGCTACTGGACTTTCGCTGTTCTTGCTGAGCTTCAGCTTGTACTCTTACCAAGCTGAGCAGTGGAAGTCGCCCATGATTATTTGCTTCTTGGTCTTTGGCATCATCCTCATGTTCACCTTTTCCTTCTGGGAGGCCAAAGTCGCACCAGTGACTTTTATCCCTTGGCACTTGATGCGCGACCGCACCGTCATTTTCACCTTTGCCATGGTGGCTGCGATTTACTCTGGCTACAGCGTTTGGTACGATTACTTTTACTCAATGCTGATTGTCGTCTTCAATACCTCTGTCCGCGACGCGACTTATATCCTCAACATCTACACTATTGGTGCTACCTTTTGGTGTCTGGTCGTTGGCGTGGTGATTCGCTATAATGGCCGTCTCAAGTGGATTGCACTGTACTTTGGCGTGCCCGTCAACATTCTAGGCGTAGGACTACTCATCTACTTCAGGCATCCCTATACCAACATCGGGTTCATCGTCATGTGTCAGATTTTTATTGCTTTCGGCGGTGGCACCCTGGTCATCTGCGAGCAAATGACCGTCATGGCCGTCTCCACTCAACAGAACATCCCCGCTATCCTCGCCTTCGAATTCATGATTGCCAACATCGGCTCCTCGATCGGTTCTGCAATCGCCGCAGCAATGTGGACAGGCCTGTTCCCCGGCAACCTCGCCAAATACCTTCCTGCCTCCGCTTTATCTGACCTCCAAACCATCTATGGAGATTTGACTGTGCAGAGTTCATATGCGATTGGCTCGCCGGAACGCGATGGTATTAACAAGGCGTATGGGGAGACGCAGAAGTTGATGTGTGTGGCTGCTACTTGTTTGTATGCTACTATCATTGTGTGGGTTAGTTTGTGGAGAGAGATTAACGTCAAGGGGATGAAGCAGACTAAGGGGTTGACTATGTAGAGAGAAGTAGTCAGGCTGCACTTGAATGAGAGGATGGTGGTGCTTTAGGGTGATAGATGAAAGTCAATGTTGATGGAAATGATGTATTGGGTATACCTATAATTTGCCTTTCCAAACTTCATGACCTATTGCTTGTGATGCTAGTCTTGTTTCCATCGTGTTCTTCGCTACGTTTTTTCCATTCGGCCTTGGATAGACACATCCCTTATTGTTCTGGCATCTATATCACTTCTATCTTTTTTCATCATCCTATATCATTTGCCATCGTGATGCTTTCTCTCTCAGCCAAATCCCTCGATCTTCCGCTACCGTGCCCCGTCTCTTGACCCTACGCTCTTCCTTTCTCGCATACCGACACTCTCGTTCTCCAACCTTGTCTGGACGAGTGTGCAGCTTTTCCCCCAGAAGCGACCATGTCGTTAGAAGTGTACAAAGCCGTCATCTAGCTTATTCTGATTCTTTGTTTCGCCACGAAATACCATATTTTGCCATTCTTGCCAACTGATCGTTTCATAATATTTCCGATCACAAGGTCACAGCGATATGCACACACCCCGAGGAGTCACGCCCCTTCGCATGACAATCTCATTCGAGAACCATCGGTCAACTTTCCCAATCTGCTTGTAAGAACAAAATGGCCTCTTGCCAACTATGTTGGTGAGACCAAAAAATCCATTCCGACACTTCTCTCTTGCTCCAAAAGTTCTGCCTTGGTGATCGATAATGGTAGCACATCGCAGGCAGTTGTACAATACAGAATTGACATAGAAGTGTTTGGAGGATTTGCACAGATGGCTGCAATACAGAGTTGCAGCCGTATTGCTGAACCCGCGGTTCCGGATTACTGTTGATGGTGGATATGATGTGTGCGGCTATCTGGTATATGAAAGAGGCAAGCCACTGACGAGTAGGCGGGAAGGATGAAGACTTACATCACACGCAAGGCTTATACGCATGATAATCGATGAAGAGGCAACGAAGGATATCCGTAAGCCCCAGCGGGCATTGCAATACCACCGAGTGAAAAAAAAGCACTATAAGAAACGCGATCAATGTGATGTGATGCAATGCGATGAATAGCATTCCAATCCCCATAAAACTCCCAAACCTCTGGTCATCGCAGCCCGACACAGAGGGCGTATGAGAACAATGCATACCAATCCTTTCCCAGCTCTCAGCCATTGCCCCTTCCGAAAAATGCAAATACTCGAAACACTCTCATCTCTACCAATCCTTGACCTCAAAACACCCATTCTTCTCCCTATGCGCAATCCACCTATCCGCCCACCCCTTCATCCTCTCCCTGCCCTTCGCACTCCCGACATTAACAGTAGGAATGATCTTTTCAATCCTCAAAGCCGTACAAAACATGCTCAGCTCTCGGAAACTCGAGTGTTCAGAGTAGGGCACTCCAAAGCACTTTGCTCTGTTCGTGCTACCTCGTTGTGGCGAAAGATCTTTAATGCAATAGGATGATTTCCACGAGGTGGAGTAGAGGATGTTGGCGACGTTGGGGGTATCGAGGCGAGAAGAGGGTGGTTTGTAGTTCCAGCCGCTGGGGCGGAATCCGATGCAGCGGTCAAAGTGGTCGGCGTAGCCTTGGCGATAATCGTCGAGGGTGTCGGCGCGGATTTCGAAGATAGGTGTCATGTGTACTTGAGCTTCTCTGGGGTCTGTGGTGAGCAAGCCACTTAATTCAGGGTCTTCCAAAGCACGACAGATGCGCTGTTTAGCTGGTGGTGCGTAGATTTTTGACTTGAGTGCTTTGGCGATGCCGATGCAGATGCGTTCCTTGCCGATTGAGTAGGTGCCTACCACAACCAGCAATCGAGCGGCTTTTGTGCTAGTCAGCTTGCCGTTGTTGTGGAGTTTCAGTTCTGTCGTATCTGAAGGTTCTTGCTTGATGGCGAGTTCAGAGTCTTCTTGCTTGAATGTTGGCTGGGAGTCTTTGCGGACAAAGTTTGCCATGCCTGCACTTTCTGACTTGAGGGAGTCGAGGACTAGAGGGTCGTCGTTGTATCTCACACACATGTCTGCGCATGCTTTGATGACGTCTTCCTGCTCGGGGAACGCGTATTTGGGGTTCAGGTAGGTCGTGTCGAGGTAGCAGACGTCGATCTTCTGCTCCTTGTTCTTTCCTGTAATATGGTCTTGCACATCTGGTCGAAGCAGAGGATGTTGCAGGTGCATGCGACACGCTCTGAAATCACCACAATGCAAGATGCGCTGTAGCTTTGGGTCCGGTCCTTTACTCAGAGGCTTCTCAAATAGATATAACGATGAGCCAGGGCAGTGGTTTGCTGAGATCATAGTCACCATGACACCAGGTGTACCTGGCACTTCTGTCGGTTTCTCCCAGTCTAGAGCAATGACATACTCGGGATTGACGCGCAATTGTTGTTTGACCAGGTTTGCAGTGACCTTACTGCAATAGATAGGGCCATGTGTCCAGGTGCTCGTGAGACCAACATAGTGATCACTGTGGAAATGACTCAGGAAGTAGGCGTTGCAACCAGCGACAGCGCCGTATCTGAAAGCATCGACAGCTATATTGGTGCCAGGTAAGATCTTGTAGAAAGGACATGTGCGTGTGTAACTTGGCTTTCCACGAGAAGCATTTTCGGCAGCGGCAGCATTGGCCCATGCCATATCTTCGGATCGGCTGGTCATGAGTTTCGAGAAGGCAGAACTTGAGGTATGGGCGCCGAGGGGTTGTGATTGAGCAGGCTTTGCTGGCCGGACAGGCTTCTTGAAGTGTGCTGAGGAAATAGTGACTGGCGAGGGCTTGTCCTTTTTTTCGGGCAATGGTGTGGGATTGCCATCGAGGCAGTTGTTAACATGGACGCCAGCATCTGATTCAGCGACTCCAGCCAGGCTGACACTGCAGATTGGACATGTAGGAGCGTTCTCCTCTAGACTTTCGATACTGTCATCCTGAAAGCTGTCGTCCTGGAAACCGTCATCTTCTCCGTTTTCTTGCTTGAGTTGCTCTTGCTCCATCCACAATCTCTCGACGTATTCTTCGCCCTCATCATAAACATCATCTTCAAAGTCGTCAGTTCCCTCCAAATCGCCAAAATTGTCTTGATCTGCTACTGACGCGGATGTCGGTTGGTGTATCAATGGGGGTGGCAGTTTGGGTTCTGTCTTGATGGTCGGTGTGGGAGGTACATCGCTGGGTTTTGTGTCGTCGACCTCTTCGTCCTCGCTATCTGACTCCTCCAAAAACGGGCCAGTAGCAGCCTTGATGATAGGTAGGCACTTGACCTCATCGGTCGGTGTAGGAGCCGGAAGTATAGGCGCGAGCCCGTCCAGACCCTCTTCCGGTGATAGCTTCCATCTCTTGACAGGACCGTCCTCCTCGTTAAAGCGTGTCTCTTGCTCTTCCTCAATCTCGACTTCGTCCACTACTTCCCGACTCTTCAATGGCGAGGATCCAGGGTTCGCAACAAACAGACCATCATCCTTCTTGAAGAAAGACAAGATACTGGCGTTTGGTTTGGCAGGTGCTTTGACGTTCTTGGCTGGTGTCGTCTTCTTCGCGTTGGCATTTGCTCTTGCTGCGGTAGCAGGTTTCGCTTGTTTTGAGCTACTGGAGGATCGGGGAGGCATTGTCCTGGTAGCCATGGGTGGCAATCGAGTCGTCGGTATAGTGGGTGGCGGCTTGGTAGAAGGAGGGGTGGCGGTGGTATTTGGTGGCGACGGCGGTCTGCCTACTGATGGAAGCACATGCGTTCCTGAGGATACTGAGTTGTTCTCTCGTGGGTTTCGAAACATCGAAGAGGATGCGATTTTGCTTAATCGACCTGTGCCTAGACAAAAGTTGCTGATGACGCCGTGCCGAGGTCGTGTCAAAGCGCGTAGATTGATTTTGGTTTCGTGACGCCAAGACTGAATTCAATCAAAGAAATGTCACAACAACACGAATGCCACGTCTGCATGACGAGACCATGTTCGATGTGATTATGCTTCTTTGCATTTGGTCTATGTGGCAAGAACAACTCCCCCATTCTGTCACCAACGTCCGCTTCCCTTGATCCGTCCAACCATGCTCCGTATTTGCCATCCGCACAACCACTGACCACCCGATTCTGTCAAAGAGCCTCGGGCATTACTACTAGGAGATAAGACGAGAACCAAGGTCAAAGCTGAACAATCATGACTGAAGGCCTATCCATCTAGAGTGCCGAAAAAACAAAGAGCTGCGACGTGCCGCGTCAGTCATGCCATGAGGAAGACTGTCGAGTCAGGATACTCACATTGTTGGTTGCAGCAATTGCAATGCTGTCCTCGAACGGATGCCAGCTCATGTGCAATATCTTCTTGTTAAAGTCGATTGCATCGGCATCCGTCTCCTTGCGCATTCTGCTGCCCTGGCCCGCGGGGCTGTTGGCCCTGCTGTTGCCCTTCTTGTCCTTGGCTCCATTCATCGGTGTTGGAATTCCAACCTTCTTGGCCTTGAATGCGCTCTTGTCCGCTTGCAGTACCACTTCAGTGTCCTTGCCCGCTTCCGATGGATAGATCATGAAGTTGTTGTTGTAAGATCCCGTCATGACATTCTTGGCATCGCCCGAGAAGACCACCTCGAACTTGTCGAAGATGCTGTCATTCTCATATGTATCGCACAAGCGTGGTCGGAGGTGTTCGTGGATAGGGATCGTCTTTACTGGTTGTCTTTCCATGTTCACATCCCAGATCTTGACCGTCAGATAGTCGCGAGACAAAATGTAACGACCGTCATGTGAGAAGCGGACATCCGAGATGGACGAGATGATTTCCGAGAAGAACGATCTGGATGAGGGATCCTCTTCTTGCTCGAATTCTGCCAGCTGTCAGCCTGGTTGTCTGTCTGTTCCTCGACAATAAATACTTACGCTTGGCATGTGAATCGCACAGAGCTCTCTCACGCATGTCAGCCAACTTGATGGTTCCCTTGCTGCTGGCATACATGAACCAATTGCAGCTGAGTGGGTGGAACTCTGCGGCAGTAATGACCTCGGTCAACTCCTCCATGTTTGCAGGCTTGATATCAACGATATTGAAGCTCTGATCTTGAATGTTGAGGTTCCACAGGTTGATGCGCAAGTCATCACTGCTGATGTATGTTTCGCCATCGCTGTTGACAGAAATGCTATTGATGTGGTAAGCGTGGGCGTTGGCATACACGCGACGAGGCACGGCGGCGATGACTGTGTCGTGGTGTGTCATGCGAGGGAAGCTGAGGTCGGCGGTGCTGCGGAAGTGTTTGTTGGGAGCTCTGACAGGACCGCCGCCAACAGCACCACCCGCGCCGGCAGGAGTAAGATCTTGTGACAGGTTGTTCTCGGCCACGACCTTGAGGGATTTTTCAAAGACCTTCCATAACTTGATGGTCTTGTCGTTGGTCGACAGCAAGTAATGCGAAGCGTTTTGTCTCCTACACCACTTGATCTTGTTGATCTTTTCCTCGATTTCAAGCGATTTCAGATAGTCAAACTCGGGCTCATGTGATTGGAACTCGGTGTGGAACTTGTACTCGCATGTTTTTTTCTTGCCTGTGTCAGCAGCGGAAGGCCTTTCGTCGGGGGCGGGGATGGCTGGTACCGTCTCATTACGTTCGAAAAGAACAACGCGGCCACCCTTGTCGCCAGTGGCCAGGTAGTTACCCGTCTGGTCGAATTCGACCGTTGAGATGATGTCGGCTGCGTCAAGTCAGCGGCGCTGCAGATGGAGGGGCAGGTCGGCAACGACAAACCTTCTGTGATATCCTCGACGTCTCCCTTGTCACCAAAGCATCTATGCGTCAAAGGTCAGCCTGGGGATCGTTGCAATTGTGTCGCGGAGTCTTGGTTGAGTCGTTGGTGGGAGTGGACAGTGTTTTCCGACAACAGCACGTGCATGACGGGTAACAGCGGTCGTGCGTCCAGGGACGAGAAGAATGCGACAAACAAGGCATGCAAGATCAAAGGCAGGACAGGGGACACGGAGAGACTCACTGGGTGAACTTCCATGTCGGAGGCTGCTGCGAATCTCCGTCGACCATGATTCCTGCTTGTACTGGAGCAGATGCAGGAGAGTGTCCGGGAATTGGCTATGTAGCTGAGGCTGGCCAAGTGTCGCTAGGTGTTCCTGGCAAGATGGAGGGCTTGATTCTAGCAGGGGTGTAGGATTGAAGGGATGGAATATGGATGGGATGCGAGCTTCAGCTTCGGATGATGTCAGGTCGGCCAAGGCAGAGAAGCAGCAGCTGTTGTTGCGGATTGACGGCGCGGCGCGGCGGCGAGAGGAGCGAAACGGCAAGGGTGGGCGAACGAACAGAGGCGAGTATCGACAAGGGACGACTGGAGTGTGGATTGAAGGATGGTTTACTGTTTGGAGACGGTAAGATGGTGGGTTTGGGACTGCGTGGACCACGAATGTCAAGGGATGGCGCTTTTCGAGCGCGGGGCTTTTTCCACCTAGTGACTGCCAGACCGCCAAGAAGCCCTGCCCTGTCTGTATCTTCACTCGATCCGTTTCTTGTCTTCAAATACACCCTGTCTAGACTGCCACTCGGCTTGATTTTGCTTAGACACTGTTGGTCTAGAGTGGTGTTTTGTTGCTGACCACAGCCTGTCAGAGAAACATTGCGTCTTGTTCGTGCAGCTCATCTCAACTTCTTTGTCCCGATCCGTCCAGCTTGCTGTTTCAGACCAAACTTGCCATTACACACACCGCGATCGAGAAGCTTTAGACGTTCGCGCTATATGTGCTTGTAATTTGATACACGCTTTACTCTGTCATTGTGTCGATCGATCAGAGTCACCGTTACAGTCTTCCCACGATACATCACTGCTACGACGTAAAATTGACCAGCATTTCTAAGGATGCCATAATCCTTTGTCTTTTATCTACTCGGCGGTTGTCACGCTCTTGCTGCCTTTGAGCTTCGCCTCTATGGCGCATTCTGAAGTCTAGATCAGGCCATCTCAATTGTTTGCTTTGACTCAAGCTACGCTACAGAGGCAACTATTGTTACAGCTCTGGAAGCTGAGCATGACCTTCTGCTACCAAGGTACGTTTGAATGGATATCGACAAAGGCGACAAAGCATTGTGCAGGCGATGGGTAGTGATGAGCCTATCTTCTTTACCTTTTACTCAGGATACCGCAAAGCTTAGAGAGGAATCCAATAGGACACTGATGACCCGCACATTTCATGTGGGAATTGGCTTCGACACTGTAGGGTTAGAGTGGAGATGGATTGTAAAAGCTGTTGTGGTTGTTCAGCTGCTCTGCGCACGAGTGGCAATCTTTCAGGCCGTAGCTTTACTGTTTCCCTATTGACCGTCAAAGCCAAGTTTGCAGGCAGTCACCTCGTGCTTTCCTTTCCGGGGCGCTTGGAAAATGGAAGGATATTCACATTGAGAGCACTTCTTCGTCGCCCCATGATGAGTATATAAAATGTCAAGGCATGTCAATCGGCAAGTGTCGACAGAGGCCGGGACGTGTCTAACGCTAACCGAGGATATCCATGACTTCTGGTGAACGCTGATTGGCCAGATCTGCGGCGCGACTCGAATAGCTCAAGAGATCTGGGTTGCTCTCCACGACGTTTGCCCCGTCGCCGGCCGAGCCCTCGAGTGTCGTCCCTTTGCCATCGCTGTCCCTCCTACACCACTCCTCTCTTCAGCCTTGTTCGTCCTGTTGCCGTCTTAGTATCGGCTTTCCCTAATTCACAATCGCAATCATGAGTTCATTCGGTTTGCGACAGGTCGCCGCTTCTTCAAGGGTGTGTCCCGCTCGAAAATGCCTCTAGAAAATTGGTAACTGACAGCAGCATTGCAGTTCTCCCAAGGCCTTAGAAGACAGCAGGCTCGCGCCTTCTCTCGCAGCGCCCCCGCCGCTCGCATCATCACAAACCAGCCCCTTCGCGCAAAGGAGGCCTCGCCTTTCCTCAGCAACAAGTACCCCGTCATTGACCACGAATACGATGCTCTCGTTGTTGGTGCTGGTGGCGCCGGTCTGAGAGCCGCCTTCGGTCTCGCTGAGGCCGGCTTCAACACTGCGTGTATCTCCAAGCTGTTCCCCACCAGATCGCACACCGTCGCCGCTCAGGGTGGTATCAACGCCGCTCTTGGAAAGTGAGTGACGACATTTTGAGGCAACACAAAGAGTCGGAACTGACACACGGACAACAGCATGCACGAGGATGACTGGAGATGGCACATGTACGACACCGTCAAGGGTTCAGATTGGTTGGGTGACCAGGACGCTATCCACTACATGACCCGTGAGGCACCCGCCTCGGTCATTGAGCTCGAGAACTACGGTTGCCCCTTCTCGCGTACTGACGACGGGAAAATGTTAGTGCAATCGTAAACTTCTCCTCGAGCGAACTGGCATACTGACATTCAACAGCTACCAGAGAGCCTTCGGTGGACAGTCCAAGGAGTACGGCAAGGGTGGTCAGGCCTACAGATGCTGCGCCGCCGCTGACAGAACTGGACACGCCCTCCTTCACACCCTCTACGGACAGTCGCTCCGCCACAACACCAACTACTTCATCGAGTACTTCGCCACCGACCTGATCATGGAGAACGGCGAGTGCAAGGGTGTCATTGCTTACAACCAGGAGGACGGTACCATCCACAGATTCCGCGCCCAGAACACCGTCCTGGCCACCGGTGGTTACGGACGTGCTTACTTCTCGTGTACCTCTGCTCACACTTGCACTGGTGATGGTATGGCTATGGTCGCCCGTGCTGGTCTTCCTAACCAGGATCTGGAGTTCGTTCAGTTCCACCCTACTGGTATCTACGGCGCTGGATGTCTGATCACCGAGGGTTCTCGTGGTGAGGGTGGTTACCTCCTCAACTCCGAGGGTGAGCGATTCATGGAGCGTTACGCTCCTACCGCCAAGGATCTTGCCTCGCGTGACGTTGTCTCGCGTTCCATGACCATGGAGATTCGCGAGGGCCGTGGTGTCGGTCCCGACAAGGACCACATCTACCTCCAGCTTTCTCACTTGCCCGCCGAGGTCCTTCACGAGCGTCTGCCCGGTATTTCCGAGACCGCCTCCATTTTCGCTGGTGTCGATGTCCGCAAGCAGCCCATCCCCGTTCTCCCCACTGTCCACTACAACATGGGTGGTATTCCCACCAAGTACACCGGTGAGGTCATCACTCAGGATGCCCAAGGCAACGACCAGGTTGTCCCCGGTCTGTTCGCTTGCGGTGAGGCCGCCTGTGTCTCCGTCCACGGTGCTAACCGTCTCGGTGCCAACTCCCTCCTCGATTTGGTCGTCTTCGGTCGTGCTGTTTCTCACACCATCCGTGACAACTTCACTCCCGGACAGAAGCAGCAGGAGATCCCCGCCGACGCCGGTGCCGAGGCCATCAACGTCATCGACCAGGTCCGCACTGCCGAGGGCCCCAAGACCACTCACGAGGTCCGTCTCGCCATGCAGAAGGTCATGCAAACCGATGTTTCCGTCTTCCGTACTCAGGAGTCGCTCGACGAGGGTGTCAAGAAGATCCGCGATGTCGACCAGCAGTTCGCCCAGGTCGGCACCAAGGACCGCAGCATGATCTGGAACTCGGATCTTGTTGAGACTCTTGAGCTCCGTAACCTCCTGACTTGCGCCGTCCAGACCGCCGAGGCTGCCGCCGAGAGAAAGGAGTCTCGTGGTGCTCACGCCCGTGAGGACTTCCCCGACCGTGACGACAAGAACTGGATGAAGCACTCCTTGACGTGGCAGAAGCAGCCCCACGGCAAGGTTGAGCTCGGTTACCGCAAGGTCACCGGCACCACCCTTGACGAGGCTGAGTGCAAGGCCGTTCCTCCTTTCGCCAGAAAGTACTAAGCAATCACTTGCGAATATGTGCTTTTTATGAGATACCATTAGATGCGAAGGAGATGATCGAAAAGTCATTGCTGGGGTGTGAGACATTCAGACCAGCGAAACAGCAAAGTCTTTTATTTGTCACGCTCCTACGATCAGAGACCAAAGGAGTTTGACATTAAATTCGGAGCGATGGGTATTGCTTCTTTCTTGTGTGTATGTAAAGCCTTTTGAATAGTTATCTTTTTTTCTTTCTCCTTTTTCGAGTGTCTGTTTTCTTATGGTCTTCATTGTGATTATGCTTCATTGATAGAATTATGCATACACGACTATTGAGACTCAAACAAATTCAGTCAAAGGAATTGTGCCCGCCGGTACGGATTACAGAATGATTTCGTCTGTGGATCATGTTTTTCCACTTCAGCATCGAGATGATGATATTCCGAAAGAAGACTACTCAACATTGATGAATCTGACATCATCTACCACGTTTTGATGCCGAGTTGACTAAGTAGATGGTACACGTTGTCGATGATGAGTTTTGTGGCTGTAGGGATATCGAGCCAGGGTCGTACCCCATACAGCTTGACTTGGTCAGAGACAAAACTCAGCCATCTCTACGATCTGATGAAACTGTTCTGGAAAGACATTGCTACCAACAAAGAACGAGCAGTCGACAACAAGTGGCCCGCGATTTTTGGAAGAGCTATAGTCTCTCTTCTCATGTCTTGATGCTTGATCGCATATGCCTCATAACCGTCAAAAGCACCGCCCGTCCACCATCTATCCTAGAAAAAGCTTACATGCCCATATTCCCTCTCAACACCCATCACTGCGCCTTCTTCTCATTTTCTCCCTTCTGCTCCTTCTTCCTCGTCATCGGAATCCTCCAACTAGTCTCCCACCCATACAGCGCACCAGCCCCAAACACCAGTGCCGCACCTGCACACATCATCCCACTCAATCTATGTCCGAAAAGCACCGTGCTCGCCACAAAACTCACAAGCTTTCTCACATTCAACACGATGGTGACTGTAACCGCTGATGCCTGTGCTGATAGCAGGTTAACGCCAGTGATACATGCGATTTGCGTTGCAGAGTTGAGGAGTAAGAAGGCGATGCCCTGGGTAAGATTTGCTGATTTCAGGACTGGGAGGGAGTCGGGGACAGAGAGGGGGGGAGTAGAGGATAAGGCGGTGTATTGACGACGGAGGATGGATGTGAGGGGTAGGAATAAGGGCAGGGAGAGGAAGTGTGAGTAGAAGAGGTTTTCGCGCCAGTGGGAGCCGTGGGTTGCGTAGGTGTCTTGGACGTAGACGCCCATGTATGCGGAAAGCACTTGAGCGGCCAGGAGAATAAGTAAGCCGGAGCCGAGATCTCCGGTGCTTGTTTCCACGGATTTGCCCTGAGAGGTGTCAGTATCAGTGGCTCTTCTTTCCTGCACAATAGCAAAGCAGCAGCATGCAGAAGAAAGAATAGAACTCACTTTACTCCCCGCGTCCGCAAACGCGCTCACCAACACCCCCAGCGTGAGTATCACCACACTCCCCACCTGCAACGCAGAATACCTTTTCCCCTGCAATGCACCCGCCGCCATGGTCGTCACACTGCCAAACGAGCGCAGAATAATATGCACAGGCACGGAGATATTGAATGCAAAGGCCCAATTGTTGAGCATGTTGACGGCGAAAAACATCAAGGCGATATAGCCCCATTTACGCATGGGTACCGCTGGAGTCTTGAGAGTCAAAGTAGGTGTGAGTTGGGAGAAGGAGGCTAGGAGGGCGGTGAAGATGAATTGGGAGAGGGTAATTAGGAGACCGCTATCGGGTTCAGTTCTAGAGGATATGTTAGTGGGATGTTCTACAGATATGTACGCGCATGTAGTCCTGCGGCAGATAGATGGATGTACTTGATGATCTTCTCCAGTGTAAAGACCTTCAGAGCGGAGTCAGAATCCATATCATTTCGGTCGTGCTGGCAACAACTCACATTTGAGCAACATCCTCCGAAAATGAGTCCGACGGTGTTGAGAGAGGCGAGAATGATGTCAGCCATGATGGGAAGTGCAAGGCTCTGTGTGACGACTTGTTAGTTGCGTGTATAGAATGGAAGAGAGATCAGAAAGATATCCGAGAGTTGGGGTTGGTGAAAGGTTGGTATGGGAGGGCATGTCGGTGTGGAATGTGTGATGGTTGGAACTTTGTCAAGATGCGATAAGTACAGTGAACAACATCGTGTCCACTTGAAGCAACAGCTCTGAGCTCATGTGAAGGACGATCACACTATACACTTCAAGTATAGCGATGCATGCCGGTTGATACAGGTCGCGAACTGGGTAGGTATAAAAACATGCGACGTCATGCTAAAATTTGCTTACCGTGGCCTTTGTTGTTCCAGTCCGAGACAAACACGATTTCGAGAGACAAGTTGAACGACTCTCTCAACAAGCAAATAGAAGAACGAGTGCGAAGAGGTGAATGTATGGAAGCCAAGAACAAGGGTCGGAGCGACGTTGCAGGCGTACCTGGCCGCTCCGCCAGAAAGTGTCGCTTGCAAATCTCACGGGAATACTGTATTGAATAAATTGCAGTACATGAAAGATTAAATCACAAAGCACATGTACAAATATGAGGTAGATCAGTGGGACTTTGTTCTGCAATTATGACTTGATAGTGCTTGTCTCAAAAGCAACAACTTGCTTTCCTCTGATACCGTGAGGAATGTCCGGACAATCACCCCAATGACCGCAGAACGACGAGACATAGAGCAAAGGATGGCCGATAAGTGCCCGGTTCCCCATGCGGCAGCGAACCGAGAGCAAACTCCGGTCCATCTTCATGCGGTAAGATGCCCGGTTAACCACCATCATCTCAACAACAGCTGAACCGCGAAACATCAAGCAAGGACTACGCGATGGGTACCCGATTTCGCACATGGCAGCGACCCGAGTGCAAACTTCGGCTTCGTCTTCGTGTTGTCGTGCTCTACGCGTGAGTATGCCGTGACCTAGGTCAGGCCAGGGGAGAGTGCGGTGTAGTCATGGAGAAGGAACGAGTCGCGAATCTCATCGCAGGTCTCCTGAAGAAGCTGACCGAGCGCCTCAGGAAGAGAGGCGGCATACTGTCTGCCGAGAAGCAGCACGCGATCGTTGATGTCAACCAGACGAGCTCCATAGTAGCCGCTCTCGGGGTACTCGGCGCTGGTGACAATAATGTCGATACCGTCTCTTCTATCGGGGAAGAGCGCGCTAGCATTGCCTTCAGAAGAGCATTGATGTTAGTGAGTAGTTTAACGATTGGTGCATGGCAAGGTCCTACCAAAGATCTGGTTGCGCAGGCCATCAATCTCGGCGAGATCTGAGGCTCGGGTGGTGGTAGGCTGAACGCCTGCTTCAGATGGCTCGTAGGGCTTCATTGGAAGTGTTGAGGTTGCTAGTGTTGTAGTGGGACAGATGGATGCTGAGATGGTTGGAGTCGAGGCAGGACTGGATGGTTGTGTACGCAGCTGAAGTTGTCGTGTGTTGAGAGCGCGTGTAACGCTTTGGAGGCAGTCTCGGCATGGCGATGAGCATGCTGAAAGCGTAGACCGTCTTCGTTGGCAACCAGACCTATCGTGTGCCGATCGAAACCAGGTAAACGTTGGACAAGTTCGGCACGCAAACCTACATAGACACGAGTAGGAGAAAGAGAAGCAAAGTAAATGAAACCAGAACTTGATTGAAATGGGGCATGATGATCTAAGGCTCTCCAGGCTGATGGCTGTCTGGAACTGCATGGCCTTGATTTGAAAGCAGACATTCGTGTTCAAAGCACAATAGTGCCCTGTTTGTGACGTTATTTGGGTATCTCGTTGGCCTTGAAAGAGTATTGAAGGGGCCTATGCTTGTCTGGCCTTTGCGGATGCCTGAGCGGCTTCTGGAGGGTCGTCAGAGCTGTACGGTGTTCCGAGCGTTCTGTCTTTCCCTACCTCTTCTGGTGGCATCCTCCAACAAGGGAGTGTCGACAGATGCAGCGGGCAGGTGGACGTATCTCACAACACTTCCTCTGATGAAGACATTCTTGACCGAGCTCTATTACGGTGGCGCATCTCGTCAGCACTCATGTCCCCCTTTTTCTTCGAAGTCGGTCTCTTTTCATACCATGTGAGGGTACTTGAGGTCGTCCAGAACGGTGATATCGTCGAGCTTGATGTTGAGGTATTGGTCGACGCTTTTCAGGGTTCCGCGGATCGAGATGTCATTCTTGAGCTCCACTGTGACCTCTGGTATGCTTATCAGAATTGCGCACGCGACATGAGTCCTCTTGCTTGCAGCGACTAACCGGTGTTGACAAGCGTCTTGAAGAAACTATGCGCCTATGTCAGTCTAGAGTCACAAATATCACAGTAGCACTGTGCCATAGGAGCAGCGCATCGTGATTGTGAAGCTCTTGCAAACACCCAGCGACACACCTCCCAGCTACACTTACCTGAAGAACAGCATCTTGTCGGATTGATGTGGTGGTCGCTGTCTTGGTCACTGGCGACAGCTTGAACCACTTGCGGCGAAACTCGACCGCTGATTGGCTCGGCATTACGTCACGTGTATCGCTCGAAACAATCACTTTCACTTGAGAACGAGCACAAACAACTCCAGTATTCAAACAGGACTTTGATTTCGATTCTATATGCTACGGGTTTCTGGCTTCGTATCTTGAGAACGAAGCCTATACTGCAGCTGGTTATTCTTTGTGACTGCCATGGATTGAGGAGTAACATCCTTCAAGGCTTCGCTTGGCAGGGACATGACCGCATCCGTCAGCAATCTTTCTTCTCTATGCTCCCTAGAAGCAGCAGCAAATTGGTAAAGAGTAGTCTGCCGTTAATCTTGCATCTCCGATCCAGCATGCCAAAGGTCCGCAATTATAAGCTTGGCTGATGAGGAAGTGGCCCAGGAATGGGCCGTAGCATCCGCGGTGCGGGTGTCCTCAAGCTCAAGTATGATGTCGTCAACATGGCGTAGATCCACGAGTGGACTTTCTGAAGCTCCATAATATCCTCCCCTTCATAAAGCTTCGCTCATGTTGCAATCAACATGCTTCGCCTTTTCTCTAGAACTGCTCAATCAACTGTCAGAAGTGCATTCAAACCCAACCAACCTCTTACCACTATCACCAAAGCAACCATGAGCGGTATGTATCCTTGGGTTACATCATTCTACCGACTCAGACATGTCTGACAACTGCTTCAGGAAAGGCAGAGAACCCCCAGCTGAAGAACACTGACCTCTTCGATGTCTCCCACATCACCGCTGTCGTTACTGGTGGCGGCACCGGCATTGGCCTCATGATCACCCAGGCTCTCGTCAGCAACGGAGCCAAAGTCTACATTACCGGTAGAAGAAAGGAGAAGCTTGACAAGGCCATCGAGCTCTACAGCACCGGTCCTGGCAGCATCCACGCTCTTCCTGGAGACGTCAGCGACAAGGAGGACGTCATCCGTCTTGCCAAAGAGATGGAGTCAAAGGAGCCAAAGGGCATTCAATTGCTTGTAAACAACGCGGGTATCGCCAGAGACGACAACACCAAGTTTTCTTCCAACGGCCAGCCTGATATGACCGATGCTAAGGCTATCTCGGAGCACTTCTTGAAGACCGAGCCTGATCAGTTCGCCGAGACCTTCAAGACTAACGTCGCTGCTGTCTACTACATGTCCATGGCCTTCCTGCCTCTTCTTGCCAAGGGTCGTGAGGTCACTCCTGGCTACACTTCTAGTGTTGTCAACGTCAGCTCTATCAGTGGTGCCATGAAGGGTTCAAGCAACGGCCAATTCGCCTACGCTGCTTCCAAGGCTGCTGCAACCCACGTCAGCCGTATGCTTGCAACCACATTCAAGGACACCAAGGTCCGCTGCAATGTCATCGCTCCTGGTGTCTTCCCTAGCGAGATGACCGCTGGCAGCTCAGGTGACGATAACAAGAGCAACCTCGACATGAAGCCCAGCAACCCCGCCGGCAGATTTGGCTTTGATAGCGATATGGCAGCCACAATCCTCTTCCTCGCTGGACGCGGAGGAGTCTTCTACAACGAACAGATCCTGTATCCCGACGGCGGGTATGTTTATATCCTCCACACAATTACATGCATTGACTGACGAACTACAGAAACACTTTGGTACAACCAGCGTATAATTAATCTGTGCAGCCCGCACACAACTAGGCCGACTTCAAACGACGACATGACTATTACCTCATCACAGGGTTATGACACGATAGCATATAGTTGATCAAATATATCAAGCTATATTCAGCAGCATGCGCAGAACTTGTTCAAGCCATACGATTCTCCGATGTGTTTTCTTAGGCAATTGGACGTCTTTGGTTTTTTGTGACTAAAATTGGATCGACTGCTCGACTCACTCACTGGTCTCACTTCAACGTCTCACTCCCACGCGACAGTGAACCACACATATTGAGACTATTCGAGCAATTCAGCAACAATACAACCATTGACAAATTGAAGCCTCTTCTCAGCTGCCATCTGTCAATTTCACTACGAACAAGCCTAAGTTTCCGATACCCTCACCAGATCTTTGCGTGTGCTTTGATTTCCCAAGCCACATCATTTCCTGTCTTTGTCAACCACACACAACTTCAACCACAAAGACTCCCATCATGCCTTCATACAAAGAACTGCGCGCTCAGGGTTTTCTTGATTACCCTGCAGCATATCCCACCCCAGCCATCAGCAACCGCAGTGAGTCTGTCTACATTCACAAAAGAGTCAAGTGGACTGGCAACTTCCTCGAAGCCGAACTCGAGCACATCGAAGTTCCCGCAAACAACTTTGCATCACTACTTCCCGCCCGCACTACCACACAAGACTGTACCTTGAAAGACGTCACAATGTTCTCTCACCAATATTCTTTCGGCAAGCAGGCTCTTGCTGCTACCTACCCCGCCGCACCAGAGAGAGACGAAAACGGGCTGTTCCCTGCCAGACCCGATGACCTCCCCACTGAACCCCTGAGACCTACTGAAGATACCACCCGTGAGAGAGTCTTCGGTAAGCTCATCACAAACGAGAGACCCCTGACTGTCAATGAGAGTATTGTCCGCGACAGTCAGTATCTTGTCGACTTGCACAGATGGAGATCATGGGCCTCGAGGATGCCCGAGGAGTGGAACCTCCTGAACGCGGAGTCTTACAAAGTCCTCAACAGCATGGTGCCGACAGCCGCCGAGTCGCAGGCCGACAATGTCGACAAGAATTCGCAGATCGTGCTCCTCTTCCTCTGCGTTGGATTGCTCCTGTTCTTCTGCGGCACGTCAGTTGTTCAGCTCCTCCCCCTGGCCGCCCTCGTCGTCGGGGTCATTCAGATCAACAACCAGGACAGCCTCGACCCCATTGGTTTCTTGAGCTTTCTCATCCTGAATCCCACCAGCGCTCTGCATCTCGTCGGGTATTGGGCCGTCGGGATGCTTGGTGTCGTCATGGTGGTCATCTCCTCCCTTGTTTCCTCTCTTTTCTGGCTTCTCAACCAGTTGGTTGCCTCCTCCGCAGGCGCCAACTCCAGCTCTCGCCTTGTTCTTTTTGACATGATTGCTTTTGTGCACAATACAAAGCATGACTTCATGAGGAGCGTCTCTGTGAATCGGTTGGGTCTCTGGCTTGGTATAGGACTGCTCGCATACTCGAACATCAAGTTGATGCAAGAGCCCTCGTCTACCTGGATCCTTCTTTGTATGGTACTCTGCATCTTCTTGGTGGTCTGCGTCATGTCGTCCTTCGTGGAGCGCCCGTACAGCGCAGCAAATGACAGCAACCCTGTCATCCCTCCTCCCACAGCCATTCCTGCTACTCCTGCTGCTCAGATTGTCCCTAACCCTCGCGTAGCGACAACACTGTTCGGGCGCAGTGGCGTCGCCTTCGCCGATCCACTGTTGACCCTGCAATCAGACAGCATAAAGTTGCTTCCCGATGGTCTTCGCCCGAAGCCACTCGTTCACGACTTTGGCACACCAACCCGGGGTCCCCTCAGCAAGGACTTTGGTGCTCGACGTACCCCTCAGGGGTTGTATCAGGTTCAACCCACCTTCTTCACTTGTCCACCGAGGCAAATCTTTACCTGAGTGTGGCATCTCAATGTATGAATCTTTTCGAAGAGCGTATTTGCTCATCAAGAGCTCAACCTTGCTGGTCGATGAGCGACTCTCAATGGACAAGCGTACTTTTTCGAATAGGTTCTTGCATTTTGACTGCTGTATGAGCACCAGGAATGTGTTTTGGGGAAGTGTCAAAGTTTGGGCGGATCTGGCAGGGACGGGTATCTTGTCATCTTCTGTGCATACAGCACACTTCAGATCGAGCTATGAAAAGGCAAGGATGTTTTTACAAATTGTAAAGTGTCCGAAGAGAGCCGGTAAGTGCTGAACATACCAGAGAAAAATCCTTTGTTTCTTTGTTCTTATATTCCCCAACTTTTTCTCCTAACGACTTCTTTGTTGTCCACCACCCGCTTCCGGTGGTGTAGGCCCTGGTGGCCGACCAAAGTATACCTTTCTCGATCGACGCTCGTCATGACTGTCCTAACAGCACACCGAGTCATCTTTCGCAGTCAACAAATTTGGACCAGCTATCAACATGTCTCTTACACCACAAAAGCTCCGTTTGGACAGCGGTCTTCTGGAACAGCTACAAGCAAGGTTCCCATCATATATACCTCCGAGCCCATCGTCGCCAATTGCAACAGGCATGGCTGCACTTGAACGCCGGACGTCGAACAGGTCAGCGACTAGTCAATATAACAAAGCTGGCAGCCGAACCGCTTCACCTCTCCACGTGAACCAGACGATAGAAACACCGTCAGGTATCAGAAGTACAAATTCATCGCCTGGCCCTTTGTCTGGCAGCAGAAGAGTTCCTCCTCCGCCTTTGAAGACCAAGATAAGGCCTCCGAGCGAGCTGTTCCTGCCCACGCCGAAAACAGCAAAGAGTGCTGGCTTCAGGTTCTCTACGATCATTCCTGAAGATGGTGTGGCAATCAAGTCAGAACCAGCAACACCAGAGACTCCAGTCTCAGCACCATCATTTTCGCCGCCTACACTATCACCAGTATCTGCTTCCATCGCCGACGCCATCAGTCGTGTCGATGTAGGCGCGTCAGTTCAGAATGCCATCGATAATCTTAGCAAACCCGAAGCAAATCGCTTTATATTCCCTCCATTGCGATCTTCGACTGCTCCGCCTGCGAGTTTGCGTCGGCAACCGAGTTTTGCGTCCATCAAGTCATCAAAATCTTTGCCTCTACGAGCAATAAGCACTCGTCTCGCTCGTATGAGTCGCGCAGGAGGCGGCAGTTCTCGAGGTGCTGGAGTCAATCCCAACAACCAACCCAAGAAACGAGGCTCACACTTTTCTGGCATCGACAAGGATATCGCAGCAGACAGAAGAGTAAGCTTCATGCTCGCAAGACACAAATCCAACTTGGAAAGTGTGCTGGCATCTCCTGTCGAGGAACAAACACCTGCCAGACCGGTGCTGCGCAAAGCTGCAACAAGTGTCATGCCTTGGCGTAAAAAAAAGCGAGGTGAAACCATGAGCATGCTTCTTGACTCTGGCTTCTTTCCTGTTCAAGAATTTATTTACGAGAAGAACGATACACCGCCATCTTCGGCAACGCGTAGCCCAAGCAAGCGCAATCAGCTCGCTCTAAACATTCTCGTCAAAGACCTTCCAACCGAGCGTCCTTCTTCAATCCTCAACACACCTACAAACTTTTATCAGTCAGGCCGTATAAGTCTGAGGAGGTCGACGCGCAGCAATCAGCGTCGTTCGCTGGGTTCTCGACGCAGAATCTTGACTGCGGCTTCCGTATCGAGCTCACAAGGCTCACCACTGTCAATCACGCACAACAATGTCGTTGCACCTCTCCAATCGCCAACAAGCCCAATTAGTCCTAAGACTCCATTGACGCCCACCAAAGCTCTTGCGGCACTGACAGCCGGCATGCTCTTACCTCCGTCACCGGGCTCAGATGGCAGCCTCAAGTCTGCTCTACCATCACTAGGCATCCTAGAAGTGATTCCCGAGGACAATGGCACTACTGCCATTCACTCAACCACATCTCCGATCTCTCACAATTCTATACGATCCATCCCTGAAGCACCTGCCTTACCAGACGCCACAGGCAGCGAAATCCACCTCAGCTCCGGCACAGTTCTCATGGTCAAAACGCCTGGAACAACAGCCTGGCGCCGCTCAGTCTACATCCAAGGACCAATCAAACTACCCACTCCAGCTGTCGTGCCCAGAAAAGGTAGTATCGCCACCCTCGATCCTTTCCAAGATGTGCTTAGCAACACTCCCATCCCACGCCGCAAATCCGAAGATACATGTCTAGACGACATTTGCGATTGGTACGAAACCTGGAACTACGATGCTGTTTCCTTCGCTCACGATGAGTTTGCTCTTGACACCGCTGCAAACTTGATCAACGAATACGCATTGCTTCCAATCGCCGAAGAACCCGAGGCTGTAGATCGCACAGTACTATCTCCCTCTCCAGCACCCCCACTAGCAAAACAAGTAGCAGCAGTGATGCTCCGCCCGGACTCCACAGCCATGAAGCCTCTCCCCCGAATAAGCATGCCCATGGTTCCTCTGCCCGAACTCCCCAAAGCCACTTCTTCAAACACCAGCAGTGAGAACCTCACACGCCAAAAAGGACATTCTAGGAACAGCAGCGGGAACCTTGCACAAAATAAAGGACATTCCAGAAACAGCAGTGGAGAGACTTCATACAAAAGTGCTTCGTCGGATCCGATTCAGCGTACTGATAGTAGAGGAAGCGGTTTCAGTGGTGTGAGTTCTGCGGAGGAAAAGAGTTGGTTCGAGAGTGATGGGAAGGTGAAGGCAAAGAGGGGAAGTTTGCAGGAAGGAGGGGAGCAACAATTGAAGCAGAAACCAGCGAGGATGAGTAGGATGAGGAGATTTGTGCAGACTGCTAGTGCGATCTTGTGAGCAAGGAACGAGAGAAAGGAAAGTAGTAAAGGTATGCTGACAAGGGGTTTCCAATGGAAAAGAGCAAATCAAAGTCACCACTTTGCCTTTTCATAGCTGCTTTCGATCATGCATTGCGGTAAGAGAAAAACTCTTCAGCGGGCAGATACCACTCTGTCAAACAAATAGTCTCAGTGGGAAAGAGCAGATGGAGGACACGGCTCTGCCTTTCTATAGCTGTCTAAACACACACTTGACAGTTGGAGATCGATCTTCTGGCAACAATTACATCTCTCCAAAACAAACAAACTTCTCACACAGCTGTTCGGCATGGTTGAGCTTGAATCGAAATGCATAGGTAATCTTATCGATATATCCATATTCCAAAGAAGGACCACAAAGCGTAGGTAGGTAGTCTCCCTCCAAAAGCAAACCAAGCAAACACTTCCCGAAAAGCCCTCTCAGTTTGCCCATGACGTCTTCTATATCGCTTGGAGGCTCCATCACAAAATCACAAAAACACAGACATATATATCCTCAATCCACCCACCTGCCTGCCTATTCGCAATAATCTCAAAATCCCAACCAAAAAGACCAAGCCCAATCAGCAGCACACCATGCCCGAAATTCTCAAATGCCCCAAATGCGACGCAAACGCCGATGTGACAAAAGATGGTAAGAGAACAACAACGACTACCTTGTGCACACTCCCAATGTACTGATGGATGATCTCAGGTAAATGGGCACATTGTGCTTCGTGTAAGCCTCCCTTCCTAACCCGCTTTCACAAAAAACAGTGGTGTGAAAAAAAGAAAAAGGAGAAAGAGAAATAGCTAATGTTCCTGGACCCCAAAGGCAACAACATCTTCCAGCCCAGCGAGAGCCCTGATATCAAGGAAGGCGAGAAGGAAGAGGCAAAGTAGAGGAAATAAACCTATATAGAGGGGCTTTGCAAAGGTTGGCACGTATAGTATAGGTCCAGAGGAAGATGTCGATAAGTGTTATTGGAAGATGGCTCGATCAAAGCCGATGCATTTGTGCATCAGCAATTTGGACGCTACAACAAAGAAGCATTCATTTACTCTAAACCCTCACCACATGTGAAAAAAAAGTCCTTTGGGGGAGAGAGAGGGACGAGGGCAGATAAGGTGTTTTTGATTTGCAACAAGAAGAATATAAACTACGCTACGTCTACCAAACCGAAGATCGTCTTCTCCCAATCTGACGCGCTGGGGACAACAAAACGAACTCGCAAATCTACTGATCCAGCTCGACGTAATTGGCAGGGAACAGACCTTCTTGGCCATTGTAGTGGCCGAACCACCAATCCTCATCGGGGAATTCCTGTTTGATCTGTTAGCGAGAGATTTCAAGATGCCTGTCATCATCGAGTATGAACATACCACGTTGGTGATCTTTGCGCCATCGGGGAAACTGAGCTCGTTGTCTTCGGCGGCCTCGTAGTCGTATTGTGCTGTGGCGGTTTGCCCACCAGCAGCTGCGGGAGCAGGGGCGGCATGTGCGGCAGCAGGTTCATCGCGAGCAGGAGCCGGGGGAGGTGGTGCGGCACTGCCAGCAGCAGCGTCATCATCTTCTACAAGCTCGACATAGTTGGACGGGAACAGACCAGTCTCGCCCTGCGAGTTCTGGCCCATCCACCAATCCTCGTCGACCATCTCAATGTTCTCCACATACTCGCCCTCGTGAAGCTCGATCTCGTTGTCTTCAGCCTTCTCGTAGTCATATTGGACGAGCGCACGCTTTCCAGCAACACCTGCACCTGGATTGGCGTTGGCAGCGGCAGCACCGAAGGTAGTGGTCGAAGCTTCCTCAGCAGCAGCACGAGCATGGTCTTCTTCGTCTTCGGGCTCGTCACGCATGTGTGATGCAGCGGCGGAGGCGGCGTTTGACAGAGACTGGGTTGGCATAGGGGGAGGATCGAAGCGCTCTTCCGGAGCTTCCATAGGCTCTACGGGCGCTCCACGGGCCACAGGCATGGCGACGCGGATAGGAGAGCTGGGAGGAGAAGGCGTGGGACTGCGGGGTTGGGCAGGAGGAGGAGGGAGGCTGACGTGCTCTTCCTCAGGTCTATCGTCGTCCTCTTCATCTTGTGGAGGAGGCGGCACGGAGCGACTGCCAAGACCAGCATTGGGCTTGCTAGAGAAGTCCATCGGGGGAGGCATAGAACGTGCGGGAGACTCGTCGTCAGTGTGAGAGGCGCCCATGGGAGCAGCGTTCTTGAAACGATCTTTGAGAGCGCTGACACCACCAGATGGAAGTTCGGGTTCCGTCTCACGCTCAGGCGATCTGACGTCGTCCTGGCCAGTCTTCTGAGCGCTGATGTTGCTAGTACCTGTACGGTCAGTCGAGACAGGAGCCCAAGACTTGCCAGAGTAACCACTTTGCCATCCTCCACTGGGCTGGCTCTGCATAGGCGAAGCAGCGGCGGCAGCTGGCGGGGGAGGAGCAGTGTCAGCAGCACCGCTGAGTCCACGTTCACGAGCCTTCTTCTCAGCCCACAGCTGTGCTGGAGACTTGCCATCAGTGCTACCAAAGTTCTTACTAGCAGCACCAATGGGGGCAGAGGCTGCTGGTGGAGGAACACCGAATCCAACAGGAGTGGGAGCCTTTGTACCTGCAAAGGAGCTTGTCGAAGAGCCAAAGCGGTTGGCGACCTTGGGCTTTGGCATCTCACTGAGACGGCCAGATTGGCTAGACTGATTGAAGGCAGCGGAACGATCGGCCAGAGATCTGGGTGCTTGTTCTTCGTCATCATCACCATTGCGTGATTGGTTTACGGGAGCGGCAGCAGGCGAGGGAGAAGCTTGAGCCTTTGCGCGAATGGCGGCAATGTCGACCTTACCGACGGGCTCGTAAGCACCTTTGACAATGGTTGGTCTATCGTCTTTCTGCTCACGCGCTTGGCTACGGATAGCGTTTATGTCAACCTTGCCAATAGGTTGGTAGCCGCCTCTAACGATGTCGCTGGGGCCGTCGTTCTCTTGCCTCGTGGGAGGTTGGAAGCGCGAGGGCTGTTGCTTCTGGCTGGTGAGTTCGGCCATGTTGACCTTTGTAGGCTTGTATGCAGATTCCACCTTCTGGAGAGTGTTGCGGGACAATTGCGGGGCATCCTCGCCCCAGCCATCGTTGTCGGTAGATGTGGGAGCGGCGGGCTTGGGTCGCGAGGCAAGAAGAGAACCGCCGGTACGTGTGGGCATGAAGACAGGCTTGGTGGCTGCAGGTGGAGGAGGGACACGCGAGGATGCGCTCGAGTCGGAGGTTGAAGGACCACCGCCGTATTTGGCGCCAGATGCGTTGGACACCTTCTCGATGATGCTCTCGGGGCTGAGATGGCTCTCGGAGCGTGCTGTGATTTCTACATGGTAGCCCTGGGTTTGTCAGACTCGTGTCGGAAAGGATTGCAGCGAGTTGTACATACGTGGAGCAGCTTGGAGACGGCGCCACGGTGTGTGTTGAAGTAGCCCTTTGTCCTCTCGGGAACGCCCTCGCCACACCACGAGATCAGGACGCACTTGGGGAGGCCAGAGTTGGGATCCTTCAGCTTGGCAAAGGCAAATTGGATGCGACCGTCCGAGAAGTCTTCGAGGAGCTCATGTAGCTCGCCCTCTGTCGTCTTGGTGTCAGCTGGTCTCTTGGGTGTCACAGGCTTCGCCGTCTACGCACCACCGGTAGTCTGGACTTTGAGGACGCTCTCCTTGCTCGAATCTTGTTGGAAGGCACTTGTGAGGGGAGCCTGGACCGAGTACAGAGCCCATTGAGCAAAGGTGGGCGAGTTGGCTGAGGGCGCGGGTCCGTCGACGATGGATTGATAGCTCCTCTTGATCGAGGGACCGTTGGTTGACAGGTTGAGAGATGCCATGTTGGCAGATGTGAGATAAGGTAGGGATATGTCAAGGCAGACTGGATTGGTTCAGACTGCAACAAGTGACGGGCTTTACAATGGAAGTTGTCAGGTTGATGCTTGGACAAGGACGCAGCGGGGGTTTGCTTGCACGTCACCTCCAAGCCCAGCCCAGCCAACTCGGACTCTCGGACGCGTCAACCGCCGTTCCGTGCGCCGTATGCACAGCCCATCGATACGACTGCACTGTGCTGTGGCCGTGCAACTCAGCCTGCTCTCTTTCTATTGGCTCGTGTCCAGTCGGGCATTCGTGGCTTCTCAGGCTCGAGGCTTCGAACTTCGCGAGCTTTTTCTCCCCTTGGCTTCGTTCTTTCCCAAGCTCTATTGTTGTTTGTCCTGTGTTGCGTCGCATATCCAGCCAAAAGGTCAAGTTTCCATCCTTGACCGCGCGCTGCTTTTGCTCAACTCTCAGTGGCCGCTACTTGTCCTGGCAAGTATATCTGCACATTCTCACCTATCCATTCTGCAATCATCGCATTCCACCCTCTCAACTTTCTCAAGAGTTGCTACCCACTTTCTACTCCTGCCCAGTACGAGTTGCAGACTCGCCTTGCAAGAACTGACATTCAGAGTTGCCGAGTCATTTGATCGGCGACTATGTCTTATCCTCAATCTCCAGCTTCTGATGCTTCATCGGACCTATATGCAGAGGTAGATACGTCGTCGCAACTCGACTCGGTTGAACGTTCGCGCCAACAAGTTGCTTCGCCAGCTTCTGGCCAGATGTATGGTGATAGTCCTGTATCGCTCCCAGCACAGTCAAAAGGCAAGCGTAGATATGGCGCAGAGGATCATCAGACCCAAGCGCCGCAAAAGAGGCGCAAGCTTGTACTCACCGCAGAACGTTATTTCTCCCCTTCCATCCCGACTACCGCCAACTTGCCTGTCGAGGTTTGGCAGCATGTGTTTCTATACCTTACTCCAGACGACCTCAGTCGGTGCTTGCGTGTCAGTCGCCTGTTTCGCTCATATCTTACCGACCTCACGGCAACCATGAGTGTCCGTCTGCCACCTCGTCGCAACGGTCTGAAGGTGCTCGACAGCGAGGCCATCTGGACATCAGCTAGGAAACTGTTTGCTCCCAATCTCCCTCGACCTCTTGCTGGCTTCACAGAAATGCACATGTTCCAGCTTCTTGGAGGTAGGGATTGCCAAGCTTGTGGTGCGCTTCCACTTCAACCGAATCAGCCCACCACTCCCTTCGACGCCGGCCCTGGGCATGGTGGCGTACGTATCATCTGGTCGTTCTCTGCTCGTCTGTGTTCCGAGTGTTTCGAGCTTTACTCTGTCAAGGTAGTATCGTGCCTTTGCCTCTCCGCTGTTCAGTCTGTCTAACGTACGTATAGGACGTTGATGTTGTTGTTTCTCCTGTCAATCCTTTGAGAGCTGGCTTACCACATGCATTCTGTACCCCCGATCTGCATTACATTCCTGCTACGCTGCAGGCTCAGGCTGCTGCTTCCATCAAGGGCACCATGTTCAAGGTGTACTCGCAGAAACATATCGATGATCTTCAACAAGAACATCAAAATGCCATGGAATTTGGAACTGCTGCTGCTGAAGAGTGGGTCAAGGGTTTGCCACTACTCGGTAAACAGCAAATGGCCGATGCCGCTAGGTTGGAGAGATGGGAAGCATCACTTCCCCTCGGCTCTGACATTCCGCAGGTACTCAGAGAGTACTTCCGTCCTTATACTTTCTCTGCAATAGGTGAGGCTTCAGTCGGTGTTGCGTCCGTCGCAATATCTGCAGTGGCGACTCCTTCAGTCAGTGCCACGTCGCTCCCAGCGCCTCCTTCAGCCCAAAGTAAGTTTCCGCTGAGCTGTATCTCCCTCTTTTTCCGCACTTGCTGCCGTTCAAGTTTCACTGTCTTCACCATGGTATCCCCATCACTAGTCTCCCAGAACCGTTGCCTCTCTTCCTTTCTTCTCTTTGCCCAACTTCGTTCCAGAATTGCAGAAGAAGTCATCAAAACATGCAACACATATTGATTGAGATTACACAGTGAAACATCCTCTTCCAGCTCGAGTTGTTGCTGTCCCAACCGCAACTCAACCGATCGTCAATGCTCAGAGTCCGACGCAGACGCACAAGAAGGAATGGCGCGCTCCTCGCAATTTGAAAGAAGTCAACGAAGCCAGAGCGTCTCGACGAGCCGACATCGAGCGACGATGCTATTCCGAATTTCAACCGCCACTCATGCCTAATGTTCTACAACACATGGAGTCTTTCCATGCCGCTATGCAGATAACCACTCCGTTGACCGACAGCGCATGGGAAGTCCTGAAACCTCGTCTCTATGCTCAGAGAGATGCCGCCGAGCAGATCGAATATATGCGAGAAGAGCAGATGCGCGCTCTCCAAGCAACGATGCCCGATCCGGCATACCACGCCATGTACAGCCAACCTGTCGATCCAACAGTTCTTCAACGCCAATACGAAGCTGCCCAAGCACCTATTCGTAAGAAGCTTGGCATGTATGCCGACGATCTGATCCGGATCAAATGGAAAAAGGGCAAACTTCTTACTCACGATAACTGTCCCGAGTTTGCTGTCGAGGTCTTGCTCTACGCCAGAAACAGATTTCTCGAAGTCGAAAGGCCGCATGACATGCCCCCAGATCAGATGGCGGAAGAGACCGATCCATGGTTCGTCAGCTTGGAGAACATGCGCTGGCTCTACGATCAGAAAGTCAAGACATACACTGACAAGTATCTGCGCGAGCTATTCCACTGTGCTGAATGCAAGTCTCTCGGCAAGTCGTATGCATTCGAAGGCATGATCCAGCACTACGGCGCGAAACACACTACCGATTTCAGCAGAGGCAACATTGTTGTCCATTGGCAGAGTGCAGAATGGCCGGATGAGTGTCCTTTAGAGCCTTGTAATGGTGCAACTCCCAACCCCGCTCTACCTCCCAAGCCACCAAAGAAAGCACCAGAGGCTGGCGACACTAACCACAATCAGCTCTTGGATAACCACAACGCCCCAGCTCAATCTGCATATCCGAGTAACCAGAACGGCCCATACAATCAGTCTGGTCATCCAGCCTACCCTCCCGACGCCCACACTAGTCATGTTCCGTACGGATATCCGTATGCGACTGCCACTCCGGCAGATCCTCATCAACACGTCTATTATCCTCCGCCCGTCAATCCTAGAAATCTATACCAGGATCAGGTCGATTTCTTAGCAAACCTTGCAAGAGAGATATGGGACACTATCGCTGGCATTCAAAGCCTTGAAGAAAGCGTCAGAGTCCACACAGTGTTACATCACGTTGTCTCGAGATTCAAGGCTCACTTTGGTGGCGAACCAACGCTTGATATGCTTGCCGATGCTCTCTTTAACCACGAACTCATGCGGCCCATCAAAGACGCGGGCGAGATGGCCTGCATGACTTGTATATCGAGTAATCTCGATGGCTTCGTTGCCTTCAAACCCTATGCGAAGCGTATCGCCGACTACAAGCTCTACAACACCTCATCTCTCATCACGCACTTCAAGGCAGTTCATCTTGGAAGTGACTCTGGGCTTGATTGGAAAGAAGACATGATCGAGCTACCGGAAGACGACAATATCCGTCAGCTTTTGATCGCTATTGGCATGAACGACGAGAAGCTTGGCTTGATTGCTGCAGTGTTCCCTAAGCTTTTTCCCAATCCGCTCCCAAGGATTGGAGAGGTCAAGGAGTCTTTCAAGCCGCTCCCTAAGAAGGACACAAAGGGATCGAGCGCGAACAAGAAGAAGAGTAAAAAGCAGAAGCGTAATAGCGGGCATCACCCTGCCCCTCTGGTTCCAGGCGAGACCTCAGAAGAGCAATCGGACGCCATCCCAGAGGCTGCGGATGATGAATATGATCCAAGACGCCCAGCCTTCATAGAGCGAGGAAATCAGGGAACGGACCGGAACGGCAAGAGACCACGCGGAGACGGCCAGCGTCAGCAGCCATCAATCGATCTTACACAACTTGCTCCAGAGACTCTAGAAGCTCTGAGCCGACTTCGCCCGACAGACCCAGAGGTGCAGAAAGCTCTCGCCGGTAGGACCGAACGAAGTCCATCTGTGCCCAGAGCCGGTGGTAACGAATCTCAGATCGACGCCATGCATCAAAATCGTGCTGCGTTTGAGGCTAATCGTGTGCCGGCGTATCAACCGCACGACATTCGCGAAGGCAACAGTCGCTCGAACGCTCGACACGATCGTGATGGTGAAGAGCCTGATGAGGACTACACCCAAATCATTCGTACCCCCGCTACTGGTCTTCACACGCAGCAAACAGCCGCAGCGCCGGTTCTCTCTGTCCCACCTCAAGATCGATACGTTCGCGTGGACTCTCGTGGACAACCTCTAGAGCATCCAAGACATGAGATTGCGCCATATGGCTATGAGTATGATGCTCGCGCAGGACATCAAGATTACCACCCTCGTCCCGATTATCCGCCCGCTTCTTATGGCTATGAACCAAGACCCGAAACGATTTACGTAGACCAGTACGGTCGCCCAGTCGAGGTCGTGCGTGTGATCGGACGGCACCCTCCACCTATGTATGACTATCCTCCACACCAACCCGAGTATTATCAGAGAGAGGATCCACATGCTCGATATGTGTACTACGACCAGCCACTCCACGGTCAGCCTGCACCACAGTCAGGCTATGCAGGTCCAACTAGAGTCGAGTACGGACAGCCGGCAGGACAACCGTCGAGATACGTGTATGACGATGGCAGAGCATCCGTCCCACGCAACTGAGATATAATAGCTGTAGAATACTGTTAATATTGCAATCGAGTTTTGATGAGTGCTGGCGTGTCTTTTCATGACTGTTTATGGTCCTAGATGATTATCGGAATAGCTCTTCCAGTCCTCAACGTCCTGTAAGCAATGTGCATATTTCATGTGTGTAGTTGACCAATCAACATCGGTGAACAAAGCACCTTGCAGACGGCGGCCTCGACCTAGTTCATTTCGAATATTGGCAAGATGGATTCTGCACGGTGCCTGGACGAATCAAGACAATGCAAAAAGAACTGTTGTTCGCACCATGCGCAGCTCCTTCCCGAGGATGTCAGTTTAAGGTTTGGCGTTCGCCGCGGACCCGGCCGTGAAACCGCGACACTCGTCATCTTTCGAGGCTTCCTTCGTATGCTTGTGGCCCTCCTTCCTTCTGAACAGAGCACGAGGTTTAATCGGAGGAAGTCGTCCAGGAGGACTTGTAACAGTGATTACCATACTTCACACCTATCGCCGCGCTCACAGATCATCAACGCTACACTCATATCTGCTGCGGATCGTCTTTTACGCCCATATCAATGACTTTCTCGGACAGCCGGAGACCTTGAGCACCTGATTATGTACTTCTCCTGGACAATATCCAGCAGACCATGAGCCGCAATATCCTGCCCGCTTCTCTCGCTGCGGACCATCTCAAAATCGTCTCGACCGCCGTGCCTTCTCCAACTGTAGCTCGGTGGCAACCCGCTAAGGTCAAGAAGCTCGCCGGTTCAGCGTGCGAATATTGTAGGAAGCGGAGGCGAAAAGTGAGTGACTCGTCAAAGTGTAAGTTCATACGACTGACGTGGTTTGCAACCAGTGCAATGGCGAACAACCATGTCCTCTCTGCGTGGACAACATGCAGGAATGCATCTACGACGCCATAAAATCAGAAACTCCTGTCCAAGCCGTCAAAAGAAAACACGCTCAGATGCAACAGGATCATGACGAATTAAGGTCTCTCTTCAAAGTTATTGCGACAGCCAACGTCCAGAAGAGTCTCGAGATACACAATCGAATCAGGGCTGGACAATCTCCAGAAATCATTTTGCAGCAACTGAAGCATGGAGACATACTAATACAGACTAAGATCAATTCACCAAAGCATGTGAGGCATGTCCTGCTCAGTAGTCTCATGCAAACAAATGCTTCTTTCGACGACATGGTCGAGTTCATCGGCTTGTCTGTCGCAAAAACTCCTGGTGTCCCAGCGCCCACCGCAGCGCTTTTACGGCAACTCAGGGGACGACAGACGGATTTGAGAGGACTTCGCAAACTTCTCGGTCATAGCCAACCTCCACCACCGCAACGTCGGATAGCCATATCTGACCTTTTGAGTGACCAAGGCAGTCAACCTTTCGCGACCGCGTACCCGATTTCTACAAAACCGGAACCGGACGATCACATCGAAACTTCAAGAGAACCTATTTACAAGGTACCGGCAAAGCCTTGGACACGGCTAACGGACGATGATGATTTGGTATCTCATCTCATTTCCTTGTATCTGGAATGGGTCAATCCTTTCTTCCGAGTCCTGGAAGAGGACTTGTTCATCAAAGCCATGCAGTCTGGAGATCTCAACTCGGAATACTGCTCACCTTTCTTGGTCAACGCGATGTTGGGTTACGCTTGTGTATGTTGAGCTGCAGTTGATTGTGGTTGTCAGAGCTGACGAGTTTTTAGCTCTATTCTGAGAGGGAAGGCGCTTTCTACCAGCCTGACGACTACATAACCCGAGGGCAACATTTTCATGACGAGGCATTCCGGCTCTGGCATCTTGAAGAGGGAACGGCGTCTCTCAGGAATCTTCAAGGTCTCGCTGTCATGTATCCTGGGTAAGTGACTGTCTGTGTATGCTCCATATCCATGACCACTAACGCCACGATAGCTGTATTATGAGGGGCAAAGACAAACTGGGTGTGGCTCTATGTGCTGTATTGACACAACTCAACCTGAGCGTGCCATATACACCGCAGCGGTCACCATCGGGAGTCGAACCAAATTCTGACGAGATCAGAGCCTTCCAACGAGCCAGGAAATCGGTGGCTTGGTCTGCTTTTGCTTGCGATATGTAAGACCCAACTCGTTTGATTCAATTTCCACCCAAGAGCGCTTTACTGACTGTTGACTACTAGGGCGACTGCTAATACTCTCCTACAGCCGGCGTGGCACACAGTTTGCAAGGAAGACTTGCCAACTCTGGATGAACTACCAACAGAATCAACGCATGTGTGGACTGGCTACCCTCACCGAAACAAGGACGACCGTCTCGATAAGAGCGTCATGTGGATCGCTCACTGCCAACTGATACAAATGACATGGAAAGCCCAACGTCTACTATACGCCTCAGATCGCAACGATCTACAGTTTCTGAGTCGCGTCGAAGCATTGACCGAAGAGATGAGCCACTGGAAGAATGATCTGCCAAAAGAGTTACATTTCCGAAAAGACCTTCCAGCACCAGTCTACGATCTCTAGTAAGCGATTTGTACTTCTCTCATGTGTTCACAAGATGACTAAACTTTCCTCAGCTCTTGCTATACATGCGTGATCATCGCTCTGTACTCACTCTTCCAACCGCTCGGATCCGCCCAATCTCCTCAGTCCGAACAAAATTCACCCTTTGAGCAGAATCCAGAATGCCAACATCCAACGCCACCACACCACATATCAGAAGCAACACAAACCAGTGCTCAAACTCTATCCGCCCAAACAATGCGTCAACGCGCGATCGCCACCGCCCAAGACATGGCAGCCATAATTGGCAACTTCCGCCACCAATACGGTCTCAAAATAACTCTACCTTACTTTGTCAACGCCAATGGCGTAGTATGCTTTACTCTCCTCCAAGACCTAGACAACCCAGCTTCGGCCGCCGCCTTCAAAGAAGCCTTCCGCTGTCTCCTCGGCGCCGGCATGCAATTACTCTGGGCAAGAGGCATGGCGCGTATGCTGCATCTCACCGCCCAAAACACCGGCATCAAATTACCCAAAGCCATAGAAGCTTGTCTAGATGCCGTAGCGGATACTGCATGGACGAAAGCAGATACGGAAATGCTGAGTAGTTGTTGGCCTAATCTTGTTATCGTTAAGGATGCTAAGATAGGGGAGAGCGTCACGATGGAGGATCTGATTAAGAAGTGGGAGAAGTTTGCTGTAGATGTCGAGGAAGCCAAGGGAGAAGGGATGCAGGCTAAGGAGGAAGAAGTTGCTATCGAGGCTATGCGACCGAAATGGTATATACCGAGGTGAAATGTATACGTTGTAGTAAGCATTATTGAACATATGCAACACAATCGGTCATTTTTTTTCACATCAATAGCGTGGATTCTTACGAAATTGCTGGACGCAGAGATCGTGTCGGTAACATCTCGCAAGAGCCAATACAGTGACAAGAGCATACAACAACCGAGCAACTTTGTGCAGTCCTCACGCCGCTGCACTGCAATCGCACTTCAAACCTTGCACCTGTAGAGGACATCGGATGCGTGCAACCAAAACCCCCAAACCAAGCACGGATACAGACCTCATAATCACAGAAGGCAAAACTCCTCTCGTCCAGAGCCCTTTGGTACTTGATCAAAAGTACTGTGTAGAGGTAAAAACATCGCTTTCAATGTGAAAAAAAATCCATCATTGTTGCCAGTTGGTTTCTCCCTCTCCGTCACTGAATATCTCCAGATCCTCCCAAACTGTGTGGAGTGGTGTGTGTGCAGACCATTTGGATTGGTTTCTTTTCGAGCAAAATCTTTGCCTATGTCATTGTGCACGCTGTGTCGTTGTTAGAGTCCTGATGGGTTACACGAAGAAGGACATGAGATTTGTATTTGAGGGGACTTTTTGATGATGCTTTGTGATGGCTCTTCTGATGTTTTTGTGCAAATTAGAGACTTTGTTGGCTGGAGTAGGTGTATGTCAGAAATAAGGTTTTCGAGATGGGTGTGTACGCAAAGAAAGACGCCTTTAGGTGATGTGTGATGTAGTACAAGGGCAGCAGCCCCTCGAGAGTAAATGGTCTTTGAAGCCTCGAGATTTGCGAATGAAATTTCTCTGTTGAGTGGATTGTTAGACCTAGTTCCTGGGAGGTACCCAAGGAAACTCCAGGCTGTACGGACTTGATGACCTTTCAGTAGATCGTCTTTCCGCAGGTAGGCTATGGTGGTATGCATGAGCGAAAAAAAAAAAAAGGATTCTGGCCCTGTTGTCCAGCTCTAGATTGTGGTGGAACGATCGTTTGAGATCGAAGCTGTGTAGGTCCGTCAAATCCTTTGATAGAAGTGCATTTTCACAAACTATTACTTGAGGAACTGGCCCCTTTGGGACTGAGGGCTCAAAAAATCTGCTTTTATGCAATTTTATGGCTGTGTGTTCTTTAGGAGAGTTTGTCCAAGAATGGTTGCCCCTGGCTGTCTCTGGTAGCAAGCAAGCTTCTTCCAAGTTTTGCTTTTTTGCATATCTCCAACATCTTATCCAACCAAGTGGAAAAAGCAACCTACTGAGGCGCAACCATCGGCGGCTCAGCCTTATTCTTCTTCTTCTTATCCTCGACAAACTCGACATTATCCTCGGGCACCTGCTCATACTTTTCACAAATCCACTCTCCAACCTCATCACTCAAATCCCCCTGGATCGTAATGACCTCACCCACACCACCGGGCATTTTACCCGCCGAGGAGCCAGTCGCAAACTTTTTGCCCAGTTCTTTGGCAAGTTTTTTGATGTCGATGTTGAAGGCTTCGAGACCGGAGACTTCGGTGACGTGTTTGCGTTTGTTGCGTTCGACGCGCTTGATTGTTATTTTTGAGGTGGCGAGTTCTTCGGCGCGGCGGGCTTCTGCGGCGGTGGCTTTTGCTTCTTTCTTTTTTGCGTCCTTTTCGGCGCGTTTTTGGGCGTCGAGGGAGAGGGTGGAGAGGTTGGCTGCTACGGCGTCTGGTTGTGAAATGTGTCAGTGGTGTATCTGGAAGGGTACGGTGAGGTGTAGAGAAGGGACAAGGTAGAGAGGCGGTGAGATGGAGAAGACGAACCTTCAGAGTAGAGCTTGGTGTGGAGGTCGGGGTGCTTGGACTCGAGCCATTCTTCGCACTTCTTGGTGGTGCCGCCGAATTCACAGTACTGTGTGAGGATGTTCGGTCAGTTTCCCGTGCTCTTTGCTCGATTCTTGCCGGCGCGCTGATTGAAGTACCTCTGGGGGAAGACTGCAGACTGTCGTGATGGGGTCAGCGAGAGAATGGTTTATGGATGATCGTGATTCGTACCTCCGCAGTAGACGACCTGCTTAGGGGGGAGAATTGCTGTTTCAGACATGATTGATGATTGGTATGTTTTGTGTCTGTCTTCACAAGAACGAGGCGGCCTTGGAGGGGCAGCACGTCAGAGAGCAGAGTCACCGCGGGGCATTCGGTCTTGGCGCAGTGCACCTCACTCCGTCTCGTGACCATCTCCTTACTGTTCTCCTCACTTTGTCCATTGAGCATCAGTTGTGTTTGTTAAAGTGTTCGTGTCTCATTCTCGTCATCAAGCTGCATAGCTAGCTACGTATGTAGGGGTTTTCTGGAGTTTCTTCCATCTCTTCAACCATGTTCCAGGTCGAAAATCGCCATAACAGTACAAAAGCAAATCTCAAAGCAATTGCCGATACAGGGAAAGCGTCATATTTCAGAGGCGCTTCTCCTGCCGCAATGCTTGTTGCAAACTGGAATCGACAGTCACGTCGAGTTCCGAGTTTCTGATGATACACGAGGTGTCGACTAGACATCAACACCCTTGCAGACGACACCCTTGTGCCACTCGTACTGCATCTTGCGAGCCACCTCGTTGGCGGACTCGTGGCTGACCAGAGCACTGACAAGATAGAAAGCAGCATCGAGACCAGTCGAGATGCCACCGCTGGTGATGACACGAAGTCCACCGAGCTTGAGCTGAGCACGTCTGGCGTTGCTCTCGCGACGAGTGTTGCTCTGCTTGAGAGAGAAACTGCCCTTGCGAGCATTGCTGGCACGACGGCCCGAGTGTGAGTCGGAGCGTCTGCGGATGTAGGGGTTGTCCTCTTCTTCGTCAATGTCGAAACGAAGATTGTTGACGACATAGCGCTCTTCCATGACATCGAATCGCTCGGACATGTCGCGGTGAGAAACACTCTGGTTGAGGTTCTCCAGCTTGATCACGTAGTCGGGGTGAGTGGTGACGGACAATCCGGAAAGGATGCCAGTCTCGGCCACAAAGAGGGAGCCAGTGCAGACCGACATGAGAGTTCTCTCTCTCATGGGGTTCTTGGTCTGGATATCGGCATAAGATTTAATCAGAGCCATGGGCTCGGTGGCCTTGTTCTTGCCAAAGTAGGGAATGCTGAGGACGTTATCGGTGCCGCCACCAGGGACAATGACAACGTCGTAGTTGGCGAGCTTCTTGTGGGCCTCGCGGAAGGTCATGTCGGTCTTGAATGAGACGCCCTGAGCAGAGGTGACAAATTCGGAGTCGCCGACAAAGGTGATTTCGAACGCCTTGCTTTCTGTGAGGGTTATTAATCAGTTACTGTTGACATTGTATAAGAGCACGTGATGCTCGAGGTGCAACTGACCAGGGTCATTGACATCGTGACGGGCATGGCTGAGAACTTCAAGAGGACCGATGAAATCGAGGGCGTCAAGGCCTGGGTGGAGAGTGAACAGGACCTTGACGGGCTCGGGCATAGTGCCATCACCGTCCTCTGCGATTGCACTCATCGTGCCGGTATTGTAGTGTGAAGAGTTGAAAGGTAGTTGAAGAAGGTTGTTTGAGACTCAGATGAGCTCGATGGGAGAGAAGGAAGGAAGCAGGAGAGCAGCAGGCGCCTGGCTTTTGTAGCCACAATGAAGGGAGCTTAGCTATGAGGAAGCTACCTCATCCGGATGAGCTGATCCATCACGCTCCTTCCCAGGTACCTCTGCAAGTTGCACCTGCCCTCTTCCCCATACTTTATACCCCGCACTTGATCTGCATGGAAAACGGAAGGCGTGCACTAGCGGGTAAACCTTGAGAGAGCTCTGAAACGCTCACATGGGGGGTGCGACCTTTTGTCGAGCACCAATTCAAGCAGCAAACACTTTGACAACCAAGCATACGTTACTCGAACAACTCCCATCACAATCCTAGATCAATTGCTCGACGACAACAAGTCGGAAGCTGCAAGCATGAGAGTCTCCTGACAAGTATCGTGATGATCCCCAGAAAGCAAAAAGCCAGGGAAAGCTACCCGTAACCCCACGCTGGGCATGACATGTTTTGGGTTTAGTTGATTACGTCTGGGTGTCATGCGACCACATGGTTGCAAGGGGAATAGCTCCAACGCAGACATGGCGAGCTTAGGTACGTACGCACGCAGCGACCGGTATTGCGGGATTAATCGAGCCTGAGGTTTCGGAGCTCCGAGGTGAGACAGCGTGTGTATAGATTGACTACAGCAAGCGACATGACCGATGTAGATGAGAGTTGAAGAACGATAGACGAAGCTCGCCTCTCAATTGTAGATAAAAAGCTATGTCCTATGTTATCAATGCATGACC